CGGATAGAGTTCATGTTGGCCACGGGCGAGTACGTCTCGAAGAAGTCCACGCCATACTTCTGCTTAATCCCTTTCGCCACCAGGTGGGCCTTATACCTGATGACTCGGCCGTGCTCGTCGCGTTTCTTCGCGAACACCCAGCGACAACCAATCGGTCGAGCACTCGGTGTCCGACGGACCGGCGTCCATGATCCGTTGTCCGCGTGTGTCTTGAGCTCAGCATTCATCGCCTTCACCCATTCCGACGACTCGTTGCTCTGCATGGCCTGCTGATACGTGGTGGGTGCATCGTTGGCATCGCCGACGTCTGGGGCGTAGACCAGCACAGCCTCAGCCAATAGGCTGTCTTCGTCCATCCTGGGTCGCTTCGGGGACGGCGGCCAGAAGTGGTCATCGTTGTCCGACTCGTCGGGACCACCTTCTTTCGATTTCCTCACCGTCTGCTTAACCATCTCCAAGTAGTAGTACCGGTATCAGGCGCGCTGGGTCCGTTCCGGCTCCGGATGGAAGACCATGTTATCGTTCAGCATCGGTCTCGCGAGTCGTCGGTATGTTGCCAGCTCCTACCCCGATGGCTCCTGCATCTCCACCTCCGGCATCCCCGTGTCCTCGATTGTTTCTTCCGTCGATTCCATCGACTCGTCGGCGACAGGTCGTTGCATCTCCTTGGGTATCACCGCTTCATCCTCGACATCTTCCGTCGACTGAATGATCGGCGAGCTCTCGCTGGGCGTCGTGTCATAGGTACCGTTCACCTCGCGCTCGTTCAGCTTCACCGACCTGGAAACCTTCGCCTTTTTCGACTCCAGGTCGTACACTCGGTAGCCCTTTGAGTCGTCGGCGTACCCAAGAAACATGCATTTGAAGCACTTCGGCTCCAACTTGGTACGTCGCGACTTGTCGACATGAGCGTAACTGATGGACCCGAAGACTCAGTCGAGGCTTCGACTTGAACGTCAACTCGTACGGAGTCTTGGTCGGGTGCATGCTGTTTGTCGACCGATTGATCAGGTAGACAGCAGGGCTGACCGCCTCTGCCCACCATACCGAAGCCACGCCCTTGTAGTGTAGCATGCTTCGGGCCTTCTCCATGATCGTGCGGTTCATTCGCTCCGCCACGTCATTCTGCTGAGGGCTGTACGGGACAGTCTTCTGATGCATGATCCCATTCATCCTGCAGATCTCAGTCATCGGCTTGTTCACGAACTCGGTGCCGTTATCCGAGCGCAGGCACGTAATGCGCTGTCCCCACTGGTTCTGGTACAGCTTCATGTACGACTTGAACTTGGTCGCAACTTCTCTCTTCTTGGTCAAGAAGTACACCACCACGTGTCGCGAGTAGTCGTCGACAAACGTGAGCACATACCTCGCTCCGCCCTTCGACTTCGTCTTCATAGGATCCATCACGTCCGTATGAACCAGTTCTAGCGGGCGAGTCGTCGCCGACATCGACCGCGACGGGAAATGCGCTACCGTCTGCTTGCCCTTCATACATCCTCCGCACAGGGTCTTCGTCTGCTGTCGAGTCGTCGGGAGCCCATCCGACGCCTGGCGAGTCTTCGCCATAGCGTCTCCGTTCAAGTGTCCCATTCGAGCGTGTCATAGCTCCCACTCTCCGTCGACTCCCGCGTACTCGGTATAGTACGCCATGTCCTGCTGGTAGTCCAGCATGTACGCCTTGCCGATCCTCTTCCCCGAAGCGATCGCCTTCGTCTTGTCCCAGATGACGCACGACTTCCGCTGGAACTCAACACTCATGCCAAGTTCAGCCAACCTCCCAACTGAGAATAGTCGCCGGTCGAGGGGATGTGGAGCACCTCCACCATCTTGATGTGCTTGCCGTCGATGCCCGTCAGGCGCACCGACCCTTTCCCAGCCACGCGGATCTTCTTCCCGTCCGCGATTGGCACATACATGTCCGCCGACGACTGGCTGTACTCGAACAAGTCGTCGCGGTGTGGCGTCATGTGCGCCGTCGCACCACTGCCGATCAGCCAACCCACTGATGGATCCTCCGCCACCGCGAACACCGAGTCGTCGGCGGTGTCACCAGTGGTTCTTTCCGGGCAGTCCCGCTTGATGTGACCCACTTGGTCACAGTTAAAGCACTTTCCCTTGAAGCCATCGACCTTTCGTCCGCCGTTGCCCTTGCGACCGAATGTCTTGCCGCCCTAGCCGAACTTCCCGTTGTTGCCCCTACCTCCGAACGAGGTAGCCTTCAATGCGCGCTCCGGGGTCTCCTTCTTCTCCTGCCGCTCGTACTCCTTGAGCAGCTTCTCCTTCACCTCGATGAGGGTCACGTCCTTCGAGTTCTCGACGATCGATGCGATCAACTCGTACTCCGCCGGCAAGCTGCTCAGCAGGGTGACGAGTTGTCGGGAGTCATCGAGCGGCTCTCCTAGTGTCTGGAGACCCACGATGAGCTCGTCGAACTTGTCCAGGTGCTTCACCATCGTCGCACCGTCCTCCATCTTGAACTCGTGGAGGCGACGAGGCATCGTCACGCGGTTATGCATCGTCATCCGGTTGTAGAAGTCGCGCAGAGTGTTATAGTCTTAGATGACAGATGTCGCAGACCGAATCTTCGTGTGGTGCTCCCCAGCCACGCCTTGAGCGATCAGACCGAGCGCCTTCATGTCGTTGAGCATTCAGGCCTCCGTCATATCCGTCGGGTCCTTCACCACTTGGACGTGCGCCAGCAGTCCCTTCCTCGCTAGCGTCATACGCATGGCGAACTCCCAGTGGAAGTAGTTGTCGCTTCCCAGGATGACTTCGGCCTTCTTGCTGGACGTCGTCATGTCGGTCGTCGGGGAGGGCTTGAGCTTGTTGCGGCTGTTAACCTCTTGGTTTGATGCTTGTGGTTGAGGGGGCAAATTCCGAAGTGAGATTTAATGTTATCCTCTCTCAAACTACTCTCTGGTTTATCCTCCTGCTTTCCTCCTTGTTATCCTTGTGCTCGTTGGTGCCTCTCATCCGATGGGTTACTCCCGCCATCCGCTTGACTTGACTTCACTATACCTGCGTCCCCCGGCGACTCTCGAACCAATCACTTGGGTATCCAGGGCCCGGTTGCCGCCGGCTCTCACGTCGCCGTCGGATCCCCCGAGTCATCGGCGTATGTGTCCACACGTTCTCCTCGTCCATGTGCATGTATTGGCGGCGCTCCCAAAGACTCATGAACATATTCTGGTCAGTCAGAGCCCTGGAAAGTATCTTGCTGCGAGAAAAAAATCCTTCTTGTTGCTGCCTAATTGGCTACCACTAATCAATCGACCCTGGAAATTTTGAGTAGAACCCACAATAGAGAAATTCCTACTGAATGAGTGTATCACTTGCTGATTGGTCTTTAACACATCGTTTTTCGCCAATCGCCGATAGAAAAAAAACAGCTGTGAAAAACTGAAGGCACCCGCTGCAGGGTTTATGGACTTTATCGTCGGATGTCGCCCGAATGTTGCTCCAAGAGCAACAGTAAAGCGTACCAGTGCATGTGTCCTACCTCGAAGCCATCGCTATTATGGCTGCTGTTGCTTATGTAACGCACTAACACTATGGTATCTATCGATACGAATGAACGAGACTCATATCAACGGCCCATTCAAAACAGGGTTTGGTAGTAGTCAGCAGAGTAGCAGCGATAGTAGTGATATTATTACTACTATAGCACTGGGGTATGAGCTTGATAGTAGTGATATAGATATAGTAGCGAAAAAATATGCCACTAGTAGTGATAATAGTAGTGATAATATCACTACTACTTTCCCCACCTTCAATCCACGTCAGATCTTCAAAAGGCGCGCAAATTGGTGGTTCTCAGCCCTTCCACCCTCGCACTTTGCGCTCTCTCGCTTATTTCTCAATCCCCGGGCGGGGGAACAAGCAGTAAAGCGCGCTAGGAGCACTCGCACTTCAGTAAATACTTCAAAACAGACAGCGACACAGGAGTTCAAGAACCCTAAGATCGCCGGTGGAGCAGAGTCACTAACATCATCCCCGACCATATCATCTGTAAGCCACTCACGCGTGATCGATTTAGTGTGTTATCTATAGCTCGTCTATCTACAAGGACCATTCATGTACGTATATATTATGCTGTGTGTGTACCCGGAGGCGTGCTTACTATCTCGCTGACTTCAGCGATCTAAGTACAATTTTCGGGTGCCATCGTGCGAAGGCTGCTCCTGGTGCGTTGTCGGAATTACCATTATGCTCAAAGCTGCTAAGTCTCACGGTTTATTTTGTGGATGAATTGCACTTGTTTAGATGCTGGTATTTTCGTCGGCGTTGCTGCGTTACTGGTCAGCTGCTACACTTGCTTGGGTTTAGCGGGGCGTGGTTGTTCAACAGTGTTCCTAGAACGTGTGTTCCGGCTGGTTATTCTGTGATGAGACCACGTTAAACAAGGATTGACAAATATCGAGTACGCAGAGCATTTACACTGCGGCACAGGTGTCTTTAGCTAGATTGAAAACAGCGACAGAAAGTGTAACCGCCGACAGTTGGGATAGCACTACTATAGTAGTGATATAGCAGTGATATTAGTATGTGATATCTACTAATGACGCCTCAGACTACTAATAGTAGTATTAGTGCAATCGGTTCTGAGTTGGATAGTAGTAGTAGTATCACTACTAGCCGAAATTCTCACTACTACCAAACCCTGATTCAAAAGAACTCACTCGTAGTGCCCAGACCTCCGGCTGGCTCGTGGGGGTCACGTCCATTTGACTTGGTTTTTGTAGTGGGACATGGATGGGGATGATGCCCTTATTATAGTTGCGAACTTCTACCAGTGATAATTTTACACCCTTTTGCGAGCAACTTGAATAAAGTATAGTATACAGATCTATGTGATCTTCATTTCCAAAAGTCGCATTTCTCGCCCTTTTAAAAAAATCACGGTACTGCTTTGGCATATCTCATGAGACATGCAATCTACTGTGATTTAGCGGTTACTTAGTGTCGGGTCGCATGACTTAGCTTTTGTATGCTGAATGATTATGTCACGTACCGTTTCTAACTTGTTATAAAAGATGGTGATTACTACATGTACTGTAAAAACTGTAATTATGCCTCCTCCCTCTAATAGTGCCCCACCCCATGAAATTTGACGTCTTTGGCTGGGGACTTGCGATAGTGCCCCACCCGTAAATAGAGCCTCACCCCAACCTTTTATCTGAAAAATTGAGCTTGATTCTGATTTTTTCCTCATAAATTCAAATATTTCATATCATAATCTTAAGGTTTGTATGTCGACTTACCAATGTGTTGTCTACTGTCAATTTTTTTATCGCTAGTTATTTTTGGTACTCCACTCCCTTTAATAGTGCCCCCTTGTGATAATGCCCCAGGTTGACAGGGGGGTACTGCTGCAATACCCCACGGGGCATAATTACAGTTTTTACAGTAACTTGAAGGAATGCGTCCTTTTGCAGCCTAATTATCTACCGTGTTTTGATAATCGTGCAAAAGGGCGAGAAATGCGCCCCTGCACTGCGAAAGGGTGTACAACAGGGCTGTGGAAAAAGTGATTGCGATTGTAATATTGCCGAGATTGTCAATCACAATAATTGATTGCTCCGTGATCTCAATCGGCAATCCCGTTCCCATACCGTCAAAATTCCAACGGGGTTGGACTGCTTCCAACCAAAACCGGTCTAGCAACGGTATTAGGTTTTTTGTTCAGCTGATATTTAACCTCACGACCGCCGATTGGATTCTCGGCCAACAGTCCAGAAGCTTCCAGGTTTCGTGCAACACTGCTTGTGCTACCTGTGCTGACTGTGCTGCTGTTGTCTCTGCGTGTAGACAGGCGCTGCTGGCCGCTGGGCCGTGTGTGCTGCTGGGCCGTGTGTGCTGCTGGGCCGTCTGTGCTGCTGGGCCGTCTGTGCTGCTGGGCCGTGTGTGCTACTGACGCCGGGCCATTTGCTGCTGGGCTATGTGCGCTACTGGGACGTGTGTTGGGTTACGCCTGTGCGCTCTCGTGGCGTGTGGCTCAAGTGGCCGAGGGTTTGGACGAGTATGGTGCTGTTGATGGATGCGACTTACCCGCGCCCATGGAGCTCGTGAGGTTGAGCGCCAGGCCTTCGGGCCTGGAGGATCGGGTTCAAACCCCGACATGGGCATCAAGTATTATGTGTTTTTGCTTTCTTTTTGGACAGGTCGGCTAAGAGAGTGCGTGCTACTCCTGTTGTACGTATTGTGTATCTTATTGCCTGTTTAGTGTGCTGCGTGTGCATTTAGGTGAGCGCAGGAATGGCGGAAGGGCAGAATTGGGTGTCGGGTCGACGACTTCGCCTTCATAGTAGCGGGTTGAAGGGCGAGAGCTACAGCTAGCACGTGTAACGGGCACGTGAAGGGATCGTTAGGATCCTTAAACAGGGAGATTCCCTGTTGCGAAGCAGTCTTCACACGCTTAAAGCGGAGAAATATCATACCGCCTAGCATATACGCATAGAATTGTCAGCATAATTCGTGGGGTTAATTAATACAAAAATTCAAAATCCTGCACGATTCGTACCGGGGTATACACACAGCTGCGCTTTCTCCAATTGCTCAGCCTCAGAACCACGACCGTAGAGGTACCACATCAACGCCACTAGCGCCGCATCCAGGTAGTCGGAGTTGGCGGAAGCGTGCATGTAGAGAGCCGAGATGATAGTCTTTATATCTTTCTTAGTACATGGTGGCGCTTGTTCCGTGACACCTTGCTCCGGCCTCTTTTCACAGTACCGATCTAGAGTTGATAGCATCTTTTGCAGCTTCTTAGCTACACATTGGCTCTGTTGCGGGTACAGATCCGCCAGCCAGTTCTTAACATTGCCAAAATATGATAGCACAGTGTTCTTGGACAGAGCTACTCCTTGCCTTCCTATTTTTTCACTAAGAACCACCCATACTTATCCAGAACAGCGACAGAAAGTGTAACCGCCGACAGTTGGGATAGCACTACTATAGTAGTGATATAGTAGTGATATTAGTATGTGATATCTACTAATGACGCCTCAGACTACTAATAGTAGTATTAGTGCAATCGGTTCTGAGTTGGATAGTAGTAGTAGTATCACTACTAGCCGAAATTCTCACTACTACCAAACCCTGATTCAAAAGAACTCACTCGTAGTGCCCAGACCTCCGGCTGGCTCGTGGGGGTCACGTCCATTTGACTTGGTTTTTGTAGTGGGACATGGATGGGGATGATGCCCTTATTATAGTTGCGAACTTCTACCAGTGATAATTTTACACCCTTTTGCGAGCAACTTGAATAAAGTATAGTATACAGATCTATGTGATCTTCATTTCCAAAAGTCGCATTTCTCGCCCTTTTAAAAAAATCACGGTACTGCTTTGGCATATCTCATGAGACATGCAATCTACTGTGATTTAGCGGTTACTTAGTGTCGGGTCGCATGACTTAGCTTTTGTATGCTGAATGATTATGTCACGTACCGTTTCTAACTTGTTATAAAAGATGGTGATTACTACATGTACTGTAAAAACTGTAATTATGCCTCCTCCCTCTAATAGTGCCCCACCCCATGAAATTTGACGTCTTTGGCTGGGGACTTGCGATAGTGCCCCACCCGTAAATAGAGCCTCACCCCAACCTTTTATCTGAAAAATTGAGCTTGATTCTGATTTTTTCCTCATAAATTCAAATATTTCATATCATAATCTTAAGGTTTGTATGTCGACTTACCAATGTGTTGTCTACTGTCAATTTTTTTATCGCTAGTTATTTTTGGTACTCCACTCCCTTTAATAGTGCCCCCTTGTGATAATGCCCCAGGTTGACAGGGGGGTACTGCTGCAATACCCCACGGGGCATAATTACAGTTTTTACAGTAACTTGAAGGAATGCGTCCTTTTGCAGCCTAATTATCTACCGTGTTTTGATAATCGTGCAAAAGGGCGAGAAATGCGCCCCTGCACTGCGAAAGGGTGTACAACAGGGCTGTGGAAAAAGTGATTGCGATTGTAATATTGCCGAGATTGTCAATCACAATAATTGATTGCTCCGTGATCTCAATCGGCAATCCCGTTCCCATACCGTCAAAATTCCAACGGGGTTGGACTGCTTCCAACCAAAACCGGTCTAGCAACGGTATTAGGTTTTTTGTTCAGCTGATATTTAACCTCACGACCGCCGATTGGATTCTCGGCCAACAGTCCAGAAGCTTCCAGGTTTCGTGCAACACTGCTTGTGCTACCTGTGCTGACTGTGCTGCTGTTGTCTCTGCGTGTAGACAGGCGCTGCTGGCCGCTGGGCCGTGTGTGCTGCTGGGCCGTGTGTGCTGCTGGGCCGTCTGTGCTGCTGGGCCGTCTGTGCTGCTGGGCCGTGTGTGCTACTGACGCCGGGCCATTTGCTGCTGGGCTATGTGCGCTACTGGGACGTGTGTTGGGTTACGCCTGTGCGCTCTCGTGGCGTGTGGCTCAAGTGGCCGAGGGTTTGGACGAGTATGGTGCTGTTGATGGATGCGACTTACCCGCGCCCATGGAGCTCGTGAGGTTGAGCGCCAGGCCTTCGGGCCTGGAGGATCGGGTTCAAACCCCGACATGGGCATCAAGTATTATGTGTTTTTGCTTTCTTTTTGGACAGGTCGGCTAAGAGAGTGCGTGCTACTCCTGTTGTACGTATTGTGTATCTTATTGCCTGTTTAGTGTGCTGCGTGTGCATTTAGGTGAGCGCAGGAATGGCGGAAGGGCAGAATTGGGTGTCGGGTCGACGACTTCGCCTTCATAGTAGCGGGTTGAAGGGCGAGAGCTACAGCTAGCACGTGTAACGGGCACGTGAAGGGATCGTTAGGATCCTTAAACAGGGAGATTCCCTGTTGCGAAGCAGTCTTCACACGCTTAAAGCGGAGAAATATCATACCGCCTAGCATATACGCATAGAATTGTCAGCATAATTCGTGGGGTTAATTAATACAAAAATTCAAAATCCTGCACGATTCGTACCGGGGTATACACACAGCTGCGCTTTCTCCAATTGCTCAGCCTCAGAACCACGACCGTAGAGGTACCACATCAACGCCACTAGCGCCGCATCCAGGTAGTCGGAGTTGGCGGAAGCGTGCATGTAGAGAGCCGAGATGATAGTCTTTATATCTTTCTTAGTACATGGTGGCGCTTGTTCCGTGACACCTTGCTCCGGCCTCTTTTCACAGTACCGATCTAGAGTTGATAGCATCTTTTGCAGCTTCTTAGCTACACATTGGCTCTGTTGCGGGTACAGATCCGCCAGCCAGTTCTTAACATTGCCAAAATATGATAGCACAGTGTTCTTGGACAGAGCTACTCCTTGCCTTCCTATTTTTTCACTAAGAACCACCCATACTTATCCAGAATGCCAAACAAACTCTTACCTGTGCTGTCCTTAGAAATACGATCATGCACTTCTGTGAGCGTCACCTCCTTCTTCGCAAGGAAGTCTTCGAAAGACTTCACAGCCGTCGCTCTGCTTCTCTGGCTGTTCGCAGGAACTAGCGATGCCACCGACATGCCTGTGTGCGTCGGAACGCAGAATGGAGTCGGAGATGAGCTGGCAGGGGTTGGAAACCTATGAATATTTATTCTATTTGTAGTTCACTTATGATATTTGTATGGCATAATCGATATCAAATCGCGTTTCCAACCAGATATTGTTGGAATATTCAGATCAGCGGTTGGCAGTCATTCCCTCGATTTAATTGGTCGAAATTTTAAGCAACGGTAGTGTCTATTGGTTGTAAATGCTAAGAATCGCAGATGACACACTCCTATCGGCCGGAAGCACCATACAAACTTTAAGGTATTTTCAGGGGTTAGAATCGCAGCGATATACTACCACATTGTTCCTATACTGATTTTGAGCCTTTGCCAGCGATCCGGTAGATAAATATGCAACGTCAAGCCTATGGAATCGATCCTAGCTCCTAAGAAGCCATTATGTGTCTTCTCCTGCTTCGAAATGCGGATATGAGGGGTCATTGGATGCCTGGATGGGGTGCACGCTCAACATGATGAATATAAGACCCAACATTGCATTTGGCCAAGGTTATTGAAGCTCAACACAAATGTAATCGCACAAGCAAAGGTCTTAGAGCGATAGCGCCGCCAAACCAGTAAAAATATGAATGTAGCAGAGGAAATACAAGCGAGAACTTAGATTGCAATCTTTTTGTTTGTGAGATTGTTGATATTGCAATAATTGACTGTTCCAGATCTGAGCCGTCAATCAATAAACAATCTATATTTCCACAGCCCTGGGTGCACAATGAAGACGTATCGTTTCGCGTGCGTATGCAAGAGATAACAGGGAAGAGGGTCATGTGCTGGCGAACGCATGAAGTTAAGTTATTCAAACATCGACGCTCGAGCCTAGGATGGTGCTGTAGTGAGCCAAAAAAACCATGATCACTTGGTTTAAGTATGAAGTACTGGGGTGCCTTCACTTTTTCACGTGATGTCCTCAATCTAACCTTGATTGACAAAGCAGAACTCCTTAAGACCGTTCGCCGTGCTCGCAATTCAATAGATCTAATGATTATCTATCGAATGGTCCAAACAGTTGTGGTGACGCATCCTTATTTTGTTGGCACACGGCGTGGTAGTGCACTGCTGTCTCTGGGCTTAGAGAATGAAACTCTTCAAGGGTGCGTTGTCGATATCCTGGGGGTGCTATGCGTGAAATGATGATTTGTGCTCACGCTATACTCGTTTTGTATGCAGGCGCATTGTGCTTCTAGCCCAAGTAGCTCTCCGGTTTTGCGTTAACTGCGTCACGAATAATGACAAGAACCAGGGGGTCGCTTGGGGATTGTTCTTCCCTGACGATTTCCAGGTGTGTACCGCTGCATTTGCTCTTGAAGCTGTTGTATGTGGCGAATACTGACTTGTTCACTGCTGTTCACAGAAAATATGGGTGGAGTGCCATAAGTATCGCAAGGTTGTGGCATTCACCGTGACGCTGATTCTGAATTGCGTCAATTCAAGCATCACTGGATCCGAGGATCTTGCTGCTCGTCGTGTTGATTTGGTACGAATGACAATGGAGTGACGGCAATTGCAAACCGTGAAGCTAACCGCATTGGGATTACATGTACTTATGCAGGTCTGCGCTCGTAACTTGGTAATTACAATTCTTCACCGCTGTATGGTGAAACCAGCCAAATCGATGAACACTGATGAGCCGACGCAAAGTGGTCCTCGCATTGACGACCAGGGCCCAGCGTTCGAGTTGATTTGTACTCTTTTCGGAGTACTTTTCCGTGATGGCCGGATCAAAGATCTGTACAACGCTGTGGGCGCTCACATGCTAAGCAAGCTCTGGTCTCGAGTTACTCCGGAACAACTGACGATGTGGGCAGTGTCTTCCACAAAGACGGCTGCAGCCGGTGCTACCCAAGAAGGAACCGGCAAGAATCTCCCGCTCCCTGATGGAACTTTCGAGTATGTGAAGAGCACTTGGACATACATTATCACTGCCGGTGACGAAGATAGGCCGGACGAAGCAGATGAATTCAGGAAGAAGGGTGGATCGAGCTGGAAAACGAGGCCAAGCTGATGGATCTCGACGTGCTTGGAGAACTGACTGTGGGTCACAACAAACTCGACGCGGATGTCGCCCGCGAGCTACTACTTTCACTGCTGCAAGAGCTTCAACGAGTTTGGGAGCTTGGCCGCCAGAACCCAACGTCAAGGAATACACGCGCGGCGGGTACAAGTGCGCAGCCGCTGAGTGGCGGGGAGCCGTTCGGGTACAGGTCGGGATTGATTCGCGTCATTGGCAACCTCAGCTTCCCACCTGGACCTCGTACGCGAACAGGGCTACTTGCCTTTGTTCCTCAACCACTGCAACATCGACGAGACGAACCCCATGATTCGCGAGAGGTCCTTGGTGGCGCTGTGCAACCTGTGCGAGGGGAACGAAGCCAACCAGTCCTACACCAATGCCCTTCGGCCACAAGGCATGGATGCTATCTCAAATGCGGTACTTGAAAAGGCAAAAATGTGTGCTGATATCAGCGAAGGTGGCAAGGTCACATTGAAAAAGGAGGACGAGTAGCTGCTACGTTTTGCAAATGGGATACAACTTGTTTTGCTACCTAGATCTGTCTTTACGTTCTAATGATTCTTCCGCGCTAAGTTTCCTAACTACTCTTCTTTTTACTGACAAATACCGATTCACTTGTTTCTGCAAAGGGGAAATTGCAATTTGGAATTTGCAATTCGGTCAGGTGTTTTTGACCCCAAGGACTTCTCAAAGTTAGAATTTGGACGGTCCTAAGCATAGGATTTAGAGCGTTCAGATTGCTGATGAGCAATATGCTGGACAGAATCCAGTACGAGTGTAGTTCTCAAAATTCGTGTTAGGTTTCAGTAAGTCAGCTTTCCAGTTTCTTCAGCCAGCTCAGCTGGACACAATTGTAACTTTTTTATTTCGTTATACTAGTATAATAACTAGTACCAAATAGCAATTCCCGGTAGTTTAAATGCTTAACTGCACTGGTGGCACGCCTCGGCGTTTCCTGCCGGACCTCGGGGTATTCACGGAGCCGCAGCGTCACCAATGTATGGACTCCGAAGATGCCCACCCAGCCCATCATTGCGTTGTTCATGTCCGGGCCCATGGTAGCACGAGGCACGTTTGCCGCGCGCTGCATCGTGCCCTGCGGCGTTGTTGAAATTGAGACTAGAAAACGTGGTCACAAAGGTGCCTTCCAACGCGATCCTAGCTTTCGTGAACTGACTTCTCGAGCTCAGTTTTTCGCACCAACCCATTCCAGACGGCGGCCAAGTCAGGTTCACTCGAGAGTCCGAAGAATTCAGCTCGATTCTCCAAGGTCGACAAGTCCAGCTCCAGTGCTTCGACCTCGAACCGGGAAGTATCATCCTTGTGACACGTTTTCAGGTACTTTTTGCCTTGGAACTTCGGTTGAACTGTAGTTTGTCGAGCACACGATCAACACGTTCGTCATCACACCAAACTTCTGCTTTGTCGACGAGTCCAAGTTGTCAAACATCATGCGAAACTTGCCAACTTCTTCCAGCTGCTTCGGTCCAAACTGCAATTTCGAACCATAATTCTTCAACACTAGCGCCACCATTAACGTTCGTGCATCGATATCGTCGTGTACACGCTTGCGCCCGACTGAAGAAACGGAACGTTTCACGAAAATTACATCCGCGGAAGAGGACTCGGGCAGCGGCTTCAGACACAAGCAGCTTCCCTCCTTCGCATCCAGCTTTTGATCAATTTCATCCATCAGGCGTGGCCAATCGGAAGGATTCGCTGTAGCCGAGTCTAGCGTTGCAACGCCGACTGTAGTCGTCGCTTTTGTGATCTTCGGTAAATCCACATGATCACTCGGAAAGTGGATCTCGCCCCACTTGTCAAACTCCGTGTCCGTACCGAAAAAGTTTTTCAGCACGGTGTGCGGTTCACTTGGCTCCGAGAAAAGCTCTTGGAACCGCTTGAGGCACGCCCACTCAAACACGGTCGCGTACGCTAGTGTGACATCGTCGATGAGAGGGTCAATGGTTCTGATGTACAGGCGCAGCGGCTGAACGATGCTGACGATCGCAGTCAGAATTCTTGGAAGCGCGTAGATCCAGCGTTCCATGATGATGGCAAACGAAATCTTTTTCTGCGGGGACTTCGGAATGTGCGGCCATTTAGAGTCGTCGCTCAAGTCGATCACTTTGTTTTCAAGAAGTTGTGGTTTCAGGCCCTCCAGAGTCTTTTGCCAATAGCGCAGCTCGCGGAAAATCTTTACCCACTCCTTTTGACCTTCTTCTGAGTCAAAACGGTTCACGTCAGCTTTGCAAAAAGCCTCGTACGACTCGTGAAGGATGAACATCTGGATCATTGTGCGTGGATGGCCACAGGTTTTCTTGTACATCTTCGCAGCAGCTGTAGCTACATCCTCATTCGATTACAGCCCCCATCGTTGCTGCAGAGTCATAGTGCTCGAATCGTCGACCCACGTGTGCCGGATAACCTGCTCGATTTTCTTGGGACGAATCAGCTGCAAGTTCAGGCGAATGAACTTGTGCTTACTGGAGCTGTGAGACCTGTCGTCTTTCCGCTCTCCCACATTCCGCAGGAATGGCGCATAGCCGACCAACAAGAAGTAGACGTGACGCGTGCTCATCCAGGTGCTCAACACGGACGAGCAGAAGTCCAAAAACAGGTTTCGCGAAGCCTCCTCAACCTTCGTGTCGGTACCATCGGTTCCGACGGACCAAAACCCTCGACCGATCTCGTCCAAAACGATGAACACAGGTCCAAGATCTCTCAACAAACAATGAACAAACGTCCGTGCGTCGACCGACTCTGGCGCGCAAAGGTAATTAGGCAGCTCGGCTCCGTCGGGCAGCTCCAACTCGTCAATCACAGCCCTTGCTAGCACAGCGTTAATGACTCAATACAAAGCTTTCTCCAACGTTTTAGTATCGCCATCCCAAGCATTGACGAAAACGGCTTGATCAATCTCCACCACGATCGTTCTGCAAGTCCTCAATGACCTTTTAAAGGCTTGAAGAGCGAGCACTCCCTTGGGCCACTGCTCGCGACAGCATCGAATGTATTGCCTCGCAAATTCGCTTTTCCCGATTCCGAGCTCGTTATCCGCAAGACGCGTCTGCTCGGCGGTTAAAGTTGGCGCCGATGTACACCGACTTGTGAACTTCACAGAGCTGTTTCACAGCCTGCTCCCGATCGACAAAATACAGCGTCTCATTCTGCAATGACACCAGAGTCTCGTGCACAGGTTTCCATCGCGGCTTTGGGGCAGCTCGCGGCTGCGCTAGACTTGACTGGGGCTGCTGCACCGATGGGATCTTCACCACCACGTGCACAGGGCCCTTCCCTGCTACAAGGTCCTCATCTGATACTTCGACCCGCGTGCTCTCCTCCGATAAGCTGTACGCGCGGAGTGTCGCGTTCCCGACGTTCAGCTCTTTCATGCCACTGGTATCGCGCACATCGCCCATCACGTCGTCTGCCGTCAGCCACACGCCTTCCCTTGTCTTGGCCAGGAAGATCTGCAGGTCCGCAGCACTACATTGGATTGCGAGCGGGTCGTTGTCCTTGATCGCTTTCTTCAGGATAGCCACATGCATCCGCTCGTCGATGAGGATAGTATCCACGTTCCTTTCTCCGACGATCCAGTAGCTGAGGAGTACCACCATCTTCCCAAGACTCGCTCGACCCGGCAGATTCTCAACTGAAGAAATTTAGGGAGGATTCTGGTCGCACTTAACGGGGAATGGGTATTGCAAGTTGCAATTTGCAACATGGGTAACAAGATCTTGATACTGATAGGACGAGACTGATGTTTGACAGAAGAAATTCCAAATTACGGAAGTTATTCGCAGTTCGTAAGAACGGTGATGCCACCCCAGGCGAGTTCGTCATCGAACGACATTAAGCAACCTTAATGCTACACTAGGCAACATTAGTCTTTCGGTACTCAGTACACAGGATTGTACTTTTATTTTTTTAAATCCTTTTAAGGATTTTTAAAAAAGCATGCAAAGCACAATACATGTGCAGTAATTGTTTGTGTGTTTTTTGTGCCTCAATAAAGAATATCTGATTTGTATAAACTGCTTAAGGTAAATAAGACATTAAGGGATTTATATCTGATGCTTTCATTATAAATAAGTGCAAACGTAAGAACGAGTTTCAAGGGCTATAAGATTTATCTTCTTCTGTGTTAGTCACATTACTGTACATATGTAACAATTACTGTAATAAGTCCTGGATCCGACCCAGGGCTCACATTCCCAATCGCATTAATCCATCATGGCGCAGGTCGCGGCGAATGGCGCGCGTCAGCCGCTGCTGCAGCTGCTGCGCGGCCCGAGCGGCAAGCTGTGGGAGGTCTGCATCGGTCTGGAGGTGCACGCGCAGGTGCAGACGCGCTCCAAGCTCATGAGCGGCGCCGCGGCGGCCACGCTCTCGTCCGCGCGGCCCAACCGCCACGTCAGCTTCTTCGACGCGGCGCTGCCGGGCACGCTGCCGGTCATCAACCGCGAGTGCGTGCACCAGGCCATCCGCACGGGGCTGGCGGTGGACGCCACGGTGCACCCGCGCTCGTTGTTCGAGCGCAAGCACTACTTCTACTGCGATCTGCCGCTCGGCTACCAGCTGACGCAGCAGCGCGCGCCGGTGGCGTCCGGCGGCGCGCTGCACTTCGAGCTGCCGGCGTCCGCGGTGGTGAGCGAGCACGGGGGCGCGCAGAGCGACGACGAGGCCACGTTCGACGCGTCCAAGTACAAGTCGAGGAAGGAGAAGAACGAGGCGCTGCGCAAGTGGAAGGCCAAGCAGGCCAAGAAGCAGCAACAGGAGGTGCGCGCGGGAGGGGATTTTGACGAGGAAATGGCGTTGTTGTGGTGACTAATTAGGTGGTGCTGGTGGTGGGTGATTTTAGGATGTGATCCCGAGGAGTGTGCGGATCACTCGTATCCAGATTGAGCAGGATTCAGGTTCGTGGAGGAGTTGGGGGTGACTGGTGTTTTGGAGATGTTGTGCTTACCTTTTTGCGATGGTTTTTGTGTGATTTTTAGGCAAGAGCAACCACGACTTGGAGGAGCACAGCACCGTGGTGGACCTTAACCGTGCGGGTACGGCGCTGCTGGAGATCGTGATGGAGCCGGATCTCCGCAGTCCTCTAGAAGCTGGTCAGGTGATGCGTCAACTGCAGCATTTGCTGCGCCACTTGGACGTGTGTGATGGAAACATGGAGGAAGGCTCGATGCGATGCGACTTGAACGTGAGCGTCCGCCCGACGAATCTTGGAGAAGAGGCCGATGTTGAAGCGCTACATACCGCACTCACTTCCAGCACTGCGCCGCCGTTCGGTGAGAGAGTCGAGGTTAAGAACATGAACAGTATTCGCAACATGATGCGTGCCGCGGAGTATGAAGCCAGGAGACAGATCGCGCTGATCGAGGAGGAAGGAGGAGAGGTGCACCGCGAGACGCGTTCGTTCGATGCCGTCACCGGAGAGACCGTAAGTGCAGCTACCTGCGCCCCTCGTTTAGTGTATGCAATTGCTGATCAGCCTGTGGTTTTGTTTTGTGTCGGTAGAAACGCATGCGATCGAAGGAGGGAGCCAAGGATTACCGTTTCTTCCCGGAGCCTGACCTGCCCCGGCTTGTCGTCCCGGAACAGCTTATCCAGGAAATTAGTGAAAGTCTGCCTGAGCTTCCAGATGCATTGAAGGACCGCCTGTGTGCTCAGTACGACCTCACGCCGTACGAGAGCTCCGTTTTGGTGAATGAGCCTGGTGCAGCGCAGTATTTCGAAACTGTTGCGTTGGAGAAATCGCGGCCGTCCAAGATGGTTGTCAACTGGGTGCTGAACGATTTGTTTGGACACCTGAAGGCAACGAACGGCGACATTGCCGGAAGCCCTGTTCAGGCCACGGAGCTGGGAGGTCTCATTGATTTGATCCAGGACGGCACGATCTCCGGCAAAATTGCGAAGGACGTGCTGGAGCTCATGTTCTACGAAAACGAAGCGAAGAAGACGCCCCTGCAGATTGTTGAGGAGAAGGGCTGGAAGCAGATTCAGGACCCGGAGGAGATCCGCGCACTCTGCCAAGCCGTTCTTGATGATCCGGTATGATGCTCTGCTTGCTACGTCGAGTTGCAGTTTTACTAACTTGTTCCGGTTTTGTGTATTGCAGAAGGCGAAGAAGAACCTGGACGCGTACTGGAACGGCAAGACTCAGCTCTTTGGGTTCTTCATCGGTCAGGTCATGAAGCGCTGCGGTGGTCGCGTTCACCCGGAGCTTGCGAACACCATTATGCAGGAGGTTCTGGAGGAGCACAAACAATAGATTGATTGAGCTTAGACGAAGTTCTGGTTGGTAAGAGAATGCGCTTCATGTTTGTGAACAAGCTACACCATGCAAATACTTGTGACCGCTCTAAACTGAGTCATGGTCCGGACCCGAACTGGTTGTGACGATGTTCGGCTAGCACCATACGCAAAGGCCGGACAAGAAACACCAGCAACTTACTGCAGCACACCATGCGCCTGCAGGAGTTTCTTGTAGATCAACGCAAAGAGCGCAACAACGATGGCAACTGTCAGATAGTGCAGGAACGTGTCCACACTGTCCGACTCGCGCACTTGAGGAATGCCATCAACAACAAACGGCGCGTCTAGATCCTCCTGAAGATCGTCCACTGCAGGCGCTTCTACTTCTTCCGCTGCTGGTGGTGCTGTTTCTGCAGGCTCTGGAGCAGGTGCTGATTCTGGTGCTGATGGAGAAGAAGCAGGGTTAGCCGGTTCACTAGAACTAGATGGTTCGGTTGTTGATGCGTCCTCTGTCGAAGCTGTTTCGACCTCTGCTGCTGCTGCTGCTGCTGCTGCCGGGACTTCAGTTTTCTCTCTGTCATTGCCACTACCTTCAGTCTTTGCCGCTTCCTTTGTGTCCTTCGCCGCACTAGCAGGCGGCGCAGTCTCCAGGCTGTGCATGTGCAGCTGAGCGATCTGTTCGGCGTACTTGGACGGCTTCTTCTCGGTCTCTTCTCCATCCTCCGTCTCCAACTCGGGCAGCAAGTCGGCAACGCGCCCACAAGTCTCGCACTTGTAGTCAACAGACTGCAACACCACAATAGAAAAAAAATTAGACCGCAAAACAACGCACACACTACACTGTAGACGCAGCAATATTCCCACCAGCTTTGCGAGTCGCTTCCGCTCTTCCGCAGGGAAGTCCAGCGCGCCGATAGCGCCCTCGCCCTTGGTGGGCATGAAGCTGATGAGCGCCTCCAGGATGAGCCGCACGCCCCACGCAGGCTGCCATTCCTCCGGGTGGTAGGCCGAGATACTGAGACAGATCTTCTTCTTCACCTCAAAGCGGCCATTAGGCTGCAGCAGCAAATATACAAGGCCCCACAAGTCAGCACATAACTCTCACAATAGATAGAGACAATAACGGAGATTCTGTTACCGTGAGCAGCATGATGTTGGGCGGCTTGAACGGGTAGTCGGACGGCAGGATGATGCGGCCGTGGTAGATGCCGCCCTCGAACTCGGTGTCGCGCGGCCCGCGCAGCGTGAAGTGCCAGTCGAACATGTTGGTCTGAGAGCGTATAGTTTACCACAGTAGTGTTAGTGCCGTTGGCTCAGGAGGAGGCAGGCGGTTGGACGCGCACCTCGAGCGGCGCCGCCGCGTACTGGTCGCTGGGGTTGGTCATCATCTCGCGCACATCCTGCAACGTAAAGAAGAGCAGCAAGTGAGTAGGCGTATTAGGAGACGGTCAGGAGCAGCTGCAGACGCAGACGCACGCCCTGGATGCGCTTGATGGCGGTGTTGCGCACGCTCGCCGCCATGGCTTCAGCCTGCTGCCTCTGTCTCTTTGGACTGTATGCTGACGCGTCAGAATCAGACTTATGTTGCTCAACGCACTTCAGCGAGTGTTGCGCAACATAAGCAAGTTGAAGGCAAGATCCCCACGGAATCGATTGCCGTGAGCCCAAGCCTGCTACCGTCACTACCAGTGGTTGCGACCAGCAAGACCACTTTATTCAATTGGTGGCGCACGAATTGATGCTCCAGGGTCTCAGGGCTCAACGCCACCGCCACCGCCAGTAGCTGGAGCAGCGTCGTGCGTGCCGGTAACTGGCCATGGTCCCGTTGCGGGCCGCAGCCGTTTCAATGCGAACCCAGCCCAGCCTCACCGCCAATGCGTTCGATGGCCAATGCAGCGCTAGGCTAGAGGCTTTGGCCATCAGGCCTGGAAACCACCGCTGCCGCTTGCTTGGCCCGCGCGATCCTCCTGCGCGTCCGTTCGCGATCGTTCGCGTCGCCTTCGGCGGAAACGGCCGGCGCCAAAGATAGCGGATCCTGCACCCCTCCGCCGCCATACTGGCGGCCCATACACTGCCGGGTTTCGCAACGGCCGGGCTCTTTCCACCGATTGCAACGGCAGCCCCTTCGCTGGCGGAAAAACGGATAAAAATAACCCCTGGCCGAGTCCTGCGCGTCGCTCGCCTCGCTGCTCCAAGCCACCTCCAGCTCGCACTATAAAAATAGCTCGCTGTCGCCGAGCTCGACTGTCTCCGGTATTTTGCTCGCCTGCCTGCTGCACTCGCGCTTTTGCCCCTGGATATAAATACCGACTGCGCTATTTCCACGAGGTGCGTCAACCGCGTGATGATGGCGGCGGAGGGGGGGGGGCAGGAGGATCCTTTGAAGGACCGATCCAACTAATGAACTCTCTGTGACTGTCTACAGCCTAGCAACTAAAAGCTCACCACAACAGCAATGGGCCGCAAGAAGATCCAGATCAAGCGCATCGAGGACGACCGCAACCGGCAGGTGACGTTCGCCAAGCGCAAGAACGGCATCTTCAAGAAGGCCATGGAGCTGTCCAAGCTCTGCGACTGCGAGATCGCGCTCATCGTGTTCGACTCGAACGACAAGCTCTACCAGTACTCGAGCACGAGCGTGGACCAGATCCTGCTCAAGTACACCGAGTACGGCGAGCCCTTCGAGATCAAGGACAACAACGACGTGCGTAGCTGGCTCTGCCTGCCTGCTAGATCCCTTGCAGCAGTGGCTGACGTGGGTGTGACTATGTTGTGGCTGTGTTCCTTACAGTACGAGATCATGTTCGGGGAGAAGAAGAAGCAGTTGCAGCAGGCTGCCAAGGAGGCGGCGGCTGCGGCGGCGGCGGGTGCCAACGCGGAGGCCTCGGCCAACTTCAACATGGGCTCCACCCCCAACGGCGCGGCCGTGCAGTCGTTCCAGAGCATGCACGGCGGCATGAATGGCGCCTCGCTCGGACTCACCAACGACCCGGACCAGTACATGCTCAACTCCCGCAGCCGGCCGCCGACCCAGAAGAAGCGCGTGCACCGCGGCTTCCAGCAGCTTCTCAAGAAGGAGCACGTTGGTTACACCCCGCCGTCGCTTCCGCTGTACCAGCACGGGGTGCGTCTCCCTCACTATGTCATGGTGGAAGGTTTGAGTGAGCCATTGTTCACCAACTCTTCCTGTTTGTTTGCTTATAGATGGGGATGCTTGGAGGACTCTCGAGTCACCACATGCTCGCTGCTCTTCCCAGTCCGCCCAACCTCTCGGGCATTCTTCCGTCGCCAACAAGTACGTTTCGTAACGCATATCCGCGCCCATTTGGTGGTTTCATTCTTACCGTGAATATCTTACTGACGTCAATTTAAACGATTTCCTCAGCCGGCATGCTCCTGCACGACTTCAGCCCCCAGAACGCAGGCCTCTTCGGCCACCACCCCATGCTTGGCGGTGGCATGCCCGGAGACTTCCACGACAGCAAGAACAGCGTCCTCGGTCTCAACCTCGTGCCCTCGGACTTCAGTCACGGCGGTGCCGGCAGTGTGCACCCGCAGCAGCTCCAGCAGGCGAAGGATCCGTACTATGTGCCCGGTAAGCAGAACGACTCGCCCGACAAGACCACGGGCAACCAGCCAGGTTCCCCTGGCGAGCCGTCCGGTGACGCTGATGTCGTCAAGCTCGAAAAGACTTCGGAGAGCGAGAAGGAGCAGCCTCGGCGAGCCGATGCACCGAACAGCAGCGATGACGCACAAGCGACAAAGGAGAACGATACGATGGCAGACAAGGCCGAGCCCGAGCCGTCCGCACTGTCGCCGAAGCGTGAACCCAAGCAGATTAGTCAGGATGACAGAGCCGCCAAACCCACATCGTCCAAGTCTGACGACGTCCAGGAAGCGTCTCCAACGAAGGCCGCACCCACATCAGAGTCACGAGCTCCAAGCACCACGTCCGAGTCGCAGTCTTCGAGCAGCGCGGACACCGAGAAGCGTCCGCGCTCCGACGTGCTGGGAGCAGCGTCCACAAGTCCGCACAAGCGCCAGCGTGTGGTCGTTTGAAATATTCTAGTCTTCTTCACACAGCCTTCTTAGCTGCGTATGCTTTGGAGATCAGTTGCGCTCGTTTGTCTGCAATGCATCCTCCCTTTCATGTCGTTATCTAGAGCCAAATAAACGAGCGTCACCACTGTTCAATCGTGTGTGAAGCGACCTACACATCCAACGCTAAAGACGTTATATTCAACGTCAAAAGAAAGAAAACCCAACGCATCAACACACACAACGGTGGGGCACAATAACCGAATGCTTATAGGCGGTCTGCTGCTTCCGTTATCTCGTCTGCAATCTTCTGCAGCGCCGTCCACTGCTCCATTGAGAGCGAGATGCCCTTCTTGCCAGGCTTCGAGACGCCGTCCTGGTCGTAAAACTCGCGGATGTCGATCAGCACCCCGTTGCGGAAGTAGCGCACAGTCGCGCGGCGTTTGTTCGACAGCTGAATCCACACAGTAAAACAAGTCCACGAGCCTTGTCAACAATAGTCAACCTTTTCTAGAGCTGAAGTTTTTCATACGCACCGGCACCGCGATGGCTCGCACGTCTCCATCCGGTCTCAAGATGCAGTCGGGGACACCGGCAAGGGACTCCATGCCCACTTTGTCCTCCTCCACCAGCTGGATGGCCTCTGCAATGGCGTCCGAGAAGCTGTAGAGCTTCGCCCATTGGTCCGGCGACAGCGAGATACCTGCACACTCCAGTCAGCACACAAGTTAGCAACTGCAGACCAATAGACTTCACTAAATCCATACTTTTCCCCACCTTTCTTGCCCGGCTTGGCCTGCCCGTTGTCGTCGTAGAACTCGCGGATGTCCACGAACTTCATGGCCTTCCACTTGCGCACGGTCACGCAGCGCTTGGCCGACAGCTCGAAGACCACGTCGCCCTCCTCCGTCGTCTTGCCATGGGCCAGAGTCTTCCCCTGCTGCTGCGTCTGAGTCTGAGGCTGCTGCGTCTTGGCCTTGAGGCGCTTGGCCTTCTGCTGCGCGGCGACGCGGGCGAGCGGCGCGTCCGAGTCCTGCGAGAGCGACAGCTGAGGCTCGGCGGCCGCCTTCCTGGCCAGCAGCTGCGTGAGCGACGGGCGCTGCTCGGCCTCGGTCTTGAGGCGCTTCGGGGCCTCCGCGGCCGCCTGCGCTGGGCGCTTGCGCGTCGCCTCCTCCGCTAGCTGCTGCATGGTCGACATTTATTTTATCTTATTTTTGGCGGGAATGGCGGATCGGAATGCGTCACTTGGGCGGGAATTGTTAAAACGAAAAAAAATATTTTTTTGCGGGGATGGGTCCATCGGAGGACAGAATTCTGGTGGGTTTCGGTGGGCGGTGCATGAAGATTTGGCTTGATTGTGATCCATGAGCTCTGAGGGTGAACGAACTGCATAGGGGGCTGGCTATCTACCGTACTTGCCTGGGCTGAGTGGGGACGACACTGTGAAACTGAAGGACCAGAACTGGCATATCAACAATGTACTTTGCTCTAGTGCTTGTGGCTTTCACACTCTCTCCTTCGCTAGTCCAGTCCTGAAGCGTGTATCAACAATCGAGTGGAGTGGGCAAGAGGGCTTGCACTTATCTGGCCCTAGATGCAGAAGTGGATCTCGGGCCGGACGCATGAGCATCAGTAACACCGGTATCTGCGCTTGGCGCAGGCCACATTCCGCTTCACCCATGCTAATTAGCCTTAGTTTTGTAGTCTTTACAAGGAATAAAGGCAATCAGCGCGATTCGCGTCAGCCTGTATCCGCGTCAAAACGTGGGTGCCTGCCTTTTATCAGGCAGACACCACAGCCTTGCTGCAACTTGCACGACGCGGCAAGATTGATGGTGAAAGGTGCCTGTAATTTAGTGTGGCGGCGGCACCGGCGGCTCGGCTATTCTCCGCCTTTGGAGGCACGCGCCCGAAGCGGCGCCATTGGCCGAAAGGATCATATCGTTCCGCTGATTGGCTGGGGGGCGTTGCCGTGCCGATCCATGCGCAAAAGGCCCATGATGCCACAGTCCGAACCCGCCGACGCCACCGCCGCCGCCGCGAGCGCCTTCCGGTGGCCACATCCTGTTCCTTTGACCAGGCGCCCGCCCGCCTGACACTTTGCGTTGCGCGCACCGTGACTCAGAGCGCGCAGTTGCCACCTAAAGAGGTAAGGACAGCAATGCAGATCCACGAACTAGAGAGTTGACAATGCAATTCCAATGCATTGGCAATCAATGGCCAATGGATCAACTAAAACCTCTAACCTTATTGCCTGCAACTGTGCCGCTGCAGTACCTAAGCGACCGGGAGGATGGAGTTTGACGAGGACATGTCGGGGCTGCAGATCGAGGACCTGGGAGAGTATTTCCTGCAGACGGACATCAACGACAACTGGAAGGGCTTCTCGCTCGGCTACACGGATGAAGAGCAACAACAGCAGCAGCAACAGCAACAAAATGCCAAGCAACCGGCGACTTCCACTGCTGCTGCTGCTGGTGGTGGTGGCACCAGTTCTGTTCCGCACTTGACGTCGCCGCCGTTGTCGAGTATCTCGGAGATGCTCAAGCACGGCAACGGCCTGGGGGTCGGACTGGGCTTCGGGTCCCCGCGGAAGGACTTCACGACGCTGTTTCAGACCGGACTGACCCCGGCCAGTGCCAAACCCGATGTAGCCATGATGAACCGAACTGCGAGAGACGCCATGGAGCTTGCGAGCTTCAGCTTGGACCAGCACAAGAAACCAGCGGCGTTGGCAATCGCGAGTGCAGCGCCAAAGGCAGCGCCCCCACTTGGCGGCAGTATCAAGCCCGCTGCTCCAAAGCTGCCGAGTCCGCAGTGCCAGAACATTTTGAGCAGCGACGACGACGACATGAACTCGTTCAGCAGTGCGGCGGCGTTTAAACGGTGCGTGCGGCTCCCTCTCTCTCAAGTGTCGTGCCGTTTGTATGCGTATTCTTACCGGTTGCCAGTGAATTTGACTTCATGACTGTGTCATGCGACGCCAGCGGATGCTCGACGATCGGGAGTGCGTCCACCATCAGCGCGCCGTCGCCCACGCCCGAAGACGACCGAGGGTTCCGAAAGAAGTCCCGGGAGAAGATGCGTCGTCAAGAGGTGAATGTTAAGGTACGTGGGTCCTCTTCTTTTCTTCCACGGAATTTATCCAGCTAACAATGCGAGCATGTGCTTATTATTATTATTTGTGCTCAGTTTGAAGAGCTCGTGGATCTGCTCGGTCTGTCCAACCGCGTCCGCAAGAGCGCGATTTTGCAGGAAGCTGTGTCGGCTATCAAGAGCCTGAAGAGGGAGCGGGACGAGCTGCGTCGGGACCGCGATCGCCTGCAGCAAGAAGTTAGCAAGCTCGCGACTTGCCTGCAGTATTCACACCTCGGGTCCGTGGCAAACGCCGTCGCCATGAACCAGCAGCCGAATCAGCCGCTGCCTCATATGAACCCGTCGATGCCGCACCTTAATCAGCCACACGACCGACAAGCAGCGGCGGTCTCGAGCGGGATGCAAACGGTCCACACGCATCCGCTTAACGTCCCGTGTAACCCGGTATGTAGGCAGGGGCTAGTTCAATTCTGAACGCACTGATTTTTTCGCTGTGCGAGTCTTGATTTCTGACTGGGCTTGATGTGCTGTGGTGTGTCCGATGTGGTGCTGTGTGTTTTTGCTGTGCAGGGCACTAACTGCTTCCCCATTAGTTCAGCGTTCTCCAATATCTCGTCTCAGTTGGGGTCACATTCTTCGTCGTCAGCGTCCGGTCAAGTTGTCATTGCCCCGAAATCCTTAAAGCCAGCGCCGTCCACCTCATTTACCCCCATAGCCCCCGACACCGAGATGAAGTAAGTTAGCAGACAGCAGTCCGCGTGGCTCGGCGAATGGATGCCTGCGTGTTATAAGGCCACAGAGAATAATAAAACAACAGTATTGATCAGCAGCTGGAGAACGACTACCAAGAAGCTGGAAGGGCTCGCGGTGCAGTTAGCAGGTGATTTCAAGGCTCCCCAAGGCTCTTCTGCAAGGTAAAGACCATTGAAGATTCCATTTCAGAAGAAGTGGACGAAAGCGCTCGGAGGCCCCGTGCCGCTGGCACTGGCGCGCTCGTCCTGTTTGCGGATGTGTTCTTCTGACAGCTTTCGTGCTGATATCTGTGTAGTTTGTAGTTGGTAATGCAACTTTGTCCGGCGCGGGCGCTGGTCTCCAGTGGTTTCTGCTTCAGATTGTCCGGACGGATTGCTGGGGGTCAAAGCACCGGAGGATCCGAAAGCGCGTGCCTGCTGTGGCTGTCTTTTGGTTTCGCTTGTTGGCAGCGTCTGCAACAGGACGAAGTTCTTCTTGGCCGGGTCCCAATGCATTTTGGCGTCGTAATCCATGCTGAGCTGCCGCATGTGCGAGTCCCGAGTTTGTCGCTCGTCATGAAACCTCGCTGACATGGTCGAGGGTGCGAGTCTTCGACGGGCGGTGTGCATTTGAGTCGAAGCCTTGCCTTCTGATCTGCAAGTCAACGAAGAGGGGACACGATTCAGCAACGGGGAGAGGGAGCTGCGCACCGGAACCTGAAGTGTAAGTCGCTGGGCGTAGTCGTCTGCAAGGGTATCCCAGTCACGGACGACAAAATTTTTCACGAGGGTTGAGAGCATTTTGGGGGGTTGTGCCACCTCCCCAAGGGATGTGTCGATTTCGATCTCGCGGTTCAATTGCCGAGATTGGGATGAAGTTTCATCGATGGCAGGCGCAGGTTTGGTGCCATCAACCCCGGCTAGCAGTTTGACGGGATCGAGATGTGGCAAAAATGGTCGCTGGAGACCGGCAGGACCCCGTGAGGTTTCGTGACAGGAAATTTTATCGAGATCCTCCAGCTCCTGCTGCTTCTGGCGTTGGCGCTGTTGCTGATCTGTGAGACCGAGTTCAAAGGCTTCGTTTTCCAGTTCAAGTCGATGTTTTCGGTTAATGGCTTCACGATCGGTGAGCGCTCGCCTGGAAGCTTCAGTTCGCTCCTCGCGATGAGCACGTTCAGACGCACACATCATCTGCACTTGGTGTGCTACGTTGAGTGCGCCGCTCGCAAGGAAAGCTCGCCCGTCGGAGCGTTTTAACGCGTACACTTCGACATCAGCTGATCCCCCGACTGCTGTGTAGGTTACTCGTGCAGTCGAGTCTTCCGGTTCAAGAAGAGCCTCCAGCGCTACGATTTCACCCACCCGAGCGGTGTGCAGCTCGATGGTGAACTGAGCTCGACGTCTAGCTTTCTTCAGAGCTGCAGCCTTCTGGGCTGTCGAGAGTGCGTCTTCCGCGTGCGTGTCAATCTCGATCTGGGTGGTGATATTCACCATCCCGCTAAGGACGAAGAAACAGTGTGAGAGCGGAGTGACCCCTTCAGTGACAAGCACGCTGCCGAAGTTGATTCGACGGAGCTCCAGCACTTCAGCCACCTCCACTACTCGAGCTCGAGGCCAGTCCTTGAAGAGGAACACTCGCTGAGTGAAGTTCACCCGCTGCGCCTGAGTGAAGAAATGCTGGTGAAACCTTTTCAAAGTCCGTGAATACGCCGCTCGGGAGATCTCACCAAGTTCACAGACGGAACCCGCAGTGGAACCTGAACTTGGGTCATCGAACGCGATCGCCGTGGCCGTACGCACCGCAGCATTCGTGAACATCGCAGTCTCGCCGAAACTCTCGCCCGCTCGATACGTGAACATCCTCGGACCCATGAGGTTCATGTCGGGCTTTTCACGGGTGGGGACGCCGGCTCGGGTTTTTGGGGCGACGGCGGTGAGGATACTCTGCTTCCGCCTCTGTTTATCTGTCTGCTGGGTGCGCTTGGCGCCGTAGATGCCGACACTGCCGTCGAGGACGAGGTAGAACACGTCGCCTTTGTCGCCTTGGTAGAAGATGGCCTCACCGTCCTGATACTGACTGAAGCGCAAGTACCGGAGCGCCTCACGCAGAGTGTTGTCGGCAACGCCTCGACAAGTTTTCGGCTGCGTGTGCCGAGCCCAAGCGAGCAGCAAATCCAACTCGGCGTACGAGAAGTTGGCCGCCATCCACTTGTCGTCGCCATTGAGGGGAGCTTTCCGCTCGTTGGCCAGCAATCGGCGCTTGGTTTCGGCTGCAAGTAACAATTGCCGAGCTTCTTCGTTCACGTCGACGCCCGCTGCGATCAACGCCTGCAAGTCGACTCGGTGTAGAGTGCTCTCCTTCCATCGACGGAATCCTCGGGCTTCATGACGCCGCATCCACAGCCCCAGAGCTGCCTGGAGGATCAACACGTTCTTCTCACCTCGTGGAAGATGCTCGGGTGAATTGATCGAGGCCGCGATGCCCTTGAGGAGATCCTCGAGGTGGTCGTCACTTGCCGCCAGCACATCCCTCGTCGACCTCGTGAACGCCGTAGCTGAGAGGTGTCTGGAACTCGTGCGACGAAGCAGACCACGACCACGACCTCCTCCGCCTTTGGTACTGTGCGACTGAGCGATGGACTGCTGGACGAGGAAGTACTCGCGGTTCTGGCCACGCTGCAGCAGGGACACTCGCGTTGGCTGCAACAAGGGTGGCAACGCTGAGGTTGAAGTACTCGTCACTGCGGCTGAACTCCCGGACTTGGCTACCGGGTCAACCTTCCGAGCTGAGGCTGGTGCAGCCATGCTCGAAGATGCCGCAGACTTGACTAACACGACCTAGGACAAGCACAACTGGTAAATTTAGCAGTAGCAGGACTTCGCATCCGAGGTGACGCACGTGAGGCGATTAATATGGACACTACTGCTGTGGGCGTTGAATTGGCTGCTTTATTTGAGAAGCTGATAAAATGAAGCGGGCGTGCTTTGATTCAAGCGCGCCAGCCAGCCGGCTAACTGCGTGTATATGTAGATAGTGAGCTCAGCTTGCCAATCCCCCACTCGCTAACTCTCCATTTAGTTGCGCGTGGCGTCGAAGGTCTCCTTGACCTTGTCCATGAAGTCCTCCGTGTACAGGTAGTGGTCCGGGGTCACGTTGGAGCCGTGGATGCAGATGGCCAGGTCCTTGGTCATGTGGCCAGCCTCCACCGTCTTGATCACGGCGTCCTCGAGGCCCAGAGAGAAGTCAATGAGCTCCTGGTTGCCGTCCAGCTTGCCGCGGTGGGCCAGGCCACGCGTCCAGGCGTAGATCGAGGCGATGGGGTTGGTGCTCGTCTTCTTGCCCTGTTGGTACTGGCGCCAGTGGCGCGTGACCGTGCCGTGGGCGGCCTCGGCCTCCACCGTCTTTCCATCGGGGGCCACCAGCACGGAGGTCATGAGGCCGAGCGAGCCGTAGCCCTGGGCCACGATGTCCGACTGCACGTCGCCGTCGTAGTTCTTGCAGGCCCAGACGAAGCCGCCGTCGCTCTTGAGCGCCTGGGCGACCATGTCGTCGATGAGGCGGTGCGTGTACGAGATGCCGGCGGCGTCGTACTTGGCCTTGAACTCGTTCTGGTACACCTCCTCGAAGATGTCCTTGAAGCGGCCGTCGTACTTCTTGAGGATCGTGTTCTTGGTCGACAGGTACAGGTCCTGGTTCTTGCTCAGCGCGAACGACAGGCACGACTTGGCGAAGCCGTAGATGCTCTCGTCCGTGTTGTACATGGCCAGACCCACGCCGGGGCCCTTGAAGTCGTACACCTCGAGCGTCGTCTTCTCGCTGCCGTCCGCGGGCGTGTACACGACCTCGAACTTGCCCGGGCCGGGCGCGATGAAGTCCGTGCTCTTGTACTGGTCGCCGAAGGCGTGGCGGCCCACGACGATGGGCTTCTTCCAGCCAGGCACGAGGCGCGGCACGTTGGAGATCACGATGGGCTCGCGGAAGACCGTGCCGTTGAGGATGTTGCGGATGGTGCCGTTGGGCGAGCGCCACATCTTCTTGAGCTTGAACTCCTCCACGCGCTGCTCGTCGGGCGTGATGGTGGCGCACTTGATGCCGACGTGGTGCTCCTGGATGGCGTGCGCGGCGTCGATGGTCACCTGGTCGTTGGTGGCGTCGCGGTGCGGCAGGCCCAGGTCGAAGTACTCGATGTCCAGGTCCAGGTACGGGTGGATGTACTTGTCCTTGATCTGGGACCAGATGACGCGCGTCATCTCATCGCCGTCCAGCTCCACGATGGGCTTGTGCACCTTGATCTTCTGGCTGGTGGCGAAGCCGCGGCGCGCCGGGGCGGCCATCGAGCGGACGGTCTTGGCAAACATGGCGAGGGGACGGAGGAGTCTTGGGGCTTCCGCTTCCGATTGGAGAGTGAGCGGCTCAGAGTCCAGGCTCCAGTCCAGGAAGGAAGCAGGGGGGGGGGGGCTCACCTGAGCCGCACGCTCGGCATCCAATCTTGTTTAGAGCGTCAGCGCCCCTTTTCTGGAGGTGATGTACGTCACACAAACACTTTCCGGTGCTGTGATTGGGCGATAGCGCGTGGTTGCCCTAGCCCTCTGAACTTATACGCGTTAAACAATGCTGCTTGGGGGGCAAGGGAAGCGGCGGTCTCGCTCTCGTTCACTTGATCCCTTCCCTTCCGTCGGCGAGTGAAGCGCAATTCTCCATCCTCCTCATGCATTTACATCTCACACGTGTCTGTATGTATCTCTCTCTGTCTCTGAGCTACTGGCCTACCACTTGCAATTGACGGCCCCCCTAGATGATCTGCGACTCGGGCTCCACGGGTGTGGTGGGCACCGAGCTCTCCACGGGGCTGCCGGGCGTCATGGGCGCGGGGGGAGGGCTGCCGGGGCTGCCCACGCTCTGTGGACTCCTCGGCGACGCCGACGCCGCCGAGCTCGAGGCCGGCGGGGTGTCCGAGCCGTTGGCCTTGGACGGAGACGCCTTCGAAGACGTCATCGAGCTCTTCTTCGACCCGGGAGACAGCGGCACGCCCTCGCCGTCGCCCGACTCCTCCGCGTACGCCTCCTCCACGAACTCCTCGTCCTCGTGGATCGTGTCCTGCTTGAAGTCGCCCGTCTCTTCGTCGAACTCCATGTCAGCCATCTCCGGCTTCCAGTCGCCCAGCCCCTGGTACGAGAAGCGGTCGAAGTGCTTCTGCTCGGACGGAGACGATGGCAGCGACACGGGCGAGTCCGGCATGATCTCCTCACGCGCCTCGCGCATCTTGGCGATGGCCCGGGACAGGTGGCTCTCGTCGGTCACGTCTTCCATGCGATGCGGAGGACGCGGCACTTCCATCTCCTTGTTCAGCAGCTTGTCCCAGTCGATCTCGGCAAAGAACGGGTGTTGCTTGATCTCCTCGACACCTTCGGGGCCGCAGCCGAGACGCTGCTCCGGGTCCTTTGTGAGCAGGCTCATGATCAGATCCTGCGCTTCCGGGGTGAAGCGGTCGCTGAATTCGGGCTCTTCCTTCAAAATCTTGTCGAAGAGAATGGTGGGTACGTTGTGACGGAACGGCGAGTCGCCCTGAATCATCTCGTACGCCAAGATACCCAGTGCCCACCAGTCCACGGCCTTGCCGTAGCCCTCCTTCATAATAAGCTCAGGCGCCAGGTACTCGCATGTGCCCACAAACGAGCTCGTCCGCTCGTTGTCATCCATCTCCTCCTTAGACAGACCGAAGTCCGTGCACGCCACGTTGCCGTCCGCAGTGATGACGATGTTTTCTAGTTTCAAATCGCGGTACAGAATGTTCGAGGCGTGCAGGTGCGCGATGGCGAGAAGAATCTCGGCCAGGTAGAACCGTGCACGCTTGATGCTGAAACGGCCACGGCGCCGCAGCACCTGACGCAGTGAACCGCCGCTGTAGTACTCCATAACCATGTACAGCTTGTCTTGGTTCTGGAATGCATACTTGAGCTGGACAATGTACGGGTGGTTGGCCTCCTGCAAGATGCGGCGCTCTGCCATTGTCTGCGTGACCAAATCCTTGTTCATCACCCACTCCTTCTTCAGCACCTTCATCGCGTACAGGTGACCAGCATCTGCGCCGTCCTTCTTCAGCACCAAAAGCACCTTGCCACATGCACCACGACCAATGACGGTGACGAGCTCGAAGTCGTTCACCGACATCTTGCCAGGCTTAGCGGAACCACTGAAGACGCTCTCCTTCTCGCCCGTGCGAACTGCACGCGGCCGCGACCAGTGAATAAGCGAAGGCAGTGCCCGGCATGTCAGACACAGCCGCACCTGGCCCTCATGGCGTGTGTTCTCAACTGACGAGCATTTCTCGCAGCATGGGTTCTGGCACGTGCGGCAATGCCGGCGCCAACGACGCATGTTGAAGGCGCCCTTGCACACGTAGCAAGCCTTCTCCATGCCGCTATTTACGTTCTTCACGCGGAAACCTGACCACCTTGCCTTGAAGCTTGCGTACACCGAGGAAACAACCACTTGCAGCAAGTCAACGTCCGAGTTCGCGCGGCCGCCCGAAAGCACCACACATCCCAGCGGCGTCTCCTTTGACTTCATACGCTTCAACGCCTGCACGCCTTCGGGTGATGACATGTAGGCGATACACCACTGAGCAATCATTTTCCGCAGCGTGTACGAATCGTCCGATGATATGTGGTGCGTAGACTGCACGAAAGCAACTCCACTGATGTGACGCTGCATCTCCTTCATGTGCGCTCTAAGCGCCTCCACCAACAAATTGCCACCATCCCGGTACGCAACAATGAACACGTGAGTGGCCCGTGACGTCAAGACGTGGTTCCGCCAGCCCGTCATAAACCGCTGCACTGCGCTTCTCATCTGTGTTAGCAAGAAACGGAAGAAAAAAAAACATCAGTCTCACAGCTCGTTATCATGGCTTCAAATAGTGCAGACAGACGTACATCAATTTCTCCCGACCGCATCGAGTCCTTGAAGATGTCGTCAAATAGTACAATGCCGAGCTTGTCTTCCTTGGCCTTCATAATATACGGGAGCATAGATCCCAAACTTCCTTTGAAGATGCCGCCGCCTTCCGAGCCTGAGCGCACGCACAGCCGAGCGCTCCAAATGCCCGCGGGGGAGCCATTGCTATCACCGATAAACACCACCAGTCGGTCCGAGAAGAGCGCCGTCCTCGAGAGGAACACGCTGCACTGGATCGTTTCGTCGTCCTACAAATCACAACGTCGCAATCCAAATCACCGTAAAAATGAGTACATGTAGCAATCTTGCAAGATTAGATCAGCCATTCACCTACATGGGACGTGGTGACCTCGTGGAACGTTTCCATAAGCGTCTGCATCTTGCCCTGCACGTTCTTCGTCGCTGCCTCCAACAATCCACCAGGAGGCGGCAGCGGCGGCTCCGGCGGCTCCACGTACGAGCTGCGGGAGCTCACGGCGGGCGACGGACTGCCGTCCGGGTCGTCCTCCCCAGGCGCCGAGTCCTCACGCGAGCGGTTGTAGTGGCTGCTGTCCAGGTCGTCGTTGAAGTCCTCGCTGTCCTCGCCCGTGCCGTGCTCCGAGTCCTCGCCCGTGGAGCTGGCGCTGCGGCTGAAGATGCTGAAGTTGGTGGTGAAGCTCAGCCCCACGCTCTTGCGCCGCACGGCCTCGCGGATGTTGCTCATGGCAGCCACGGGAGACTTCTTCATGGCGCGATGGGTGCTCTTATGCGCGTGTGCACAGCTGGAGAGAGCTTTTAGAGCTGCAGAGCGAGCGTCCTGCAGCGAATTCCGGGCGGATCTCGGCGCGGAGGGCGTCGGCGGGTGGCGGAGACGCCGCTGCTTCCGATGCGGTGCTGCTTGGCCTCGCCCCGCGCGTGGAACAGTCTGGGCGTCGCGTGCAAGGGCAGCGCTTCTTGGCGTCCGAGCGGGTGCGCGCCACCTTGCAGCTTCGTCTGTGGGGAGAGAGCTAAGAACGGCGGAGTCTTTGACTTGGTTTTAGTATGGTGAATAGGGCTAGGGCAATAAATCAGGAGTTAATTAAAGCACACGGGATTGGTTCAACCCCGTTAAGTTCGAAATCATGACTACATGTAGCCATCTACTGGACTCAAGCACTCGATGTGCAAGTTGACATGTGGTTGCAGTGATCAGCGTGATCGCCGCCAAGTAAAGTGAGCGCCCAGCTCTGAATTGATGAAACCATTGAATGGATGGCGACGTCGCCGTTCATTTAGAAGGAAGGAAAGGCATAAGTATATATTTATAGTGGTTGTTCGACCAGCGAAAGTGGAGGGGGATGTCGAAGGTACGGCAATCAAAACGTGTGTGCAAGCGAATTTCTTCACCCTGCCATCATCAACCTGGCCTTGTGGTGCAGCACGATCGAAAATCCAGCCCGATCGCTTTCATTTCTGCTCTAAGCGATATCTGGTGTCGCTCCAAGCCGCTGCTGCTGCCGGAACTTGGCCATCACGTCGACCCAGCGAGTGTAGACGCCGATTTGGGCAGACGCTAGCCCCAACGCGCCGAACAGTCCGTCACTCACGCGCAGTCCCGAGAGCCCCACAGATGCCACAGGCAGATCCAGCAGCTTCTTGATCGTCGACAGCGTACTGCCGCGCTGCATCATGCGGTCCAGGGGGAACGCCAGCAGAATGCTCATCAGCCAGAAGCCGTTGCAGCCCCGCCTCAGCCTCCGCATGAACGGATCTCGCGGTGACACGCCCAGCACGCGCGTCTTGAGCACTACGTAGTTCTCTGTCAGGTAGAAGAAGAAGAAGCACAAGATGCGCAGTCGCCGCAATACACGCACAGAGCGTAGCGGCTCTCGGACGTTGCGGTACAGGTCCGCCATCTCCAGGAACTGCAGGAAGCGGAAGAACCTGCGCGCGTCGCCAAATACCAGCTCTGCTCGGCCCAGCGACGCAACTACCCTCCTCCTCCAGTCCTCTGGGTCCCGCTTCTTCTGCTCAGACGATGGATCTGTAGCTGCTGTCTTAGATAGCTGGGTAGTATTACTGCTGGGGCCATTGGCTGCATCCATGTTGAGCTGCCAGTGCTGGATCAGTGCCCACTTGGTGAACTTGGAGCCATATTGAAGCAGGCGGTAGAGCTGGCTGCGGGTCTCTAATGCGTCAACCAAAGCACAGTAATAGGTAAGCATGCGGCGAGCGCTTGACCACTACCTGGTAGCAGCGCTACGCACCCGTCGTGGACAGGAAGAAGACGGCCTGCGCCAGCGCATCGTCATCGAACGTCATCGACCGAGCAGCTCACGTCGGGTTTACGAGATGACCGTGCTCGAGCTTCATCTTTGTGTGCTCATACACCAAATAGGGTCTTTTATGCATTGTACTCGAGTTTCATCCGTATGTGCTAGTACACCAGATTGTGTGCGCACACCAAAACGCCGCGGCCCACGATTCGAAGCCGGGAGCTGATGCAGCGGCGCACTATGGCGGGCAGCGGGCTGACCAAGAACCAGCGGCGGCGCCTGAAGAAGCGCGCGCAGAGGCAGGCGGAGGCGAACGGCGTCAAGACCGAACCCGTCGGTGCTGCCGCCGTTGCCAGCAGCAGCAGTAATGGCTCCTCTGGGCCGACGGAGGACGCGGCTCCGGACGTGGAGGTGGAGTACGTGAGCGCCGACCTGAGCAAGGAGCTGGCGCTGCCGCAGGACGACCCGGCCTACGAGGAGATGATGCGCGTGTTCGGCAAGTTCTCTTCTGCCGAGGAGCTCTGCGGCGCCACGGACAACGAGGTGCGTCCCCTGCCAAGAGCGCAGGATATCTATCTCTCCGTCCTAGTCGGGCCTACTCATGTATGTGTTTCTATTTATCTAGGACGGGAAGGACGACGAGAAGAAGGAGAAGGGTGAAGATGAAGGAGAAGACGGGCAGGAGGCGAAGGAGGACGAAGAGGAGCAGACGCTGTCCAAGAAGGCGCGCAAGAAGAGCAAGCGTCTGAGCGTCGCGGAGCTCAAGCAGCTCGTGGCGTACCCGGACGTGGTGGAGGCGCACGACGTCACGTCGGCCGACCCGCGTCTGCTCGTGTACCTGAAGTCGTATCGCAACACGGTGCCCGTGCCGCGCCACTGGTGCCACAAGCGTAAGTATCTTCAGGGCAAGCGCGGCATTGAGAAGCCGCCGTTCCAGCTGCCAGAGTTTATCGCCCAGACCGGCATTGCAGAGGTGAGGGATTCGGTGGCGGAGGACGACGAGAAGAAGAAGAACAAGCAGCGCGCGAGGGAACGCGTGCAGCCCAAGATGGGGCGCGTGGATATCGACTACCAGGTGCTGCACGACGCCTTCTTCCGCTTCCAGACCAAGCCCAAGCTGACCCAACTCGGCGATCTGTACGTTGCTATGTGTTGGTGTACTTGTGGGTGGGCTTCCCGTGTAAAAGTCTAACGGTGTTGGTATGATTTTGTACTGGCAGGTATTATGAAGGCAAGGAATTCGAGGTGAAGGTAAAGGCGAAGGTGCCGGGTCAGCTCTCCGACGAGCTTAAGGCAGCGCTGGGTATGGTGGAAGGCGTACCACCGCCGTGGCTGCTGAATGTACAGCGATATGGCCCGCCGCCCGCTTATCCTAACCTTAAGATCCCCGGCTTGAACGCCCCAATTCCGGAGGGTGCAAGCTTTGGCTATCACCCCGGCGGCTGGGGTAAACCGCCTGTGGACGAGAATGGTGTGCCGTTGTATGGTGACGTATTTGGCAAAGCGACTGAATCTGAGAACCAGGTAGGAAATATCGCGCGGTTGATTACAAGGCGGTGCTGGCGACTAACAACCGCTGTGCGGCAGGGCGAGGAAATTAATCGCGAGAGGTGGGGAGAGCTGGAGGAAGAAGAAGAAGGTTCGTTCAGTTGGCTAGGTCTGGTAGCTGTAAACTTTCATCGTCCTGATAATGATGTTGAACTTACGCAGAAGAAGAAGAGGATGAAGGCGAAGAGGAGCAGGAGGGAGCAGAAGGCGCGGATGAGGGCGATGCCGAGGCTGAGGGCCTTGATGCTACCGGTTTGGAAACTCCGCTCGTGGACGGCATCTCCAGCGTTGCATCGGGTCTTACTACGCCCGGTGTCGTGGATCTGCGCAAGGGCAGAGGAACCGAGACACCCGACGTTCCTCAGCAGCTTTACACCGTTCTGGAGCAGAAAGAGGTGCGTGTTTCGTCTCCACTCTTCTATCGTGTGCCATACTTACACATTGCTCCGTCATGCAGACATCAGTCGGTACGTCACTATACGGCTCGGGGCATGCTTATGTGGTCCCTGGTGGCGCCGAGTCGAGTGGCACGCGTACTGAGACCGGTCGGGTCCGACGTCGCTTCGAAGACGCGCCATCGTCCACCTCGGAGTCTGCTGATCCAGCAGCGGAAGACGAAGAGGAGGCCGCCAAGAAGAAAAAGAAGGCCAAGACCGAGAAGAGCAAGAAGCTCAAGGACTTCAAATTCTAAGTGTAGGTAGGTACCTCCCGAGCGTTCCGCAGTAGACAGCGACGTACAACACAACACAAAACTTTGACAACCACAACTGCTCGTGTATTCTGTAGCTCTGTCGGTCGTCTCGAACTCTCTCGGGTGCTGGCAGGTTAAATAGAAAGTCGACAGCCACGACCCCTGTACTCACAGTGGAGGGAGCCCCATGGCCTCGCGCAGCTCCATGATCTGCCGCCGCTCCACGGGCGGCAGCGACTGGATGATCTCGGGCGCCAAGTTCTGCACCTGCTCCAGCAGCTCCTGCTGCTCCGGGTCCAGCTTCTCCATCAAGTCGTTCGACACACCCTGCCACATACAAACACCAAGTAAGTAAGCACCCTCCACAGTAAATACAGCAGCAGCAGCAGCCAGCGTACGATGGTGTTGGCAGGCGCCGCGGCCGACGCCGTGCGCTCCTTGATCATGCCGAGGCGCAGTTGCGCCTGCGCGACGGCGCGCGCCAGCTCCGGGTGGTCCTGCAGCAGGCGCCTCGTCTCGACCGGGTCGCTCTCGTTGCACTGCTTGAGCTGGTACACGAGCTCGTACACCTCGGCGTCCGTCAGGTCCTTGACACTCGTCGCCTTGGCTTCCATTTTGACCGCAGTATGTAAGCTCGAATATGCCGCATCGAAGGTCTTGTTCGTCATGCCTGACTTAACATAGGTCATGTAACCTGTGTAAGTCACGTATATTTACGTACAGATGGTGTGCGTGTTAACCTTGATTGATGGGGCCTGCCCATCCCGCATTGACATTTCAGTGGCCACCGCGGATGCTGCGTGCTCAGTCGTCGCTCCGCCGCTCGCTGCTCGTCGTCGCTCGCCCCCGCCGCTTCAGTAGCAGCGCCGCCTCCCTCGCCGCCGACGCAGACTCCAAGCCCACGGACGAGATGAACGTGACGCGCCACAACTTCGCCAAGTGCCTGGCCGACCTGCAGAAGGACCTGGCGCTGCCCACGTGCCGCTTCGTGGCCATCGACACGGAGTTCACGGGCCTGTCGCCCAACGAGTTCGAGCGCGAGCAGTACCTGGACACGCTCGAGGAGCGCTACCGCAAGGTGAAGCGCGCGGGCGAGAGCTTCCTCGTCACGCAGTTCGGGCTCTCGACGGTGCACTTGGACCAGAAGGACCAGTTCCAGATCAAGACCTGGAACTTCTACGTGTTCCCGCGGCCCTACGGCTCGCTGGACGAGCGCTTCCTGTGCCAGGCCTCGAGTCTGCAGTTCCTGTCGGAGCACGGCTTCGACTTCAACAAGTTCATCGGCGACGGCATCCCCTTCGTCAACTTGGCCAAGACGCCGGTCATGAAGAAGCGCCTGCAGCGCCGCATTGATGGGCTTACGAAGGTGAACAAGAACCTGCAGCTCTCGGACGACGGCGTGGCCTTCCAGAAGGACGTGAACGAGCAGCTGGACCAGTGGATCGCCGGAGGAGCCAAGAAGGGCGAGAAGCTGCTCGTGCCCACCCGGAACTCCTTCTACTCGATGGTTGTGCACGAGACTGTGCGCTCCAAGGCGAGTTACCTGTACTCGGAGGCTGCCGAGGGCGGCGTGGAGGTGTCGTACGTGTCCAAGAAGATCAAGGAGGAGCTCATTGCGGCCAAGGTCAAGGACATGAGACGCGAGATGGACGAGGCCATCGGCTTCTCCAAGGTCATCGAGGCGCTGAGCGAGAGCAAGCTGCCTGTTGTCGGACACAACGCGCTGCTGGACTTTGTGTACGTGTTCCACCAGTTCTACAAGCCGCTGCCGGAGACGCTGGCGGAGTTCAAGACGCAGCTGCTGGGGCTGTTCCCCACCATCTACGACACCAAGCACGTGACGCTGCGCTCGCCTCTCGGTGACAAGCTCAAGTCCACGGGTCTGTCGTCTCTGTTCGAGTACATGCGCGAGAACGTCAAGCCTGAGCCCGAGAGCCTCATCCCCAGCGACGAGCACTTTGACACGTACCGCCAAGCGCTTAAGGCTGAGGCTGACGGCAACGAGAGCCTGCTGTGCCATGAGGCTGGTTTCGACGCCTTCATGACGGCTGTGTGCTTCCTGGGTCTGCTGGCTCACGACGCCAAGGGAGAGCTGCCCGACCAGCAGGTGCCGAAGGAGGGCAGCTCTGCTCGTCTTAAGGTCCGTCTGGAGGAGCTGGACAGCTTGAAGAACCAGCTGAACCTCATGATCTCGGACGAGAGCTTCCTCGACTTGGGCAACGTCTCCCAGACCATCGACCGCACCCGCGTGTACCGCGTGAGCAGCACGACCAAGCGACGGATCCAGCACGTGCGCATGGAGGACGTGTTCAAGTCGTCCAAGGTGCAGCGTATCGTGCGTGAGAGCGACCAGGACGCGTTCGTGGTGCTCACGGAGCCCGCCGAGGAGGTGAACGACGAGACCAAGGCCGAGCTGGGCGTGAACATCTCCACATACGACGAACACATGGCTGCCGAGGCCGAGAAGGCTCGTAAGGAGAAGGAGGAAGCCGACCGCAAGCTCTTCGAGAAGATCTCGGCTGCTCGTGCTTCAACATCAAGTGGCGAGACCGCGAGCGGTGACACCACTGCCGAGGGTCCGTCTGCCGTGTGGAATCGCTGCACCATTTCATAGAGCAGCAGAAGTAGCTAGAGAGGAGGAAGTTTGTTAGTCTTGCCTGTAAGCTGCTGCGCTCGGGGGACTCCAGCGACACAGCTTAGCTAGCAGCAGCGTTGTAGCAATAGATCGATCCCTTCTTGAGGTGGACGCTCTCCGTCACCGATTCTACTGGTCCATTGCTGCCGCATTTGCGTATCTCCCGGCGGCACCTCAAGTCCTTTTGGGCGTTTCGACTGCTGGCCCAGCAGACGCCGCTAGAAACCGTAGCGCATGGGCATGAGCATCGAGAGCGACAGCGAGCGCGGCGTGCGCGCGACCCCGGCGTCCACCGCTCGCAGCAAGTGCGAGGTGCAGCGCGCGGAGGTTCAGCGGCTGCGGGAACATTTGGACAAGGTCCGGGCGGGCGAAGACGACGAGGACGCGCTGCTTCTGGCGCTGGCACAGCCCCTGGGCACCACCGACCCGCTCTCGTGTCTGTGCTGCTGCAAGTTCCAGCGGATCGGACACAGCTACGTGAGTGAACAACCAATGCACTCACTTCAACTGAGTCTGACGTTGTTTGGTGCTCGATCAGATCCTGCATGAGCGCCGCGTGGTGGCTGACGGCGTCAATGTGGAGACCAAGCGGGTGATCGTCGGGCCGCACTGGATCGGCGTGTTGGTGACGCTGGGCATCATCTTGGTCTCGACCGGCATGTTCCTCTCTCAGCACGTGGAGACCATGCCATGGTACGACACGTTGATCACCTTCATGCTGTGCGGCATGACGCTCTACTACCTGTTCCAGACCACGTGCACGGACCCGGGCATTGTGCGTCCTCCGAGGAGGAACAAGGAGGTGTCAATGACGGAGGACGAGAGTGAAGCCGACTTGGAGGCGGGACGACAGTCGTCCGCGGACGAGTCGGTGGCCATGCAGCCTCCGCTCCCTGTGGAGGCCTTCGGGCCGCGCCGACGCGCGTCGCGCCGTCGGTTCTGCGATATCTGCGGCATCGAGCAGGACCGCTCCACTGATCACTGCGAGGACTGCGGCGTGTGCGTGGCCGGCTACGACCACCACTGTCCCTGGATGGGGAAGTGCATCGGCCGAGGCAACATGCACGCCTTCAAGATGTTCAACGTGTCGTGGGTGCTCTATGTGTGCTTTGTCCTGGTCGTGGCCATCACGAGTGTCGACTGGGGGCACGCTGCCGTTCAGACGCTGCAACGCACAGCGTCAGGGTCGTGGGCGCCGGTGCCACCACGAGGACCCTAGAGGCAGCTTTCAAGAGCCAAGACACAACCATAAGAAAACTAGAGCGTGAGATGTCTGCTTAATATATTAGGTTGGTGTTGGTTTACTTGGCCTCGCCGTTGGCGGCAGCCTGCTTCTTGTGCTTGTTTTTCTTGCGCTTCTTCTTCTGGGACGAACCCGAAGCAGCAGTGTCGTTGTTGTTGGGAGTGGAGGAGTTGGCAGGAGTATCGGCCGGCTTGGGCTTCTTCTTCTGCTCCTCCTTCTTGGCTGGAGGCGTCGTGGTCGCAGGCTCGTCGGCCTTGACCTTCTTCTCAGGGACGTTCTCCGAGTCGCTGGACGAGGGGGACACCTGAAAGGTTGAATGAAAACACAAAAGTCAGTACTTACGTTCAGGGGTGATAGATCTAGGACACGCATTGACATGGATGTTGCACAGTTATGACTCGTATGATTCCGACGGGAAAGACCACAAGAGCCTTTTACAGGCGCAATAGGCAGGCACCGCTTAAGTTGCCATCTCGCCGGAGCAAACCTTCCCCGAACGCCGCCGCCCTCCTTAACGCACCCCCGACTCCACTCCTCCCGCCATCGTTTCCGACAAGCAGTTAGGAGCAAAGAACAAAGGCACAGAGAGCAGCGAGCGTTGGATCGCAGCCGCGACCAGCATAAAAGGAGACAGCCACAGCGCCCAGCCCTACGCCCGCACGGAGACAGCCTTAAGGACCATGCGCGAGTATTGAGACGAGAAGAACTCTCGCCATAAAGGCATACACTTTCCTATCCCATCCGGTCTGGACCCCCGCGATATCGAGGAAAGGACCGCGGGGGTAATTTACAGATGGGGAATGGTCTACACAAATGAATGCATTGGCTCCAGGTACGCACCTCGTCCTTCTGCGTCTTCTTCTCCTCGCGAGCGCGCTTCTTGCTCTTCTTGTTGTTGTCGGCCTTAGCAGCCTCCACCTTGGGGGTCTCCTCCACCTCGAACAGGTCGGCGGGAGGGCCCGGCTGGAAGTAGCCCGTGAGGTTCACGGCGCCCGAGCCCTTGGCCAGGTAGAACTTGACCTTGTGGCCGAAAACCAGGTCCAGCTTGACCTGCAGCGGCTGCTTGCCGCCCAGGTGCGCCACGGCGCCCTTCCAGGCCTTGCCGTCGAGCTGTGGCGTCTCCAGGCCGAGCGCCACCTGCGCGTCGGCGCTGGCCACGCCGCTCGTGGCGTTGCACACGTTGAGCACGAAGCCCTCGGGCACGTCCACGACCGCCGCCTTGGTCTCCGTCACCTCGCAGCCCCAGAACGCCACCATCTTGTCTTGATACCCGAGCGGAGGAAGAATGACACGGACCAACGGCGAGGAGCTACGATATGAGGGACGTGGCTCGTTTTTGATACCCTTTAGAATGAGTGGTTAGGAGGATGGTGTGGTGTACACAGTGTGTGACGTGTGAACAAGTTGAAGTACTTTTGCCGGTGTTGCATGCACCCAAGCGCCGGTAAAGGCACCGAGGCGCCTCACAGCGCGGGAGAACGACGTATCCCAGCGAAAGGCAGACTGATGTGATATCACGCAAGTCTTCGATGTCCGCACGACTGACTCAACGTCTCTCTGGAAAGGGAACAGCGACTGACTCAACGTCTTCTCTGGGTGTGAGCAATGCGTGCGCTGCTGTGTATCGAGCCATACGCAGCATGCCCGAGTACTTGCATCTCGTGCGCGTCTTTGAAGGTGTCAACTATAGTAACGAGTATGAGCCTGACGGTGCGAGCTGAACCTTTCGAAGATATCCGACCAAGTACGGGCGACAGACCTGCTAGCCAACGTTCGAAGCTTGGCGCAGTGCTGTTGACAGCTCGTCAAGAGTAGTATCCCTCTTCAAGCTGCGTATCCTTCATCGGTGGCATGTCCAGATCATCATGGCGTGGGCGAAAAATTACTACTGACTTCGCTCACCTAACTTCTGTGCCCTAGCGGCTCGATTCCTTGCAAGCAGTCATCTTTCGCGCCGGTCTGACCAAAAGAGAGATGTACACATGTCGTTAGTCGCGGCCTCTCTTCAGTCGACCAAGTTCTTAGTAGACTGGCGCAAACAACAGGCGGATTCCAGCAGAGGCACGAAGGGGATGACTGTACCCAAGCGCATGCTTCCAGACTGGGTACTTGCGCTCTTGTCGATAACCATCTACCCGCAGTCTGGAGTTCATTCTCCAATTTGCACAGTGCACTCCACACTCCAGCGTCCAACCCAAGCTACCAAGCTTCACTCCACTCTACCATGAAGCTCGCCGCGCACCTCGTGTTTGCCGCCATCGCCGCTGCATCCGCGCACGCTGGCTACGGCGGTGGGGTGCCGTCAACTGCTGCTAGCAACGATACCGACAGCGGCAGTGACAGCGGCTGCCCCTCAATGTGCCCCGCTCTCCACGCTCCGGTCTGCGGCTCCGACGGAGTCACGTACTCGAATGCTTGTCGCTTGAGCGTCGCGAACTGCAACAGCCAAAGTGGAGCCATCACCCAAGTGCACGACGGAGCATGCTCCACGAGCGGCTCGACCTCCGAGACGTCCTCGTACGAGACGTCGACGGACAACAGCGAGAGCGACTCCTGCTCCAAGGCGTGCACCAAGATCTACATGCCGGTATGTGGCTCCGACGGCGTCACCTACGGCAACGACTGCATGTTTGGTGTCGCTCAGTGCAAGAGCGGCGGCACCATCACCAAGGTGTCCGATGGACAGTGTCCGGAGTCGTCGACGTCTTCGACTGGAAGCACCGGAACCGACTGCCCCGACGAGTGCATCGAGATCTGGAAGCCCGTGTGCGGCTCCGACGGCGTCACGTACGCCAACTCGTGCTTCCTGGGCGTCGCCACCTGCAAGGACCCGAGCGTCACCCAAGCCAGCGACGGCGCCTGCGTCGCGACTGAAGGCAGCAACCTGACGTCTGACCCGTCGGTGGACTCCAGTAACGAGGAGGGCAGCGCCGGCAGCGAGACTTACACGTCGTCGGGCTGCCCGGAAGTCTGCACCGCCATCTACTCGCCCGTGTGCGGCTCGGACGGCGTCACGTACGGCAACGAGTGCGAGTTGGGCGTTGCCAGCTGCAAGAACCCCAAGCAAAACATCAAGAAGGTGTCCGACGGGGCCTGCGCAGCCGACTGCAAGACCAACTTCTAAGGTGGTGCAAGTTGAGAATGACTTTGGCTGCCAACCTGGAAGCAAAATTGAGGCAAAAAGTAGCGGTGAAGTTGAAGTGCTAGCTACAAAATACAGTCAGTGATTCGTTGTAACCATCACACCCCTATTGGTTTTGCTGCTTTTCGAGCATCCTGCAACCCCAACGGCGGCACGCTAGGAATCTTCCGTTCTCCGCCATTGCGCTTCATGCTGGAAGTAGCGGTCTCTGTGACAGGTTCTTGCCATCTCTTCGAGCAGCGAACGACAGGCGGCTTTCCTCCGTTCCGGTGCCTCGAGGAGACGTACGTTTCCTTAGATCAAGCGAAATGGATGCAGGCACGTGCCTCGAGAATCTCGAGCCGAGATTATTTTGTCTTTCGGGCGCCTGTGCGCTGGCGGTTCCCGCTGCTGCTGCTGGTAAATCATTCTCCAACTTGCCAAGTGCAGTCAAGACCCGCAACTCACCAAGCCGTGTCAAGATGAAGCTCACTCTTCACCTCGCGCTCGGTTCCGTTGCTGTCGCAGTCGCTCACGCCGACGACTATTACCCACCGTCAAGCGGCAGTGGTAGCGAATGCTCCTTCGTGTGCTCGGATCTGCTTCAACCTGTCTGCGGCTCGGACGGGATGACGTACCCGAACGAGTGCTTCTTGAGCCTGGCGGACTGCAACAGCCCGGAGACCATCTCCAAAGCGTACGACGGAGCATGCTCGACGACTGAAACGACCTCCGATACGTCCTCCACTGCAAGTAGCAGTTATCCGACATGCTCCGACGTGTGCCCCATGATCTACAAGGCAGTTTGTGGATCGGACGGCGTGACGTACTCCAACGACTGCCTCCTCGGTGTCGCGCAGTGCCAGAGCGACGGTGCCATCACCAAGGTGTCCGATGGGGAATGCCCCGGGTCGTACCCCACAACCGGAAGCTCGGAAGCTGGTGAGGCTGGAAGCGAAAGCACTGGCTGCTCGGAGGTTTGCATTGAAATCTGGAGGCCCGTGTGTGGCTCTGACGGGGTCACGTACGCCAACTCGTGCTTCCTGGGTATTGAAACGTGCAAGAACCCGAGCATCACGCAAGTTAGTGAAGGACCCTGCCCAACAACCGGAGGAAGCTACGGATCTACCACCAACTCGACCGATTCGAGCGAAGAGAGCACGCCAGCTGACAGCGAGGCGTCTTCAGCATCGTCCTCTACGTCGTGCCCAGACGCTTGCACTGCCATCTACGCACCAGTTTGCGGCTCTGACGGTGTCACATACTCCAGCGAGTGTAAGCTTGATGTCGCTTGCTGCAAGAACCCGGAGCTTCACATCACCAAGGCGCATGATGGGGCCTGCTCAGTTGAGTGCAAGACGCAGCTCTAAACACTGAGGACGTAAGAAGATGACATTGCATAACGATATATCTCATCCGAAATCCATGTACAATTCCATGTACTCCCACTAAGCTTTCGTACGTCCTTTGCTAGCGAAGGCGGAGAAGCTCGGTAGCGTGCCTCGTTTTGCCTTTCGTACTTGAGTCTTGTGTTGCAGACGACGACGGCGATACGCAGCTTGTAAGCGCAACACGGCGGCGTACGCAACGCTCTCTCGGTACGTCTCGAAGACGCCGTGCTCTGGAGGAGTCGGCGACACCTTGTAGTGTCTGACGCTGTAGTAGTATTTCGTCTGCGTGTGGGTGTCAAGACACTCGACCCATTCATCTTGATCGAGCAAGTGCGCGTGGATCTTCTGCTTGCCTCGTCGTTCGAGCTCGAGTCTCATGGACACGTCCGCCGCCAGAACTTCAGCGATGATCTCCTTGACTACGCTTGGGATGTTCTTGGGCGATATGTGAGCGCCGTCGAAGTCTGGAGGACGCTCCAGCGTGATCGATTGGTACAGGCGGTTGTAGAAGTAGTCGATGCCGTCCTCCGTCTCGCAGCGGAACCAGATATTGTCCTTTGGCGTGCGCTTTGGAGGCGTCACGAGCTTTTGAACCGCGTCGTAGCCGTCGAATTCAGGCAAACAGTGCTCCACCATGTGCAGATACGCAGCACACGCTCCAGCCCAATCTCTCAAGCATGCGTAGGCTGGTAAATGGTGCCAACAACGGTGCTCACCTGGAGGAGCCAGCGCTGTTACGGTCCCAAGGAGATCGTAGACCCTGTCGAGGTTCGTCGCGCTCAACGCGTACGGCTTGGTGAATAGCCCTATTGGTTCGTTGTGGGACATCCACTCCCAGCCGCTGGAGTGAGCGTCGATGTTCTTGACGATCCAGAGCCCCCAACATGCGCGCCACATATCTTCATCGTTAATGTTAGGCGCTAATGGGACGTCAAACAGCAGCAGCACAGCCTTAACTACAGCCACCACAGCCTTGTGTGGAGGCATATCCCAAGACAACGGATCGAGGAATTGCTTCTTCGGCTGCTCCTGGAGAGCGATGATGCAGTCGTCGACACGAGATACTGTCATCAACATTTAGTTAGGTTATCAGCACAACTGTCACAATGTGGAGAGAGTTTTTCAAGTTCGTACCGATGTTAGACGCGTCCACGAAGCCCCAGTCCGGGTCCAGGTAGTGCATCTTAGCGCCGATGTCACGAAGTAGTAGCGATATCAACGCTTCATCGTCCGTGTCTTCGTGGTCTGCTATCAGATTCAGCAGACGGTCGTAGACTGCACGCTGTGCATCATTTTCGTGGCAATCCTTCTCAAATGAACGCCTCCAAGCATAAAACACCAGCTCATGGGCGTGGTCTGGCTGGTGCTGTGCATCTGCCTCGCCAACAATCGACTCAGTTTCCATAGCTTGAGCTGCGAAGACAGAAAACCCAAAAGGTAGAGCACTAGTACGGGTAGGATGGGATAGATAGATGTATTCTTGGCTAGTCCTGCGCAACGCTCAAAGTGGTCAACGTACTTGCGTGTGGAACAGGCTGGGAGCTGAGGGCCATGGCTGGCGGCGCAAACAGGCAGGATCGATCAGCCTGCGTGTCTGGGCTTGCTCCACGGGCTCCAGCTAGCTAGCTTCGGCAACTTCGTATCTCCATTTCCATTCTCCTCTCTCTAGTTCACCACAACTCGAGCCCCGGAGCCGTTGTCATTGCCCGTGGCATACGCGCCGATGGTTGCAACGAGAGCTCGAGCCTTCAGCAGCATTTCATCGTATTCGTCGTCACTATCCGAGAGGGCGACAATGGCCCCACCAGCACCGAGCGTCACACTGTTGGGAGTCGCGATAGCTGTGCGGATGATGATGTTCAAGTCGCAGCTACCGTCGAGTGACAGGAAGCCCAGGCCGCCGGAGTATACACCACGTGGGGCCCGCTCGAGTTCACGGATAATGTGCATCGTGCGCTTCTTCGGAGCGCCAGTCATGGAGCCACCGGGGAACGTGGCGCGCAACACATCCACAACATCCACGTCCTCGCCCCGCTGAGCACGAACGGTAGTCACGAGCTGGTGCACGGTGGCGTACGTCTCGACGCCCATAAGACGCGGCACGTGCACGGATCCGACGCGCGCTACAACGCCGAAGTCATTGCGCACGAGGTCGGCGATCATCATGTTCTCGGCTCGGTCTTTCTCGCAGCTCGCAAGCTCTTCGGCAATGGTGGCGTCCTCCTTAGGGTCACGGCCGCGAGGACGTGTTCCCTTAATGGGCTTGGACTCCATCCAGCCGTCCGCATCCACCCTCAAGAACCTCTCGGGCGACGAACAGCACAGCGCGTAGGTGTCCTCCATTGCAGCAGGTTCCTTCGAGCTCTTCACCTCCTCTGGAGTCTGGAAGCGGTTTTTGGGGTTGCTCAGGTAAAAGCCAGCGAACGGAGCGGGGTTTCGTCGACGCAGCATACGGTAGAATGCCAACGGATCGCGGAGAGCGTATTCCGCGCGCAAGTGGTTCGTCAAGCACACTTCATAAGTCTCGCCAGCGCGGATCAGGCGTTGGATCTCCTCGATGTCGGCGACGTATTGCGCGCGGCTCCGTGACGGACGGAAAATCACTTCATCTGCTCCAGGCGTGACGCTGTTCGGAAGGGATGAACTGGCGCTTGACTTGTGCTTGAAAGCCTCGGCAAGCTGCTGCAACTTGGCCTTGATGGCGTCGTGCCATTGCTGACTCACGCGCTTGCTCTCGTCATTGTTTTCGCTGACGGAGAGCGAATAGATAACGCCATCGCGGTGGTCAAACACCAACGTCCGATCGGCAAATACGAATGAGGCATCCGGAGCGCGCTCTCCCTCGACGCCAAACTTGTCGTTGAACTGCTCCTTGCCTTCTTGTTCGCTTCCCAGCACTTCATAGCCAAAGTACCCCACGAATCCACCGCGGAAGGCGAAAGGCAGCTCCTTCTCATCTTGAACCACGACGTCATGACAGCGATGAGCTTGCATCACTTCTCGCACGTGAGCTAGGATGTCTTGTCCTGGATAAATATCAACCTTCTCGTCCTCTGCATCAGCCTGACGACGACGAATACGAAGCTCCATCTTGGCAACGTCATACTCCACGCAGTAGCCCAGGGGCCCGCTGTCGTCGCCCATCATCGAGCATCGCGACTGGAGCGCAGCGTCGGAGCCAGCAACAGTGTTGTGGTTACTGCTGTCCAGCCAGAACGATCGCTTCGAGGCTCCGAAGAGTTCACCAAACACGAACTCGGCGAAGTCCAACGACGCCAGTGCACTCGAAACACGCTCAACTTGAACACGGTAGCTATACTCCGCCGTAGACTGGCCAATAGAGCCCTCCGACACTGTCTTAGTGGCGGTCTTCTCCGGGTGGTTGCTGTGGTGCAGCTCGCATTTGGAGGCGCATTGGCCGAGCGTCACATCCCGGAAGTTCTGGAAGAGTTGGTAGCCGAACTCGCTGCACACTGCCTCGGGGTGGAACTGCACGCCGAACTGCTGCTTGGAGCGGTGTCGCACCGCCATAATAACGCCGTCCTCGGTCTGCGCAGTCACCTCCAGCTCCTGTGGCACGTTCTCCGGGTCAATGACCAGCGAGTGGTAGCGCACCACCTCGAAGCCATTGGGGACGTGGGCGAGCAGCGCCTTGTCGCCCTCCTGGAAGAACACGCGGCTGGTGCGGCCGTGCATGACCTCCTTGGCCTCCACCACCTGACCCCCATAGACCTGGGCCAGTCCCTGGTGGCCCAGACACACGCCCAGCACGGGCACCGCCGCGTGGCGGATGGCGTCCGCGCACATGCCGAAGTCCTTGGGCTCCGCGGGGTGGCCCGGGCCGGGCGAGATGACCACGTTGAGCTCCAAGTCCACGCCCTGCTGTGCTGCGATTGCACTGCTTTGGGCCACGAAATGGTCCCACGCGGCCGCGAATTGGCCGCCGAAGTCGTCGTTGCGGATCACGACGACGCTGGTCGGAGACCCGTTGACCTGCGCCAGCATCTGCGAGATGTTGTACGTGTACGAGTCATAGTTGTCGATGAGCAGAGACGCCACGCGGCGAGGCTTCTTGGCCGAGATCGAGGGCCGCTCGGCCGCCGCAGCCGCGGGCACGTCGTCCATGGACGCCACCATTGAGAGCCTTACTGAAGTATTTAACGGAGCTGCTGGAGGAATGCAACGTACGGTACAGTTCCCGCTACGTCAGACTTGGGGGATTAACCAATGGGGGCGCGCCATTTGATTGGCGAGGAGCAGGGTGCAGTTTTTGAGGTACATGCTGGCCCATGCATGGATACACTTGCTGGCTATAAAACTATGGTATTGTACCTACGCCGGCGGACTAACACTACGCGTCGACGTCCTCCTCGCTGCGGTTCTTGTTGCGGTTACGGCGTCGCCGCTTGAGCTGGCTCTTGGACAGCTTCACCTCGCCGTCGTCTTCGTCGTCCCCGCCGTTGCGGGCCTTGCCGGGCTTCTGCTTGATGCGCTTGCGTTGGAACGAGCTGGGCAGCGGGATGTCGTCCTCGCCGATGGCCTCGCGCTTGCGCTTGCCGATGCGCACGAGCTCCACCTCGAAGAAGAGCGTCGAGTTGGGCGGGATCTTGTCGCCCTTGCCGCTCTCGCCGTAGCCGAGCTCGGGCGGGATCGTCAGCAGACGCACGCCACCAGACCGCATCGTGCCCAGACCCTCCTCCCATCCAGCGATGACCGAGCCCGTGCCGTACGTCGTCGTGAGCATACCCTTGCCGAACACGAGTCCGTCCTGTCCGAGACGTCCTCGATACTTGACCGTGAGCATTTCGCCAGCCACCGGCAGCTTGCCCTGACCAATGCGCTTGTCCTGGAGGATCAGGCTGCTCTTGGTGGTCACTTCACTGCCCAAGTTCTCCTCGTAGGCCGAGGCCAGCACCTCGCGCGCCTTCATCTCCTGCTCCTGCTCCTTGGTGTGCTGCTCCGCCTGCTCCATGGCCTCCTGCTTCTTCTCCTTCTTCTTCTGCTTCTCCTTTTTGCGCTTCTCGCGCTTGAGCTCCGCCTGCTTCTCCTCCTTCTGCTCGTCGTCCAGCTCCTCCTCCTGCTCCTGCTTCTTCTGCTTCTTCTCCTGCCTCTCCTTCCTCGCGGCCTCCTGCTGCTCGATGGCCTGCTGCTCCTTGAGCCGCTGCTCCTCCTCGTGGCGCTTCTTGGCCTCCTCGGCCTCCTTGAGCGCCGCCTCGGCCGCCTCCTTGGCGCCCAGGCCCTGCTTCTTGAGCTTGGCCTTGCGCTTCTTGAGCTGCGCGCGACTGAGGCCGCGCACGGGCTCCTCGTGCGTCTGCTCGTGGGCCAGGTCGCCCTCCTCCATGTGGTCCTTGGAGCACAACTGCGCGAACAGGTCGCCCTCCTCCGTCGAGTGCCACGGGTGGTCCACGCCCCACGTCTTGTCGGCGCGGCCGTAGCCGCCCACGCTCACGCGCATGTCCGCGGCGAAGCGGCCCGTGCGCGCGCCGCCCAAAGAGCGCACGCCCTTGTTGGCCACGATGGACGAGTCGCTGGCCACCACGATCTCCTCGGCCTCGTTGCCGCGCCGCTTGTCGCGGCGACGCATGAGCACCATGGTTGCTGCGGTCCGGTCTCAATTAATTGACTACTGCAGCGTATGCGCTGGCTGGCTGGGAAGTTACGAACATAGAGACGGGCTCTGATTGGCGGAGAGACCAAATCGAAGTTTCCCATAATTTTTATTGGTCATTTTGGATTTGGCGTTTTGTGCTGCGACTGCGGGTTCTGGGTCGGCCGCCACGCCACCAACTCGGCTGATACCACTCCTCTCGTCGAGTGAGTCGTGTGTGCGTCTTGCATGTACAGTCATATGCGCGAGCGACTTACTGCATCTGGAGCAGCAAGGAACGTAAGCGGTGCGTGACCCGCGACGGTAAGACGTTGTATTGAAGCCGTATCCAGTCTGCCTCAGCAGATAGCATGCAAGTGTTGTTCTGCCGCACATAGGAGCGGAGGAGGTGGCGCATGTTGGTGTGTGGTGTGTGTGCGTGAGTGAGTGTTGTGTGTGTGTGGGGGGGGGGCTTGCAACGAAATCCTGCATGCCCGTAGTTTGACGAACGCTTCAAAGCACTGGCGGTGCTGCACTGCCTAGAAGAAAATTGAATACCAAGTGTATCACCAGCAATGGCAAAACGCGACCACCCCTAGAATAAGAAAATATGCCTGAACTATTGGCAAAAGCGTGGCAGACCACACCCAAGCACCGTCCCTTGTCAATTGAAATCGAAGTAATATTTCCACGTAACTAACTAAACAACCAAAACAATTTTTTAAACTACTTAAAAAAGATTGACTTAGAACAATTAAGCTACAATTATAAAATCATTGCGTACTTATTATGATAGGCATAATTGAAATTAATTATAAATACACATATGATAAATCAATTATGGGTACCCCAAAATAATATAAGGTACTCGTACTAAATCTGCAATAGATACATTTCAGTTTTTCACAACCGCTAGCGTATTGCTACATCTCATACTAAGATCAACGCAGGTGTTTAATTTTGTGACCGGGACGTATGCTTGTCGTGTGGGGCGAGCGAGGTTGCTGCAGATGTAGTGGTTGATGCCGTTAGCAACGGCGCCTGCCAGCGAGTTATGTGTGGCAACGTGAATGTCACACGTGGCAAGCACAAACGGTTGGGCATGAGCTTCTCGTCAATCCACGGGTACGGCATGTATGCCTGTGAGCCCATCGCGGCCAACGACTTCGTGTACGAGTACACCGGCGCAATGCTATCGCAGGACGAGGCCGAGCGGCGAGGTCTCATTTATGACAAGATGGAGATGAGCTACTTGTTCGACTTGAACGAGGACGCGGTGCTGGACGCGCTTCGCAGCGGAAACAAGAGCAAGTTCATCAACCACGACGGAGAGACACCGAACTGCACTGCGAAGGTGGTGAGTGTGTGTGGTGTGCACCACATCAGTATATGGGCGCTGCGCGACATCGCCGTCAGCGAGGAGTTGGTTTTCGACTACGGCTACAAGCGAAGCGTCGGTCCAGGTTGGAGTCAGCGTCGGGCAGCGTCGAAGGATACCAGCTAAGGTACGTGCGTGCCGGTTGTCATCCGCACCCGAGATGTCACATATTCTTCAGGTACATATGGTATGTGCGGTAGCATCGTCGAAAAACATAACCGTTCCGTCACGCTGCTACTGACCGATTAAACACGTTGACTATTCCAAACCAGGTATTGTCGAGACCCAAGCAAATACACAAGATCAACCATACTTCTGCTCGCAACTGCCAAGAATGCGCCGATCTCGTCTTCAAAATCTTATTCTTGAGCCACGCGTTCTTCATCATCATGTCACGGGATATTTTCGACCAGCAACATAATCACAATGGGGACTATGGCGGGGTCACATAGCACCTTTCACAGAGGGGCTGCTTACGGTTATTCCTCCCAAGGTGGACAACAGTTCACCGGTTCCCGACCTCAACGGGAACGGTTTGCTACAAACGAGTAGGTTATAAGACTGACTGTATTTTGTAGGGGGTAAACTTTGCGTCAATACAGAAAACACGTGAACTTTACGAAAACCCACATAGCTCAAATAGTTGGGCGACAGAGCTACTCGTACCATGTAACATGTACTTGGGAGAGGGGCATCTCTCACTATTCATGTAAAGAGCACTCTTGATTGGAACCCCATTACAGGAACAGAGTGAACATTTTCTAAAGGGTTGTCGGGTATTTTTGGAGGAGCCATCAAGAAGCAATCGTTCACATACAATGATATATTTCAATTGAGCGCTACCATGCGTTTTGAGTTTGGGAACAACGAGTATGGAACAACGTTGATTGGGATGGATGAAACTCTACCTTCATCCTAATGTCTTAATACGTCCTTCTTGGGGTTTTGAATCCCATGACTATCGTGTTAGCTGCAAAATGCGTCAAATATTCATAAGATTGTACTCAACGTCCAGAATAAAGGTAAGATGTCACAAATTCATGAGTGAACAGCATATTGCCCCAAGTGTACTTCTGATGTACGCAATGGTTACTGACTGTCGATATCACCATTATAGTCCCTTAATAAGAACGTTATTGAGTGAAGAGGAAGCATGAAGCTTTAAAGGCCTCCTACCGGAAGCAGAGTTGCGTTAAGAATGGAATTATGCATTCACTTATCCGTGGTACACTACTAATGAGTTGTAGTTTTCATCAGTGTTTTTGGTTTTCTAATTAGCATCGAGCTATACTATGAATCTTTCAACACCCGGGCTTACGTATGATTTGATGTTGACCCAGGCACTGCTGTTCGGTCTGCCCCGATGTTGTCTTGGAGTCTGCAGCGTGCTGCGACGGTCACGAAGAGGCGTACAGGGAGATTTATGTATACGTAGTAGTGTGGTGTAGCGGAATCTGCACCATCTGCGCGATTGCCAATCCAACCTCCCAACTGCCGACTAACGGAGAGATTCTTCGGTGATCTGTGATCTGTGCTTAACTGGTTCACCTTGTGTACCCGTCGGTAGAGCTGGAGCTTGCTTCGTTGGTGTCTTCTGAAGTGCTCCCGCCTTGAAGGAGATTCGTCCTGAGCGAAACGCGGGGATGTGGATGGAGCAGCGCGCAAATCTTCATTCTGCGCGCGGTCGCTAGTTCTGATACAGTGTTGTCGAGTTGGATTTGCCGACCTGGATCTCCGTCCAGCCGTAGGGTGGCCATGTGGGGTAGCGTATTCCTTTCCTTCGCCTCGACAGAACCTCCTTTCTTGTACTTACCGCTTATTATAGCAGGATCCACAGAGGGGGGGCATCGCTCCATCGATTACTGCTGTCTACGTTTTCTGAGATCCTGCTTCTCCACTTTAGTGCGATTAGTAAATATTTCAGACCTGCGCCAGCCTGTGACTGTGTAGTGTGCACATAGTGAGCACGTGAATCGGGGTCTATAGATATCGAATTACATATACATAGAAACTGCAAACATGGCAAAAACTGCTCGGGAAGGATACCGTCCTACTAACTACCTTTTTGTATATCTGCTGGCCACAATCTCGTGTGCTTGTCTTTGATACGGGTTTATTTCTATCCGTGTAACAGGTGTTCCAATCAAGAGTGCTCTTTACATGAATAGTGAGAGATGCCCCTCTCCCAAGTACATGTTACATGGTACGAGTAGCCCTGTCGCCCAACTATTTGAGCTGTGTGGGTTTTCGTAAAGTTCACGTGTTTTCTGTATTGACGCAAAGTTTACCCCCTACAAAATACAGTCAGTCTTATAACCTACTCGTTTGTAGCAAACCGTTCCCGTTGAGGTCGGGAACCGGTGAACTGTTGTCCACCTTGGGAGGAATAACCGTAAGCAGCCCCTCTGTGAAAGGTGCTATGTGACCCCGCCATAGTCCCCATTGTGATTATGTTGCTGGTCGAAAATATCCCGTGACATGATGATGAAGAACGCGTGGCTCAAGAATAAGATTTTGAAGACGAGATCGGCGCATTCTTGGCAGTTGCGAGCAGAAGTATGGTTGATCTTGTGTATTTGCTTGGGTCTCGACAATACCTGGTTTGGAATAGTCAACGTGTTTAATCGGTCAGTAGCAGCGTGACGGAACGGTTATGTTTTTCGACGATGCTACCGCACATACCATATGTACCTGAAGAATATGTGACATCTCGGGTGCGGATGACAACCGGCACGCACGTACCTTAGCTGGTATCCTTCGACGCTGCCCGACGCTGACTCCAACCTGGACCGACGCTTCGCTTGTAGCCGTAGTCGAAAACCAACTCCTCGCTGACGGCGATGTCGCGCAGCGCCCATATACTGATGTGGTGCACACCACACACACTCACCACCTTCGCAGTGCAGTTCGGTGTCTCTCCGTCGTGGTTGATGAACTTGCTCTTGTTTCCGCTGCGAAGCGCGTCCAGCACCGCGTCCTCGTTCAAGTCGAACAAGTAGCTCATCTCCATCTTGTCATAAATGAGACCTCGCCGCTCGGCCTCGTCCTGCGATAGCATTGCGCCGGTGTACTCGTACACGAAGTCGTTGGCCGCGATGGGCTCACAGGCATACATGCCGTACCCGTGGATTGACGAGAAGCTCATGCCCAACCGTTTGTGCTTGCCACGTGTGACATTCACGTTGCCACACATAACTCGCTGGCAGGCGCCGTTGCTAACGGCATCAACCACTACATCTGCAGCAACCTCGCTCGCCCCACACGTCAAACAAACGTCCGGATCACACTCGCGTAGTGCGGCGAAACATGGACACTTAGTTGTCCGGCACTCACCAAGCGCACATGCACACCCTTCAAACCTGCGTATAACCAACGAAAACACCGAGTTAGCGCTTTGGGTCGTCTCCATGAAGCACGCAAGTACGCTGTTCTGTTTCTCGACCGACAAGGCTTTGATAACCGCACTACAGCCTGACAGCACCCACCTATTGGGACAGTCCCGTGAACACGCACATGCCTTTTCGCACATGTGATCTCTCTTAATGCAAGAGCACGCAGCCGAGTCGCACATGCCGTCGTGCAAGCACGGCTTGTACTCATGGTTCTCCGTGCCGCGATCTTGTAGGCGCTGGTTGCGAGTCCTCTGCAACAGTTCATGGTTGCTCCCACCCGACCTCCGCCCGTTTGTCCAACTCCGTGACCGACGACTCGATCGCCCATCCGGCACTGCGCCCTCGTCGCTCACTCGCTCCTTCATGATAAATTCGTGCAGCTCAGTGCACGAGGCCGAGCCGATGACCGCCGCCAACAAGCACGAGTTGTCACCCATTGTCTCGCGCAGCTTACCCACCACACCCATCTCCGCTGCAGATAACGCTGGTCGCTTGTCACTGTCGTCAGAGATGCCGTTCTTCCAGCACAGATTGCTACAGACGCTGCTCTTGGAAAGGAACTGCTGCATCTTCGTTGCTACCACCGGCACATGCGAGTCGTCGACGAACTCAGATGGGTCAGCAAAGACCTTCTTTCGTTGCTGTCGGTCACCACTCATATCTACGTCACTGCTCCTGCAGTGTGCACTCTGCGCCGTGACAGCGCCTTGTGCATTGCTGCGCATACCCGCCGCTCGCCCCGCCTCCGCCTCGGTGCTTGGATCGGTGCCCAAGCAAACCACTTCATCCTCCGATAAATCCAACAGATTGGCCTCGACAACTCGCGCAATAGGTGTTGCCCCCGGCCTAAGCTGAGGGTACACAGGATCGACACGCCTGGCTGGTAAGGGGTGGTCTCCGCCGTGCTCGTGGCAGGCGTAGTTGTAGCACATCCGGCAGAACGAGCCGCAGTAGACGTCCACAAGGTCGGCGTAGTTGTCCATCGATCGCAAACCCAGTGCGGCCATGCCCGCGGTCGCGCCATCAACGAGGCAGTCCACCAGGCTTGATTCGAGAGTACCAATCGGCGGCTGCAAACGCCGGCTCAAAACTTTCTTGCGGCTGCACTTTGACAGTGACGCCTGCTCCATCAAGTTCACAATAGCCGCAACGTCCGGGTCTAACGCCTGCAATCCATCGCGCTTCAGCTTCTCAACCTGGTCGATCCTAGTGCTCGCTCGCTGCCGCGAGTCATGCAACTTTTTCAGTTCGCAGTAGGCTGTGTACGCCTGGGAGAAATCCAGCTCACTTTTGAGGGCCTGAAACACCTGCTCCGAGTCGCCGAGACGGCCCACCACCAGCCGTAACACATACTCCATCACCTCTTCGTCAGCCAGGCTTCCAACTCTCACAGCATACTTCCTCGCAGCTTCGCCGCCTCCATCTCCACTGTTTCGTCTTGTGATAGCTGTGTAGCGCAGGATCGGATCGTCATCGACTCGATAATTTTCACGTACTCCGATGCTCGTCGTATACTTCCGCAGGGGCCGAACCTCATTGATCCGGTTGATTTGAATCAGCGACGACACTGATTTTTCACGCACGAACCCGTCACCACGACCGATTTGAAACGAAACACTCCCAGCGCTCAGACTGCACGAATGCTGCGTGCCCTTGAGCTGCTTCACGGCATACTTTTCAGCAGCCTTGCGGGGTAGAGCATGAGCTGTCACTGTAACATGAAAACAAAAGTAGAAAACCATGTCAGATTAATATGCCATAGCCACAACGACATCGATGCAATACCCGTACCATCCTGTTCACGAAGCGCACGCCTATGCTTCATCAATGCTGTCCGATACGCACAGAGTTTTTGACGAGCCTCCGTCAAGATTGCTTGCATCTTTCGTTTGTGGCAGCTGCGGATGATGGGGAGATGCGCGGCCACTAGGGCGCCCACTGCACGAGTAACTTCACTCTGCGGTTTGGCCACCTCGCTTGGAAACACGGATGAAATACACTGTGTAGGCTTGCCGAAGCTTTCGAGAATTGCGCACTGGGATGCCAGCGTATCCGTTCCGTCTATACATGGCAACGTTGCAGATGCTCGTTAGCGCAGCGATAGCAGAAGGCAACAAGCGCAATTTTACCGTACCATAAAATGTGAGCGGGTGGTCGCATCTAGAATCGAACGCGGCACTGCGTAGTGGAAGGATATTCGTCGGTGCCTTCTCCAGATAGATTCCTCGATATGAAGTAGGGTGAATCAGCATGCTGGCGAGGCGAGGTTCAGCAGCAGCTGAGTCCATCTCGGCGACAATGAGGTGTTGATTCTTCATCTGGCTCTCCTCCGAGAAAGCCGTGCTGTTCGTGCCCGAGTGTTCCTCGACGCTGATAACATCGGGCTCCGTCTTCGTCTTCAGTGCACTAGACCTTGCAGGGCGGGCTTGACCTTTCGTCTGCTTGTGATACGACCGAATCAAAGCCAACTCTCGCTCTTGAGCTTGCAGATCATTCAGCGCAACACGATCCGTATCGAAGTACGTGTTGGCTGGACCCCGTCGCTTCTTCCTCGGTGACGGCGACGGCGACGAGAGATCCTGTGCAGATGTTGGTCGTGGTGACGCCTCGTTTACAGAGACAGACTTGCGACAGCGGTATCGACCAAAAGCGTCCATCTCTCCTTCACGTACTCGGGCCGAGGACAAAGTTGCCGCGGTTTTCCTCGATGGTAATGGTTTTGGCATTGGGGCAGGTGGTGCACGCAGTCCGGCGGTCAAAGATGCTGCGGACTTTCTTGATGGCAGCGGTCTCGGCGACGAGGCAGGCGAGGACTCAGTAGACGACGAGGATGAAGATGCCATCGACAGGTCAGAACTCTGCGCCGCTATCGCAGGCTTTGCATAGGAGCCTCGATGCAGCACGCCTTTCATCACAGGTTTCTTGAAATTTGTCGCTTTCTTCGTCAACTCGTGCTGGGGAAGTCTACCTCGCTTCTCACTCTGCCGTTGCATGTGCGGCAGTACACGCTTGCGCTTGCCTTGACGCGGCGCTACCACCACCACACCCGTCGGCTTCTTAACTGCTTGCGACGGGAGTAGCGGACGGCTTGCTGCCGCCTTCTTCCTTGCTGGTTGCAGGGACGAATGGACTGGACGTTTACCCAGCACACGATTGTTCAGCACTAGCCGCTTCTTCCCGCTCTTCACGGACGAAATCGACGACTCGTCACCAGACGACGTTAGAGATGACAGCGAGGACGATCGAGCTCGCCCACCAGCCGAAGAATCCGACATACTCGACGACGACGACGACGACGATGACGACATGAGGTCCACGACGTCCACCGGCTTCGGTGTTGCTGTTGGAGCTCGCGATCTCTCACGCTCTCGCCTTCGGCTGCTTGCTCCCTCGAGTCTCCGCCTCCTCTCGACCGAGTCAGCTGTAGGCTTCGGACGTCGGAGCGCGTTGCTGGCGCGTTGTAGCCGACGACGACCCGCCTCCGAACGTGAACTGAAACTAGAATCTGAGTCCGAGCTTAGACTCGAGATCGAGCTCGGGCTGCTGGGTGGATATCTGGCCCGAGACCCCTTAGCGGGCCGTTGCCTCTGCCTGCTTTGAGCACGTCCAGCCGTCTGCTTCTGTTGGACTGCAGGTTGCGGCTGGTTTGCACGGGGTTTCTTGGTCTTAACCGACAGCAGAGGGGGCGCAGGCTTCACCCTCTTCTGCTTCTTCGTTATCATCGTCTCTTTCTTCTTCTGGCTAGCGGACCCTTGCGTCTCGAAGGCTGCAGCCATCGCGAGCGCCGCCTCCACCGCGTCCGCGTAGCCGACAGACTGCACGCGGCCTGCGGGGGACGCCGCGGGGCTCGTAGCGGCGGACGCAGGCGCCGTCCCGCCCCCGCACGACGCGTCGCTGTCGCTCAGCACGATCACCTCCGCCATCCGCTGGGTGGAAGAGAATGGGTGACGATTGGGCAGATTTCTTCCGCGTCATACTGTGCACTGCCAGAATTGTGCCACTTCAACTATACCGAAGTTGGAATCAAGCATAAGGTTTTAGCTCGAGACGAGAGGGAGATAAGACGTGGGTTGGTGGCGGGTCCGACGTGATCTTATGCTATGAGCTCCAACGTGGTGAAGGCGCTAAACGAGGCCGCAGTATTTTGGTGGGTCTGTCCGTCAATCGCACTTCACTTCCCTACACTACGCTATTTCGCTGCGTCCTGCCACCTCCTGAGCTGCCACGGATCACCAGTATGTCGAGAAAATCGCTCTTGGTAGTGCCCACCGCCTCGGACGAACGTGTCGAGGCCTCGCCTGACCAGGACGACGATGACCCTGTTCAAGCTGTCGAGACCGACGACCAGTTGGACATCGCTCTACGAGTATCGACCGATGGTCAAGTCGTATCGACAGCCCCTGAAGCCCCCTCTCATGACCAATCTACTTCTGCTGCAAATGACAGTGGTGATCGCGATCAACAAACGAGTCCACAAGTTGAGCCGGCGCCGGACAGCGCCGTTCCTGTCGCCCCAAGTAAAAATTTGGGAGTGTCGTTGACATTGGGGGCAGATTCCAAGCGCGTGAAGAATTACCGAGCTCTGGCGTCTAGCTTCAAGTACCTGCAGCCGTTCTGTCGCAACACCGACGGCAAATACCCCGCGAAGACTGTTTGTGTGCTGTGTGCCACTGGGAAACCAACGTCTGTGTTTTTCCCGTGCCAGCACTTGTGTGTCTGCAACAAGTGCATCGACGGCAATGACATGTCGCCGGAGTTTTCAATGGACCTCGACCGGTGGTATGCTACTCTGCATTTACCCCAGTCTATACGCTAACTTACCGTTTTCTAGTGTGTGCCCAGTCTGCAGAGCCGACATTCGCCTTATCCTTTCTCACACAGGCACCGAAGAGGAAACATACTGGAATTGGCTCCAGGAAGCTGAGCCACCACTGCCTGTTGAGTTCAAGAGGGGCTTCAAAAATGCCGCCAGGAGACTGAGCGATAGCTCCGTGGTATTGAGGAGAACTTCAACTGTCGGATCGCTAACTGCTCGTTCGTTTGAGGGTTCGAACAAGAACTCAGCACGCCGAAAATCCTGGGCGTCTACGATGGCAATGGAGGAGTCTGCACACAAGATAGCGGCGTCAAGGAAGCCGGAAGCGTGCGCGATCCTATAACTCCGCCTTATCTCTCACCAGAGATGGCACTTCAAGCTTAGGTAGCTTTGAGGCACTTGAGGCAAGCCGCGGGCAGAGGAAGATGGTAGCCTTGGAGCTAGTTTATTTTTGAGCTTAGATCAACGCACCCAATATTTGTCGCGAAGGAGATTATTATGATGCTGTCAAACGGAACCGTGATATTTATTTTGGTTTGCTCTTGTACCACGTTCGCTGGCAGATGCCTCAGCGCTACGTCACTTCGGCACTCCTCTTGGCAAGCACAATCGACTCGATCGCTTAATTTTACTTCACTTCACGTATGGCTCGTAGGTCAATCACGTCGGCATCTGTGGTTCCTACCACTTCAGATGAGAATACTGAAAACTTGCCAGGCAAAGCCACCGACGACCCCGTTCAGATCCAAGAGCAGGTTGACCAAGTTATCGTTGCTGTGCAAGAAAACCAATCAACTCCAGTCGCTGCAACTTTTTCACCTTCGGTTCCCAATAACGATGAATTGGCGGCACAGCAGCCTATGACGGGTAACCCGGTAAAACCACACAGTCCACTCCCTACCTCGAAAAGCGTTCACCACCATGGACACGTGAACGTTAAGCGTGTGAAGAACTATCGCGCTCTGGCGAACAGCTTCAAACACTTGCAACCATTTGCGCGAGATCCTGACGGGAACTATCCCGTCAAAACCATTTGCGTCTTGTGCTCGGTGTTTAAACCCACTTCGGTGTTCTTCCCATGCCAGCACATGTGCGTCTGCAACAAGTGCATCACATCGAACGACATGTCCCCAGATTTCTCCATGAACCTCGAACGCTGGTAAGTGGCCACCCAATAGCCTAAAACGTTTCCAGACTTGCCACTAACCTTCCTTTCTCTTCTCAGCGTGTGCCCAGTCTGTAGAGTCAACATCCGCATCATTCTTCCACACACGGGCAACGAGGAGGAGAAGTACTGGAACTGGGTACTGTCAACCAAACCAACTCTGCCCTCGGGGTTCATGAAGAGCTTCAAAAGCGCCGGCAAAAGACTCAGCGAGGATTCGGTCGCAGAAAGCAGAGTGTCAGCCATTGAATCGACCACCCCCCAGGCGTCAACTGACACGGCCAGACCCATCCAGCGGATATCGCGACCTAGTCGTGGGAGTACCTGGGGGGAGCGACTAAATTAGGTCAAATCGCAAACTTGGTCAAGGCCAAATCTTGAAGATAGATCACGGATAGGTCACACATTTGGCTATTAGGTCACGTACGTGAAGCTGCTAGAACAAGCTTTAGCGCCCCAGCATCACCCAAGTCGTTCCCTTCATTACTACGGTAAAGTATAACATGCCAAGTAGCTATTTCTGGCCGTTGTATCTCGTTCTCCTGGTCGTCGTGGGCAATCTCGATTTGCCCCAACTTCGCGTCCGACTCGTCGAAGCAGTCGCGCGACGAGTGACGTTCTTGAAAGAGAGCTGTCCGACGCCATCTTGGCTTCCCAAGAGTTACGGGCAGGAACACAGGCGCCGACGTCGCGTTTAACACGCCGAAACAACCACGCATCGAGTGACGTCCCTGATAGCGAGGTGACCGCAGCCGTCGTGACTCGGCATGGACTTCTGATGGGGATTCGCGATACTGAACCAGACACACCTGAGCTGGTAGGCATCCCACGACCAGCGCTATCCATGCCACTGTCCAATGTGGACACTCAGACCTCGACGAGTGTGTCACGTTCGCAACAAGCGTCCAAGCCTCGGGACGGAAGTACAAAACTGTACTATCAGGGGTACTCTTTTGTTCGAGCTAACGGAACTTCAAACAAGATATCGTATCGCTGCAGCTCATATCGTTCCCCCTGCCCTGCGCAGTTTGCATTCTACGCGAGTACGATGGCGTTTGACTTCAGCAGCATGGAGGCTCATACATGCCGTGCTGGTCCTATTCTCCGAGGAGCAACGGTGAACCCAGGCGATCACGCCATAGATGCTTCGAACGACATCATGGAGGAGGTCGACAAACTTGCTACTCAAACGACTCTCACTCAGAGGCAAATATGGATGGCTATTGTGGACAAGTTCTACATGAACGATGGGGCTCCGGTTCGCGGCGTATCGGAGAAAACCGTCAAAAACCGTGTGCAAGAAGCTTGGGGCCACGATTCCAGTCACGGCCGAGCCAGTATCATGACGAACCCCCGACTGACCAAGATTAAAGGATCGCACCAAGGCTTCTTCCAGTTTCAGTATGCCTGGCACGATGACGTCAAGGCGCTGAAGAAGCCGCCAAAGGATGCAAATGGCATCGATCAGATAACTGCGTGGGCTAATCCTACACTTTTAATTTTGCTTTGCTTCGAAAACTTGTCGTAGTTACGTTTAGATGTGCCCCCGTCGACTATAAGCAGTGTGTCACAATTATGATCTATGATCTTTCCAGCAAGCTGTTTCTCCCTGTTCTGCATGCGGCAACTACATCTATGACGAGAAAATCCTACGTCCGACTGCTGCAATGTGTACAAGATGCTGTGGGGAGCAAACTGGTTCCGAAAGTGTGGTGTGTGACTTTGAGAGTTCACTGATTGGAGCACTTTGCGAGTTCGTTCCTGACGTCACCATTATCGGGTGCCTGTTTCATTTTAAACAGGCATGCCGTCGCAAGATGAAAAGCATTGGGCTACCGTTGGTGAAATCAAGGTTGCTATGTCGCGTAATGTCTTTGACATACTTACCGTCATTGATCCCACCAAAATTGCTGTGCAGGGAATCGCTTGGGTGAAGGCCAAGATTTGCAGCGTGTGTGAGGTGAAAGGTCTGGAGTACTCTCGCAGCAAGTGGCGAACGTTTTGGAGCTACTTTCAGCGGACTTGGTTGGAGACATACCCGCCGGAATACTAGAATGTGCTCGGCATGAGGCGTGACATCATCAGCCGGACGAACAACCCATTAGAGCGATTTCACCGTGAACTAAACAAGCGGTTTAATGCTCATCCGCCCATGAAAACCTTCGTGACTTCGCTAGAGAACCTTGCTCGCGAGTACGTTGCGCAACGGACGACTGTCATCTCAGGCTTAGCCAAGCCACCTGAGCGTACAGGATTCGTCCTACCAAGACAGCCAAAGCTGCCAGAGGTGAGCGACATCGTCGACTCGCCAGCCAGCAGCGACGGTGAGGGTGAAATTGTCGATGCTGACGCGGACTCGGAACCATACAGCAGCGCTATGTCCTCGACGGGTGACGAGAACGTGGAACCCGGCGAGTACATTCAGCCGGATCACTCCTTCGAGTACGACGGCGAGACGTAGAGAGCCTCCGACACCTACATCACGGACGCGACCGCGCAGTATGAAGAGGGCAGTGAGCATAACACATAATACATCTCATTCATTACGTACGTGACCAACTGTAATTAGGTCACGTGACCTAACGACGTGACCAACTATGCCATTTGACCTAATTTATCGGTTACCGATCCTGTGAATTCCGTCGTCGAAATCTGGGAATCCGCATTGTGTTTTGGCCACACGTTGAACAAACCAAACCATGAATCGTGCAAGGAATTGGTTTGCTCGTAAACTACGCAGATTTCCGAACCAAAATTACCGCAGCTGGAACGAAGTTAAACCGAACCTTGGTTCCCGCTGTTTTCAGCGAACCGATAAAACCCCAGGAACCTGGTTCTCGAGGTTTTATGGTCTCGTGTGTGCAGTTACATTGAGTCGCGAGCACACTTGAAACGAACGAACATGCTCATACTTCGCGGTCACCATTGGCCAAAACACAGGTTGCTTTGAGCCGAGACACCGGTCGCTGGAGCAGCCCACGGAGCCCAAGATGCTGCATGCAATGGCAGCTTTGACGGGTATGCGTAGCCCAATTGACCAACTATGCTTGCAGTCGGAGGCATCGGACCATCAAGACTCAACCCCACAGTCGCAAGAGCAGAATGCAGACTACTATCATTCAGAACACCAGCTTGTACATCGTCGACGCGTCATGCTGCAGGAGGAGCTCATGGTAGCGGGTCACCTAGTGCTTGAAGATATTTAGAGCGCACTTGCCCATGCCGAACCCGCGCACAGCAACATGCGGCCGACATGGAGCGGCGTATGGAGCGCTTCATGAGCTCCACATGCGGGACACTCGCTGACGTGGAGACACGACTACAAAACCAGCTTGAAGATGCGCTAAGAGCGACGCAGTCAGTGGTAATGACAGCAGCTACGGATGCGGCTCGCTCTCACATCGCTTACGCTGACGAAGTAGTGGGGCGTGTACACTCGCAGCTTGAAGCGACCTTAGAAAGTTACGACGCCCATGCTCGTGCTGCTCAAGAATATTCTGGCGCAGCGCAGCTGCAAGCCTGTCAAGCTCACTTCAGCGAGACTATAGATTCCACCCGTCATTGGCTTGAAGAATCCGTGTCCTGCCAGACCAGGGCCAGCATCGATGGCACTAAGGTACTTCTCGAGGAGGAAATTGCGACCGAACGTGAACATACAATAGATCGTATTACGCAACTGGAGACTCGTATGCAGCTCAAACTAGATGAAGCGGTGACGGCTTTGGCTGAGTCTTGTGCTGCAGTAGCAATTAGGGCGAAGGCAGACACGGAGGGCCTCGTGAACGTTGTTGGTGACAAAATTCAAGCGTGTGAAACTCACCTTCACAACGTAGTTGACGAAGAAGTCGCAGAAGTGGAGAAACGGATGCGGCTCTCACTTGATGATGCCCTGAAAGCAGTCGAGCTTCAAACTTCTGACCGATTGAGGGTGACAGAGGCAAGACTTAATGAAAATATGCACGCCTTTCAGCTTCGCGCTCAGCATGATTTACAAAGTGGCATTGGCTCCAGACTGGAGCTTCATTTGAACGATCTTCTTCAGGCTTCTACTGCTCAGCTCTCGACCGATACTACGAAGCAGGTTGTCGCCGAACTGTTACACTCAGAGGCATGCATCTTGCATACGCAAAACAATCACCATCAACAGATCCAGGTGACTCAGGCAGATGCCATGAAGCAACTTGAGGCGCGCTTAATGGCAGCCTTGCATAATTCGAGATCGACTGATGCCGCGAAAACGAATAAATCCATGAAGGCAATGGAAGAGCGGCTGGATAATCGGATGAGCACGTTCATTTCGAGCGCAGTGGCAAACTAGCTGCTTAAGGCAAGCAACATCCTAGAAGTTACCAACAATCCCGCCGACGACAATCTTCAAGTGGCTAATGGTACCGGAGCCAACGCCGTTGGTTCAACTTCAGCAGGTGCGCCAGTCAGAACCTCCAGCTTGCCACAGCGACACGGGCGTGATATTAGTTCTATTGCACTAGCTACCGCTCCAACTGAAGCATCAATGGAGCGTTCGGATGGGGCTGTCCTCACCGCTGATAACCGCACTGAGAAATGCGAATCGTTCTCGTCAGAGGAGAGATGCCGGGGCCGTGAGCACACTAGGAAGCAATCGCGAGCTACGGCTGCTAAACCAGCTCTGGTAGCCCCGAAACAAGAGGCTCATCCGCGACACAAAACAAATCGATCAGCTCTCGAATGTGCTCGTGCCGACGCGATGCGGGCATTAACTACAAGAATTGAAGCACGGGTCAACGAATGCCGTAAGAAAGCAAGCAGAAATGGCGCTCCGCGACGTTAGCCATCGCCGATGTAGGATAATGCTTTGACAGAAGTAAGGAACAGAGTTCGCCTAGAATGATAGCTTTCACATCTCTTTAATGCAGCAGTATACCAATGTGAAGGAGAGATGTATATTCAATGTTACTGTGCGTTGAGGCAACTGGGTTGTCTTAGAGCTTAGTCGAAATATGCGCAGAGAAAGAGCTGACCAAGGCCAGCTGCCAGTCGCTCTCGAACATTTCCATCGCCGTTTGAGGGTCAAGGTTCACCGTGACGTTTGCAGGAACGGATTCTCGTGCTTCCTCCGCTGTCAGCTTTGAGCACTGCGTTACATCAATGAATTCCCTGTTCCGATTCAGGAAGGAGCACATGTCAATGTTCTCTGAGGACAGTGATGCTCGCTGCACAGTAACCATTTGACCGCTGATTCCGAAGTCGCGTTCAATTTGAGCGGACGATGCAGAAACGGCAAAAACGATCCGAGCCGCGCTTGGTAAGAATCTGTAGGTGCCGGACTCCTGTTGACGCTTCCAAACGTGCAGCACCGACTCTGGGCCTTTGGCTGTTGCCTGAAGAAGTGACGGATCGCGAAACCAGCGCTCCAGTTCTTCATCCATGACCTCTTCGTGAAGTAGTTGTGGAGTAGCTGGCTCTGCGGCAATGGTACGGATATTGAAGAGCTCCGATAGATCGTCCGAGAAGGCATCGGAGACATATCCTGGTATCTGCTGCGGCGAGATGTTGATCTGCTCGGTGCAAGGTGGCGCTAGATCTCGCATGATAGACCTCAGCTTCTGCTTCACAGTAGGCTTCACGACTGACTGGTTGCGCCGAATGACATCGTCATCCAGCCGGCGCAGCTTGCCGCAGGTTTTCACCATCTCCATCAACGCGCCGTCGGGTTGTTTGAGATTCGGATGAAGCAGCATTTGCATCTCCCACACGTACGAGCACGTTCGCATCACTTCGCGGTCAGTGTAGCGCGAAAAAAAGCGAGCGTGGAAAGCGTCACTCAGCAACTCTCGGGTCTTGACCACAAGCGGCATGAGGGTACTGTGGTGATACGAAGTCGGGTTCTCTCGCATAGCATCATACTTGCGTATTGATGCCTCGGGGCCAAGTGTCGTGACGATAACCTTGTACGCAGAGACGAGAACGTCGACTTGATTCGGTTTTTCTGCCGAGCGCTGAAATCGGCAGCATCAGTGAGAGTAGCTGCTCCATAAGCAACTTGTCTCCTGCCAAAGGAAACGGAGACGGAGGTGCCGATTTGTCTCTATCCGCCGTGCGTGCACGTTCTTCATACCACAGGCAAAGTACGTTCCAATGCTTCACAATGCGCTCAAAGACGCGCGTAAGGCTCATGAAGCGATGCGGCTTATAGTCAATCAGCTTCTTCTCCTTTCCGACGCCAAGGAGGCGGACAAGCTGCTCGTACAAGTCGCCCATGACCTCCACTGTGCGGACTTGGTAGACAGTTTGCGTCACCTTCTTCAGCAGCTGAAGTATCTCGGGGTTCTTGGACTTTGCTACATTGCTCGTCATCCCAAACGCTGCTTTAGTTGCCGCGTTGGTTAGGTGAGGCATGCACCACTCCCATGAGAGCATCAGGTTCGATGTCATCATGGGCTGAACGTCTGGACCACCGTCCGTAGTCGCGCCGAAGAGGTCTGCAACAGTAAGTCCAAAATCCGCGAGAATTTGAATGATCCACCGCTTAAAAGGTCCGCGAATTCCACCATCACGCTCACCGTAGAGAGATTGAAAGTGTCGCGTTCCTAGCAAGACGGAGACGAGCTTGAAGTCTGCAGTGACGCAGTACAGTCGAAGTCCAAGAAACTTCGTGCACGAGCTCTTTGCCTTCCAAACGTCAGCGACCATCACTAAACACTTCACACCTGGGATGCGGTTGTCGATAATGAAGCGAATCAATTCGCGCTTAGCCGATACGTAGAGCTCGATCACAGCGTGGGTAATTGTTCTGCGATTCGCCACGGCTTGAAAGCTGTCTTTGGTGACGATGGCTCTCAAAATCCTCGATTCCTCCCACTCACCCATGATAAACGGTAGGTTGTTGTGTATCACGAGCAGTGTGTGAAGAAGCAAGCTGATACGCTCACAGCTTTCTTGGTTTTGGGCAGCCGCTCGGATTCGAGCTACGATCTCGTCCCTGGTTCGCTTGCGTGAATCCTCCAGCGCAGACTTACATGAAGTAACATGGTGGAGTTCTTTTAGGTGCTTCGTTGCGCGCGATGTCTTCCCACCGTACAATACATGAACACTTTCGTTGGAACGGCAGTGCTCGCTTGCGGGACAGATCCAGCCGCACACAGTCAGGTCACTTACGTGTCGAACACGTCCCCCCACTTGTAGATGAACGACCGCTCTGTGGGACCTTGAGCAACGAGCTCAAACCCAGCTTTTGCTTGGTAATTACTCACAGCAAATGCAACTTCGGCAGGGACACCAGATGCGAGGAGAGGCTGGGGCGTCGGAAGCTTTGGAACGGGATATTGGGGCACCCTGTTCGGTTGGGGCGGGGATATCCCTGTCGGGTCTGTCGTTTCGCCATGCCAAGGCCGGTGGCAATCGGTTGATGCCGGAAACTGCGCCATGCGTGTTATTCGAGCAAAGGTAGCTGGATTCACTGGTAAAGGCGGCACCGGTGCCGGCAGAACCGAATGCACTCGGTTTGACGCTTCAGGCGTTGGATTTGGCCCGCCGCCCAAGACACCAAAATGTTCATGGATCGTTGGCGACGAATGGCTGGCGATCGGCGATCGTAGATCGTGTCCGATCGCCGAAGCGCTACTTGGTACGGCCGATTGCATCGAAGGCAGCAAGCGCCGTCGTTGAGCGGGTGGACCTTCTACTGAAGGTTGCGGGACGATCGTTCTCCCTGGATTCTCTCCAACTTGTGTCGGTGGCGATTCAGATGGAGTTGATGGTTCAAAGTCGCCGTCCTCGTCGGAAGTGTCTTCACGACCGCTGAACCAGCGTTGCATTGGTGAAGGTGCCGTAGTGTAGCGGTGGGGTTGGCTGTAGCTTGTCGATGTGGGTACCAGTGATGAAATCACGAAGTGAGAATCCAAACGCCGAGTGAACGCTTGCCCTTCGTCGCCTTCCAGCCATGGCTAGATAGCAGTGTTTGCCTCTAAGTCCTCGCGCGTGGCCTTTCAGCAGTAACAGGCGCGCGATCGTGTCGACAGCCTCGAAAGGCGCTCACACACTAGCGAAAGGCGATGGGTGCGGCTCTTAGTGAAACACCACTACTGTATTATCTTCCAATAGCAAGCCTGAAACACGATCTTTCGCTTGAACTGCCATGAACTTTGCTGACATCAGCATCTCCCAAACAAAGCTAAAAAACCTGAACTATCCAAGCGGCTTCCCGAGTTCGCTAGGTTTTTCAAAGGAAGATGAAAAACGGCCATTCCAGGTTCGTACGAAAGGATTTTCGTAACTGCGAACTGGAATTGAGACGTTTCGTGCTTCGGGTTACAGGAGTTCGTTCCAGCTGAGAAAATTACCGCTTTCGCTGGTTTGTGGTCAGATCCTTCCAGCTTTCAAACCATGAGCGGGGGTTCGGAGTTACGTAGCGTTACAGGTTTGGAGTTACTGAGAATTTCTTCGGCGCTCATTGGCTACAAAAGGCTATACAAATATATCACACACTTTCGTAAAGGGCCGCATTTGTTGAAATAGATTCTCGGGCTGTAGAATACCTAAGTACGTCGTTAAGATAAAGAATTGAATTCCGAGCCACAATTAATAATTAATGAGCACCTTAAGATGCACAAGAGTTTGGCACAGATTTTGAAGTTGCTCGAAGTGAGCTACGACAAGCCCGCATAATATTAGACTGCGTGTGAGACTAGAGGTTATCTTTAAAACACGACCAACTTTCCGGGCATACAGCGTTGTTAACACTGTAGCCGTGAATTACCGCTGCTAAGCAACAATTGGATACTTAACAGGCTAAGCGTATGCAAACAACGCGTCTAGTTATTTTTTACAGGTATATAGAACATTTCATCAATTAAATCCATTTACTTCTTGTGGTCATCAAGTTAAAATCATGTTGAGCATTATTTTTTCTCGCGAGCAGCATTGCAGAGAACTTGGTGACTCCCGTGAATTCTAGTTTTCGTGTAAATTGAAGCTGGAAATTCTTGTTGCGCGTGCCAAGCGCCAGGGGAGGCAGCATCGTAAACAGCTATTGCTAGTTTTGATCCTTAGCCCGCGCAAAATAGGACGGCAGTTGCCCCTATGCTTTCATGAAACCAACGCGGGCCATCCAACAACACAAAATTTAGCCAGTTCATTTCGCCGTCACTGACAAAATATCTACTGGCACACGCCTTAACGGAGTATTATGCGAGCTAATGTGACTCGGCTTTAAATTCCATACCCCTACTGTACACAGCAGAACTTACTATGAAAAAAATGTTTACGAACAAATTTCTTACCAACAAATGAGAACTCATAACGTCCTCCTACCAATTCATTACTTCCTCCTTCCTTAATGCTACTGGAGCCACCACAAAGCAGTATTACATGTAATCGTATCCTAAGGTTTTTGATTCACGGGTACAGATTAAACTAAAATGCCGCAGACAATTAGAAACTATGATGACGCTTCTGGAAGATGAGTGCAAGAGCAATATGGACAATCGAGTTCAACGTAGCTCTGAACATCAATAAGTTATGCTACCTGCCAGCGTCTTCAAGAGTGTCTGCACGAATTCCCAGCTTCATCACGCCTGCACCGTTTTGTCGCGGCCCACCCTTGGTTGTTTGCTATACGCAGGCGCACTCTCTTAACAAGCGCCGAGGGAGCTGTCCAAGCACCACCCAGCGCTTCTGACTTCTCAATCTTGGACGTCAACCATACATTACGTCTCTCGTAGCTCCGTAGTCACAACGTTTTTCTTATCGAGAAGTCACTAACCTGTAACAAGGATAATTTTTACTGTTCAATAAATTAATGCACTGTATACTAAGGAAACTTATGCAGATAGCCTATTTATCCCGAGCTTGCAGTAGCCAATTTGTGAACGCGACCTAACGTATCGGCGGAACTTAAGGAAGCTTTAGAGACGGAACCACTTCGTCTTGAAAGTGCAAACAGAAGCAGGCCATCGGTGTGCGCACAAACTTCGTCGTTGCTCACGCAGACGAACACCAGCCTCTTTTGATCTTTCTTCTTGGAGAAGACCATGACGTACCTGTGAGCATATTTGAAGTGGCGTTTACTATGAGGGGGAGCGATTGAAGAGCAATGCCCAAACAGTTAAAGCTGCAGTATTACATGGATGTAATGAACGCCAAGGCCGCCGCCAAGACGATCACGTAGCCCCACACGTGGCTCGTGGAGCCTGCTCGCCGCGTCGTCGCCGCCGCCATCTCGAGCAGTTCGGTGCTTGGTTTGGAGTTACAAAATGAAACGCGTTTAAACCATGAAACCGATCCAAACCTGGTTTGCTGGTAATTTTGGTTTGGTTTGAACTGGCCGAGGTTTGGTTTGGTTTGGTTTGTTCTGGGTGTGGTTTTGGCAAGATCGATGACTCAGACGCCGTGCGTGCGACCAGACTGCGACGAAGTTTGCCATCTTTGGATCCCCATTAATAGCAAAGTTGCTAATGAACTGGTTCTTCAGCAACTTGTACTATGATGCCTCGCTCACTTTAACATTGTCCTGATCTCCACACCACTTCGCCCGGCAAGAAGCTCTGACTTTGGCATGTCTCGGAAGTCATTCACGTCTGCAACCGTGGTGCCAACCGCGTGTGAAGATGAAAACTTGTCGGGCACTACCATCGACTGTAATGCGGTACCAAACAAAGAAGAAGTGGTCGCTACTCCTGAGCCCCTCGTCCACGCGGAAGCTGAGGTAGCCCCTCAACTTGCAGATGGAAACCAAGACAGCACGACAGAAGCATCCACTACTCCAGACACCGACGAGTCTCCAAAGCAGCAATCATCTCCTCCAAAGCCTTTCCCACTTCCCATTTCGCACGGTACCGGAATGCCACACAACGTGGAGCTGACTGACCGAGGTGGATTTAAGCTCGTGAACAACTACAGAGCACTCGCAACCACTTTCAAGCATCTTCAGCCTTTCGCTCGATGTCCGGACGGCTCGTATTCCTCCGAAATCACTTGTGTGTTGTGCAACGAATCGAAGCCAACATCCGTCTTCTTCCCGTGTCAGCACATGTGTGTCTGCAACACCTGCATCAGCACGAACGACATGTCACCGGAGTGTTCCCTGAATCTGGAGCGATGGTAAGCCTTGGTGCATCAATTGCGTTGTTTGTGCGACGCTAACCGCTCTTGCATCCCCAGCGTGTGTCCAGTCTGCTCAGCAGACATCGGTCTCATCCTGCCACACACAGGCAACGAGGAGGACGCGTACTGGAAGTGGGTACTCGCAACCAAGCCACGTTTGCCGTCACAGTTCACGAAGAATTTCAAGAACGCCGTCCAGATGATAAGCGACAACTCGGTATTGGAGAGGCGAGTTTCGACTATTGGGGCGATCACCCCATCCGACCCGACAAGAAAGCTCAAGCTTCAAAGGAGCCCAATCGCCGACGTTCTTGGGAGCCTTCAAACGCCAGAAGACGATCTGCATATAAGCTCGACGCTGGGAGAAAACGGGAGAGCTGCTTGATCTTGTAGCCACGGAGGTCCGCTGCCAAATGCTGGCTGCGTTTCGTACGAGGAATAAAGCCAAGCTCGAACTTGTTGAGACTTCCATTTCCAGCTTCCAAGCGTATTTCTTTCACTAAGCGAAAGAAAGATAAAGCCTGCAATTTCACAGCCGGATTTTTTGCTCGAGTAAACTGGTAAACTTAACTGATGCGACCATCAAGTTCGTTGCTCGGGATCAACTTGGCTTCGCTTCGCTTCATGGCCAAAATAACTCGACTATTCCTGACTTGGGCCAAGAGTTAAGACCCGGGAGTCTTGGCCCAGAGCGTTGAGCAGCTAGTCACGCGACGCTCGCTGTTCTGGTCTGGCTTGGTCATAGCGTTATACATCAGCAGAGTCATTTGAGCTTCGCTCCGTCCAGGCTACTGCTTTGGCGGAGAAATGCCTCGCGGCATCACCTCCGCGACTGTCGTCCCAACCGCCTCTGACGACTACGCAGAACCTGCCCAAGCACCACCTACCAACGCTTCGATCTCGGATGAGGAAGGCGGCGTATACTCATCCGAAGAAGAAGAAGACAGTCACATTCCCGCTACACCTGTAGCAGATTTGCAATCAGACAAGTATCTCCAAGCAGCATTCAACGGCGAAGCATCTGAGGCCCAAGTGACCTCAGCGGATGGTGTGGTTGACGGAAGTCCATCTCAAGCTGCTGTAGCATCCACCGGCACTGAAGACCCCCCACAGCAGCAGCCAAACACCGATGCCAGCCAGCAGAAGGCTGTCCCGCCTCTGATCGGTAAAACGTTGCGCCAGCGTTCACAGTCGGCAGTCATCCAGAAACAGAACGGGGTACCGCTCACCAAAAACTACTTGGAACTTGTGAGAGACTTTCGCCAACTGCGGCCATTCACGCGTCGCCCTGACGGAAAATATCCGGCCGACACCCTCTGCGTCTACTGCGTCAATACAAGACCCACCTCCGTCTTTTTCCCGTGCCAGCACATGTGCGTCTGCAATGACTGCATCGAGTTGAACCATATATCAGCGGATTACTCGTCTTCGGCGGACTGGTGGTATGTACACAAGCTAGCTCGAATGCCCCCCCCTACTATGCATACTAACCGTGTTCTCCTTGACTACTCCCAGCGCTTGCCCAGTTTGCATGGCCGACATCCGCCTAATCCTCCCTCATTCAGGGAAGGAAGAGGAAAAGTACTGGAAGTGGGTCCTCGAAATCATGCCTTCGCTCCCCTCAGGCTTCAAACAGGAATTCAAGGAGGCCGGACGACGCCTGAGCAAGAACGCAACTCCCACTCGTGGTCGAAGAAGCTCGATTGTCACGATGTTTCGACGCGAACCCACTCCCCCAGAGGAGGCTCCAAAAGAACCTCCTCCCAAGCCCAAGGTTCCAGTACTTGGCCGTCGTCACTCGTGGCAGCCTGGTGAAATGACCAAGGTCCAGAACGTGATCGCATCGAACGAGCAGGAAGAGGCCCATAACTGCACGATCTTGTGAGAGACAGCGTAGTACATTCACAGTGATATTCCCCTCGAATCCATCATTCCGTCCCATACACTTGGTCACGTCGATACAATTGCAGGAACAATTACCAGTACGGGACTGTGCGTCCACACAACTAAGGAGCACCTCGAAGCGAAGCATTGCCGTAAAAGAAGTCGTGTGTGCTTGAGAAACCCAAGCCAGTCTCGTTAGAATCACCAGTAGCAGCAGCACTCACAGCAGCCGCAACAAGAGCTGATTGTTTCCCACGCTGGATACGACGCAGCCGCCGCAATGTCCTCGAAACGCTCTCCGTAGCTTGACCAGCAGCCTCCTCTCCGAAAAACTCAGCAACGTCAGCATTGTCCAAGGCTTCTTCAGCTCTCGCAAGAGCCTTCAGTAAGAATTCAACAGACTTGCGCTTCTCGTTTTGCACTCCTTCTGTGTCGACTGCAGGTTCAGGAGACGGCTGAGTCTCAGCAGTACGGAGCTCCGCAGAGTTCAAATCGATATTTGCAGTATTCACGGTAGCTGCTACGGTTGGTTGCTGTTGCGGTTGGTCCTGTGTGATGCCTTGGCCACTTCCTTGCTGCTGTTGCTGCTCCTCTTCGTCTTGAAGAAGCTGCTGAATGTCGTACAGCAACTCTTGCTGCATGCGCTCACTTGAATCAGCGTCAGCATGAAGCCAGCTCCGCAGTTCCTTGGCCAATTTGTTCATATCATCCACGAGCTTCGTGTTGTGCAGCATCGAGCAAAGTTCCACCACCACGGCGTCGTCGCTTACCTCTTGATGCATTACAGGTACAACGGGTGAGAAAGCCGTATTGCTGCCCAGGCGAGACTTGAGCCAGCTGCTTCTGATCAGCGCCGGAGGAGTTGCTGCCCAAGCCTCGTCCAACAAGCTCACGGCGTCATGAATATGTGGCACGCGTCCAAGCGCCACGCCCGCACCACCCGCGGGTTTCTTGCCGGCGCGTTGGATAAGTCGGTATTTCTCTTCAGGCGACCTCTCCAAGAAGCTCAGCCTCTCCTGGAAGAGCCCCACCTTGTATCGTCGCTTAAGATCACGGATCACCTCACCTTGAAGCATCTGCGCACGCGCAGAGGAGCTTGCATCAGTAGCTTGAGCGGCCACGTCTTCATGCTCCTGGCTGGCCAAGCTCATGTCCCCACCCCCCGTTCGCAGCGGCAAAAAGACCGTCTTCATGTTCTCTCTCTGGAATTCCCCAAGCCGACCGCCAGGATTCTCCGCCACCAGCAGCACAGGCTGCGTCGTGCGTTGCCTAATAGCTGGTAGGAACACCCGCTCACACCAGTGCTGGAACGTGCGGTCGTCGCACCACACCTCGCGCTGGCTGAGGTACGACGCGCCCAGCCCCACTCCAGCAGTCTCCAAGCACGACGGCGTCTTCTCCTTCCCCACCACCAGCAGCGGGATCTTGTGCGTGCCCGTGCAGTTCGTGCACATGAGCACCAGCACGTGCGGGATCTTCCCCGGGACGAGCAACGTTCCAGAAACTCCAGTCTCCACAGTCTCCGTAGGAACAGCGCGATCCCGCGCCGGGTCGACAGCCTCCGGCAGCATCTGGTAGAACAGCCTCGCCTCACTCACAGTGTAGACGAGCTCGGGGGAGAACCTCCCTATTGTGTCCCTCAGCCTGGTCCACTGCGTCGTCTCCGCCGACTTTCTCCTGGTAGAGCCTTCTACCCCTGTCTGCAGAGGAGCTGGGACTGAGACTGGAGCTAAGGCTGCGGCGGGGGCTGCAGCCGGCGCGCCCGCATGCAGCGAGGCCGGCGTGAAGCCGTAGCGGCCGCAGAAGCGGTAGTACCAGCCGTTGGAGGCCTTGAAGTCGTCCTTCATCTTGTGCCTGGCGGCCAGCAGCTTGGCCTTCTGCTGCACGTGCGCCACCAGCAGCGGCACGTTGCGCGCGCGCACGCTGCAGATCCACTGGAAGAGCTCGTCCTCGAACGGCACGTTCTTGGAGAAGCCGCCGCGCTGCCGCTTGCCGCGCGCGCCGCCGCCGCCCGCGTCCGAGTAGCGCTTCTTGACCGAGCCGCTGACCTTCATGAGCTTGCTGATGGCCGCGGGCGTCACGCCGTACTGCCGCGCGCACTCGGCGCGCGAGAGCTGCGTCGACGGGTCCTCCAGGCTCGCGATGATGTCCATGCGCTCGCTGTCCGTCAGCCGCCGGCCCTTGCCCTTGCCCACCTTGCCCGCCGCCATGCTAGCACCACTTTGTTCCATCAGGTTTTGTATGGGGATTTGTATTGCTAGAATGTAGCCATGTTGGGGGACTGCGATTCAGGTGAGGGAACTGCAACACATGATGAGGTCGAGATCTTCTACGCGAACCCGGAGTCGATCCATGGAGAATAAATTGATCAAACAGCATACGCTTAACAGCTTGAGAACTCTTGGGAATCACGAGTGCATGTATGATAGCTGCAAACGGCGGCAAATCTAATGCATACTTAGTAATGAGCAAAAGGCTGGCTGAGTAAGTGCACGGTCGTTTCCATTTTTGAACTACCCAGCACACCTCCTCAGCATGGCCACCACCAAGACGCACCACAGCACAAACCCAACGACGCATGCGCATTCGCACGGAAGTCCGACCTCCGGTCCGCACCGCTCCCCATCAGCAGGAACCTTACGGCCTCGCGGGAGTTCCAAGCGAAACCAGATCCAGAAAGCCAGGAAGAATCATCTCGAGACCAACGACCCGCTCAAGGAGGAGCTAGCAGCAAGTGGATCTACCGTGGAGAAGCGACTTGCTGCTGCTATTCGAACCAAGCGGCTCGATCTCAGTCTACCCCGACAGAACCTGACTCCTCCAGAGCCACCAGTACTCCACATATTCCCCGCGGTGGTGGTTGACCACGTGAAGCAAGGCCACCTCCTCACAGAGCTCTGGCTCACTAACCACCACATAGGCACCCTCCCAGCAGAGATTGCGACATTCACCAAGCTTCGTGTCCTCGGTCTTGCGGGGAACGCGCTCACCGCTTTGCCGGCTGATCTTTGTCTGCTGACAGCGCTCGAAGCATTGTATCTCGAGAACAACCGCCTCCAGACACTGCCGACTAAAGTGAAGTTCCCACCACAACTTCGCGAGCTGCGCCTAGATAACAACCAGCTCGCGGTATTTCCGGTTCAAATCACCAAGCTGAGACTGTTGAATCGTCTTGGTTTGAGCCACAACCAAATCAAGACGCTACCTGAAGAAATCCACCGACTGAGGAACCTCGTGGAGCTCAATTTGGACTACAACCGCCTCGACGCTGAATTTCCTAGCGGGTTTGGTGCTCTCCAGCGACTGGAAAGACTCGGGCTAGAAGGCAACTTTCTTGCTGAAAGGCCGAGCGTTCTTGATCGTTTGCCAGCGCTTTCGTACATTCGCTTGAGCGGAAATCGTGCCAAGTTGGCGGTACCGAAGCGGCATGATGGATACTTCCAGTGCGTCGAGAGCTGCGCAGGTGCAGAAGACAAGAAGACGGAGCACCGGAGTTTGGAGGGACTCGTTCCCTGCCGCGACCAGAATCTTTTGAATATTACGGGATACGAAAACCGGCGTATCACAAACAGGTAAACCTGGAATGACAAGTAAAATATGACTGGGGTCTTCGATCTTCGTCTTTTTTATCGCAATCATAAAGCTCTGCATCTCGATCCTGTATGATCCAGTAATGATGAGGCCACACCGTGCATAGTTATCATAAAGTCGCGTAAGCAGGTAAACTTTACCCACAAGTTTTGGTTATAGCTCCGAGTCCAGCGTTACCTATCTTCTCATCTTCCGATTTACCGCGCGACGGGCAAAGCAACCAGGTTATGACAGGATACGAATCGATGGTGCCGTCTCCACAATCTCAGCAGCAGTCGAAGACTCGAGTGAATGAAGACTCGAGGGTAGACACAACTGTGGACATCCCGGATGAATGCGACCCCGCAGCGCCTCAAAGTTCGTGGAGACAATTTGTTACCAGCTACCGCGCGCTGGAATTCGCGTGCACTCTGTGTCTCTATCCTTTGGCCTACGTGTTCGCGTCGATCGACGTCTACGAATGCCCGATTCCTGGAATTCGAGTCCGGTTGAACACCACAGCGGAAGTTTGGGCGCTGGACCCTGCGATTAACGAGACGAAGCTGGCGCAAGAGGTACCGATTTGGTTGCTGGTGGCGTTGGGCGTCTGCTTGCCCGTCGGGGCCAATCTGGCGGTGAACTACGCGCTACCGGCATTCTGCCGGGTCCGCGTCATCGCTCACGACACGCGCGATTTCCTGCTGAGCCTCTTCCAGTCCGTTGCTCTGGCGATGTTCATGACGCAGTTCATCAAGAACATCACAGGCCGCCTCCGCCCGTGTTTCTACAGCATGTGCCAGTGGAAGCAGGACGTGGTTTGGGACGGAGTCACCAACCTTTGCACGTCTTCGTCTGGTGAGAAGGAGGGTCGCAAGAGCTTCCCGTCAGGCCACGCTTCGTTTGCGTGGCCAACCATGCTCGTTCTCACGGTAACGTCGTTCGCAATAACACGCTTTCGCAATGTCAGTAGCTAATGTTACTCTCTTGCTATGGTGACCACTACAGCTCTTTCTATTGGGTCGAACAACATGACAATGCTGCGAGGTGGTAAGACGACGTTTGCGATGTTCCTGTGCTGCCTACCGCTTCTATTAGCGGGGTGGATTTGCGTCACACGATCCATCGACAACTGACACCACTACAGCGACATCTTGGCCGGCAGCGTCATTGGAATTGCAGCGGCAATCTTCGCGGGCGCGAGCCATTATGGATCGATCTTTAGCTGGGAGGATGCTGGACTACCTCATGAGACCATCCACGAACGTCTCCAGGTAAGGTGCAGACCGGACCGTAAGAATTTTTCTTGCTGAATGGTGAGCTGACGTGAGTGTTATTCAAACTGGCGTATTGCAGCGATCACAAAGGTGACCCACGACTTCTTCTACCAGGAGACACGATCACTTCCAGCTTGCTCTTCACGATTGAGTGGCAGTCAACGTAAATACACGTAGAAGCTTTTCATTTCTGAATTCCAGCACCGAGCTGCAGCAATGCCGGGAGTAGCCGTCATATCTGCAAATTTCATTTCAGGTCATAAAATGAAACTTTTTTTTCAACAGTACTCGATGCTTCTAGTGTGGTTGACTTTTGCTGTGGTGCGGTCGTTACTGACTTCCACAATATCAACGAGTTGCCACACACACTAACCAACCAAGGCGTGTTGATGAGCGCTTACAGCGTCCTAGACTTCGGCTGCGTCGTTATCGTCTACCTGCTGGCATTCGTTTGCTCGACCATCGACGTGTATGAACGCCCCATTCCTGGGGTCCGAATTTGTCTGAACTCGACGACAGTGATATGGGCGCTGGACTCGTCCATTGATCACCAGAAGCTGCCAGAAGAAAGTGCGTTTTCTCATGAGTCAAAGTTTGCAGTACGCGTCAAATTAATCATGAATGCTGGCAGTACCCATGTGGTCTCTCCTCATACTACTGATAACTCTACCTGTTGGAGCCAACCTCGTCATTAATTTCGTGCTTCCGACACTTTGCCAAGTACGCGTTATTGAGCATGACACGCGCGACTTCGCGCTGGCCCTCTTCCAGTCCATGGCCTGAGTTTCTACGACATGTGCGGCTGCCGTCGTGTGGGATGGAGTTACCAATTTGTGTACCAACGAGTCTGGTAAGAAGGAAGGCCGCCGAAGCTTCCCGTCGGGCCACGCATCCAGCTCGTGGGCAAGCATGCTAACTCTAACGGTGCGTTTTGCACTTCGGCCCATCGGATTTTACCTTCGATAACGCCTTTTTCGCGATTTCTACTTTATGATAGCTCTATCTTTTGGGTCGATCCCGTTTGAACAACTCGAACTCCGGCAAATCCGTGCTGTGGCGATTGTAACTCGTGCTGAATCGTGTCTTTTGAATGTGTAAATTAGCAACCACAGAAAGTGAGGGATGCCGACAGCTGAAAGTTAATATTAAAACTCGCAGCAAAGACTTATTGATCACATTGAGCTGTCTTCGACAAGACGCCGGATACCTGACTCTTGTTTGCAGGCGACACGTCAAACGGAGAGTAGGAAAGGCACGGCGGCAGCATAGAAAATGCCTCGAGTAAACCTACTGGACATGGTCAAAACCTGTTGGACATGGTCATCGCAGACACTACAAGACAAAAAGAGAGACCGTGTCCATTTGGATGGTGGGCCCACGCGTGGTTGAAGCGACATCCGTGTTCACGTCAGACATGGAGACTCCAATTGCTCGGCACCTTTTGCCAAAATCGCCCGTGACGCCAAAAGGCTTTTGGCGTCACGAGCGATGACGGCATGTACATACAGTATCCATGGATGTATCCATTATCATTTTTGAGACGGGGTCGTGTTGGACTCCTCGTTACGACCAGCGTTTTGGTGTTTGAAGAGCAGTTCAACTGGCCAAGTCCAGCCTCACTCAACCGGCTGCCCGCCTTATTCTCGAATCCGTCGAGTACTGAAGAAGTCGAAGCGCGATGGCAGCAAGCGACAACAAGAGCTCCAACGAGAACGACGAAGTGGTCGCGGCGTACCAGTCGATGGCTCGATCTCCGTCTTCCTCGCTGTCTGCACTAGATATCAGTGATACAACACCTGCAAGCGATGCCACCTCCGTCAACATTCCACACGAGGAAGGCGAAGGCATCGCGCCGCCTGGCAACGCTGTCACGCGCGTCCTGAGGGAGTACCGCGTGCTCGAGTTCGGCTGCACCGCCCTCATCTACCTCTTGGCGCTCCTGTTTGCGAAGATCGAAGTGAACGAGCGCCCGATCCCTGGAATTAAAGTTCGCCTGAGCTCGACGGCGTTCGCTTGGTCACTCGATCCGTCGTTGAATGAAAAGAAGCTCAAGGAGCACGGTAAGGTCCAATGGTTATGCTGTTGTTGTACTTGATAAACCACTAACCATCCTTTCTTAGTGCCGATGTGGGCGTTGATGGCGTTTGGAATCGGCTTGCCCGTGGGCACCAACCTCTTGGTGAACTTCATCCTGCCAAGGTTCTCCCAAGTGCGAGTCATCGCGCACGACGCGCGCGATTTCCTGTTGAGCCTCTTCCAGTCCATGGCTCTGGCGGAGTTCTTCACGCAGTTCACCAAGAATATGACGGGTCGCTTCCGCCCGTGCTTCTACCACATGTGCAAGTGGAACTACGACGCTGTTTGGGACGGAGTCACCAACTTGTGTACGGACGCAGCCGGAGAGAAGGAAGGCCGCAAGAGCTTCCCGTCGGGCCACGCTTCCTTTGCGTGGGCCACCATGCTCATTCTCACGGTGGGTTGCTCCTGCTGGTATTGTGAGTCATACCCTCGGCGAGCTAACGGTAGTGTGCATGTATGAACAGCTCTACCTGTTGGGTCGATCTCGTCTGAATTGCGAGGATCGCAGTATCTCCATGCTGCGAGGTGGCCAAAGGTCCATCATGCTGTTCCTCTGCTGCGCGCCAGTGCTGCTTGCTGCGTGGGTCTCCGTGACGCGCTGCATCGACAACTGGCACCACTACAGCGACATCCTGGCTGGCAGTGTCATCGGCGCGGCTGCAGCAATCTTTTCGTTCAACTACAACTACGGATCGATCTTTGGCTGGGACTCTGCTGGCCTGCCTATCGAGGAAATTCACGAGCGTCGCATGGTTAAGCGCTGACAAGTTTGTACGAACGTTGCTGTGATCAAAATCCTAACCTGGATTACTTGGCTTGTGGAGCAGAAGCAAAGGGCGAGCGACGAATTACACGGCGGCAAGCACCGCAAACGCTCATCCCACACGCTTCGCAACTTCGACGAGTCTTGTGAATCGCAGCTCAAGCATCCAACGAACCAAAGCGATTGCATTATCGACTTGAGCAATCGCAGCAGAGGCTCTTTGTCCCTAGCAGCTTAGGTATTCAGCGAATACTGCCGTATATGAAAATTTTCAGTGTTGGCCACGTTGCAACCAACTTAAGGGAAAACAGAAACAATGTATTGATGTTGGCCCTCAACACGGTTTGCAAGCTACCGTACCATTTTGGTGCCCACTCCCTGCTGGTCCATTTATCTCTGCGTGTGGTTAATGTAGCGAAGCGAGACCGCCGACAACGACAGGAAGATGCTCAAGACCACGAACACGTAGCCAAAATTCGACCAGATTTCGTCGTGCTTGTACTTGAAGGCCGACTCCACGTAGCCCTTCACGGTAATGCGATCGAGCGTCACGGGCAGGTCCGTCACGGGCTGGCAACCGATGTTCGAGCCCACGTTTTCGTAGACACCCAGCGCCTCGTTCCACGTCGGCTCATCGGGGCAGTCGCAAAACACCAGCGCCGACAAAATCGAGAGTGTAAACCGCTGCGGAGTGATGTTGTACAGCCACTTGTAGCCGCTCGGAATGGACGACGACGGAGGATTGAAGCCGGCGAACAGCAGAAACACCGAGTTGAACAGAACACCAATGATAGCAGCCACCTCGATACTTGGCAAGGCGAAGATCAGCAGCTGGCCCAGATACGCTTGAGAAAGCACGAACATCGACAGGTGGATCCAGTACAGCACGCCCGATCCGAAGGACTGGAAGCCCACCATCGGGTAGAAAATCGCCGTGAACAGCAGACACGCGAAGAACACGAAAGGGATTTCCGCTACCGCTGACGCAATGAAGTACCACAGCGAATTGAAGGTCTCTGATGCGCGCTCCTGATAAAATGCCGCACGGTCGGCCGCTGCAATAGGAAGCACACCGGTGTACGACGCGATGCCCATGAACAGCGTCGTCATGAACACCATACCCACACCGCCATTGATCCCTTGGTACGACACGAACTCCGTGTTGATGTATGCGAGACCCGAAATGAGAGCAAGCCCGACAGCAATCATGAAACGCGTCAGGTTGTACGTCGGCGTGCGCCAGTACATGATGATGAAGCGCTGGATCAAGAACCACAGCTGCGTAAGCGAACTAGCACCACGCTTCTTCGTGAACACCAACTCAGGCATATCTGGAGCTAGTAGAGTCACACCAGGCTTCTCCATGCATTCCATCAGATGCTGCGCCTCCTTGCTCTGCATGAAGTGCTGCACGAAGTCCGTCACGTCGGTCGGTTGGTGACCCACTCCAGCGCCAATCACTTCCAGCATCCACGACGCAGGGTTCTCGTCCTTCGGCCACGACGACGTACCGGGAATCGTTTCGAGGTAGTCCACCAACTTGTGACACTTGTCACCCAGTTCACCGACAAACACCGACTCGACAGCAGCAAGTGGTCGAACAGGAAGAACACATCCGACGAGGGCTGGTGGATAGTGCATACAATAGTACGCCCGCTGTCTGCCACCTTACGTACACCATCCATGATCAACTTGGCGGAGTGAGCGTCCAAGCCACTCGTCGGTTCATCCAGGAACAAAATACTCGGCTGGGCCACCAACTCGACACCAATCGTCAGTCGCTTCATCTGCTCCTGCGAACTTCCGCGCACGATTTGGTCGGCGATGTCGTGCACGTCCAGTAGGTCGAGGCATTCGTTCACAGAGTCGTACTTCTTCTCATTCGGGACGGAACTATCCTGACGCAGGAACGCGCTGAACGTCAGTGACTCACGAATCGTTGAGCCTTCCGAGTGAATGTCCATCTGCTCGCAGTACCCCGTAGCACGTCGAATCGCCAGGTCGCTGGCCTCGTAGCCGTTGAGGTAGATCTTGCCTTCAATCTTGCCGCCAGTCTTACGACCGGCAATCACGTCCATGAGCGTCGTCTTTCCAGCACCGGAGGACCCCATCAATGCCGTCAACGTACCAGGCTCGGCGTATCCGTTAATGCCCTTCAGCAACTGCAACGTCTCCTTGCGGTCGTGGGGCGAAGGTACCGAATAGCGCAAGTCCTTCCACGCGATCGTGCAAGGCACGAAGTTCTTCTCACGTTGTGGCACGTTGACCACTACCTCACCCGGTAGTCCTCCTTCACATTGAATACCAGCGGACGAGCCTTTAGGGGTTTCCGACAAAACGTAGTCACCACCTCGCTTCTCCATATCCTTCTCATTCACCACAGCCTTCGGGAGCAGTTGAATGTTCTCGGGTGCTTCGTATCGGTGGTATTCGAGCACGTAGCAGCCCAGCACCATGAAGAAGATGTACGCCACGATCATGAACAGGATGCCGGTCCAGATCCAAAACTTGTCGGATGGAACGCCGTACTGCGACAGGTAGTACTCGCCCATATTCATGCCGTAGTCGGTGCAGTAGTTGATGCCACCGTACTCGCACACATCGTAGGCGCTGGAGCGGTACTCGTTCACCGACAAACCACGAAGGCACCAAGCGATCGGGTTCAACCAATAGATCCAAACCAGCCAGTCTGGAGTTTGGTCCTTGGTGATGACGAAGCCAGCGAACAGGATGAAGAAGACGATCGAGAACGTCGACATGGGCTTGGCGATATCCAGGTTCGGTGACATGGCCGACAGGCAGAAAAACCACGAGGCGAACACCAGGTTGGTGAGCAGCAGCAAGATGAGGTAGATGATGTACGCCCGGGCCGAGGAAGCGAAGCCACACATCCAGTACACCAGAGTCCCGAAGATCAAAATCTCCGCAAGAGCTTGGGGAACCAAAGCCACTGAGTCTGCGACCACCCAGGCAGCTGTCCGGTAAAAGTTGGCACCACGTTGTTTGTAGAAAATTGCGCGGGCCTCCATGTAGGTCGGAATCTGCGATGCTTGGCCCAGGGATAGGAACAAGGTTGTTTGGAAAATCACGCCTAGCATCACCTGGACATCGGTAGGGTCCACGTTGTAGAACGTGCTACCATAGACAAGTCCCATGGCGATGGTCATGAACGTTCGCACCCGAATGAACGCCACATTGCGTACGATGATGAGAAGCTGCCGCTCGATCAGAGAGTTGATGTTCTCCCACAGCGTTTGACGGAACTCTGGCGTCGGATCCATCATCTCACTCACGCGATGCACGATTTCGTCGAAGATCGGCGCTTCCAACTGCCGCAAGATGTCGACGTACAGCGGAGACTCTCGAAACAGCTCGGCAAACTCCGAGGCAAGACGTGGATGCTTCGACATGCCCAACGGGAGGTTAGCCTGGTACTTGTACTGCTGGTTCGTGCCCAGATCCAGCAAGTAGTCAGCCACGTCACGCCCGGGAGGACACTTGAAGCCCAGCATCTCGAAGTACGGGACCACATTCTCTCGAGGACCGTTGTACATCATCTCCCCTTCGTTGAGTATGATGACGTTGTCGAACAGATCGAAGACCTCGGGCGCAGGCTGCAGTAACGCGATCACGACCGCCTTGCCCAGGTTTTTCGCGATACTGCGCTGCGTCTTGATAATATCGTACGTCGCCGCGCTGTCGAGACCCGTGCTGATCTCATCCATGAGAGACACATATCTCTGTCCGAACTGCATCTCGCCAGTCGTGACGCGCTTGCGCTCGCCGCCAGACACTCCGCGGTGCATCGCATTGCCAATTGCAGTATCCTGGCATAACTGCAGCCCCAGTTGCTCAATGATCACATCAGGGAACTTGTCCAGAACCGCCTTGACCGCGGTTAGAGCTCTCTCGTTGGCCTCAGGTGTGCCTCGCGACAACATCTCCGCGCCGTGCTTGGACAGCCCTCCTCCGCAGAAGGCGTAGACGAACTCCAGCGTCTCGCGCACCGTGAGCGTGTGGAAGTGCCGATCGTACTGCGTCACGTAGGCCACGAACTGCGGCAGGCGCTTGGCGATCTCCTTCTGGAGGACGCCATTGTACGTCATCTCACCATCCACCGTGATGTTCGACTTGACTGGGAACTGGCCGCTCAAGATGCGCATGAGCGACGTCTTGCCCGACCCGGGTTGGCCCAGCAGCAGCGTGATGGTGCCCGGCTTGAGCACGCCGCTGACGTTCTTGATCACCTCCTTGCGCGCCACCTTCTTCTTGATCGGGTTGAGACTAGCCAGCGCCCGGGCCACGACGTTGTAGAGCGTGGGCAGCTCAGACTCGGCCGTGACCTCGCGCGTCACCGTCACGTCGGCCGAGATGGACACGTTGTCGAAGCGCACCTCCATCTGCGGCAGCACGCCGCCCGTAGCCGCCTTGAACGTCTCGGCCATGAAGTTGTGCAGGACTTCGAGCCCTTGGCCATCATGGCTTCACCTGACTCTAGTCCGATGGCCGGATCCCCAACTGAGGGTCTTGACAGGTCGATCTCGGGCATGGTCCCAGTCGTAAAGTAGTCCGAAGCGAGTCGCCTCCGTGGCTGAAATCCCAGTTGAGTGTCACGAAGCGAATTGAAAACTGCCATTTGAAGTCCGTGGAGGCGTTTAACACGAGCAACGCAATGCCGCGTCGAGGCATCCTCCACTCCGCGCAATCCGAAGCTGTTTGCTCGCACAGCCGAAAGTCCGCACGCAATCGAAGCACTGTTTGCTCGCACAAGCAACTCCGGGCGATTTGATCGTAAACACGCAGTGTACTACATGCGTGAAGATGTTTGCGCGCGTGCTCCGTTCACTCTTCCCAGTCACTCACGAGCTCGTCATCGGCATCCGCAATGCACGACGTAATATGTGTCACTGCAGCAGCCAAGGAAGCGCACGCGACGCACAATACCTCGCGTTAGAGCCGCCTTGTGCGCGCTTCTACCTTGGGAACAACTTCTCGACCGAGGGTCTCACCTCTCGAAAATGCTCGTTAGCGTACTTTTTCACCCCCGCGCCTTCCAGATATTTGCACTGGAATGTCACGTTAGGAAGCCGTAGCCATCTCACTTCATCCGAAGCGCTTCAGTCCTCGCCGCTTTATGACCGTCGCGGACACGGGCGTGTGGCTGCTGCGCGCGTACGTGAATCTGCTGCTGCTCGTCCCGCGCCTGCTGTACGTCTACATACGTCTCCCTCTCTTCTCCCTCCTCTCTCTGTGTGTCTCCCATCGTCCTTCTATGTCTGCTCGATCTGACTGCCACTCAATCTCTCTCTCCAACCTCCAGCCTCGAGCTCAACTTGGCGTGGAACCCCTTCGTGATCCTCGCGCGCAGAGCTCTCAGCTCCGTCTTCAAGACCATCACAGCAACCACTACTACTACTACTAACACTATGGCGGACGACAACGGAATGCGCTGGCTGCAGCCTGGAGAGCGCGGCGGCGAGCGCGTGGCCATCGTGAGCTACCCGCGCTGCGGCAACTCGCTCATGCGCGGGTTGCTGGAGAAGGTCACGGGCGTCTACACGGGCTGCGACACCAGGCCCGACCGGTCGCTGAGCAAGGAGCTGCAGCAGTACGGCATGAAGGGCGAGGGCGTCGTGGACGAGTCGGTCTGGTTCGTCAAGACGCACTTCCCGGAGCGCGTGGGCTACAAGGAGTTCCCCGTCAAGAAGGCCATCCTCGTGGTGCGCAACCCCTGGGACGTCATCGACTCGTACTTCAACATGACGCTCACCAACACGCACAACAAGAGTCTGCACGAGTCGCAGTACGAGCGTTTCGCCGAGCGCTGGGACGGCCTGCTGCGCAACGAGATCGACGTCTGGATGAAGTTCCACCGCTACTGGACCGCCAAGGTGGACATCCCCATCATCGTCGTGCGCTACGAGGACCTGATGATGCACCGTGAGGAGACGCTGCGCCGCGTGTTCCTCTTCTTGACGGACCTGACGACGCTGGAAGGCACGGAGTGGGAGCAGCGGATCCACGATGTGATGGCAACCGGCGGAGACAAGGCGGGCCCGTACAAGCCTCGCAGCGGCAAGATTGGAGGATCCTTCCGTCATTACTCGGAGGAGCAGTTCCAATACATACTCAAGACGGCGAACCTGCCCCTGCGTGGATTCGGCTACGACACGGAGACGCAGAACTTCCCGAAGGAGATTACGCTCCCGAAGCGGCAGGTGAAGCCCGGCAAGAGTGCCGACGCCAAGCTGCTGATCTCGATCGACCCGGCCATGGAGATCCGCAAGAAGAACGACTCGTTCGGCCGCGGATCGACCTACTTCCGACGAGCGCTGACGGAGCCCGTTATTGCCATGGATGGCACGGAGCTGAACATGGATGAGGTGCTTGCCGCGAGGGAGCGGCTGCAGGCCAAGAAGGACGAGAATGACGCGACGAAGAAGCTGCAGGAGCTTACTGTGGAGGATGCTGACACAGAGTAAACCGAATAACACGAGCAATTCAACAAAAGAGTTCCTCGGAGGAGCGTAGAGAATATATTTTGTGAAGTCAACGGCGACAACTATATAGCAGGTGAACACCTCGATCATGAAACAGAGGCCACTTCGTAGTTACGACTTGTTTGGGCACTTTTGGGGCGTGATCCGGGATGTCAACAATGCACTGCTCACGACGTAGCAATGGGCTTCAGTGCACCTTCAATGCGACGGACGGTTGTCTGAAGCTTGAGCTTGAAAGCTGCGTCCTTGCACTCGATTTCCTGTAACGCGTGATCCACCACAGCATCAATGCCACTGGGTGTTCTCACGTGAATCTTGTTGGTCTCGAAATCCAAATCAACATCGCCGTACTGGTCCTTCAGAAGGCGGAACACGATCAGCAGATTCAGTGCGTCTTGGTCGGCCTCACCGAGCTCCCTTGCAGCCTTCTCCAGGTCTGACTCTGCCTCCTTCTTTTCTGCATCGTGCTCGGACGGAGGATTTTCAGCGATATCCTCGGTCTCCATAACAGGGGTCTCCTCTTCCTCAGTTTTCGTGGCAGCACCCTCGTTGTGTGCACTCTCATCTTCCTTCTTAGAATGGTCGTGCGGGCAAGCAGCCGTGGGCTGGCCACTCAGTTTGAAGCTCGCCGGACTCGCCTGCGCATGCATGGCCAGCGCGATCACAGAGTCGGCGATCATGTCAGCCGTTGGTGCCGACGTCCACTCGACAACAAGCTTCTCGGTGGCGCCCTTGGCGACGGGGCAACGGGTCACAACGACCTGCTTGCAAACCACCACGCGGTTTTCTGTCTCCAGGTGAACAACATCCTCGTACATCTGACGAATGAAGGTGATAAGCACGTCGAACGAGTTGTACTCGAACGGCACGTGCTGCTTCTGGGTGATACTACCCGAGATAAGCTTCGTGTAGGTCGAGAGGTCTTCCTTGTCCATCAAGTGCGTCTGCGAGTCCACTTCGACAAGCAGACCAGAAATCACCTTGCCATTCTTTGGCTGGTCGCTAGCAAGACCACCGATAGCCTTGGCAATCTTCTCACCCTTGAACTCCAGCACGATCTCCTGCATGTTGGCTGGCGTGGAAATACTAGGGTGGTAAACCTTGGGGTCGTTAAACTTCTTGTTCAGCGCCGACTTCAGACGCATCATTTCATTCTTCTCGCCGTGCACCAGGACAATGTTCGGAGGGGTAAGCTTCTCTACGAATCCGCTTGTGCCCACAAAGTCTGCGTGAGCAGAGAACGAAATGTACTCCACCGTGCAGTTCATCGGGATAATGCGTCCATCCAGCGCGGCGATCTCCGTCGGCTCCGACAGAATCTTCTTGGCCAGCGTGCCCTCAACAACGTAACCGGGGATCAAGCAAGCGTTGCGCTTGTCCGAGCACCAACGCTCAAAGAGCTGTCGCGAGACACCACTCTGTAGCATACCAGGACTGGCCATCACAACAGACGGGCCGGAGTCATCGAAGTCGTCCATGCTCTTCAGGTTAGAAATGTGCTCAAACTGGAACGGGTTCGAGATGGCTATCTGCTTTCGGATACGGTCGTTCATCATGTTGATGTACGTCTGGTACACACGCAGCGCCTTGGCCGCCAGCTTGGATGCAAAGTAGATTGGGATGTCCTGCAGGTCCGGGTGGGAGCGCCAGTGCTCGTCCAGAATCAGCAGCAGCTCCTGCGTCCGCCCCAAAGCGAAGACGGGGATCAAACAACGTCCACCACGACGCACCACAGCTTCCACCTGCCCCGTGAAGCGTCCCTCACGCTCCACCACGGACTGGTGCACCTGCACGCCGTAGGTGGACTCGACAATGAGCACGTCGGGCGAACAGGCCGGCAGCTCTGCCGCCATGAGGTGGCGGTCGTTCTCCAGCGAGTAGTCCCCCGTGTAGAGCACCTTGACGCCGCCGATCTCGATGAGGTACATGCACGCGCCCAGCACGTGGCCGGCGTTGTAGGGCGTGAACTTGATGCCGTTGTGCATGATTTCCTGGTGGAAGTCGATGATCTCAACCTTGGAGACGCAGTTGTTGAGGTCCTTGTCGTCGTAGATCTGGTCGTCCACCGAGATGTTGGACACGCGCAGGAAGTCGCGCAGCATCATCTGCATCACGGCCTTGGTCGGGTGCGTCATGAAGACGCGGCCCTTGAAGTTGGTCTTCTCCGTGAAGTGCGGCAGCGCGGCCACGTGGTCGATGTGGAAGTGCGTGATGAGCAGCAGGTCGATCTCCTCGGCCTCCACGCCGTCGAAGAACGGCAGGCTGCCGTGCCCCGAGTAGCCCGGGTGCACGCCGCAGTCCAGCATGATGGTCTTGCCCTTGAACTTGAGCACGATGCACGAGCGCCCCACCTCGTTGCCCGCGCCCAGCGGCATGATGCGCATGATGTGGCGCTCGTCCGCGGCCTCCTCGGCTAGCCTGCGCTTCGACATGCTCTTCTTGGCTTGCTTGGCTTTTTGCCTGACTGGGGCGAAAAGCGCAAAGTCGTCACTATAACGCGGTTCAAGAGTCAGTAATTCGAGTTGTGTACGAAACACCAAAATGAAGACCGATTCTCGTGTGACTATGCCCTGCCAGACAGCATGGGCGGCGGCGGCGCTGCTCTTGAAGTTGACGCACTACTGTCATTCGCCGCCTACATAGTTAGTCACCCCTGCGTCACTTCCGCTTATAGCTATTCAGCGCCATTGACCGCCGCGTCAAGCATGGCCGTGGAATCGCGCCGCTTGACTCAGTGGGCGATAAGTCCAAGGCGGCGAATTGGTTTCCGACTTTGCTGGTCTCCAACTCGCGGACCATCACCTGCAGCGTCGCGTGCGTTTCGCGCTAACCAGACTAATATTTTGGCTGTGCGCGACGGCGCCCGTCCCGATCGCGCGGCCTTCCGGCGGGTTCACCGCTCGGTTACAGCAGATACAAGTTGCTTCGGCGATGCGTCCCTTCACGATCCCCGAAGGCTGTTCTTCGAAGTTTCACTTACCGCCATTTCACTTGGCTTCACTATGGTGTCAGAGTGATGGTAATGAAGCTTTCACTTCGAGCAAAGAAACCTTTGCCGACAGAAGTCCGCAAAAGGCAAAGAGAGCGATGGAGGCTCCGCGCGGCGTCGCCATGGGCCGCAAGCGCGCGCTGGACGACGACGACGAGCGCCGCGACTCGCCGCGCGCGTCCTCCGAGAGCGAGAACATCAGTCCGCGGCTGCTGGACGCGCAGGTGGGGCTGCCCACGCCTATAGGCGGCCATGTGGGCATTGCCGGCGCTGGATCCGAGCGCGGTCGCGTCACGGGAGCCGTCAAGAGCCGACGCCTGAGTCAGGACTTGGGCGAGACGCCCGCGCAGTTTGTAGCCAAGATCACGGCGCTGTCCGGGCCCGCGTCGCCAGCTTTGCGCGTCTTCATGAGCGATGCGGAGGCTGCGCGAACCCCCACGGCGTTTGTGGGCAGCCCCTTCGAGCTAAATAAGGCGGCGGGCAGACTGTCTAGACCCATGTTCCCGCTAGGAGCACAGGCCCAAGGGCGACCGGTCATCCCCACGCCTCTGGGCACACCTGGACGCGTGCCCGAGCAGAAGACGAGTCCGCCAGGGCAACTGAGGAGACTGGACGGAGGAATTGCTGCCAGAACAGGAGGGCCGGGGGTCTCTCCCATGGGGAGCCAGGAGCAGAAGAGCCCTGTACTGCAAGGCAGGCCTATGAAGCCCGTGCTCATGAAAGCGGGCAGCGGGGAAGTCCCACTCGCAGATCGAGGACTACCCATGGTAACGACGGCAATATCTATTCCATCATTGGAGAGCTGTTGGGTGCTCATGGTTGCCATGTGACTGTCTAATGTTGCAGATATCGCACTTTTTGGGGACTGGAGGGCAGGATACCAACAAGAGCCCGCCGTTTGGATCGCTCACGACGCCGTACCGAGTGCCGACTGTTGCAGCCAGTACGGTACGTGTGCGCTTGAGATCAATATTTCTAAAAAGTTATATAACCTTCGTGATTGCAGGCGCCTTCATCGAAGGAGGTGACCAAGAGACAGCCGTTCCCGTTTCCCCAGCGGCGGAATCTTGAGCCAGCAAAAGGGATTAGCACGCCTGTGCTGGATTCAGGCGGGATGCGGAACAGCATTTCCAATGCACTCATGCCATCCTTTGATATTGATGATGTCTCTAGCGATGAAGAACTCATGGGCATTCCTGGTCCAGATATCCCGGATCCGGAGATATCGTTTTCGCAGGAGAAACTGGGGGATTTATCGGTCACAGAAAACAATTTGGAGGAAACAGTTGTGTTGACACTGTGCGATGGACTTGCGAACAGCCTCACGAAAGCTGAGCGAGAACGAATGGAGCTACTTAACTTGTACACGATCGCGCTTGCTCAGCAGCCAAGCCCCATTATGCTGGGGCGGGATCAATTCCAGGACATCTTTGGAGACAACATTCGGGGCGGAATGCTTTCCCACTTGAGTCGACGGCACTGCTTGATTCATGTAGAAAATGTGCCGTCTCAGAACGATTCAGCTAAAATGGGTGTTAAAGTGCGAGTACAAGATACCAGTACAAACGGCATCCGGGTAAATGGAGTGCAACTAAAAAATGGGCAGACACTGGAATTGGATCTCGACGATGTGATCACGCTCTTGCGGATTCGCCGAGATGAGGTACGCATTCCTTGATAACAAATAGTCGTGATTGCACTGCAAGCTGACATTCGTCTGAATTGAAATAGGATGACGTGTCGCTTGAGTACAAACTTGTTCGCTCGGATCCGCCATCTGATAAACCGTCAAGGAAAAGTCGAAAAAGCAGACACGATGGCCGATATGTGAGACCAAGCGACAAGTTCTCGTGCGAATTAGTGGATGTGAGCAATCGCTATGGCCTGTCACCTGTGCAGGAGTCCGATGATGTAGTCTCTGCCATCGTGCCCGCTCGTACGATTGCGCACGAAACTCGCCATCAAATTCCATCCGGACCTTTTGTTTCAGGTGATGCTCCGCTCATAACGAAAACCAATTTGGAAACAATCAAGCCTGAACCAGCTCAGCAGTTGCCAGCATTAACGCGGACAATTCGATGCGTACGCAATGTTGCTTTCCTGGATATGTATGAGTGAGTTGGAACTGATTGGTCCTCTTGTTTCGTAGACGATTCTATTCGCTGATCAATCGACTCAAGATTTCTCTGAGTCGAGCCAACCGATAGAGGTTCGTAGATTAGAAGAGCTGTTACTGAATTGCCGCATAATTTCTTACTTGCATCTTTTATATAGGGAGCGAATTTCGACTATCGTGAAGAGCTATCGGAAGTATTATCTGCATTCGCAGCAGTCCGCACGTTTGATGTGAGTATATTGTGCTTTGTCACTGTTATGTTGTGTCGGCTTACCGTAGGGTTTTGTGCAGGCTTCTTCATACCATTGCGCAACAACCGAGTCAATCCAACAAGCTCTTAATGGCAGCAGCGATGTATTGTTTTATACCGGTGGAGGGGATGAAGACCACTTGGTAGTTGAGGCACCGAACGGATTATCTACACGGCTCGAAAAAGACGAAGTTCGAAAACTCTTTGCTGAAGGTACGCACAAGTCTGGTCCTATTCAATGAATAATTTGTGTACTTACTTACCAGCTATCTTGAAACAGTGAAAACCCACGTGACGAAGCTCGTTGTTGTGATCACACCAACCGTAGAACCAGGTGGGAAAGGTTTTATTCGCATCGTTGTGTTTGCTTGACGTGCTTATGCATATGCGTTTGTTTTAGCTCATTTGCTTGCGGAGTGCGGAGCAGCTCACGTGTGCTTTTTAAGTTCGGCGAACAAGCACTCGCTGCGTGTTACTGCCTTCATAAGGTATGGTACACAACAGCTCAAGCCCTATTCAAGTAAAATGAGCTAACTTTATCGTGCACCGAATCAGAGCATTATTTGCTGGCCTGCTAAAGGGGTTCTCAACTGAGAAGAGCTACGCGCTAGCAGAATTTGTTGCGTTGAATGACCTGCTGCCAATTGTACGACCGGCGGACCAAATATGCAAGATGCTACCAAGCTCGGTTCAGCACAACGTCCAGCTTGGTGCTCTTGATACTGAAGTGGTGGCAACCGATAGAAACGTGGTTGCATTGCTTAATGCGCCATTTATCCCTGTGCTGGCTACTCATTTTCTGGGGAGAGACGCCATAGTCAGAAAGGTACCCGTATATGATTGCCTACTGCAGTTACTTTCGTCGCTAACTTCGATGTGGTTTTCCAGGCCAAGGCTGCGTTAGCTCAAAAAGTCAGGGTATGCAACATATACGGATCCCGCGGTGTTGGGAAGTCTTCAGTTGCCATTCATATAGCAAAAACAGCCTATCGAACGAGAGGGTACCGCAACGGAGTGCACTACTTCGCTGTAGACAAGCTGGTTGAGCACGTCCGAAGTGCTCACCAGACTGAGACCGACTCTGATGAGGACCAAGACTTCCGAAGAACTAACCAGAGGGAGGACCCTTTGCCAATAGTTATCGAAGAAGTCGAAACTCTTCTTCGCTCACTCCCAGAGTACGTGCTACCCGGAAACGTTTTGTATTACGTTCCATTGGTGCTAACAACTGTGTGCACTTTCATAGGTTGGATAATGCGGATTATCCTACTGCATTGCTGGTTTTGGACGGTTGTGATATCGTCCTCCCAGCACTGGGGATGTTTGTGCTTAACATTGTTCAGTCGTTCCCCGGCGTCCAGGTACCCCAATGTGTACTCGTTTTATCAAAAGCTGCACCCTACTCACAAGTTTGTGCGCAGATCCTGTTGACATCGACTGAAGAGCTGCAGATCGACACCGGAGAAGACGCCATCTTGCCTGAAGAAGTTGTTCATGTTGGAGAGCTGGGCAAACTGGACAGCGCGAAACTTTTTTTCAAATTAGCACGGGGGCACTTGACTTCACGGCAGTTCCGACAGCGTACGTTGAAGTGGAAGCCATAATTTCGTAGTGATTTCTGGTTTCTAAGGAAGTGGTGCCTGTTCTGAATTTCAGACTTTCCTGATAGCAGCATCGAAGTTATCTCCAACGACGAGCGCTTACTGGACACGAAAGGCAACCCGTTTCGAATTTCCCGACTCGTGTATGAACTGGAGTCTCAAACGGCCAGCGACAGCAACTGAAGCGGCACTCTCTCGTATGTATTTTATTGGGACAACTTGCACGATTATATTGTCGACGCCTTCAGACAGCAACATAACGTGCAATTTTGATGGTTTATCATTCACCATGATGTGTCGTCAACTAAGCTTCAATTACGCCAGCCTGAAAGTGCCGAAGCAGCACGCCAATGTGTATCAACACTTTGCCAGTCGAGACTGTCCGCAGTCGACATCTCTCAGACCATGCCGCATTGAACAGTACGTCATCACCTTTGAGTTCGGGGGTACGTCCCAGTAGCCGCACATCCAGCTCTTCCTTGGTTGTCCCAAGTGGACGCCACAGCGAGACCCAGAGTTTGTGTTGGCCTGCAGCAAAGGGCACAGGCACAAAGCCGTAGCCTACAACGTGGAGCTTCATGCTGGAGTCAGCTCTCCACACTTGCAAAAGAAGTTTGGGCCATCCCTGGAAAGCCGAAGTTGCGAAATGCAAGTCGATAGGGTGTGCCCACACAGCAACATCAGGATCCGAAGTCCACGGCGCTGTTGACGGGTAGTCCAGTTGAGTTTGGCCGAATTGATCGCCAGCGATGTGACTCCACCGGCTGCCATACTCGACACGCCACTTGCACGTCAGTCCTCCGAAGGCTCCAAATCCATGACCACTGACAATCTCACCGATCAAGTGTACTTCTGGCTGGTAGGCAGGGGGCACGTCAAGCTGTGCCAATCTCTTCTGGACACGATACGGGTTGTACGGAGACTCCGGAATCGGTAAGGTGTCGTCGGGGTCTGGTTTGTGTCGCCGAAGTGGAGAGAGCACATTTGTCTGGTTTTCCTGCTCGCTGTCACTGCTTGAGCTCTCAACTGTGGGTAGTTTGCGCTTGTCAGGCTTCCCGCGTTTACTGCGAACACGAGGAGATGGCGAGTTCTCTTGGCTTGCGTTGTTGTCGCTGGTTGGTGACAGTGGAGGCTTCGTAGTTGAGTCCGAGGCTTTCTCCTCTTCATGGATGATGTCCCTCTGGTTATTTGACGCCTTGGACGTGCTGTGATGTTTGATCTCGGGCATTTTCCAGCGGCTCTTACGCTTCGGCGATTCACCTGCTGCATCCGGTTTCGACGGGGTGAGTGGATCCTTCTCAGTCGCTGCAGTAGCCTCCGCGCTCGGGTCAATTGCTTCGTCCTGCGCTTTGGCTTCTTGCTTCTTGTCCACACGCTTGGGCTTTTCCTCGGGCTTTGGCAGCTTCATTAGTCTACAGACAGAGAAGGAGAACACGTAATGTAAGTCGTAAGTTTCCTACCGGTAATCGTCAGCTGTAAGTAGAGAGATCAGTGCGTACGCTTTCTTTGGCGATGCGAGGGGCTTCTTCGTCGGAGACTTCGCTTCCGGCGCATTGTCCTGGCCGAGTTGTGTTTTCCGCCTGAACGCGCGTGCTATAGATTTCCGAGGCGACGGTGTCTTCGCTTCGGCAGTAGCGACTGCAGCACTACCAGCTTCCTTGGCTTCATCGCTAACAGGAGCTGATGCTGTCGGGTCGCCCAAAGCAAACGGATCGGTCGGCGTCTTCTCCTTCTGCTTGGCCTTGTCTTTCTTCTTCTCTGTCGGTTCCTTTGGGGGCTTGGGCGTTGGTTTAGGCTTCGGCTTGGGCTCCTTCTTCTTCTTCGACTCGGGAGACTTCACTGCTGAGCTTCCAGCTCCTGCGGCATCCGGCGCATCAAAGCTGCAAGACTCGAAGTTACGAGTCGAATAGCAAGCTCAACACCAGTCAACGAGCACGTACCCGCCTGCTCCGGCTCCGCTTGGCTGAGCTCGCTTCTTCGGCGACGCGAGCTTCTTCAGCATCGTGATCCTGCCACTCGCCGCCTGTGTGTCTGCTTGGAGAATAGGCGGCTACAAAATCAAGAGCCGCCAGTCTGTCCATCCAGACGTCGCCAAGCAGACCACCACCAGAACCCAGACCTCCAGCGCCATGCACCAAAAACTTCCCGTGTATTGAATGAATCCCCCATCTCTCGGTTATCCACGCCACACTGGTAGGGAGGAACTGTAGAACTCGCGCAGTACGTAGTAGTAGAATGGTCCTCTTGTGTTACGAGGCCTCTAGCGGCCTCCACTCTATCACTCTCCCTCAGAATCCTAGTCTTTCTATCTGCTCCCCCGCCGCCCTAGTTCTTCTTGGTGCGCATGCGCAGCGCTTTCTTGCGCTTGCGGTGCTTGTGCTTGTTCATTTTCTTTCGCCGCTTCTTGACCACGCTGTCCGCCAGGTAGCCGTCCATCTGGCGCAGCAGAGAGTCCACGTCGCGGGCGCCGTCCATGTCGCGCAGCGGCAGGTTGTCCTGCAGCGCGCTGAGCATGCCGGGCGTGTCCCACAGGTCCTCGGAGCAGGCGAGCGCGCCCTCCTCCGCCGCGTCCTCCATCTCCGCGTCCACGAGGGGGAACGAGCCCACCTTCCACAGGTGGGACGGGTCCGCGCGCGGGTACTTCTCGAGCCACAGCGACGCGTCCTCGGGCATGGGGAAGGACGGCGTCTGGAACAGCGCGTCGGGCGCGCGCGTCGACATGAAGGCGCGCCGGGCCGTCACCTGCAGCGGCTGGGCGGCGGCGCACGGGCGCAGCGCGCGCCGGGACGCGCCCAGCACGAAGCGAGCAGCAGCGCGCAACCCGGACATGACTCTGGATCAACGAGGTGGCGTGTTTCTCACTGAGAGACCCGGAAGAAAACGGATGGGAGGCTGGTAGAGGCGGTTGGGCGCGGTGAGGTCGGCCAGGAATAGAAAATGTATGAGAAAAGGGGTTATGTACCCAAGCTGTTTGAAGAGGGAGACGGGATGAGGCAGGTTTTTGTGTGGCACTGGTGTAACGCTGCGGAAGTCAGCACTTCAACTGGCCCTCTGTATGGAAGATCGCCGGATCGAGTTGACTTGAGGTCAAGCAGCATGCAGAGCGACCGAGAGCGAGTGGCGTTCCTGCGCAGGTGCTTTACCTGGGCTGACCGACGCGGCAGTGGTGAGCATTTATCGGCAATTGCTGCAACGTAGTTGCTGGCATTGCACTGCGTTGAGTGCAAGTCGTCTCACAGGTCTCCGCTATGTGTCAACAGGGGTATTGGAGGCGCATGATCTCAAGTGCGGCGTGGCGGCAGCGCTGGGCGTTCGGCCGTCCAAGGTGAGGACCGAGGACGTTAGTGGCCGTTGAACGGACTTCAATGACTGAGTGATAGCTAACGGGTGCTTGGTGGTCTTGCCCTGGTTTGAAGCTGCTGCTGGCGCAGATGTTCCGGGGCTGTGGAGTTCCAGGTCATCAACTCCGCGTCACGCAGGACGAGTTCGTGCGCGTGATGCAGTTAAGGCTGGCCAAGACGGACTTACTGGAGGACGTGCGGAAGCTCTTCAAGGCGCTGGATCTGCGCGCCGAGGGGTTCATCTCGCTTCGCAGCTTCCAGCAGGTCTGGGCAAGCAGCTTCAGGGAAGCTTGAGGTGTGTCTGCAGGCGCTGACGCTGGTGTATGTTGTGCTGCACAGGCGTGCGAGATGGCGCTGCCCTTTGCCAACCAGGAGACACTGCTGCGTGCTTTCCGCGAAGCAGATCGAGATGGCGATGGACGGGTGCGTCGCCTCCTTATTAAAGAAGGAGGCTTGAGAATACGGCGGTGCCTAAGAGAGAGGTCGTTGTGTTCTTAGGTGACGTACCAAGACTTTGAGCGCATGTGTCTCCTCGCAGTGCAGGTCGACGCCAGCAAATAACAAATAGATAACAGCCAGCGACCTCCCAAAGGCTTCAGGGAGGAGAAGAAGGAGTTCGTCTGCGGCGGTCGCACCTCTGCGAGTCGACCACAACCTGTGACTTGTCTCTGGCTCTTGTTGTGAGACCGAAATCTTTGTGCAGGGGATCGAGATCGGCATGGCGTCCCCCGTCAAGAGCCCGAGCGGCAGCGACGCCCAGCAGGAGGCGATCAAGTCACGACTGTTCGCGGTGCTGCGTCGCCCCGAGAACGAGCACTGCGCCGACTGTGGAGCTGCCACGCCCAAGTAAGCTTATGGTCCAGCCCCTCAAAACCTTAACTGAGCTTTCAGACATTCCTCACGTTGTTTGTGCTCCTGCTAACGTAGGTGGGCGACCGTGACGCATGGAGGCTTCATTTGCACGCAATGCGCTGGAGTTCACCGCTCTCTTGGAGTCCACGTGTCCTTCGTACTCAGTGTCATGCTGGACAAGTGGACGGACGAGCAGGTTAACGCCATGGACGTCGCAGGCAACACCAACCTGAATAAACAGCTCGAGCGCACCCTCGCGCTGCAGCAGAAGCTCAACCAGAAGACGCCCAAGAAACCCGAAGCGCAGACGCCACGCGCCGAGCGAGAACTCTTCATCCGAGCCAAGTACGAGGACAAACTCTTCTCAGGAGGAGTCAGCAGCTCGCCACCCAAGTCTCCTTCGTCTCCCAAGCGCAGTCCGACCAAGTCGACGGCTGCCACAACGCAGGGGATGGTCGAGTACACTGGCGTCGTGGTGATCGACCTCAAGGAAGCAAAAGAGCTCGCGGGCATGAACATCACTGGCAAGTCGGACCCGTACGTGGCCTTCCGCCTGGGCGAGCAGAGTATCAGCAGCAAGCGCGTGGACAACAGCGTCACGCCGCAGTGGAACCAGCAGCTCATGCTCTCGTGGGACGGCACGTCGCCGCTCAAGGTCGAGCTCTACGACTACAACAAGGTGAACGCGGATCGGCCCATGGGGGCGTTCGCCATCAGCGCGGATCAGCTGGCGTCGCTGCCTGACGCGGGCGAATCGGACGGGCCCTACGAGGACTGGTACCCGGTGATCATGCCGCGCGACTGGGCTACGAACTTCAGCGAGCACATGGTCGCGGGTGCTGAAGGCGTCACCAAGGGCATCTATCGAGGCATCACGGGCGTCTTAAAGGACCCGATCAAGGGCGCGCGCGAGAACGGACTCGAGGGCTTCGCCAAGGGCGTCGGCACGGGCGTGGCCGGCGTCGTCTACCGCCCCATCAAGGGCCTGGGCTCCATGGTTAAGCACTCGGCTCTGTCTGTCGGCATGGGTCGGAAACACCGCTCCAGCAGCGGAGGCAGCGAGAACGACGGCAGCTCCTCGCCCGACGGACGAGACTACGTGTCCGCAGGGTCCGTCCGGCTTGCCTTGTCGCTGCAGAAGTTCTCCTGAGCCACTCAACCGCTACATTGCACACAGTTCATGGTGAGGATGAAGACAAAACGTGTAATTTATTCGTTCACCTTGGCTCCGTCGACGCGCACAGCCGCGCCTTGCCCTGTGGTTTACTGTCACACCTTCGTGCTGCTTATGTTGTTTGTTCTGTCTGGGCGTAGTTGGGTTGGGTTGGGTCGGATTTGCCTACATGAGGGTACGGAAGTTCAACAACTCGCTCTTCACCCGGCGGAATTGCTCGAGCAGTGTCGACGCCTCCCCGCTCTCGTCTGCGATAGATAGATAGAAACACAAGCACCGGCATGTTAGTTAAGCACTCAAAGAGGTAAGCAAACGCAGCAGCTTACTTACCCTGTGATGTGGCGCGCAGATCCGTGATAAAGCCGCCGCAGAGGTCGACGATGTTCGGGCAGCAGGCGGCAAACTCCGCGAGTTGGTCCTTGCCGGCGCGCGGGGAAATCGCATGCTTCTTCCAGATAGTAATAATGGTCAGCATGGACTGCAGCAGGTGCAGCGTCCAGCCCTCCCGGTAGAGCCGCTCGGGCTGCTCGCGGTACAGCTGCTCGTAGTAGCTCAGCAGCAATCGGTGCGGGACACCAACGTCCAGGAACAGCTTCAGTACCCAGTTGAAGGTGGTGGCGTCGATGGCCGAGGCCGAAGCAACACCGCCCGTGAAGGAGCCAACGCCCGCTGATCGAATATACCACAGAGAGATCCACTCCAATATATCGGCCAAGAAGCCCACGGGGAACACGAAGCCACCGACTCCTGCGGCCGAGCCGCTGTGTGAGTCATCGCCCTCAAGGTAGAGCGACTTGCCCAGGCGCAGAATCTTGCACTGCATCTGGCCGATCCAGTTGCCGCTCTCGAACGAGGAGCCGCCACTTCCACTGCTTGATGTGGCAAGCAGACCAGCCTTCTCGCACTGGTCCAGCCGCCACGCATTGAACGCCGCGTTGTTGGAGGACTGCGGCAAGAGGCTGAAGATGATCTTCCGCCACAGCGTCGCAATCACGTCCGCCTCCTCCGACTTGCACACGTGAATAATGTGCAGGCACTCCGTCCACATATCGTACTTGGACGCGAATCGGTTGTACAAGGTAGAAGCGTCGAACAGCTTGTAGGTAAGCAGCTGCACGTCCGTCTTCCGCTCCCGAAGCTGCTCGTCCGTGGTCGATGAAGAAGTCTCCAGCTCGATCACCTTCTGCTCAAGCGCCTTCAGAACACGCACTTGCAGCTGCAGCACATCCAGCACGTCACGCACTTCGCGAATCGCCTCGGCGGCCTCACCTGCATCCTCCAAACTCTTCAGACAGCCAAGAGACTTCGATACGTAGTACTGACGCTTGACAATGTCCGGGTTGTTGGCGACCACAAGAGCGGAAGTTGCATACTCGTCTTCGCCCATCGTGTCCTCGTGGGCTCGTGCCCACCACACCTTCGCCGCAACAAGGTACTTGTGCTGATCCATGTAGAGCTTCACAAGTAGGTCTTGGTCCTTCTCCTTCAGGAACTCCTCGATGAACGGGGAGCGAATCGAAGTCAACAGGTGCGAGTGTCCACGCTCATACAACCACGTGTACAGCAAGTTGTGGAAGCTATCGTCCTCAGACGCCAGCGCAAAGTGGAACAACTCTTCCACGAACTTATTCCGCGTGTCGTCATCTAGCGTCACCATTTCCTCCACAGCTTGAGGGCTGGCACCGTTCGCCGCAGCACGAGCCGAGCTGTTCTTGTCACCGGCCTCACCACCAAGAAGTCGGTGCAGAGCCAACAAAATGCAGCCGAAGCACCGCCGTTTCCATGTCTGCTTGACACCGCTCAGGTCCGAAGCGCCGGCATCGTGGAAGTGCTTGGCACATGCTAGCGACAGCTTAACGACACCTTCGTAGTAGTTCAGCAGCGTGTAGTCTTCGCAAATTCCCTGTAAAACATCCAGGCAGTCCTCCGTGTCCCACATGTGGCATGAGTTCAGGAACTGGTCAAGGGATTCCTTCAAGAAGTTCTTGCGAGCAACGGGCGATCCACTGAGCTTGGCATTCGACAAGCTTCGGTATCCTTGGTAGTGCCAGAGGTCAGAAACAGAGAAAAACGTGGGGCACTGTTCGCGAAGCTGCTTGATCAGGAAGTGGTTGTTCTCGTTGCGGCCGCGCATCAGCGCCTTCGTCATGGTCTTGGCAGCCAGCGAGCCATCCGTCGTAGTCACCAATTCGCTGAAGCTCAGGCGGGCGAGGGGCTCCTCCAGCGACACCTTGTACTCTTGTGCAATCCGCAGCAGTGAAATAGCCTCAATACTGCGCAGAACCAACTCGTAAAGGTAGTACAGGGAGCGCTGTTCGGCCTTGAAACGCGTTTCACGCTTCAGTTGATCTTCGCTCAGGGACTTCTGGTGGCGCATCACCAGCTCCGACACGCGCGACAGGCCAGCCTCAGCACTCTCGCCCAGAACACCGTCCAAGCTCGGGTTGTTCTCCAGTGCAGCGCCGCCGCTAATTGACACAGCAAACGGTCCTGCGCTTTCCATCAGTTGCCGCAGCTGGAACAGAATCTCACGGATCTCGTCCAGCTTCTCAGGGAAATGGATGTTCTCGAAGCTAGTCACATATCCTGGAGACTTGGCCGACGACTTAGAGCCGTTAGCAGCATTGGCGGAGACGCGAGAAACCACGCGACGGCCTAGAGTCTTGGATGTCCAAAGCGGGCGAAGAACACGGGAAGCGAATGCGACCAAACCGTCGTGCTGGTACGACATGCCGAACTCCGTCGTAAGCACGATACGCGTGCTACTCGCAGTGCTAGATGCACCGTTGGCCGTAGAGGTAGCAGCGGGCTCCAGCGGTACGTTGTCAGGGGGGCCCTGAGCAATCTCAAAGATGCTCTGGACCGCAGCCGAGTAAATATAATCGTCGCTCTTCATCGACGTCAAACCAGCACGGCGTGGCGCAACTAGCGAAGCAGCCGTGGAAGTCTCACTGACAAGAGGGTCAGTGGGGACACCACATGCCAATGCGATGAGCATGCAGACCACCTGAATCTCGCCAAAGCAGCGCACAAACGGCGCCAGCGCAGCCTTGAGTTCGTGGCCACGCGCAAGTAGAAGCACATGGTGAAGCTGGTCCAGCGGCCGGATCTTCTTGAAAACCTGAATACCTGCGTTGGTAAGGCACAAGAAGTGGCGAGAAGGCTGTGAATACATGAGCGCCATCTCACCCACAACCGGTGCGTTCTCCGAGGCACTTCCAGCAGGGACACCAGTAAACATCTCGTCAAACGAACGCTTGCTGCCGCTGCTGGATCCCTTCGTGCTCGAAGCCGCAGCCGCCGCCTCGGCCTGCGCAATCCACGCGCTCTCGGGGCCCTCGCTCGAGTATGGGTCCAGTTCCTGAATATCCACCACCTTGCCGATGCATGTGTCGAGCGAAACAGCTTCTCGGATCGTGGGTTTCCTAGCCGCCAAACCTGTCTGAACGGGGAGAGCTGTAGTACTAATCGGGTCGTGTGCAATGCCCACGAGTTGGTCCTGCTGGTCACGGCGTCCTTCGATGCACAAGAACACGCCCTTGCGGTGGAATGCTACGTGCACCGCGCTAGGGCTCTTTCCGGGCGCGTAACCTGGCTGCATTCCTTCCTTGGCATGGTACGGCGGCGCATCCCGCAGCGCGATAGCCGGAGGGGGCAGGCGAATGTGAAGAATCTCGAGTCGGGACGGACGTTTCGCTCTGCCGTAAGTGCCAGCTCCCGAGTAAGTGTATCGCCGCGAAAACGCCGTCAAGTAGAAGCGAATGCCGTTCGACGTCACCGCAACCAGCGAAACAACCTTGGACTCGTCAGGAGACACCGTCGACAGCGCCACAACCTTCAAAGGGTTGGGCGTTCCAGCCACCGCCGGCTGGAAGAGTCTCTCGTCGGGGCACGACACGCGGGTGCGGCGGTTCTCGCGCGCGTACTTGGCGCCGTCCACCAGCAGGTTCACGGCGCACACGGCCTTGGTCTCATCTCCATTGGCTCCGAGGTCGAACACGCTCACCTGCGCGTCGTCGTGGAGCACGTACAAAATGTGTCGCGCGTGGTCCACGCACAGATCCACCACTTTGCCGGGCGCGCTGGCCAGTCCCGCCAGGAACCGCGGCAGATACTGCGCGTAGCTGGACGTGTGCGCGACCTTCCTGCAGCCGTCCGGCGGGCCGACTCCGGGCACGTTCGTGAGGGCCGCGCCAAGCAGCGAGTTGCGGTCGGCCGCCGCCTTCTGCTCCGGCGCGTAGAGGAACTCGTAGAGCGCGCCGTCCGAGCCGCCGAAGAAGACGCGCCCGCTGCGCGTGGTGACGATGCGGCGCACCACGCACTTGTCCGTGCTGACGCTGAGCTTGGTGCGCTGCAGCTTGAAGCTGGCGCCGTCCGTCTGGTTGTCGTCGGGCACGACGGCCAGCAGCAGCACCTCCACGGTGGTGGCCACCACCAGCACGTGGCGCACCTTGGACGTGAAGACGCCGGGCGCGGGCCGCGCCACGAGCCCCACGGCCACGACGGCCTGGTCGAACTCCTTGGCGGCGAAGCGCCCGCGCTGCGCGTAGCTCCAGAGGAAGAGGCGCGCGTCCACGGACGTCCAGGCCGCGCGCAGCTCCGGCAGCAGCCCGGACAGCGACAGCGTCTTGGTGTCGTCCAGCGCGGCGGCCACCACGCCCGGCAGCGGGATCACGGATCCCTTCTTGGCCAGCTGCGGCGTCCACTGCGACGCGTAGGGCTCGAAGAAGTAGTTCTGCGGCTCCGACTGCGCGTTCAGCTGGTCCGCCAGGTCCGGGAACGACGCGTCCTCCTGCGCGGCCTGGTCCACGCGCGTCTTGGCGTCCGACAGGCCCTTGAGCGTGCGCTCCGCCGCCTCGCGCGGCGCCGACAGCTCCATGGCTCCTCCTGGACCTCGACTACGGGACGATTGGGCGCGGGGTGTTGTATGGCGCCCCGGGGGGCGGGGCGTATATTTCTGTCGATATGGCTTATATTTCTGTCCGTGGGATGGGCGTTGCAGAATGTCGAGTTGAAAAGTTTAGCCAATGGCGAAGACGCGGACGGAAAATAAGAAAGTGGCTACAAAGTGGACGAAAAGAATCGCCGCGCAAAGGTGCACTTTACTACAGGTGTCTCTGTTGACGGGCTAGTTGGAAATGAACGAGAACATGGACGGCTCTGGCTCTTGGAGGACGCTGCGCTGCGACTGGGCCTGCGAGAGGGTCGACGAGGCCACGGTGGGTGTCGTGGAGGACGTGTTGCTGCCCCGCATGAAGCCGAACGCCGTAGGGGAAGTCGGCTCCGTGCTGGTGGAGCTGCTGTCGAACACGGGGTGGTCGCCGCCGTTGATGGTGGACATGAACCCGAAGGACGACTGCGTGGACTCGGCGATGGCTGGGACTTGCGGTCTGCTTGACGCCGTCGAGCGCAGCGACGCCTCCAGGTCACTGAGACCCATGGGTCGGCCGTGGCTGCTCTTGGTTAATGTGTCGTACAGAGCAGGCGCAGGTCTCGCTGGCTGCTGCTGCTGCTGGGTGTCGTCCTTCAAGTTGAGTCCCGCAAACACATTCGCGGTCGCCTCCACAGGGTTCGCTCCATCGGTCGACAGCACACCAAAACTGGATGACGGACTCGTCGGCGCCTGACTAACGGTAAGCGGAGCAGCAGCCGCTGCTGCAGCCACAGGCTGTTGTGCGTTGTCGCGGAGGAAGCTGAAGCCGTACGAGTTGTCTGCTTGCACGGGTGCTGCCGATGGGACTGCGACGTTTCCTCCGTGAACATCAGCGACTTGAGGGTTCGCGTTGGCGTTCAGGAACTTGAAACCCGAGTCGCCTTGCAGCTGTGAGATTCCTAGCGGTGGGTCATTGACTGTGCTGTGTGAGTCCCCTCCGACGAATGCAAAGGCGGACACTGGGTGCTTCTCCTCTTCTGCAGCCGCGATGGTGCTGTACGCCGGCGGAAGATCTAAACTCGCAGTACTCTGAATCAGCCGAGCCAGCTCGTCCGCCTTCCGCACCAATGTTGACCGGAACTGCTTCACCTCTTCGTAGTTAGGCGGTCGGTGCTCCCCGAAAATGACCGAGTCAATGCCTTGTGTCTGGATTTTCTCCACTGTTCCGTGAAGTTGCGCGAGTTGGTTGCGGCGGTCCACAATGGGCTGCCCACCGTGCTCACGACGGATGATTTCCTTTAGCTTCGCCTCGATCTCGCTCAGGCTACTCCTGTATCCGTTCAGACGCGTCATGAACGCTTCACCGGTTGAGCTCCCTGGGGTATGAATATCCTCCGACTCGGGCTGGGCTTGGTCCTCTTCCACGCTCTCTGCATCAGCTGTGCAGACTTCCTCTTCCTCCAGAGGGGGAGGGACATAAGGCACCAGCAGTGTCGATGGGTTAGCGGTACGACCCTGGGTCATGAGTTTCTTGAAACGCAGCAGCTTGGGGGCGTTTGCAAGAGAGCCTAAGATGGGACCCACCTCGGCTAATCCCTTGTTCTCCACGTAGATGGAGTTAATACTAATCAGAGCACAACCCGGGCAGATTGCTGGATGGAGCTCAAGGTAACCTCGCCCACCCGTTGGCAGGGGCACGAAGCGTTCGATCACCGTCATATCAGAGATTGTACGGTCCAGCATCACGCCCATGGGTCCTGGCGGCACCTCAATTTCCAGAATCACCTCTCGCAACGGCTCATTAGACTGCGTAGGCTCTGGAACGTCGCTCTCAACCCCCCCATGCACTGCATCCGACGTCGGCTTGTAAGCGTCAAACGAATCCAATGCTTGAGCACCGTCATTAGCATCCAACCCTTCAAACGCATCGTGAATCGGGTCTGACATCTCGGGTTCCTCCTCTTTCTCTTCTTCCTTCTCCGCCTCAATCATTTGGGATGGTTGCAATAGCGTCGGTTCCGGAAGAGTGTCGAAGACTGTGTGGCGGCGTTGAAGCACAGGTGCAGCCGGTGCCTGCGTGGGGGCACCGGCTGAAGCCGACTTCTGTTGTTGAGGCTGCTGTCCGCCCATGAAAGCAAACGCCGACGCGTTTTCAGCCGGCGGTGGCGACGGGATGCCGTGCTCAATAGCATGGACGCTTTTCACCCCGGGGGACTGGTTCAAAAAGCTAAAGCTTGAAGAGTCCGACGATAGAGGCGGCGCGCTGGGTGCCGGTATGGCTGGTGCAGCCATGGCAGGGACTGGGGTAGCACCCTGTGCAGGTGCTGCTGCCATAAAGCTGAACGCCGAGCCGCCTGAGGCCGGCGGCGCTGGCACGGCAGCTGGCGGCGGTGAGTCCACCTCGCCGCCATTGGACGAGAGAAAGCCGAACGCCGAGTTGCTCACGGGGGGCGTCAAAGGCTCAGCAGCCATCTGAGCAGGCGCATACTCCTGCTGCGGTGGCTGGGGGGCTGCAGGCGTTAAAAAGCTGAGCGCCGACCCTTCTTGCGGCGCAGGGGCAGGCAGCGGGGCGCTGCTGCTGCGCGGCGAGTCGTTCATGTCCATCATCAGGTCGTGCGGGGTCTGCTGCGACGCCACAATGGGCGACGTGTGCATGAGCGTGTGCATCTCGGGCGTCTGCGCCGCTCTGGCCTCGGCCTCCTCGACCTCCTCCTCCTGCATGCGGCGCATCATCTCCAGCGGACTCTCCTCGTCGGGCGGCACGTAGTCCTTGAGCAGCAAGTACACCTTGTCTGCACGCTTGCGCAGCATGTCCTTCCTGGCATTGCGCAGGTCCTCCAGCAGGTCCAGCCGGCCGCCGTAGTACTGCTTGTAGAACTCGGCCTCGGCGCTGCCCAGCAGCGCGCTCAGCACGGACAAAGCCTTGGCCTTCACCTGCCACAGCGGACTCTCGAACTTGTCGTCCAGCAGCTCGCAAATGTACTGCGCAACATCAAGCCATAAACTCCATTAGCACGCAGTACAGTAACTGTGTATTGATCCATAGAAAGAGACAGCGGGGCGTACGTCGTGATCCAGTGTGTGCAGGTAGCGCAGCAGCTTGTGCAGCACCTCGCGCGGCGGGAAGGACGAGGAGCCCACGGACGAGCAGAGCTCCGACACGAGCGCGTTCTCGAGGTCCGTCTGCTGCAGCGCGGGCTGCTGCGCCGGCGCCTTGAAGCCCTGCTTCCATCGCGCCGCCTGGGACGCGTACGTCGAGTCGGGCGCGGGTCGCCGCTGGCTGTACATGGCTGCAGCGAGGCAAGGAGGAAGGCTCCTTCCGGGAAGGCCGTAGGAAGGCTAATGAACCAGCCCCTGAAGGGGTCCAGGGGAAGGTAAAGAACGCGAAATGGGGCTCTACGACTGGTTGAAAAAATGGGTTCAGTATTTCAGCCAATCCTTGAGCCCAAAAAGTGATTCCCAAATGACAGGCGACTTATTGCGACGCAAGCTGGGGACAGCGCGCGTCTGGCAGTAACGCCGCAAAGGGGCATTAGGCGACATGCGCATATTCCGCCTTGCCTTGCCTACAGGGCGGACCATGAAGACGAACTGTAACCTTAACGACAATGGACAGCATGCAGTGCAGCCAGCCAACGGTGCAGCTCGGCCCGGCCACTTCAACCTAGAAATTTCGGCTACAGTCCCGGTCTCACTATCACAGTGACCAAGGTGTCGGTCACACGAGATGAAAAAAAATGTCGGCGGGCTGAGCTCAGTGCCTCCGACCAGCAAAACTTTCTTCAGTGATGACCTCGCTCTCTAGCTGAGGGTTACATGTAAGCACATTTTTCAGCCTTACGACGTTTTCGGACTATGACCATTAAAAGTTTAGAACGACAATACACAGCAGTACGGTGATCAGAAGTAGAGCGCGCTCGTCCGGCGGTCTACAGAGCGAACGTTGGGCTGGATTGGAGGTGGCAGCGCATCGGAGTCCGCTGCTTGGCTCGATTCGCTTGAAACTGCACTGCTGTCCACCGCCTCACGCTGGAAAAATTGTCGTGGGGTGCGGGTGTCGCTGTCGTGGAACTCCGACTCGTACACGGACGCTGGCTCGCTCGTGCCGTCGAAGTCGTCTATGGAGGTGAAGCTTGACTGCGAGAAGATCGTCTGACTCTGCGAGTAGTTGGAGACAGAGGACGGACCGTGCCGCTCGGCGTCGACGGCTCGTTGATGCAGCGCGTGCTGGAACCTCGCGCCGGCCTTCCTCCTGGACGCGTTCGAGTCGACGACGCTGAGCATGTCGAGGTCTTGCAGCAGCTGCCCGAGGCAAACGCGGTGCTTGAGCTGTGCGACCTTCGGCTCCGTCAGCGAAGCGCTGCCGATGCTCAAGAAGACGTGGTCACGAGACACTTGACACGACGTGAAGAAGTGGAAACGGAGGCTGAAAAACGGCGACTCGAGGTACTCGTCCCAAATGCTGCCCTCCTCTCCAGCTTCGGAGGACCCTTTCGATGTGCTGGTGGGGTTCGATGTGTCATCGGATGTTGCAGCCTCTTGGGAGCGCAGTACATCATCAGCTGATTCATGCGTCCGCTTCAAGAACTGCCACACTGTCCCGCTCAGGGTAATACTTTGAGCAGAGTACTGGCACTTACCAAAGTCCCCCGTCTCGACCTTGAGTTTTGGAGGTTCGTTAGCGTCATCGGTGACTACCGATACGGAGAACGGAGTGAGCGTTTGTCCAGGCTCCAACTGTGATACGTCGGATGGAACTTCGAAAAGCACGCGAACCGATGGGTTTTTCACGGCAACTTTCAAGCGATCGTTTGGGAGTTCTACTTCGTCGTCTGGGCCATTGTTCTGGATCGAGTCGAGCAGAAACCTTGAAAACACTAAAGCTCCGTGTTCGTGCGTTCTGGTCAAGATTGACGGTGGAGGCTCGTTCACGCTTTGCGGGGTAATTGAAACTCCGTCACGTGAAGACAAGGCTGCCAAATCCGTGAGTGGGATCGTGACCGACCCGGCACATGGGCCTTTGCCGGAGAAATCTCTCGCCTCAACAAACAACCGGCTCATAAATCCACTTGGAAGCACACCACGGAAGATGACGCCTAGCATATCGACATTGGTGGTGACATACGAGAGCAACTTTGTCGCTGTCTCATAGCGGTTGTCCAGCCGCGCCAGCTTGTTCTGGAGGTAGGTGCTATCGCGCAGCTCGGCCAGATTTGCGAGGCCAACCGAGCTCGTATCCATACTTCTGCGAATGATGCGTTGCAGCGCCATGTAGTAGGTCGAAGCTCCCTCGCACAGGTCAAGGCGAAACGTAACATCCACCAGCGAAATTGACACATCCACAGGGTATTCCTTAATCTGCTCGATAGTGTCGATGATCGAGGCAAAAGGGGACGACAGCGCTGGATCTCGACGAGACGGCGAGTCCGACGTCGTTGACAACAACTGAATGCTCTGCCCCCAGAGCTCACTCGCCAGCGCCTTCAAATGCGGTGTCTGGTGGAACTGCTCGAAGTAGCTGATCAGGTTGCGGATGCACAACCGCGGCGTTTCCACCTTGCCAAACAGGGTCTTGTTGTTGTTGTGCGTATCGACGAAAGTCTTGAAGATGGTGAACAAAACCTCGGCTTCATCGTCTGAGATGGCCATGATGTCACGCGCTGTCTCCGATAATTCTTGATCTGTTGCACGCTTAGCCTCTGTGTTCGAGTTTTTCAGCGCGGCATCGTACACCGCCAGCTTTCGTCCACTGATCTTGATCTCACTGGATAGCACGACTTGAGCTTCGCGACGTTGGATCAGCGGTCCTAGCTCGACGCAAAATAGTCGCTGGACAGCTCCTCTCACGACCGAAGGCAGCATGCGGTTGATAAACATCTTCATGATTGTATCGTGGTCTTTGCCACGCTTAGTCGAGTTGATATCCCTCTCGTAATACACGAAGCTCATCAGCTTCACGTCCAATTCCTCTGGCGGAACAGTCCACCCCGGTATCGAGTCAAACACGAGCGGGATGTCAGCCACAAGCTGCGCCTCGACATTCAACTCATCACAGTGGAAACTCGGCAATCGTCCTTCAGTCACTAGTGTAAAGTTCATCACGCGGATCTTCAGTCCGCGTGTGGAGGGCGTTGAGATATGCAGAGACAAGTGTGGCGCTGTCGACCTCGTCTCGATCGAGAACTTGGCGTGGAAAGATGGAATCCAGATATCCCCAACGCCGACATAAATGCCGTCATTTCCGAAGCGCAGCAAATATCCTTCAAAGTCCGGCAAGTAATGCTCTTGCTTCGACTTCTCCACGTTCTCACTCAGTTGCGTGAAAAGGTGGCGCAGTTCAATGTACTCCGACCACAGAGTGTGGTTCTCTGGTCGCAGTTCCTTCTTGTTCTCGCGCATCTTTTCAAGTCTTTCCTTGATGCTAGCGCGCTGCCTGGCCAAGATCTCAATTCGCCGGTAGTTCGAGCTCTTGGCCGCGTTCCACGCCTTGACCTGCTTCTTCTTGTGGGCGTCCACACACTGATGCACCGTTTCCATCACTTGCTTGATCTGTTCAAACCGGTTCTTCCTGTCATACGCCACTTTATCCGACAAAATGCCCAACGACGGGAGCACCACTTGCTCCACGTGATCGATGTAGTCCTCCAATGGCACAGTCGATTTACTCTCACCGAACACCTCAATACACGCCTGCACCAACAACGCCGCCTCCTGAACGCCGCGTGCACTCACCAACAAACTCTCCTGCAACGTTAAATAACGGGCAATGTGCGTCTCAGTGTACTCGCCGAGCGTCTCCTTGACCACCAGCACGCGTCGGAACATGAGCTCCGCCGGCATGTCCACACTCGCCAGCGTCATCTGCGCCATCTCCAGCGTCGAGAACCTCCTCATCTGCCCATTGACACCCACCAGCACGTCGCCGACCTGCACCATCCCCGACCTCTCCACGTCCCCCGGGGGACCTCTCTTGCCCTTGTCCACACTGCGTTCGAACCCGTGCACCACGACCTGGCCCCTCTCCAGAGCCAATCGCACCCGGAACGGCCGCGAGTTGCATGGAATCCGCACCAAACTCCTGTCACTTGCGTTACTACCATCAAAGTCTGCATCCGACAGAGCGGAACGGCGTCGCATTGATGGAGTTCGTCTCCCTGGCGACGGATTCTGCCGAGCCGGACTTGAAGTCTGCGAGAAGGCGAACGGAGACTGCATCTGCGACTCCTCCGACGGTGCCCCAGTGTCCAGGAAGCCGGCAAATCGCCGCCTAGTCGTGGGAGACAGCGCCTCGCTCAGCATGCTCCGCCCGCGGGCGAACAGCGGCAGCTTGGACGGGTCCATTTCGGCGAGGTCTGTGTGCTACGTCGGACTTGTTGGACTCAGATCGCGCTGGTCTGATTACAAAGTAACGGCTGTTGACTTGGTCTCACTATAGAGACCACAACACTGGTGGAAGATGAGCGAGGAGGTGTCGACGTACTTGCTGCTGGTGCTGCGCGGACTCGAGTTCCTCGTGGAGGAGGAGATCCGATCCAATCTCCAGGTGCGTGCGCTAGTGATCTATAGTGATCCCGTCGCTATGAGGCTTTGAGTTGACTAGTAGTGGTGATGGTTGGTTGGTTGATTGGTTGGTGTGCAGGTAGAGAGTCTGGAGATATGCAGCGTGCAGGAGAACCCTCGGCCGCCGTACATGCAGGTGATGCAGGGCCAGGCTGCGGTGGGCAGGATCATTCTGCGCACCAAGTCGTCGGCTGCGGAGGTCCAGGAGCTGCGGTCCGTGCAGGCGACGCTGGCGCTGCTGGCCAAGAGCGACGAGATCGACACGGAGAGCGACGCCGGCGTCAAGCAGATTGGGGTGCGTAGACTGGCAGTGGGCTTGACCGTGTTGGTAGTTGGGTGCTAAACGTTGTGGTGATGCGGTGCAGCAACTGCTGGTGGAGGCGGACTGGGACTCGGCCGTGAAGCTCTGGAAGCAGCACGCCGTTCGCCCCGTGGAGGACGACAAGATCACGTTCCGCGGCTCGTGCGTGCGTGACGGCAAGCACGCGTACAACTCGCAGGTGGTGGCGGGAGAAGTGGGCGCGCGCGTGATCGAGAAGTTCGGCTGGGGCGTCAACCTGACCGAGTTCGACGTGGAGGTGGTCGTGGTGATCTTCTACAAGTTCATGGTGGCGGGCATCGCGCTGGCCGACCCGCGCAAGATCCAGTTCCGCAACCGATTGGCGAATGAAAGCCGTAGTGCGCTAGCCGACTCGCAGTACGTCTCGACGCTGCGTCCCAGCACGGCGTATTTGATGCTGCAGCTTGCCCAGCACAAGTACGGCGACGTAGTGCTGGATTCCATGTGCGGAATCGGCACTCTTCCGATTTGTTCCGCTGACTTCACGAACGACGGCGTGTACGCTCTCGGCGGTGAACTGGACGAGCTGCCGTCGGGCAAAGCCGGCCAAAATGCCGTCACTCGTCCTCGCCCCGTGGACATTGCGCGCTGGGACAGCACGCGATTGCCCCTGCGCAGTCACAGTATCGACAGGATCATGATCGACATGCCGTTCGGGGTTCGCTGCGGCAACCAGCGCCAGAACAACAAGGTTCGTCGTTGCTTTAAGCTTTTAATGCGTCCAAAGTATTCAAATGTGCTGACTGTGGCTTGATTGTTGGTGTTGTAGATGTACCCCAAGGTGTTCAAGGAGCTTCTGCGCGTGCTGCGACCTGATGGACGAGCAGGTAGGAACCGAATGAATGGTGTGCTCGCATGTCATGACCGTCGGTTAACATCGCTTTGTCTCTATTGCAGTGCTGCTGGTCATGTCCAAGAAGCTGTTCAAGGGTGCGGTCAAGGACCTGCCGTTCCGCGTTGTGGCTGAGCACATGGTGAGCATCGGCGGGCTCGCTGGAGGCATCTACGTTATCGAACCTACTGCATCGGTCCCGCCTCAGCCCACACCAACCACAACCATCGGCCAGAAGCGCAGCGCCAGCAGTGTCAGCTCTTAGGACCCTTCACTACTACAGTTGAACAAGCGAGCCCTTTAGATACCCTGTGAATGAACATATTGTTTTCGCTCTGCGTCCGTGCACAGGTTGTTCACTTCATATCATGTCGCTGAGGTGATGTCAGTCGTCGACAGAGCAATTAAAAGCCTCATAGCTCCACAATAGCGATGCAACACACCAAGCAATAGGTCAACGATTTCTTACTAAGAAAATGAAGCATTTGTCTAGAGTAGAAGGTACTGTTCGTAATCTAAGCAGCCTAGATTCACTTCATGCGGGACTGCGTAGCGATCCTCGAGCGGAGTCTCGCGAGGTAGTAGGTAGGATAGTTATGAGGACTAACGGGACTCCCGTGGCTGTCTCTGTTTCAAGGGCGTGCTTTATAGAGGCTAGAATGATGAGCAACAAGCAACAAGAGGCAAGTGCGATGGCGGTGCATGTGTAAGGTCATCGTTTAGCTGCCCGAGCACACACCGACTAGCGGTTGTGCTCACTATGTAGCTGACACTACTGTACAAACAGGGCTTGCACATTCTAATTACCCCGGAGACACTACCTGTTACCTTACAACTATCAAAGTACAACACGTAGATCTCAGACAAAGGTACGGACAAGTAGGAGCTGCGTAGTGTACATACTTGGCCTCTAGGCGCATGGTTTGTCGATGAAGCAGTGCTTAGCAGAACAAGCTCAAGATAGAACACCCTTCCTCAGAAGTCAGTGCCGCCGCACATTATGCAATTCCATATGAAACTGGAGGGCTATACTCAGTTTTCCTCCCAGAATTGGGGTTTCGCGTAAGCGAAACATAGGTTTAGAAACCTAGCAACAGAAGCCACACCACATCCGCGGCTAGGCCCTTCTCTACATCAACTTGTCTGGGCTAGTCACTGTTGGCGACGATCTCAGCTACGTCATGAACTTCAGCAACGTCTATCTCATCGTCGTCCTCCTCCTTGCGGGAACTTCTTTACGCAGCTGAATACAACTCAAGACAAAGTTTTGTGCGACTACGTCTTCGTGGATTTAGCAATGTAGTTACTCGAGACCTGCGCTTGGCTCGACTTGGTCACGGCCGGCCGGAGAAGGGAAGGGGGCGAGTTTGAATATCGAAAACTGCGTTCTGGGGCTCAACGGCTACTGAAAATTCGAGCAATCGAGACAAGGTAGGCGAGTAATTTCAGTTCCGGCAGGAATCGGCCTCCATCTTGAGGAGTCATTCGAGTGAGACATGGACACACCTTGGATGTTTCCTCAGAAGTTAGGAGGTGTAAAAAGTTTTTACTAAAAACTAGGCTGAGGGTTTACGCAGAAGTTAGTGCTTTCCTCAGAAGTTAGGCATGGGAAGGCCTTCCTCAGAAGTTAGGAAATTTTCCTCAAAAGTAAGTGGCACCCTCAGCTGATCATCGTAGAGATGCGGAAGTATTCACGAGTGGACAAGCTGCACCTCTACTTGGCCAAGGTGGGCCAGGGCTGGCTGAATGAGGATGATGTTGATGATGTGTCGACATCCAAACTTTCGGGCGGTGACTACTTCGGAGATGACTTTGTGACGGAGGAAGGAGTTCTTCACGTGCTGGTGGTGGCCCCAAGGCTTGATTCTAGCGCTGAAGTGCCCTTGGATGATGGCATTTTCTAGGTCATTCGAGACCATCTTTTCTCGGAACTTGTGACGGTTGACGAGGTGGATGGATGGCTTAACTTCATGTTGGATTTGCTGCAGCAAAGGATTTATAATACATTCGTTCTTCATACAAGTCAATCGCTCATCAAGCGCTGTGAAAGGATGAGCCCGGTATGGAGAAGAAGTATGCAGTCGTCACCGGTACGCCTAGGGTCGGGAAATCGGTGTTCCTTTACTATGTGATGTGGAGATTGATCAAGGAAGGAAAGTTGTTGATTAAGGAGCCGCCTTTCTACTTCGATGGCAGCACAATGTTGGAATTCAAGCAGTTGCCTTTTTCAGGCAACCGACAATTACGGTCGCCGGACTTGTGGTGTTTTGTGGACTCAATTGATCCGACGACTCGCAGGGTTTATTGGAGATTCGGGGGCCTGTCGGCCCCCGAACTCCGATAAATTTAGGTGAGATCTCCGAACTCCGGTCCCCCCGAGGGGCGCAGCCGTTTTCCCTTTATTTACCGAGAACTTGTAGCTGAGGAGTTCGCAGTAGGCATGGCCTTGTCAGCAGCGCGCAATGATAGCAAGGCAGCAGAGGTCGAGGCGGTTGGACGGCGCTCATTCTCTCCCCGTCTAGTTTATCCTGAGGAAAAGGTGGATGACATGCAGTTGTCGCGGCTGTTTTCACGTCCGTTGTTCGTGTGGATCCCGGAGTATCGAGGAGGCAAAGGTCTGCCGTCGTGCATCAGCCGAGACTGCAACTGCAATCCGAAGGTGAAAGACTATTGCCGTCGTGTGGTGGAATCTGTGGAGTGCAAGTGCGACCTGGTATTTGTGAAGTGTAGGTGCGCTGTAACAGGATCATATTTTTCCATTGTGAGCTCGGATTACTTTGCACAATGGTCCGATATGATTTTTCACTTTCCATTTGTTCTGAACCAAAAGCTAGTGTTCTCGAACTCACTCATGGAGATGGTTCATGACGGTATTACCGCGCAGGATGGGTTGCAACGTACCATGGCCAATATGGAGCGTAGGCGCAAACAGCGCTACTACAAGCTTTTGGGTCTGTTTTCCAGTGGTATCAAGCGAAACCACGAGCGTTGCTTCACCTATCTGGCCCCCACTCCAATATCAGAGGATCAGTATGCAGATCAAAACAAAGTTGTTGACAATCACACGCTTACGACGGCATGGCTACACGCTACAGAGCTGTACGGGTCGCTGTGTGAAAAAGTGATGAAAGACTGTGTTGTAAAGAGGGTCATGAGAATGGATCACTCTGTCAAGTTCTGCAAGCGGCTAAAGCTGTGGAAGGCCAAGGGGCAACGTGAATCTCTCAAAGATGCGAAAATGCTTTTGCTGTTCCAGAATGAAATTGGGCAGATTATTGGGCGGCGGCCGACCAGGTCTGAAAACAAGGAAGAAACACGAGCCTTGCTTCAACATGTGAAGTCGCAGTTTCGTGCGCCTTGTGGGGATGACCTGGATCATGTAGTTGTGTCGGATAACGCGTCGGCTGTCAAGAAAATGGTCAGAGAAGTGATTGGTAGGGAGGTGGTCACAAAACAGGACCCCTTTCACGTGATAACTCGCATCACTGAAAAATAAAGGCACCCGTCACCAGCAAACGAATTTCAAAGGAACTCTCCCGTGCGATCTACAATGTGGATCGTGAATTGCGCCCTACTGCTGAAATGGCTCTTCAATTTCAAAGTGTAGTCAGCGGTGTTTTGCGCTCAAGTGTATCGTGCAGCCTGAAAGATTGGAAAGGGTCGTGTCAGAGTAATTTGGAGCAGATTCAGCGTGGCGAGTTGTACGTGGGCTCAAACACTAACGAGGAAGGCGGTCATCGAGTTCGCGTGGTATCTACTAGCCAACTTGAGGGCTTTCACTCTTCCTCAAAAAACCTGCTTACCAGAAATGTATCCATTGATGTTGGCTTGCGGATCTTAGATTGGTTTATCGTCAAGCATAATTTGTCTATCGGTGCTAAGTTCGGGCGCAATCCGCCCATGAATGGCGTTGATTTGATGTCGGCGGGCCATACTGCATTACTCTGTGGAACGATGGTCCCTACTTCGCCTCAGATGGAGTATGTGATGCAGCTTTTCTCTTCGCCGCTTGTACCCCCGCAGTATAGAACGGAGACCGAGCGGGACTTTGACTTTGACTCCTATTTCTAAGTGCAAGAGTGAACACAACATGTCTCGAAGGGAATCTTAATCGCTCCCGGCAACACCGCTCAACAGTAGCGGAACTGCTGTTGAAAAGTGCCGTTACTCCAATCGGCCAAGCTGAAGCGTGACGAGTTTTTTTAACTCTATTCGACTGGCAAGTACCGAGTGTGAAGGCGACCAGGGCTTCTCTACGGAGGAACACGAGCTGCTCAGGCAGCTGCGCAGCGAGCAGGCTGCTAGTAAGCATGAATGGTGCACGTGTGAAATGATAACAACGATGATGTTCAATATTGTTGTTTGCAACAACACGAACCCTAAAATACGGCTACAACAGCGGAGCTATGCGATGGTCTCAAAAATTAAATCACTTGATGCTGATCCTGAAAGTACAAGCTCCGCTCGAGAACAAGCAAAAATATTCCATTTTGATCCTCAAGAAGCTGTTCCCTGGTTTTGCGTTCACCGATAGACTGCGAGGCTGATTTGATGCGCGATGTCTTCAAGATTCTGCGAAAGTTCAAGGCCGGCACAGCTCGTAAACGATTATCCCACCGTATCTACGACTTTGCAAGTTGTGTCTGCGCTGAAATTGGTCAACGTGATGAATCGGTGCGGGAGAAGCGCTGGGAAGCGCTGAAGGCGGCCCAAAACCGTAAGAAGAGGAAACTAGCGATGGTCACGAACCCCACAGACGCTCCATTATCTTGTCCAGCCCGTGATGAAGAAGAAAAACGAGCCGAGCCATTAATTACTCTGCTTACAGATCAAGAAACCGCAGCGAACGATGACATCGATGCTTCGACCACTACAACTAGCGGAAATGCAGACGACGCACCTCCAGCAAGACTACAACCGCTGGATATTCGTCGTGACACTGTTGGGATTGGTGAAGATGCAGGACAATCAAGTGTTCGAGCAAAACGGCCTCGGCCATCTACTATCGCACCAGAGCACTTGGCTGAGTTGCGTAAACTGTCTGATTCACTGGTGTATACTCGTGGAAAATATATATTGCTGCAGCAGGAGCTGAAGAAATATTACCCTGACGCGAACCTCACGGATAATCAACTACGCTGCCGCCTTAAACGACGTCGAACAGCAGAAAAAATGGCCCCAAGCCAGCGAGTAGCGGCAACGAGATATCTGACAGCGTTGCTCCACCTCTCGCTCCAGCTAGCAAGGCGACTTCGTGTTCGAGCTGCCGCCAGAAGCACTTAAAGTGCGGTGAAGGGTCTCAAAATCCTGCGTGTTTGCTAGCGAAGAAGAATACTACTCGTACGATAACAGAGTTCTTTAGCGTATAGCAATAAAAATCTAACATTCATAGCACATCTGTTTTTCCACCAGCATCGAGACATACCATCGAGACAACATTGTGGTCAAATGTGGTCAAATGTGGTCAAATGTGGTCAAAGTGGTCGCGAGACAAATCCCACCATCTCCCATGCGCCCCCCCCTCCCAGTTGCTCTACACGTCTCGTAAGGTGATTTTTAGTTTGTTGGCGCTTCGCTCACTATGCTCGCTCCGATGCCTACGCTTCGCTACGGCAGTAGTGGACCCGTTCCGCTCGCCTCGTCGACTACTCTCAATGTCAGGTTATTAATACAGAGGCCGGGGCGGGTCCTGCGGCCCCGCCATATCGTATTGGGGGGTCGCCTTCGGCGACGGAGCCGTCTTGCTCCAATTGATGTTTAGGATTGATGTTTAGGACGAGGCTGACTTCTGAGGAACAGCAATTTCAACAGCGCTCTGGAAGCACACATAAATTGGGGCCAAAGGCAGTCGTTCTTGATTATTGTAGGCAAGCCTCGCCGCGTCTCGAGAAGGGAGGTGAGGCGAGGCAGCCTGTTAAGTGAGGTGGGTTTTAAACTCGGGCCAGCGCCGGCTTGTGAGCTGAGCGCGCTTGAGCCTTGACCTTGGAGAGCTTGGGTGTATCCGGCGAGGCAAGTTGGCGACTGCGCCGACTCTCCGAACGACTGCCGTGCTCGGCTCGAGGACGGTTGCTGGCGGAGGCTGGGCTGAGCTGCTTTGCATGTTTTATTCTATTAGACACTTACTCACCTGTAAATTTACCTCATTTTCAAACCTTCTCCGTGAACACGTTTGGGGCAAAAGACAACGTCCTTAGATCACCGAAGGCATGCCTCGCAGCGGGTTCGCAGTGAATCCGTGCGAGGTAGCCCCCGATGAAATGGCGAGGTGGACTTGGATGGCCGCCTTGATGCCCCATTGGTGCTTGGCTGGGTTACTTCCGGGAAGTAGGGAACTAAAATCAACTTACCGGTATTATTGTGTGTTCTGTTCGAAATTTCCGCGGGCGGTTTGTTGAACCGCCCAAGCCAAATCTCCGGCCAATCTCCGTGGCCACTAGGATTGGGTATAGGAACCCGTTTAAGTACGAATTGGTCTTGACATGCGGGCACTTGGACCATATGGTTTAGGCCCGGAGATTGAGCAAATGACTTGAGTTTTGTATTCGGCGATTGGAGCGGGGTCTCCAAACCGCCGCGATTTGGAAAATTTGGCCGGAATTCACAATAATAAATGGAGAACATTAACTCGTGGCAACCGAATCGACACCACACACACACACACTATCAACAGCATGCACCGCAACTTTCTCCACCCTCGAAGGCCGCTTGCTTGCCCGCAGGCTAGCAGCATCTTGCCACCAGGAATATTGGACTGCTTATGCGGCTGGAAGCGTGGGTCTGGCGGTGTTTATTGCCGGCCTCCCGCCCTTGATGTGTGCTGGTGAGCTCGTGCGCTTCTGTGCTCGTTTTTCGGCCAGCTCACGAGCTGCAATAGCTTTCAGCTCTGCAGCACGTTGAAGCGCACGCTCAGCCACATCCTGCTGAGCTTGCAAACGAGCAATCTTTAGTGACGTCGACTCTCCAGCAGATTCACTCTTGGCAGACCCAACCATAGTGATATCCGTACCATCAACGCTAACCGCCACTTCCAGTCTCCGCATTTGCCACGATGACTTCACGCGCTTGCGCTTCCGCAGCTTTCTTGGCGACAACGATGGTTTCTCTCAGTCGCTGCTCCAGGCGTTCTTCCACCAGATGTTGCAGCTCCATTAGCTGCCTTTGCCACTGTCTGCGATTCTCCTCCAACAAGCTCTTCACGAGCCCCAACACGTGCGATTCAGCGCGACGCACGACTCTCTCCTCCAAAATCGCCATCGCCTGGCCCAGACGAATATCAACCTCCGATACTGCAACAGCACGCGCTCTCTCCTCCGCCAGCTCGACACCATGAACAGTCCGTCGTTCCAATAGCTCAACGTCAGCTCGCAACGCGTCACGCTCTGAGTGTGCCGCTTGCTACAGCTGCAGAAACTCGTCGTTGAGGTTGGCCATCAACGTCTGCACTGCTTGTTCCGCCCTCAAGGCTGCGCTCTTGCACGTCGACAAGAGCGGCGCTAACCCGCTCCTCCATCGCTCTACGAGCTGCATTTTGTTCCGCTAATTGAGACTGCCATCTCTCGCGCTTGACTGAGGCTGGCGTCCTGCAGCATCGTCAGCACCCTCTGGATGCGGTCGTCCACGCGACGCTCCAGTGCCATGGGGTCTCCGTAAGCTTGGTTAATAGCGCACACGAGCGCTTGAGTGCGCGCCACCGCCTCGAGACGCGCCTGGGCCACGCGCTCCTCCACGAAGACTTGTGACGCGCATCCTGCTCCGCCTGGCGGTCGGTCAACACGGCGTGCACTTCTGCCAGGTGGTTCGCCTGCGCTGACACGTGCGCGAGCGCCCTGCCGAGACGCTGGTTGTCTATCGAGTAGTGATCGGGCAGCTCGATGATCGCCGAGGGGTCCAAGTGATGGTACTCGGCCAATTGGGATCGGAATTGGAAAAAAATGTTAACTGAAATGTTACGGTACTTCTGAATCGTACAAAATGATTTCCAGATCGACACTGCTTCCCTGTTGATGTCCAACAGGCGAACAGGGATCAGGGGCAGAACAACGGGTATTAATTATTTTTCGAGTTACTGCTGTCAGTTTCGAGGCGAGCCTGAACCGTTCAGGTGTCACCAGCATTCGCACTGGTGGAAACCAATTCCGGGTACGGAATGAGAATTGCGTACTGCTCAATTTTCAGCGGTGCCTTCTTTGTGAACGTTTTGAAGTAGAATGGTGGAAGCAGAAAATAGAGCTTGCTACCGTGCGGACCCAGCATCGCCAGGTCTTCTTTCGCGCCGCCCCGGATTGAATGTGTCTTTCCAACGGTCATTTGAAATCCACCCACATCTGGCATCCACGCGTCGATGGCAGGATAATTCGATGCGTCTGGCACATATAGCTGATTGCCCCGTTGATCACCTCGCACACGATCCACTATTTCCCGCGTCGATGCTGGAATCGTGATTGTCCGTGAATATCCAGGATTCGACGTATATCGCCTACGCTTGCCTTTCTTTCTTTTGCCCGAGCTTGCTGGTTGTAGCTGATTCCCAGAATACAGTTCTCGATACTCAAATCGGCCGTCTTTTTCAAGTAGCTCCAATGCTAAGTCCTCGAAGACGTAGCCACATAGAGCTTGTGTCTTCGGGTTGCATTCTGTCGCCATAAGCAGCTTCCTCATTTGCTCAAGGCATTCCAAACGCTTGGTAGAAGCAATCACTCTCAGCCAAATCGGAAGCATAGACAACATTGCAGGTTATGTAAGGTTCTTGGCTGCGGATGTGGACGAGTGTCTGCACAGCTTGAGTTTTCGAAGTCACCTCAGCATCGCTCGAGGACACAAGCTTGATGCAATCATCAAGCGAGGAGCTTTTGCACGCTTTCCGCAAGACAACTTGTGGATCCTTCACGCGATTTTGAAATACTAAACGAGGAACACCACCCAAGCCTTTGAACAGCATCTCCCACACATCTGCAGCTCGCGGGTACAAGGGAGCAATCGCCGATAGTTCTTGGACTTCCCACACTGGCATATAAAACTGGTCTGGAGCAGGGACTAGCTTCTTGAACTCATTGATGCACTCTCGGCGTGGCATACTTGCAAGAAGCGTAGAGCAACGGCGGACAGGAAATCCCCTGTAAGTAGTCGGATCGACTGAATCCACCAAACACCACAACTCCGGTGACCAGAAACGCCGGTTTCCTGACGGGGGCAACTCTGTGCATTCCAACATCGTACTGCCGTCGAAGTAGACTGGCGGCTCTTCGGTCAAAAACAACACGCGCTTTCCTTCCTTGACCAATCTCCACATCACATAGTAGAGGAACACCGATTTCCCGACCCTAGGCGTACCGGTGACGACCGCATACTTCTTCTCCATGCCGGGCTCATCCTTTGACAGCGCCTGATCAGCGATCGACTTGTATGAAGAACGAATGTAAATCCTTTGCTGACCTGTCACCATCAAATCCGACTCGAAGTTAAGCCATCCATCCACCTCGTCTACCGTCACAAGTTCCGAGAAGAACGGGTCTCGAACGACCTTGAAAATGCCATCATCCATGGGTACTTCAACGCTGGCATCAAGCCTAGGTGCCGTGAATGTCTCCTGCCTCCGCCACAAAATTTTCTCCGAAGTAGCCCGAAAGTTTGAATGTCGATTTCACCCGCTCGTAGCTTATTGGGTGCCCGTCCTCATCGAGCGGCACATCATCAACATCATCCTCACTCAGCCAGCCCTGGCCCACCTTGGCCAAGTAGAGGTGCAGCTTGTCCACTCGTGAATACTTCAGCATCTCTACGATGATCAGCTTAAGTTCGCCGACCGTGCGCAACTCGTCACTGACGACGGGGAACGTTCCTCTTTTCCCCACAGGCTCCATCATCGCGCAACTCAGGAGCACCATCTTTCCTTGTGGGGTCGAGTCGAAATCTGGAATAAGAGAATAAGAGAGAGGAGAGAATAGTACTTAACCGGGAACGCTGCATTTCAAAAATTTCGTGGCTTAAAAAATGTGGATGTTTTTGGACCCGAATAGACGAGAACCATTGAAAAACACCATGCCCATCACCGGTCTACTAATAAGGGCATTCTGGGCCCAGACCCCCGCAAAAGAAAAACTAACTCCGAGTTGAGGCAACCGGCCGTTCGCTGGAATGCTCGTCGCTGGGCCCGCCTCCGCAAATACCGCGCGGCCCTGCTTCGCGGGCACCCCGCGTGGGTTTGCTTTGGCTACGCTCCTCGCACTACCGCCGTCTAATGATGTGCACCTAACCCTTAGGCTCGGTGTTTTTCAGGCTTTTGTGGTGATTTTTATATTTTCTCCGAATAGACACAATATTTGACATTTTAAATTTTTACAGATCTGCTGGTACCAATTTGGAAGAGGTGGCGCAAAAAACTTGGGCGCGTGGTATCGTCGCGATGGAGGTGGTGGGTGGGCTGGCACTTATATCACTATGGTTGGGTCAGTCAAGACTGAGTCTGCTGGGGAGTCGACGTCGCTTAGGATCGCTCGTTTACAAGCTCAGCAGGATGTGGTCGAGCGTGCGCTTCAACGTGCTGCAGAGCTGAAGACAATCGCAGCTCGTAAGTTGGCCGATAGACGAGCGGAGCGCACGCGTCGACAATCAAGTTCACCAGCACAGGTTAACCCGCGTGAGCAGCCCAATATTTCTGGTGGGAACAAGTGAGCCTGCGGCCAAACTAACGGCATTCGATGATGGTGGTGTGTGGAGGCTTTGTGATATGAATATTGTGGATATACAGCGCAGCGGTGCTGGTGAAAACGACTTGTCTTGAAATGAGTTATTGGCATGGACTGAGAGAGTTGACATGAAGACTTCCTGCAGCGAACTCTGCGCGCCTCGAGTACCGCCGGCGGCTAATCGTGTCAAGCTGTCGCTGCTTACCGCGGGCGGTAATGCAGTCATTCGCACGGAGGCCGCTGCAGCACCACATAAAGCACTTGGGCGGCCAAATTGGCCTGCACACGCGTATCTCGGCATAGCGAGAAGCATGCTTCGATGCTGGGAGGCTTGTGAAGGTTGTGAAGCAACGCGGATGTCTGGCTTCTGGAAGTCGGATCCTGAAGAGTGGGATCACCTGGCGCTTGGCATCATCATGCGACATGTGCGCAACTTGATGAGCAACATTAGGCATTTCGCCAATGTTGCTCGTATCGCGATAGTCGCTTTCGCTCGACTACCATAAGGTTCTCGGCAGATCCAAGCCGCCCCAAAAAGCGTGGATGAGATCTTCCAGCAATGGAACAAGCGCTGCTGGCTTAAAACCCTCAGTGAACGACTACAATATCGACGGACCCGCTGTAAGTCTTCCAGCTCCTGAAGCAGGTCTGCCGGGAGACCTGTCCTGTCTCAGGTTCAGCTACCGCCACAGACTTGCAGATCCTGCGCTAATCTTTGCCGCTGCTAGTACAGACTGCAGCCTCCAGTGCAAGATGGACTCAATCGCCCCTCGCAGTCTTGGCGGCTATGGATCTCCCCATGCAGCAACCAGCATCTGAAAGCCAAGCCACGAAGTCAAGTTGCGGTCGATGAAAGATAGACACGAGACCACCGTGGGACGTCGGCCGCCATTGGTCAAATCCCGGCGGTACGCGCAATCAGCGATCCTGATCGCGCGCTAGTGCTTCAGCTTCAACCTTCAACTCGGTACACTCACCACGCGATCGCTCGATGGCGGGAACGCTGGGTGCAAGCCAACGACGACAGCTCCAAGCGTGCCGCGTCTGGTGGTGGCGGCTGCCGCCCTTCACTTCCGACTTAGCGTCGTGCCGACCAAGCCGCTCGTCCTCTGTAGTCTCCGTCCGCGCTGAAGAAGAGTCAAGACACGAGAACCATGTCGGAGCCGTCCACCCCCACGACGCCCGCGAGCGTGCACTGGGGCGAGACCATGATGAACCAGGGACCGGAGACGCTGCACAACTTCATGGCCGAGACGTTCAAGGCGGCTACGGGTGGCGTGCTGCCGCAGATGGAGGTGCGCTTCGACAACGTGTCCATCTCGGCCGACGTGACGGTGACGCGCGAGGTCACGGCCGAGTCTGAGCTGCCCACGCTCTACAACGTCGTGGCCCGGGCGCTGGCTAGTCTCAACCCGATCAAGAAGAAGGTGGTGCGCAAGGAGGTGATCAAGAACGTCAGCGGCGTGCTCAAGCCGGGCACCATCACGCTGTTGCTGGGCCAACCGGGCTCCGGCAAGACGTCGCTCATGCGCATCTTGAGCGGCCAGTTCCCGGTCAAGTCGAACATCACGGTGGAGGGCGAAATGACGTACAACGGACTCCTTCAGAAGGAGATTGCCAAGCGCCTGCCGCAGTTCGTGGCCTACGTGACGCAGTACGACCGGCACTTCCACACGCTCACGGTGCGCGAGACGCTGGAGTTCGCCTACGCCTTCTGCGGAGGAGGTTTGTCCAAGCACGGCGAGGAGATGCTGTCCCGCGGTACACCTGAGGCGAATGCTAAAGCTCTAGCTGCGGCCAAGGCGGTGTTCTCGAGGTTCCCGGACGTGATCATCGAGCAGCTGGGGCTGCAGATCTGCCAGGACACAGTGATTGGCAACGCGATGCACCGCGGAGTATCCGGTGGTGAACGCAAGCGCGTCACGACTGGCGAGATGCAGTTCGGCCAGAAGTACATGACCCTCATGGACGAGATCAGCACGGGGCTGGACAGCGCGGCCACGTACGACATCATCAAGACGCAGCGCAGTATCGCCAAGAACCTGCATCGGACCATCGTGATCGCCTTGCTGCAGCCTGCGCCCGAGGTGTTCGAGCTGTTCGACAACGTGCTCATCATGAACGAGGGCGAGATGATGTACAACGGGCCTCGACACAAGGTCGTCCCTTACTTCGAGTCGCTGGGCTTCAAGTGTCCTCCCGGGCGTGACGTGGCCGACTATCTGCTGGATCTGGGCACCAATCAGCAGTACAAGTACCAGGCCGCTCTTCCTCCAGGAATGGCCAAGCACCCTCGTCTCGCTAGCGAGTTCGCCAAGCACTTCCGCGAGTCGTCACTGTACGCGGACATTGTGGACGAGTTGGCTTCACCCATCGACAAGGAGATCGTGGAGCGCGTGGGCGACAACATGGACCCGATGCCCGAGTTCCGGCAGACGCTGTGGGAGAACATCCGCACGCTCACGTGGCGCCAGCTGATCATCATCTTGCGGAACGCGGCGTTCATCCGCGTGAGAACGTTCATGGTTGTGGTCATGGGGCTCATTTACGGTAGCACGTTCTACAACGTGGACCCTACCAACGTCCAGGTGATGCTGGGCGTGATCTTCCAAGCCACCTTGTTCCTGTCGCTAGGCCAGGCCTCGCAGATCCCAACCTTCATGGAGGCCCGCTCCATCTTCTACAAGCAGCGAGGCGCCAACTTCTACCGCACGTCTGCGTGGGTGATCGCCAATTCGGTTGCTCTGGTGCCCCAGGCGCTGGGAGAGATTTTGGTCTTCGCCACGTTGGTGTACTGGATGTGCGGCTTTGCTGCGACTGCGTCGGCGTACATCATCTACCTCATCTTGCTGCTGCTCACCAACCTGGTGTTCGCCTCGTGGTTCTTCTGCCTGTCGGCCATGTCACCGAACCTGGATATCGCCAAGCCCATGTCGACGTTCTCGATCGTCTTCTTCATCCTGTTCGCTGGCTTCGTCATCACCAAGGACCAAACTCCAGACTGGCTGGTTTGGATCTATTGGTTGAACCCGATCGCTTGGTGCCTTCGTGGTTTGTCGGTGAACGAGTACCGCTCCAGCGCCTACGATGTGTGCGAGTACGGTGGCATCAACTACTGCACCGACTACGGCATGAATATGGGCGAGTACTACCTGTCGCAGTACGGCGTTCCATCCGACAAGTTTTGGATCTGGACCGGCATCCTGTTCATGATCGTGGCGTACATCTTCTTCATGGTGCTGGGCTGCTACGTGCTCGAGTACCACCGATACGAAGCACCCGAGAACATTCAACTGCTCCCGAAGGCTGTGGCGGATGAGAAGGATATGGAGAAGCGAGGTGGTGACTACGCTCTGATGGCGACCCCCAAGGGCAACTCGTCCGCGCACACTCGCTCTGATGGTGGAGATTCGGGCGAGGTGTTTGTCAACGTGCCGCAGCGTGAGAAGAATTTCGTACCGTGTTCAATCGCGTGGAAGGACTTGTGGTACTCGGTGCCTTCTCCTCACGACCGCAAGGAAACATTGCAGTTGCTCAAGGGTATTAGCGGGTATGCTGAGCCTGGTTCATTGACGGCGCTGATGGGGTCTTCCGGTGCTGGCAAGACGACACTGATGGATGTGATTGCTGGTCGTAAGACTGGCGGCAAGATTGAAGGCAAGATCTACCTCAACGGCTACGAGGCCAGCGACCTGGCGATTCGAAGAGCTACGGGCTACTGCGAGCAGATGGACATCCACTCGGAAGGCTCGACGATTCGTGAGTCACTGACGTTCAGTGCATTCCTGCGTCAGGATAGTTACGTCCCGAATGAGAAGAAGTACGACTCTGTGAACGAATGCCTCGACCTGCTGGACATGCACGACATCGCCGACCAAATCGTGCGCGGGAGCTCACAGGAGCAGATGAAGCGACTGACGATCGGTGTCGAGTTGGTGGCTCAGCCGAGTATTTTGTTCCTGGATGAACCGACGAGTGGCTTGGACGCTCACTCCGCCAAGTTGATCATGGATGGTGTACGTAAGGTGGCAGACAGCGGGCGTACTATTGTATGCACTATCCACCAGCCCTCGTCGGATGTGTTCTTCCTGTTCGACCACTTGCTGCTGTTGAAGCGTGGTGGTGAGTCGGTGTTTGTCGGTGAACTTGGCGAGGAGTGCCAGAACCTTGTGAACTACCTGGAGGCCATCGAGGGTGTGACTCCGTTGCCCGATAAGCAGAACCCTGCAACTTGGATGCTGGAGGTCATCGGCGCTGGCGTGGGTCACCAACCGACCGACGTGACGGACTTCGTGCAGCACTTCAAGCAGAGCAAGGAGGCGCAGCATCTGATGGAGTACCTGGAGAAACCAGGTTTGACTCGCCCTACGCCGGAGTTGCCAGAGCTCGTGTTCAAGAAGAAGCGCGCGGCTGGTCCGATCACACAGATGCGGTTCTTGATCCAACGCTTCATCGTCATGTACTGGCGCACGCCAACGTACAACCTGACGCGTTTCGTGATCGCCCTGGGGCTTGCTATCATCTCGGGTCTCACGTACGTCAACTCCGAGTTCGTGTCGTACCAGGGAATCAACGGCGGCGTGGGTATGGTGTTCATGACGACGCTGTTCATGGGTATTGCCACCTTCACTGGAGCTCTGCCCATTACAGCTCTGGACCGCGCGGCATTCTATCGGGAGCGCGCATCAGAGACCTTCAATTCGCTGTGGTACTTCGTGGCGTCGACGGTGGTGGAGATCCCGTACGTGTTCTTCGCGTGCCTGTTGTTCACGGTGATTTTCTACCCGATGGTGGGCTTCCAGTCCTTCGCGTCGGCGGTTTTGTACTGGATCAACTTGTCCCTGTTCGTGCTGACCCAGGCGTACCTGGCGCAAGTGCTAATCTACGCGTTCCCCAGCATCGAAGTGTCTGCGATCGTCGGTGTGCTCATCAACTCGATCTTCCTGCTGTTCGCAGGCTTCAATCCCCCGTCCGCGTCCATTCCCAGCGGCTATAAGTGGCTGTACACGATCACGCCGCAGCGGTTCCCGCTCGCAATTCTGTCGGCGCTGGTGTTTTGCGACTGCCCCGACGAGCCGACGTGGAACGAGAGCCTGAAAGTCTATGAAAACGTTGGCTCGAACATCGGCTGCCAGCCCGTGACGGACCTCCCCGTGACCATCGACCACATCACCGTCAAGGGATACGTCGAGTCCGTGTTCAAGTACAAGTACGACGACATCTGGGCCAACTTCGGCTACGTCTTCGTCGTGCTCGCCATTTTCCGTCTGCTTGCTGTGCTCTCGCTGCGCTACATTAACCACACGCGACGGTAATTTAGCTGTACAGTCGCGTGGCACCAAGTGACCATTTTCCGGTAATAAAATGTTTCAATTCAGACAAGGCCGTGCTCTGCCCGGAACTGCTCTGGATTTTACGTCGCTCTTAGGCATATAAGTTAGTGTATTGCGGCATCTTGTTTCTACGTGCCGATGGCAGAAAGGAGTAGAGATATGATATTGGCTGAGGGTAACCGCTACTAGTTGAACTGTCTTGAAATTTGCAACAGCATTATGATGGCGCTGAACGAAGATGAAGACGCTCCAAACCTAGATGTCTGGAACATCCACTTCAGCACGCACACAACTAAGGACAAATTGACCACGGGAGGGTGGGTCCTCTACCACCAGACGGCCTCTCAGCAGTGGATCCCCAGAAAAGCAGGAAGTCTCTACTTGGGGCTAACAAAGACACCGACGGACGCCGCAGCACGAACGCTGAACCAAGGGTTGACAGAGCTCAATGTGATGACTACCCCAGGCTCGACGTATCTCCGCATTGATAGTCTTGACAAGAAACTACAAGTGCAGCTCCAACAACTCAAAGCTGACATTCAAGCAACGGGCCCAGTAGCCGCGCTCGCCAAGGACTTGAACGCGATTTTCTCAGTGCAGTGGGGTTCACCTGCTGGAACTGCGCTCCGAGCGGCTAAGTTGATAGCAAAAACAAGCACTACAACCATCTACGATACCCACAGCACAGGAGGAGCTTTGATCCCCAACTCTAGGACAAGGAAAACGATTGCAGACTCCACACCCCAGCTGCAAAAACAACAACAACACTCAATGACGGTCGACATACAGGCACGCCCCACCACATATCAAGGCTTCTATACGTCAGTTAATTAAGCTCAAATAGAAGGCCACTTAAACCACTAGTTGAACTAGTATAGCAGCATCCTCACGGCGAATTTTCGCCTTCAACGGTGACGACTTATTAGTTAGGCATTACGACGAAAACATCGACCACTGGCAGCTACATGATTAGCTATGGCCTGTGGCAAGAGCCATTATGTCCGGCATCATTAGTGAAGACCCAGAGGTCATGCGACTCAGGCCTCGTGCGCAGGCAGCTTCAGCACCGGAGCCGTGAGGTGATGCCGTCTCTCGAGAACGCGTTCCAGTAAGTTGATGGAGCTCAGTACCCCGTTCAACTCGACAGGAATCGTCAAGAATCGCGGCTACATCTACGTAGACGACATCGACATCGTTAAGATCGTCAGGGTTGGCTAGCTTGCTACAATCCCCAACTTCCCGTGTGTTATGTTGTAAATCAGTTTCTTCTTACTAACAGCGGTGCAATTTCTGGGCAGATGCTGGGGCTGCGAAGCAGGCGCAGGAGATGCCCTTGGGTCGTACGGGTCACACTACCGAGGTATAATCAAATGATTTTTTGGACCTTCCTATTCAGTATCAAACGGTCTTAATTCGTGCACTTGATCGGTCGGCTGGAAGTACAGATTCCATCTTACTCAGTTAGCGATCTCCTTACTGCATGATCACCATTAACGTTGCCCAGCTGATTGAATTCGTGTTGAACAGGTTGTGTTTTATTATGGGGTGCGGTTTTTCAACTAGCCACATTACAATTTTCGACTAGCCACTTTTGTGACTACGGTTCTGACTAGCCACTCGTTGCATGCAAACTAGCTACTAGTGGCTAGTCGAGACGCAACAAGTAGCTAGCCAAAAAATCAAACGCCAGCCCAGGACGAATTATCGACTAGCCACTTCATAGTGGCTAGTTGACACGCTAAAAGTGAATACTCGAGTCGCTAAATGTGCATAGTAGCAAATACAAATGTGGTACCATAATTAATTATCGAGTGACCACTTTTTCATTGGTAAACTATGTAGTTTTGATGTTGAAGTTGGGTGCTTGATGTTGAAGTGGGTAGGACACTCGCGCGTTGGCACTCGCCTACGGACTTAGCGACGGCACTTCGGGGGGCCCGCCCCTCTCTCGCTTCGCTCGGGGAGCCCGCTCCGCGGCCTGCCCCACCCCCTCGTGCCTTACGCTAAGTCCTCGGCTTCGGCCAGGCGCGGTGTCTAGGAAAAAAAATATCGGGTTGCAGCGCTCGCATTCGCTCGCTCGCGCAGACACGCCCCCGCCGAATCGGCGGGTGTTGGCGATTGGTGAATGCACTGAGTGAGTCTCGCGCTCGCATCCGCTCGCCCTCCTCCGTTTGGCCACTCATGGTGTTCAAATAGTTGGACCAAATATTATTTTTGATTAATTGGTCCGACCAAAAATAGGTGCGGTGGCCAAGTAGCTAGTCGGTACCCAAAAAGTGGCTATTTGGAACAGTTTTAGCAAAAGTAGCTAGTCGGGTATAAATACCCTTTATTATGGGGGAAAATGACAGAACCCGTGGTCAGGGGAACTTAAGTGCAGAAGGCGTGGTAAAAGGTGTCTGAATGATGGTCAGTTTTTGGGCCCCCGGTTATGGCAGGTTTTACAGGGTATAATACCACAATTGGGTATTTCAGCTGGGGTAGCTTGCGTAGTTGACCAGACACAAACCTCCTCTCCTGAAGCTTATTCGGGTTGCGCTTGCGTCTCGCTGTCAACACTGTGCATGAGGGAGCAACATGAAACATCTATAAGCACCCACGGCGCTGAATAGGCGTCCTTTAAGAGAACATGGGCCACTAAAAACTGAGAGGCGTTCCATCAGTGCAAGAAGACCCGCGTAAGGTCCATTCCCCACATCGGTATATACCTTCTTGAGGGAATCTAATTGTACATGTGCTCGTGTAAAGCTACAGGGCTTGCATATTGAGCGCTATGAAAACTTCTCTAGCCAAACACCGAGTGAATCCTTCTCTAGCCAAACAGAATTTGACATAGGTTGGTACTTAGTACGGGTTTTGACAATCCAAAAGTATTCACCACACCTTCTGTCGCACAAGTCGGATTCTGTCATTTGGCTCGGCCCTGACCACGCCTTTAGACATTTTCCCTTTGTTATGGACGATGATATGGTGGATAAGAGAATCAGTAAGCGTTGGTTTGAGTGATATTTTTAGTTTTTTTTTCGGCTACTGTCAGGTAGTTAAATAAGCTATGTATGTGCAACGGCTTTCTGAAAAACAAAATACTATCCTAGCCTATGTGAAGCGTTACTACCGCAGCAGTACGTCCGGTAATCAACACCTCTAGCTCTGTTAATAATTGGTCGTTTCGCTTGTGGCTAAAGGGAGAGACTATGTTGTTCCTTCGTCCAACTATTTCAAATTGCACTTAAAAATGTCAGAACTGAAGTACTTCAAAAATGCACTACCAGCCCAAACCTCTAGTAAATTCAAGAACGGCTACTATTCGTATAATCCGTTAATTGGGGCATAGCCTCCCTTATAATGAAATAGACTTTTCACCCTTTTTACAGGTACTTTTTACACCAATTTATGAACCTCCGTACATTATTACAATTGAGAATGGGGTAGGGCAAATGAACTATCATAGCCTGCCGGGCGATTTCGATCGAATTTTACCTCTTTTTAAGAACACACGCACTCATGTTGAACGGCGCCCAAACGCGACCCTTCAAATGTTACCTTGTTCGAAGGTATAACAAGTTATTAAACTGAGGTCAACTTTTTATCGAACCGGAGATCGCCCCGTTTGTATCAGCAAACAAACGATTGCGTTTATCGTTGAAGTTTAAGGTAAGAGTTGACGACCGACGATTTATGCACATGGACCGTGGAACCCTTTTCAAGGGGTGGCTGATCTCCGGTTAAATATGGTAACGGAGGCAAATGACAGCGCCGTAAAAAACATATGAGAGGTCAGGCAGCTCCGTAAAAAGTCTCCGCTAACGTACGAAACTTTGTACTGAAGAGTCGTTCGGATTAAGTTATTCATAGATAACCTAATTCAAGATATCGGTCAGTACACTGATAGATCCTTGGCAAAACTGGCATGGAGCAGTGAAGTCTAAATCCAAAGGCTATACTATGCTACCGCTAACTATTACGAACCACTCATGCGGAAGCAAGAAGGCAGCACTAAAATTAGTTGGAATATTAGTTGCTGCAATCGTTGACTGAAGAAATCTATAAATCGCTTGCTACACACAGTTCTGCAGCACGGGGGGGCAACCGAGTACGAATATTGGCATGATACAGAAAGCGGTGACTAGGCCAGACGTGCCATATAGTGGAGACAATAGTCAGGATGTATGCTCTGTAGCTGTGAAGAAAACGTGGAGAATTCTCTTTTTGCCCTGACATTTGGTATATTATTCTGACAACCTTGATAAATAGACGAAGTATTGTCATTTGCGCAGGAAGTAAGACGTCGTTGCTCTCCAAAATCGCATGCTATTTCCTGAGCAAGTTAAAGTAGCAATGCGCAATTCTGACACCAACTTTTGGTCTTGCATGTTCACACAAACGCCAAATATATAGCTAACACTAGCGTTTGTTAAATGTGTGTTTCTGTATAGTGAATCTGGCGAACATGTATGTGGAGTGAGACGTGTAGTCGTTCATCTTGAAGCTCTTTTAAATCACTTACAGTGAGTTCGTGTTATTGTGAAAAGCACTTACGTGTTGGGGGGCACACTGCTGGTCTCGCTGTTTCAATGTGCTTTAAATTAATGTAATGCAATGCATACCGGTGGTTGTTGAATGTAATGTGACTGAAGTTTTCGCCATGAGTTGCAATTTTACTGATATATTGGCTTGCTGAATGCTCGAGCACGATTTAGCCTGGTACTGTGGGGGATATTTAACGATGTCCACCCGGAAATTTGCTGCAAATGATTCGGAAAGTGATTATTTACTACAAGGCCGTGCTCTGCCCGGAACAGCTCTGGATTCTACGTCGCTCTTGGGCATATAAGTTAGTGTACCGCGGTATTTTGTTTCTACTGCCAATGACAGAAAGAAGTAGATATATGGTCTTGGTTGAGGGTAACCACTATTAGTTGTTTTAACGGATTCATACGAATAGTAACCGTTCTTGAATTTACTAGAGGTTTGGGCCGGTAGTGCATTTTGAAGTACTTCAGTTCTTACAATTTTTAAGCACAATTTGGAATAATAGGAGGAAGGAACAACATAGTCTCTCCCTTTAGCCACAAGCGAAACGAGCAAGTATTCACAGAGCTAGAGGTGTTGATTACCGGACGTACTGCTGCGGTACTAGGGCTTCGCGTAGGCTAGGATAGATAAATGGCAGTATTTTGTTTTTCAGAAAGCCGGTGCACATACATAGCTTATTTAACTACCAGACTGTAGCCGAAAAAACACTAAAGCATTACTCCAACCAACGCTAACTGATTCTCTTGTCCACCATATCATCGTCCATAATAAAACACAACCTGCTCAACACGAATTCAATCAACTGTACAACACGCATTAATGGTGATCATACAGTAAGGAGATCGCTAACTGAGTAAGATGGAATCTGTACTTCCAGCCGACCGATCAAGTGCACGAATTAAGACCGTTTGATACTGAATAGGAAGGTCCAAAAAATCATTTGATTATACCTCGGTAGTGTGACCCGTACGACCCAAGGGCATCTCCTGCGCCTGCTTCGCAGCCCCAGCATCTGCCCAGAAATTGCACCGCTGTTAGTAAGAAGAAACTGATTTACAACATAACACACGGGAAGTTGGGGATTGTAGCAAGCTAGCCAACCCTGACGATCTTAACGATGTCGATGTCGTCTACGTAGATGTAGCCGCGATTCTTGACGATTCCTGTCGAGTTGAACGGGGTACTGAGCTCCATCAACTTACTGGAACGCGTTCTCGAGAGACGGCATCACCTCACGGCTCCGGTGCTGAAGCTGCCTGCGCACGAGGCCTGAGTCGCATGACCTCTGGGTCTTCACTAATGATGCCGGACATAATGGCTTTTGCCACAGGCCACAGCTAATCATGTAGCTGCCAGTGGCTGATGCTTTCGTCGTAATGCCTAACTAATAAGTTGTGGTGCGAGGCATCAATCATCACCGTTGAACACTTAAAGGCGGGATCCCGTCGGCATGTTGTTGGAGCGAAAAAAATCCGATGGATGTCGCTTGAGTGGCAGATAAACTATCTATCACAGGTATATATACTTGATTAAAGGGTATGCAAAATAATAGGTAATTTGACTTAATCTCAACCGGATGGGTCAACATAGCAGCATAATTTGATTAGATCGCAGGATACCCAGTATAACAGGTATTTTAGCAATAAACATCAGCAGCGCTCATAACCATATTTAGCAGGTATGTGATGTGAGAATAATGGCACCTCAGTGGCTTTCGCCCATGGACTCTGGATAAAATCCAGAGAATAACGATACTTGACCCAACACTATGCAGAAACTTCATCCAGGCAACGCCTAAAAAGTGGAAAAAGCGACGATCATTCTCCTGTGATTACGAGCTGTTTGCTCCCAAAGCCAGAAATGACCCCTCCACGCGGTTGAACATGACCCGTTATACAGTAATCTGCTTGCTCAGCGAACAGGCAGAACCTTATACTTTTTGAGAAAGCAAGTTTCCCGAATTGTACCACACTTAGGGCGATGTATTGTTTTAGTGAACGGTGGAGTCCCACTGGACCTGTAAATTACGATTCCACCAATCATCTCCACGTCTCGAAAAGCATTATGATTGGATAAAACACATTGATGACCCGTCTCATGCCCTACGCGCAATCTTTTCGACGTGGTTTGCGGGCCAGGCAATTGCACCTTTTCCTCGCTGCCGGGAGCTCAGTGTGCAATTCGCCCCGCGAGCCGCAAGTCGCAACAGGTGGAGACGCAATAGACTGCAGTAAGGCGAGCCATGCTAGACGAACCACCGCCGCGTCCCGCGGATCTGTCGTCGGGCAAGGCCACGATGGCCAATGGCCCCCACGCGCTGCACAGCTACGTGGCCGACACGTTCGAGGCGGCTATCGGACGGGAGATGCCGCAGATGGAGGTGCGCTACCAGAACTTGAGCGTCACTGCGAATGTCGCTGTGACAGGTGAGATCACGGCCAAGTCGGAGCTGCCCACGGTCTTCAACACCATCAAGCACAGTCTGGCCAAGTTCGCGTGGAACAAGCGCGTGGTGCAGAAGGAGATCATCAAGAACGTCAGCGGCGTCTTCAAACCAGGCACCATTACGCTGCTGCTGGGCCAGCCGGGGTCCGGTAAGACGTCACTTATGCGCGTACTGGCCGGCCAGTTCTCCAAGAGCGGGAACGTCAAGATCGAGGGCGATGTGACATACAACGGAGTGCCCAGAGAGGAGATTACCAAGGTGCTTCCACAATTCTCTGCGTACGTGACGCAGTTCGACAAGCACTTCCCAACTCTAACCGTCCGCGAAACGCTGGAGTTTGCTTACGCTGTGTGCGGTGGAGGCATGTCGAAGCACAAGGCGGAGATGCTGAGTCACGGCACTCCGGAGCAGAATGCTAAGGCTCTCGAAGCGGCCCGCCAATACTTTGAGAACTTCCCTGACCTAGTCATTGAGCAGCTTGGGCTGCAGATCTGCCAGGACACCATTCTTGGCAGTAACATGGTGCGCGGCGTGTCTGGCGGCGAGCGCAAGCGTGTGACGACTGGCGAGATGGAGTTTGGCATGAAGTAGATGACGCTCATGGACGAGATCAGTACGGGTCTGGACAGCGCAGCAACCTTCGACATCATCACGACACAGCGCAGTATCGCCAAGTGTCTGCACAAGACGATTGTGATCGCGCTGCTTCAGCCTGCACCGGAAGTGTTTGATCTGTTCGATAACGTGATGGTGCTGAATCACGGTGAGATCATCTACCACGGACCTCGTGAGCAGGCTGTACCGTACTTTGAGACACTGGGGTTCAAGTGCCCGCCCCGACGTGATTCTGCAGACTTTCTCTTGGATCTCGGTACGAAGATGCAGCTGAAGTATCAAGTGGAGCTTCCTGCTGGGATCACCAAGCACCTTCGACTTGCGAGCGAGTACTCGGAGCACTGGCGCCAGTCGCCATTGTCCAGGCGGTTGATCCAGGACATTGAGTCTCCTCAAGACCCCGATCTTGTGAAGGATGTTGAAGAACACATGAATCTGATGCCAGAGTTCCGTCAGAGCTTCTGGGAGAACACAAAGACTGTGACGGCGCGTCAGTGGAAGCTCACCAGTCGAAACACGTCATTTATCAAGTCTCGAGCGCTGATGACTGTCGTCATGGGCTTGATCTACAGTAGCGTATTCTACCAGACCGACCCGACCGACATCCAGATGATGATCGGCGTGCTGTTCCAGGCGGCCATGTTCATGAGCTTGGGCCAGACTGCGCAGGTGCCGACGTTTTACGCCGCTCGAGAGGTGTTCTACAAGCAGCGATCCGCCAATTTCTACCGCGCTGCCTCATTTGCCATCGCCAATTCGTTGGCCATGATCCCGCAAGCTATCGCAGAGAGTCTGGTCTTCGGTTCGCTGGTGTATTGGATGGCTGGACTAGTCCCTCATGCGGGACACTTCATCATCTTCCTGATAGTTCTGGTTCAAACCAACCTCGTGTACGCGTCGTGGGTTTGTCTGACTGCGATCTGCCCCAGTTTCAACATCGCCAAGCCCATGTCGACCTTCACCATCGTCATCTTCAACCTCTTCGGTGGCTTTGTGATGGCCAAGAACGTGATGCCCGACTGGCTGATCTGGGTCTACTACCTCGTCCCGGACTCGTGCGCGCGCTTTGCGTGAACCAGTATCGCGCCGCGAAGTTCGATGTGTGCGTGTACGACGGCGTCGACTACTGCTCCGAGTATGGCATGAAGATGGGTGAGTACATGTTGAAGCAGTTCACGGTGCCGTCCAACCGCGACTGGGTCTGGACGGGCATCATCTACATGATCGGCCTCTACGTGTTCCTCATGGCGCTTGGGGCCTTTGTGCTCGAGTACAAGCGCTACGATGGACCAGCCACGGTATCTCTAAGGCCCAAGCACGAGATCGATGACGACGAAGCAGAACGGTCCAGCAGCTACGCTCTTGCTACAACCCCCAAGCACTCGGGAACATTTTCAGGCTCCGGTTCACCCACGCGCGAGGTTATACTGGATGTCCCCGCAAGACAGAAGATGTTTGTACCGGTGACCATTGCCTTCCAGGACTTGTGGTACTCCGTTCCAAAGTCTGGCAGTCCGAAGGAGTCGCTCGAGCTGCTTAAGGGCATCAGTGGATATGCTGAACCTGGTACTTTGACTGCTCTGATGGGGTCCTCCGGTGCTGGTAAGACGACGCTCATGGATGTTATCGCTGGCCGCAAGACTGGCGGCAAGATCACCGGAAAGATTCTCTTGAATGGTTACGAGGCGAACGACTTGGCTATTCGGCGAGCCACCGGCTACTGCGAGCAAATGGACGTGCACTCGGACGCGTCGACGATCCGCGAGTCACTGACGTTCAGTGCGTTCCTGCGCCAGGACAGCAGCATCCCGGACAGCAAGAAGTACGACACGGTGAACGAGTGCCTCGACTTGCTGGACATGCACGAGATCGCCGACAAGATCGTGCGCGGGTGCTCGCAGGAGCAGATGAAGCGACTGACGATCGGCGTGGAGCTGGCTGCGCAGCCGAGTATTCTGTTCCTGGATGAGCCGACGAGCGGCTTGGACGCTCACTCCGCCAAGTTGATCATGGACGGCGTTCGGAAGGTGGCCGACAGTGGACGCACTATTGTGTGCACGATCCACCAACCTTCGTCGGACGTTTTCTTCCTGTTCGATCACCTGTTGTTGCTGAAGCGCGGTGGTGAGTCTGTGTTTGTCGGTGAACTTGGCGAGAAGTGCCACAAGTTGGTGGAATATCTCGAGGCCAATCCCGGTACGCCGCCGTGTCCGAAGGACCAGAACCCTGCGTCGTGGATGCTGGAGGTTATTGGCGCTGGAGTCAGCAGCACTGCATCCAACACGACGGACTTTGTCAAGTGTTTCCAGGAGAGCGAGGAAAAGCGAATCCTGGATGGAATGCTCGATCGGCCTGGTATCACCCGACCGAGCCCGGACCTTCCAGAGATGGTATTCGAGAAGAAGCGTGCTGCGAGTTCGTACACTCAGATGCGGTTCCTGGTCAAGCGCTTCAACGACCGCTACTGGCGGACGCCAACCTACAACATCACGCGGTTCGCCATCTCTCTCGGCTTGTCGATTCTGTTTGGCATCGTGTACTCGGGCAAGTCGTACCAATCCTACCAAGAAATCAACGCGGGTGTGGCCATGGTGTACAGAGAGTAGCGGCAATAAGAAAGGGTTCAACGATTAAAGTACTGAAGGTATATACAATAATCAAGTCAAATCAAATCTTGCAGAGCTTTAAACGTATTGACTTAACGAAATAAATGAAACACGTTAGGTACGTTATTATTATTTGGCCCGTTTGACGATGGACTTCGACGCTACAGGCTCGTCGTACTCGTCTTCCTGAGGCGCACGACCTTCAAATACACTGGCTGCGACTCACTACGACGCCCTGCTTGTCCATGGCCACCGCACATTACTGTAGCTACGTCTCGGCGGTGTGCTTGCTGAGCTTGTGCAAACCCAACATGTGCACGTAGGACAACACCTCCGCATCCACCTGCAGGCGCTCATGGTCTTCCTTAGCGGCAGTTTGCGGGGCAATGTGGGCGAAAACGTAAGTGTGACGGGAGCACTGGGGCGCTGAAGCACAACGGTCGTTGATGCACACGCAGTGGTTGAGCCACTGCGTGTACACTGAGCCACTGTGGCTCCGTCCTGGGGAACCTTGACTGCTGTGTGTGGCCACATCACTTTGACAAACTCAGTACCTAAATAGAGGCCCTGTGTAATTCAATATTTATGTGTTGTCAGAATTATAAGTTGTTGACCCTTTCTTATTGCCGCTACTCTCTGTACATGACGACGATGTTCAACGGCGTGATCTCGTTCACGGGCACTCTACCCATCTCGTTCGCCGAACGTGGGGCATACTACCGGGAGCGCGCGTCGCAGAGTTTTAATTGCCTCTGGTACTTCGTGGGTTCTACCGTGGCCGAGATACCCTACATTTTCTTCAGTGGCGCCTTGTTCACGATCATCTTCTACCCGTCGGTGGGCTTCACGAACGTGGCGTCGGGCTTCATGTACTGGGTGAATATATCGCTCTTCGTGCTCATGCAGACGTACTTGGGGCACTTCTTCATCTACGCCCTGCCGACGGTGGAGGTGGCGGCTATCATGGGCGTGCTCTACAATGCCATTTGTCTGATCTTCGCGGGCTTCAACCCTCCGGCGGCCAACATCCCGCGCGGTTACCACTGGCTGTACCTGATCACACCGCAGAAGTACGCCATGGGGCTGATGAACTCGCTACTGCCCCGAGCTGCCGACGTGCAATAATGCCACGGGCGTGTATGAAGGTGGAAGCGGTCTGCTGGCCTGTCACGAGCTGACTGACGCTCCGAGCACGATCGGCCACACGACGGTGAAGCAGTACGTGGAGTCCAACGTCGGGTACAAACACGCGGAGATCTGGAGCAACTTCGGCTACGTGTTCGTCTTCATTGCAGTGTACCGAGTGTTCGGACTTCTTGCGCTTCGCTTCATCAACCACCAGAAGAGATAAGTGCATAACTATGGGGCGGCACGTATTAATAAAATACCAAGCAAGTGATACACAACCTGAAGCAACGCATTTCAATGTAGTCGTTAGTCTGTTTTTTTCGCGAGCGCAAGGTGGCTGCACAGTACTAGGACCCTTCGCTAGTCTCGTCAATCGAAAGCGGTAAGCTGATACGTTGGACGACTACTGCTGGTAAGCTTAGCGCCAATTCCGGCTGTACTACCTTATCGTTTGGTCTGATCCGCACTAACAGAGTCAACAACCGTGGTTACTACCTGCCTACATCATGTATAGAGCGGCTGCGTTAAATGCAAGTGCCTCCACATGCCTGCCATATTGAGCTCATCGAGCTGATTTAAGTAAGAAGCTTCCCATGTGGAAGTCACCTCTACCATTGAACTACTGCCAGCCGATGGAACATCCATAATGACGGCAGCTATTGCCACATTGAACGACAACTGAATTCGCAGCCAAAACTACGAGCGTACGGATACCTACTCAGTCTTCATATTACCTTCCAGGACTGCACTCGACACTCCGGCCATGAAGGCCGCATCATTGATCTCGCTATGTGTTTGTGCCTTATCAACACTCGCACTTGCTCCGACTTCTGTCACCGCTCGCCCGATGCACGCGGGTATCGATTACCAGCGCTACCTTGCCGAGAAGGAGGCTACCCACGCGGAGTGGAAAGATTGGGAGAAGAAGCACGGCGCCGCAGCTACCAAATTGGGCATCATGCCTACGACGGAAGAGCGCAGCAGCGACGACTACGAGGAGGACATGCGCCAGCGCATCTTCCTGAGCAAGCAGGACGTGAAGCAGGCCCAGGCCGCCAATCCAGAGGCTCACTTCTCCATCGACGTCGTCTACTCCATCATGACCAAGGAGGAGTTCGCCGACAAGATCAGGAACTCGTTCGCAAAAGGCAACACCACCATAAGCCACCAACCTTCGCGTATATCTCGGTCTACCAAGAAGCGCTCGGTTTCGACCCCATCGACGAGAACGACCAACATCATCACACGTTCATTGAACGAGGCAGCAACCATGGCGCAATCTGTCGACTGGAGCAGGTCGGCGTGCATGTCGCCCATCCAGAACCAGGGTCAGTGTGGAGACTGCTGGGCCTTCGCAGCGGCTGCAGCGGTCGAGTCGGCGCAGTGCATCGCTGGCGGCGGGAGGTCGCTGCACAAATACTCGGAGCAGCAGCTCGTGAGCTGCAACACGAAGAACCACGGCTGCAACGGTGGTGCACCTCAATACGCTTTCGACTACATCCTCAAGAACGGTGGCTTGTGCAGTGAGACCGCGTTCCCGTACGCATCGGCAAAAGGCTACATCCCGTCATGCGCTAGGTGCACCAAGGCCTACACGGGGATCAAGGGCTACAAGGTGTTAAACAAGGGCGACGAGGCCGGTCTTATCAAGGCCATCAACAAGCGCCCGACGGTCGTGACGGTGGCTGCCGGCAACGTGGCGTGGAAGCAGTACAAGGGCGGAGTGCTGTCGGGCTGCGACACTAGCGCGTTGGATCACATCGTGGTGGCGGTAGGCTACGACGCGACGAGTCTCAAGATCCGCAACTCGTGGGGCACCTATTGGGGCGAGCGCGGCTACATCCGCCTCAAGCGGAGGTCCTCGGGCGCTGGTACCTGCAGTGTTCTGCAGCAGATGGTGCCGCTCGAGCTGTAACTTTCGATGGTTTATTGTTGCGTTAGTATATTGCTTGGATAGAGAGATACACAATGAAGTTGCTGTAAGCTATCCGCTGAGTTTGCATCGAACTGCTCATCGGATCTCGCAAGATACAGGTATAATCCCCCTGATAACTTTGCACTAGGTACAGTACCTACAGTAATTAGTCTGGCCCAGACTAAATCTGAATACCAGATTTTTCATCTCTCACAATTTTTAGTCTGGCCCCATAATTATGAATTCAGACTAATTATTGAATATCTAAAAATGTCTGTTTTCCAGTAAGAAAACCATTATTTTTGTGAAATGATGTGTTTATACGTATTTGTTTTTAGTAACGTATAATACCGAATAGTATGCCCTGAGGTATTATACTACCCTGCGAATAAAGTGCCCTATGGTGAGGGCATACTATTTCAATAGAGTACCACCAAATAGTGCCATATATTAGAGTGCCGCTCCGAATAGACTGCCGTCGGTATCGACTTCCGCACGCTATCCTGCGCTCACCTGAGAAGTGGTAGATGATTCCCATCCAACCAAGCTTCGCTCCTCCATCAGCACCACGCTTTACCAGCTCATTCGTCAACATGCCAGCAAGACGGAAGAGCGTACTTTACCCAGGTTACCCAAACGACTGGCCAATGGGTGATCTGGGACTCTATGCGAGCCCATATTGCGAAGTCGGTGAAACAGCGCTGTGCTGAGAAGCAGGTTAAGATGGCAGTAATTCCTGGCGGTCTGACTCCGTATCTTCAAGCTGACGACGTGGGGATCTTCACGTCCTTTAAGGACAAGGTGTCAGTGCTCATCGACGAATGGAAGCGGTCGGACCAAGTCACCTACACTCGTGGCGGCAACCTCCGCCCTCCTACCATCGCGACGGTGGCGTCATGGGTGGCAAGTGCTTGGCGTCAAGTCCCAGACGACGTCGTGAAGAAGAGCGTCTGGAAGTGTGGGTTCTTGGATGACCCAAGCGACTGGCACATCAGCAAGCATGATGTGTACGGTACCAAGTTCCGCACGGCCTGGGAGCTTGACGGGACTGTGAACAGCGATCTCGACGAAGGCACCTGCGACGAGCTGCTGGACGCGTTCGACGAGGTCTGGATCGAAGAGTAGGCGCTTTGATAGTGGTGGCAGATAAACCACAAAATACATCTTGCTGGCATTGATGGTATAATCGTCTTGGGAGATTGTGTTGATGTAACCATTATCAAATAGAATGCCCTAACAAATAGTATGCCATCAAATATAGTGCCCTACTCGGCTCCAGAGGGCACTCTACAAGAATAGTATGCCGCATACTAATTAGTATCATACGTTATTTTTATAGTGTAGCTATATATATATATATATATATATATATTATCGGGCTTTGAAGAGAAATCAAGACTAAATCGTCGCAGATGGTGCTTCTCTAATGGTTAGAGAAGGCTGATATATGGGTTGGATACCCAGGTATCTACTTGTATTATATCTTGCAGATATTGTACGAGATCTAGTAAATTGGCTGCTGTCAAAGGAGTTTTTCAGCAAGCGGTGTCTTAAAGTAGGTGGGGGTGGACTAGAATCGTGGTCACCACGTCAGACTAATTATGAACATTTTTAGCCAGACTAATAAAGAAGACGTCAATTTTTGCTCGACACGAATTAGTCTGGCCCAGACTAATTTTGAGCCCAGACTAATTACTGTAGGCACTGTAGTCGATGCTCGTTTAAGAACGGCTTTGTACGTATTGACAGGCAGTGCAGTATACTGTAATGTGGTTTTACAGACAGGAGTGCTTCGTTCGGTGCAGCAGCCACGAGCCTCCGCACCAAAAAGGCTCGAAAGCGAAGGCGGGCTTCTGGAATACGTGCCACCAGCAACTCGCCCGCCTCGCCCACGTGGATCGTTAGCGTCGAGCGTTCGCGCCAACCGATTGGGCAGCCTTGACCGCCCTTGACCCGCTCGGCGCGCAATCGATTGCGAGCCAAACGAAAGTCGCGGTACCGCTCCCATACAAAAACCAAGTCAAGCGACTGACGTCGCGATGCGCCTGCACGACGCTCGCAATCGGCTTGCGAGCCACAACTGTCCACAGTCAACGCCGCTCTCGGACGCCGCGAAGCTCAACGCGATGAAGTTCATTACCCAACTTACCCCTTGGGCCGCAAGCGCAACACACAACAAGCAAGTGAGTGCATTTCTGAGCCGGGGATGGAGAACGCCAAGCCCAGTAGCAGCATCGGCGTCGAGAGTCTCACGTCCGGCAGAGCCATGATGGCCAACGGGCCCGACGCGCTGCACACCTTCGTGGCCGACACGTTCGAGGCTGCCATGGGCCGCGAGCTGCCGCAGGTGGAGGTGCGCTACCAGAACTTGAGCGTCACGGCCAACGTGGCGGTGACTGGCGAGATCACGGCCGACTCGGAGCTGCCCACGGTCTTCAACACCATCAAGCGCAGTCTGGCCAAGTTCGCGTGGAACAAGCGCGTGGTGCAGAAGGAGATCATCAAGAACGTCAGCGGCGTGCTGAATCCCGGTACCATTACGTTGCTACTGGGCCAGCCGGGGTCCGGTAAGACGTCGCTTATGCGCGTACTGGCCGGTCAGTTACCAAAGAGCGGCAACGTGGACATTGAAGGTGACGTGACGTACAATGGAGTGCCTCGAGAGGAGATCACCAAGCTGCTCCCGCAGTTCTCAGCGTACGTGACCCAATTCGACAAGCATTTCCCCAAACTCACTGTCCGTGAGACGCTGGAGTTCGCTTATGCCGTCTGTGGAGGAGGCATGCCCCAGCACATGGAGCAGAAGCTGAGCCTCGGCACTCCGGATCAAAATGCCAAGGCCATTGAGACTGCGCGCCACTACTTCGAACACTTCCCCGACCTGGTCATCGAGCAGCTCGGGCTCCACATCTGCCAGGACACGATCATCGGCAGCGGAATGCTCCGTGGCGTGTCGGGAGGAGAACGGAAGCGGGTGACGACTGGCGAGACGGAGTTCGGCATGAAGTACATGACGCTCATGGACGAGATCAGCACGGGTCTGGACAGCGCGGCGACGTTCGACATCATCAAGACGCAGCGCAGCATCGCTAAGTGTCTGCACAAGACCATCGTGATCGCGCTGCTCCAGCCTGCCCCCGAGGTCTTCAACCTGTTCGACGACGTTATGGTGTTGAACGACGGCGAGATCATCTACCACGGACCACGCGAGCAGGCTGTACCATACTTTGAGACGCTGGGGTTCAAGTGTCCACCAGGGCGTGACGCTGCTGACTTCCTGCTTGACCTTGGCACGAACATGCAGAAGAAGTACGAGGCGGAGCTGCCCATGAGAATCGTCAAGCACCCTCGTCTCGCTAGCGAGTTCTCGGAGTACTGGCGCGAGTCCCCTCTGTACGGCGACCTTGTGGGTGCCATCAACGCTCCTCACGACCCTGAGCGCGTGAGGGACGTCGAGGAGCACATGAAGATGATGCCCGAGTTCCGTCAGAGCTTCTGGGAGAGCACCAAGACTGTGACTGCGCGTCAGTGGAAGCTGACGAAGAGGAACACGTCCTTCATCTACGTGCGCGCGTTGATGACGGTGGTCATGGGGCTGATCTACGGCAGCTCGTTCTTCCAGGTAGACCCGACCAACGCTCAGATGACGATCGGTGTCTTGTTCCAAGCCACGATCTTCATGAGCTTGGGCCAGACCGCGCAGGTCCCGACGTTCTACGAGGCGCGCGAGGTGTTCTACAAGCACCGCTCGGCCAACTTCTACCGCTCAGCCTCCTTCGCCATTGCCAATTCATTGGCTTTGATTCCTCAGGCCATTGGCGAGAGTCTCGTCTTCGGCTCGCTGGTCTACTGGATGTCCGGGTTGGTGCCCGAAGCCGGTCGCTTCATCATCTTCTTGGTCATTATGGTGCTGGTCAACCTCTCGTACGCCGCGTGGTTCTTCTGCCTGACTGCGATCTGCCCCAGTTTCAACATCGCCAAGCCCATGTCGACCTTCACCATCGTCATCTTCAACCTCTTCGGTGGCTTTGTGATGGCCAAGAACGTGATGCCCGACTGGCTGATCTGGGTCTACTACCTCGTCCCGGACTCGTGGTCTCTGCGCGCGCTTTGCGTGAACCAGTATCGCGCCGCAAAGTTCGATGTGTGCGTGTACGACGGCGTCGACTACTGCTCCGAGTATGGCATGAAGATGGGTGAGTACATGTTGAAGCAGTTCGCGGTGCCGTCCAACCGCGACTGGGTCTGGACGGGCATCATCTACATGATCGGCCTCTACGTGTTCCTCATGGCGCTTGGGGCCTTTGTGCTCGAGTACAAGCGCTACGATGGACCGGTGAATGTCTTCCTCAAGCCGAAGGACGAGAGCAGCGACGACTCGAAGAAGGAGACGAATGACTACTTGCTGGCAACAACCCCCAAGCATTCCGGAACGTCCGCTGGCTCAGGGTCAGCCCCACACGATGTTGTGGTTAACGTCCCTGTCCGCGAGAAGATGTTCGTGCCCGTGACCATTGCCTTCCAGGACTTGTGGTACTCCGTTCCAAAGCCTGGCAGTCCGAAGGAGTCGCTCGAGCTGCTCAAGGGCATCAGTGGATATGCTGAACCTGGTACTTTGACTGCTCTGATGGGGTCCTCCGGTGCTGGTAAGACGACGCTCATGGATGTTATCGCTGGCCGCAAGACTGGCGGCAAGATCACCGGAAAGATTCTCTTGAATGGTTACGAGGCGAACGACTTGGCTATTCGGCGAGCCACCGGCTACTGCGAGCAAATGGACGTGCACTCGGACGCGTCGACGATCCGCGAGTCACTGACGTTCAGTGCGTTCCTGCGCCAGGACAGCAGCATCCCGGACAGCAAGAAGTACGACACGGTGAACGAGTGCCTCGACTTGCTGGACATGCACGAGATCGCCGACAAGATCGTGCGCGGGTGCTCGCAGGAGCAGATGAAGCGACTGACGATCGGCGTGGAGCTGGCTGCGCAGCCGAGTATTCTGTTCCTGGATGAGCCGACGAGCGGCTTGGACGCTCACTCCGCCAAGTTGATCATGGACGGCGTTCGGAAGGTGGCCGACAGTGGACGCACTATTGTGTGCACGATCCACCAACCTTCGTCGGACGTTTTCTTCCTGTTCGATCACCTGTTGTTGCTGAAGCGCGGTGGTGAGTCTGTGTTTGTCGGTGAACTTGGCGAGAAGTGCCACAAGTTGGTGGAATATCTCGAGGCCATTCCCGGTACGCCGCCGTGTCCGAAGGACCAGAACCCTGCGTCGTGGATGCTGGAGGTTATTGGCGCTGGAGTCAGCAGCACTGCATCCACCACGACGGACTTTGTCAAGTGTTTCCAGAAGAGTGAGGAGAAGCGAATTCTGGACGCGCAGTTGGATCGCCCTGGTGTGACCCGACCGAGCCCCGACCTGCCCGAGATTCTGTTCGAGAAGAAGCGCGCAGCCAACTCGTACACTCAGATGCGGTTCCTGGTCAAGCGCTTCAACGACCGCTACTGGCGGACGCCAACCTACAACATCACGCGGTTCGCCATCGCACTGGGCCTGGGGATCCTGTTCGCTATCGTCTTCGCCAACAAGTCGTACGAGACGTACCAGGAGATCAACGCCGGAATCGCCATGGTGTTCATGACCTCAATGTTCAACGGCGTGATCTCGTTCACGGGCACTCTACCCATCTCGTTCGCCGAACGTGGGGCATACTACCGGGAGCGCGCGTCGCAGAGTTTTAATTGCCTCTGGTACTTCGTGGGTTCTACCGTGGCCGAGATCCCGTACGTGTTCTTCAGCACGGCGCTCTTCACGATCATCTTCTACCCGTCGGTGGGCTTCACGAATGTGGCGTCGGCCTTCATGTTCTGGGTCGCCAACTCGCTCTTCGTGCTCATGCAGACGTACCTTGGTCAGCTGTTCATCTACGCGATGCCGACGGTGGAGGTGGCGGCCATTGTGGGCGTGCTCTACAACTCGATCTGCTTGATCTTCGCGGGTTTTAACCCCCCGGCGGCCAACATCCCGCGCGGTTACCACTGGCTCTACCTCATCACGCCGCAGAAGTACTCGATGGGTCTCCTCAACTCGCTCGTCTTCACGGATTGCCCCGATCTACCGACGTGGAACGAAACTACGGGCGAGTATGAAGGTGGAAGCGGTCTGCTGGCGTGTCATGAACTGACCAATGCACCGAGCTCGCTGGGTCACACCACGGTGAAGGAGTATGTGGAGTCCAACTTCGAGTACAAGCACTCGCAGATCTGGAGCAACTTCGGCTACATCTTGGTGTTCATCGTGGTGTATCGCGTCTTGGCGTTGGTGGCGTTGCGATTTATCAACCACCAGAAGAGATAAACGGGGGGAGAACAAGATTCAAGATAGCTAATAAATACAAGTTTAGTACCCAAAATCTGTCTATGAATATATACAAGATTGATTGAGCTCCATCCGAAATACTACCCCCCCCCCCCACGCACACCAACAAGTATCTATCCAGGCAGACTTAGACCTCGAGCGGCACCATCTGCTGCAAGACGCTGCACGTTCCGGATCCGGATGCCTTCCGCTTGAGGCGGATGTAGCCGTCCTCGCCCCAGTTGTCGCCCCACGAGTTGCGGATCTTGAGACTCGTCGCGTCGTAGCCCACCGCCACCACGAGGTGATCCAGCGCGCTGGTGTCGCAGCTCGACAGCACACCACCAGTGTACTGCTTCCACGCCTCGTTGCCGGCGGCCACCGTCACGACCGTCGGTCGCTGGTTGATCGCCTGGATGAGACCGGCCTCGTCGCCCTTGTCCAGAACTTTGTAGTCCTTGATGCCCGTGTTGGCGTTGTTGCACCTAGCGCACGACGGGACGTGGCCCTCCGAGGACGCGTACGGGAACGCGGTCTCACTGCAGAAGCCGCCGTTCTTGAGGATGTAGTCGAAGGCGTACTGAGGCGCGCCGCCGTTGCAGCCGTGGTTCTGCGTGTTGCAGCTCACGAGCTGCTGCTCCGAGTACTTGTGAAGGGACTTCTGACCGCCAGCGATGCATTGAGCCGACTCGACCGCTGCAGTCGCGGCGAAGGCCCAGCAGTCTCCGCACTGACCCTGGTTCTGGATGGGTGACATGCACGCCGACCTGCTCCAGTCGACAGTTTGCGTCACGGTTGCTGCCTCATTGGATGCGGTGATAGGTTTGGATGTTGGTTTAGTTGAGACCGACTGTTTTTTTGTAGACGCTGCCGGCGAGCCGTGACGTCCGAACGAGGGGCTGCGGGTTGCCGAGGTCGCTGACATGGCCGTCACGGGGAATTTGGCGGCGGCCATGCTCTCGCCCAGAGGAACTGCTTCATTGTTAGTGCTGGAGGTGAAGTTGTACTGGGCTCGAAGGTTGCGGGGTTTCGGAGTTGGCAGGCGCGTTGTTATGGTGGAGTTGCCCTTTGCGAACGAGTTCATGATCTTGGTGGCGAACTCCTCCTTGGTCATGATGGAGTAGACGACGTCGATGGAGAAGTTGGCGTGCGGGTTGGCGGCCCGGGCCCGCTCGACGTCCTGCTTGCTCAGGAAGATGCGCTGGCGCATGTCCTCCTCGTAGTCGACGCTGCTGCGCTCTTCGGACGTGGGCATGAGGCCGAGTTGGATTGCTTTGGCGCCGTGCTTCTTCTCCCAGTCTTTCCACTCCGCGTGGGTGGCCTCCTTCTCGGCGAGGTAGCGCTGGTAGTCGATACCCGCGTGCATCGGGCGAGCGGTGACTGACGTTGGCGCAATGGCTAGAGCCGACAACACGCTGACAGTCACTGAGATCACTGTCGACTTTTTCATGGCTGTCTGTTGTTTGTTGTGGATGATTGCAGTAGAAGGGAAATTGAGGAATGAGTTCGATTTCCCCGTTTGACGTCCAAGATCTATTCCACCGCGGTGTGCCCAAGATGAATGTCTATCTACATGAACCAACTGATTCTACACATGTAGTGCTCTGACTTAAATCAGTTCGAAAATGCAGCATGGAGTGGCGGCCATCTGCAGACACAAAGGTATGTGTTCGCCAACGCGAAAGCAGAGTTCTTAGAGACCGGATGCCATTTGCATGTGACGCAGCTTCATGCTGGAGTGCGCTCGTCTCCAATGAAAACGAACTAGCGTGCGTGTCATCCGTGACAATTGCAACGCACTAATTTGAGTTTCTATTGCATAGATGGCTGGAAAACTGTTGAACATGGTACCGATAATGCGCTCCACGGACAATAGGCGCTAGAGCTTTGGTACAGTAGGCTGTTCTGCAGCACAACTTGTGCAGCAGAATTGCACCAGCAATTCTGCTGCACAAGGCGTTGTCTATTGAGTAGGCGTTGTCTATTGAGTACGCCACCAGCAATTCTGCTGCACAAGGCGTTGTCTATTGAGTAGGCAATTCTGCTGCACAAGTTGTGCTGCAGAACAGCCTACTGTACCAAAGCTCTAGCGCCTATTGTCCGTGGAGCGCATTATCGGTACCATGTTCAACAGTTTTCCAGCCATCTATGCAATAGAAACTCAAATTAGTGCGTTGCAATTGTCACGGATGACACGCACGCTAGTTCGTTTTCATTGGAGACGAGCGCACTCCAGCATGAAGCTGCGTCACATGCAAATGGCATCCGGTCTCTAAGAACTCTGCTTTCGCGTTGGCGAACACATACCTTTGTGTCTGCAGATGGCCGCCACTCCATGCTGCATTTTCGAACTGATTTAAGTCAGAGCACTACATGTGTAGAATCAGTTGGTTCATGTAGATAGACATTCATCTTGGGCACACCGCGGTGGAATAGATCTTGGACGTCAAACGGGGAAATCGAACTCATTCCTCAATTTCCCTTCTACTGCAATCATCCACAACAAACAACAGACAGCCATGAAAAAGTCGACAGTGATCTCAGTGACTGTCAGCGTGTTGTCGGCTCTAGCCATTGCGCCAACGTCAGTCACCGCTCGCCCGATGCACGCGGGTATCGACTACCAGCGCTACCTCGCCGAGAAGGAGGCCACCCACGCGGAGTGGAAAGACTGGGAGAAGAAGCACGGCGCCAAAGCAATCCAACTCGGCCTCATGCCCACGTCCGAAGAGCGCAGCAGCGTCGACTACGAGGAGGACATGCGCCAGCGCATCTTCCTGAGCAAGCAGGACGTCGAGCGGGCCCGGGCCGCCAACCCGCACGCCAACTTCTCCATCGACGTCGTCTACTCCATCATGACCAAGGAGGAGTTCGCCACCAAGATCATGAACTCGTTCGCAAAGGGCAACTCCACCATAACAACGCGCCTGCCAACTCCGAAACCCCGCAACCTTCGAGCCCAGTACAACTTCACCTCCAGCACTAACAATGAAGCAGTTCCTCTGGGCGAGAGCATGGCCGCCGCCAAATTCCCCGTGACGGCCATGTCAGCGACCTCGGCAACCCGCAGCCCCTCGTTCGGACGTCACGGCTCGCCGGCAGCGTCTACAAAAAAACAGTCGGTCTCAACTAAACCAACATCCAAACCTATCACCGCATCCAATGAGGCAGCAACCGTGACGCAAACTGTCGACTGGAGCAGGTCGGCGTGCATGTCACCCATCCAGAACCAGGGTCAGTGCGGAGACTGCTGGGCCTTCGCCGCGACTGCAGCGGTCGAGTCGGCTCAATGCATCGCTGGCGGTCAGAAGTCCCTTCACAAGTACTCGGAGCAGCAGCTCGTGAGCTGCAACACGCAGAACCACGGCTGCAACGGCGGCGCGCCTCAGTACGCCTTCGACTACATCCTCAAGAACGGCGGCTTCTGCAGTGAGACCGCGTTCCCGTACGCGTCCTCGGAGGGCCACGTCCCGTCGTGCGCTAGGTGCAACAACGCCAACACGGGCATCAAGGACTACAAAGTTCTGGACAAGGGCGACGAGGCCGGTCTCATCCAGGCGATCAACCAGCGACCGACGGTCGTGACGGTGGCCGCCGGCAACGAGGCGTGGAAGCAGTACACTGGTGGTGTGCTGTCGAGCTGCGACACCAGCGCGCTGGATCACCTCGTGGTGGCGGTGGGCTACGACGCGACGAGTCTCAAGATCCGCAACTCGTGGGGCGACAACTGGGGCGAGGACGGCTACATCCGCCTCAAGCGGAAGGCATCCGGATCCGGAACGTGCAGCGTCTTGCAGCAGATGGTGCCGCTCGAGGTCTAAGTCTGCCTGGATAGATGTAGATGCTTGTGCTTGTGTGCAGTAGGTAGTCAAGTGCTCGGGTGGATTGGGTGGAGCTCAATCAATGTTTCGGTCTCTTCATTGACATATTTTAGGTCATACACGTAGTTGCAGTCGTTGAAGTGGTACTGTATGACTAGCGTGGGTGCACTTCTGACTCGAAAGAGTTCAGCTCCGCGTTCATGCCATTGTCGTCGCTGGCGCTCCAGATTCTCGCCACACCAACAATCTTCTTCTTCTTCTTCTTCTCACGCTCCACGGCAACAAAAGAGTGCTTTAGGCTTACGACGATGGGATAGCCGCTGGAAAGCCCCTTTGTGTACGCGTATTGTGTGCAACAAACACCTTATGGGGACACTCTCGGCCTCATACGGTGTGTGTTGATGCGTTAGCCTTCAACCTTTACCCCTCAGAGCCTCTGGCCTGGGCTGCCATCTCTTTCGGTGCCTTCCACCCTCCTCGTCCTGGCCACATGGTAAGATGGCCCCGTCAATGACCCAGTTTGTCTTGATCTGAGTATGCCCATACAAGTTCGAGACAATAACTGACGCGGAACAACTCGGCACTCCATTTCCACTTTCTCTAACCTGTTGTCATGCTGTCTCTAAGCAGCGGCGGCGCGTCCTCGCGGCGGCTCACGCGCCAATGCACGTGCGCGGCCGAGACGTCCGACTCGGACAACGAGAGCGACGCCGGGCTCAGCCTCGCGGACGCGGGCCGCACCGCGTCGGCGCCTCCATCGCTTAGAGGAGCCACTAATGAGGACGACGACCAAGTTGCAACTGGGGACGACGAAAATGGAAATGGGTCAACAGGGTCCACTAATGGGGCCGGTTCGCACGCGACCTGGGCCAAGTCGCTGTCGCTCCTGGAGCTCACGAAGGCCGTGCACGACCCGCTCAAGGCCTCGCAAGCCCTCCACAACGCCGAGGCGCTGCGCCAAGCCCCAGCGCTCGACAACGTCTTCTGCAGCTGCTACGACGTGGACACAGTGCTAACCACAGTGCAACGGAGAGAAAGGGGCCATTTCTCCCCCGTGCAAAAGCTGCTCTTGGAGCCCGAGTCCATCAAACAGGTCTTCGCGTACGCCACGTCCTTCAGCGACGAGCACCATCATTTAAGTGAAAATGGGGTCGACGGGGAGGCAACAGACCCAAATTCACTTAAACCGCACCCGGATAGGTATCGCCAATCCTACGTGGCCACGGAGATTATCCTCAGATTTTACCTAAAAGCCATGGCCTGGTACGGAGAGCCGAAACAAGATCCGGCGGAGGAAAATGGGATTAAATCCGCAAATGAAGAAGAAAATCCGACGAAAAATGGGCAACCACGTGCAACTCAGGACCGAGATTCAGGATCAGCACCGACTGTAAGCTTGGAAGGGCTGGCAGTGTCGTCCTCTGAAGCGCCTACCAACATGCCGACAATGGTGGACTTCAGGAGCAACGCTTCGACTCGAAAAATGGCGAGAATCCAGCGACTACGCGCCAGTATGCGGTTTGAGAGCTCCGGGAGCAGCATATCGGAGTTCAGTGTGAATGGCGATGAGGACGAAGAACTACTCGAAGATCCAGCAACTCGTGGATATTTGCTGCGACTTGAGGACTTGACGGCAAACGAGTGGAAGCGGATTTTTGGAGGATTGTTCCGGTTTTTGTGGCCGCTGAGGATACAAAATGGCGGAGACAACGGGGAAAATACTGTTGTGGATGACGAAGTGGAGGTTGACAGCGTCTTGGCTGCCAACATGTGTCGGATCACGAAGAATTTCGTCACATTTCCAGCGGTGCACAGACTCATTTGCGACGAGAACGATGATACCGAGAGAGAATGGCTGCTGTCGCGTCTTGCTGCTCACGCGTACAATCCGGATATTGCGTCTCTGTTGCATGGATTAATCCACCTTTCTATCCGTCGAGGGTTCGAGTATTTCCCGATTATCCGCTGCCTGCTTGTACGGATTGTGGAGCAAGTGCCGACGCGACTAACGAGGTCCATGTCCGCTGTTTCTTCCACGTCGACCGTGTCGTCCACATCATCAGCGTCGCCACGATCGTCGCTCGGTGGGTCTCCACCATCTGTATCACCGTCTTCGTTCTTCTCGTCCAAGACGGCGCCTTTGTCTCCATCGCTGTTTACGACACACACGACATCCACCGTACATGCGAGGATAAGTGGCTGTGCGGAGATTATGACAAAAATCCTCAAGGACGAATTCCCCAACACCTTCCGGTACTACATCCAAACGAAAATCCAGCTGGCTTCGTTCGAGAGCGTCGAGACTTTTGAACGCGAGCTTTTTCCTCCGCGGATGGCTCCTAGCGACCCTGCAATGCACCATAAACTCAAGCTCGCGGTGTTGGCCGCTTTGATTGAAAACTCTACGATTCTTGCGCGACTGGCGGAGCTGGGGATGGCTGAACTTCGTTTCCTGGATGCCCACCACATCAATGGCGTGTGCATCCCCCGAGTTCTGGTGATCGACATCTTGCGGCATGCGATTGAGTTTTCTTTGCATGATTCGGAGCAATTGGAGGTGTTTATTGCGCCAGTTCACCTCGTGTTAGATACAATTTGCGCGTCGATCAACTACCACCAGCACCTGTCGACGATATCTGAGTTCGCGGCACGTGATTGCTTCAGTGACAGTGACTCTGATGACGACGATACTGAGGACGGAGAGGACTTTGACTCGGTTGCCGGTGTGAGTGGAAAAGACAGCCCGAGTAAGTCCGTGAAGCGACCTGGCGCCGTACCTGCCCGAACGACGTTGTACATGGGGATCACTCCTCCTGCTCTCAGCTACTCCCCTCGATCGGGGAAGGCGGTGGTGAACCACCGACCTCTAGCATCGACTTTGCTCGTGATGCACGTGGTGGAATTGCTGGATGATGTCATCCGGATGTCGAACGATCGCATCGATAGTCGATTGTCGCGCCTGGATCTAGCCACCTCGTTGATAGATATCTTCGAGAAGTTCCCAAAGGCCAGCATCTTGCACTGCCGGTTAGTGAAGCTCTACCTGAATCTGCTGAACAGACCGACGACCAACGGACGCGTGAACAACCCGCTGCTGCGCAGTGTCTTCCGCTCGCCAGATTCGATCTTGGAGTTTATTTTGCAGAAGTTGCATGCAAACAGCTCGGGGCATATTTACGACGCTCACTTGGCGATTATTGGAGTCAAGATTGCCAAGATTTGCAGCTCGCCGACGCTCCAGCAGGAGCTTATCCGCCAGTTCTGCAACAACGTGAAGGGTTGGAACGATTTCGCTTCTTCGTTAGTAGCATCGCACTATCAGCAGATGGACGCGCTGGATGACTCGCTCCTGGGTTTGCAGGTTGTCACTGGAGGTGGACGAAGCGGAACCCCGAGGAAGCGCAACGCCAGCGAAGACGAAGTGGACGCCGACTTCCCGCTAGCTCGACCGTCCTCGTCAGCGAGTGAGTATCTCTCACGTGAGCTGGAGCCTTTCAGACGACTGCCGATGGAGAAGGAGGGCTTTGGCTCTTCGCACAACCTGGCAAGAGGCAACGAGGCCGTGCACCCGAGCGACATGTTCCAGAGCCGGTCACAGAGCAAGTTCCCGGAGTCAATCATCGACATCCTGCAGTCTGACGAGTCGACTTCATTTGACGTCGAAGAGGACGACTTCTTCGTGAGTGGGTACGCCTACCAGAAGCGTTCCAAGTGGGCCAAGGTGCATCTGAAGTTCGAGAAGGCCACATGCCAACTGACGTTGCAGGACGCCGCAGCTGCTGCGTGTGGGTCGCCGAGAAATGGCGCGTCCAAGGCGACTTCTCCATCGAAAGCCTCGATGCTCAAGCAGTTTTTACTGGCCCACAAGCAAACGTGGACGTCTCGACCCAAGAAGCTGGTGGTATGCAACGCGCGCAAGTGGATCGCGTTCGGCCGGAGCTTGAAGAAGCCGAACCGCGGAGCGTTTGGCTTCCAGGTCGAAGTATTCGACGGCCACCGAGAAGAAGACGAAACGCTGACGTTCGTCACGCGCTCGGATGAGACGAGGATGCGGTGGTTCGAGGCGATGCAGTGCGCTGTGACCAGGACGCGCACAGCGCGCTACAGCTTCAGCGACATCGACGAAGCGGCTAACACGGAGTTGGTCGAGTGTGTGGCCAAGAACCGAGGCGGCTCGTACCTGATGGTGCCGGACGTTAACTTACTGGGGCCTATGACGTCTGGCAGCTTCTTCATCAAGTCGGAGGTGCCGGAAGAGATGCCGTTCTGGGGGACGTACCATGGGGACCAGGGGATCATCAAGTACGTCTCATTATTTAAGCAGTGCCTGGATGTGGTCTCGGTCGAAGAGAAGAGCATTCAGGCTATTGGGTATTCCGTGATCGTGGAGTTCGACGCGACGTTCCGTCGGTCCGAGAGCACCGCGGACTTTGACGACTCGGAGCCGCCGGCAGTCAAGTGCGCGTGCACCGACACGTACCTGATCAGTGGGAATCAGATCATCGGGTTGACGCGCACGATCGCAGACTCGGAAAAGCTGCTGCAGCTCCTCTGTGACGATGAATAGAGACTTGTTATTGACTATTGCAACCAACCAACCAACCAACCAACCGACTCGTCCCTGCTATTCTACTGGTAGTTCCGGGTGAGCCACGCGATGATTTCCTGGCGATCAAGTTGCCCGTCGCCGCTGGAGTCGAGCTCGCGGAACACCTCCGTGATCTGTTTGGCGGACAAGGCCATGCCCAGATCGCCGCACAAGCGCGCGAACTCGTCTTGGTCGATCTCGCCCGTCCCGTCGCGGTCGATGTCCTGGAAGAAGAGCTCGAAGCGCTCGTCGTCCTTTCTGTCGGTGCCGTAGCGCTCACGCAGCTCCTGGTAGATGCGGCTAAGGAAACTCGGCGGCTCCCACGACGACTCCCCCGTCACGCTGTTCCAGTAGTACTACAAGGGCGGTTAGTCTTTCCTGGATGCAACGACCAAATGGGGCCAAGCCAGCGTACCGTGTTGCCGTTGCCGTCGTCGTAAGGTTTCCACGCCTCCGATGCGTCTTGGGTGGCATTACCAGCGTCTTCGTCATCGACTGCAGAGGGGCCAGCTCGAGTGTCTGCTCCAAGGAACTTCGGCTTCTCCCAGGTGGCTTCGCCAGTGCGCGCGTTGACGTAGTACGTGTATCCCGTGGCTGGGTCGACCTTCATCTCCACGAGCGAGTGCAAGAAGTTGCGGAACTTTGTGCGTTCGATGCGCGCGCGGTAAATGCGCTGCAGCTTCGTGGCTGCTGCTGCGCGCTCCGGTCCCGTGGCGTTGCTGGCGGTGCACTTGATCTGCCGCCGTGACTGTGGGTCGGCGCTTTCGTGGAGTTTTTTCAGCGACGAGTGCACCATGTACATCTCGGCCTCGGTCATGTCGGCCATCCAGTGGATCAAGTTGCCCGAGTGGCTGTCGCCGGTGCAGAATCTCACCGCGGAGATCGCTGACCCGGCTGCTCTACCCACTTCGAGTTTCAACAGGGTGATCTGGAACGAGTGCGCGATGTTGTACGGCATGGCGTGCTGGATCGTGGTGCCGTCCACGTAGCAGAACTTGAGGTGGGGCATGGAGTAAATCTCGCGGGGTAATGTGCCCCGTAAGTTTGGGTTGTCGCGCAGCTTGAGCGTCGTGAGGAAACGCAGCTGGACGATCTCAGCGGGGAATGAGCCCGAGAGGGAGTTACCAGACAAGTCGATGGACACAACGTGGTTGCGCTCCCATTTGACGCCAAACACGGAGGAGAAGTACGACTGCATCGTGGTCGTCTTCGCGATGGGTATGTCGCCCCTCTGCAGAGCGGCTCCGACAGCCAGGACTTTGTCCCATCCCGTTTGTCGAGTCCACGTTGTAGTACCTCCTGTCGCGCGGAAAAGCTTTGCCAGCGCCAAAATCTCAAGGTGGCTTCGCGATAAGTGGTGAACCGCAGGACTTTGATTGGGGCGCTTGTCTTCGTCGAGCCGGGAAGGCATGAGTTGGAGAGGGCAGTGCTTTGAAGGTGGTGACTGCAAAGAAGAAAGATAAAACAGGACCAACTTGTAAAAATAGGCGTTCATCGTTTACAGATGCGTTCAAGATAATCTATAGGCATTAAAACATGTTTACCTTGTGATATTATAATATCCTAATGTGCTTCAGTGCCCACATTCAGTTCATTTACTGCTTTCGAATAGCTGGCGCATCTTGCCATCCCTGATGACTTAAAGTCTATGGACATTCAAGGTCGTTTGTGATTCCGTCGGTCTCGTCAGTGTCAGCTCCAAAGTCCTCCTATATGATTTCTTTCAGATACTAATGTTAGCGACATTTTCTCTGGCCATGAGCAAGTGATGACATTCTAGCCTTTAAAAGATCTCATCACATCAATCGAAAGGCAGAAGTCCGAAGTTTCCCATTAGCTAAAACTCACAAGTACTTTGTTAACGACGCCAAAGAACATGGTAGACCCGGAAGAAGAAAACGTGAGGTTGGCCGTTCAAGAGCTCAAGTATCTGGAGGAAGAATTTGGAGACAAGGAGTGGCCATTCAGCGGTAAGGGAGGTCTCGATGAAATTCCAGTTCCCGCGGGCAACGCGTGCGTCAAGATCAGTAACGCTTTGGCAGCAGTGAACAAGAACGTTAGCGAGAATATGCGAGACTTGGCACGGAATTCACCGATACACCAAGAACTAGCTGCAGCTATTGAGAATATGACCCCAGATAACGACAAGTTCGCACTGCTGCTGACTCACAAGTACACGAAGACGAACATTGCCCCTTCTGGCTCAAGAGCCCTGGAGGGCGTTGATCACGATAGATTCTTGGCGCTGGTGGAGGCGAATAATTTCGTCTCGGTGGAGAAGAAGTTGCAATTCCGCATCGCGCAGTTGGATCACGAAGTCAATTTCTTTTTCGCCCATGGGAATATTCTTGGTCGTTACGATGTAGAATATCACGAGGAGAAGGTAGCTGGGCGCTTTGGACGGAAAGAATCTTGGCTTTGGCGACGAAATCAAGTTGAAACTGAACTTTCTCAACCCAGGCATGGAGACGTACTGTCAGCTTTGGACGTAGTGTATGTATTAGCGAAGAAGGAACGGCGAGAAATCGCGTATACACTCGATTTGCCATCGTTGCGTGGCCCGCTGTGAAAAATGTGGAGTACTCGATGAAATTTGTTAGTCTGAGCACTGGTTTTGAGGCTTTGGAGGATCAAGGCCGAGTTGATACTGCCACCCTCTCAACGTATATGAACATTGCGATCGCTAAATTGTACGAGATGGATGCATGGCAGGTTGAGAAAAGAAAAATCGTCTGGAACGGTGTGAATATGTTTCCCCGTCACATTTCCGTCTGCACCTGCCAAGTGCTGTGTCAACTGTTGCTGCAAGCGGACGATGCGACGCTGGTGGTTGTCTTTTTCAGCCAGTTTTTCAGTCGTTTAGAGGAAAAACACGAAGTCGTCGTGGATATCGCCGAACTTCTGAACAAGTTCGACTGGTGCGTGGTTGGTGAGGTGCTCATGAAAGCTTTGCGTAGTGCTACTGACCCGACGAGCCAGCATCTAACCTACATCACGCAGGCAGCGCTAGCGATGGTCGGAAATTTAGAGCACGGAAAAGCAAAACAAGCTTTACTGTCATTGGTGGTGGAGTGGGCAACGAGTGTTTCGGACAAGATGCTGTTTTCGTCAACGTCATTTGAAGAACTCTGGCGCCAAGTTCTTTGCCATGGTGACGACAAAATGCTTCACGAATTATCAAAAAGTTCCAACAGACAAACCCACGAGCCTTAGCCCCTGTGTTGAAGGGGTACGCACATTGTCTCGACGATGACAATCTCCCGCTAGAGAGGAAAGCGCTGCTCGTGGCAATTATGTTTAGTCGCATAGAGTGGCTGAAGAAGCAGGTTCAGGTGCTTGAGAAACCCTTTTCGTGGGAGATGCCGGTGGTGCATATTCCGCTACACGTTTTCGATGGAAATTGATTGATGCGTTTTTTTTTGGAAAAAGAGTCGTCATTCTCCAATTATCGGCAAATGGCTCAAGTGTAGTTCCAGATACCAATTCATGTCGGATTCAGGTTCGGGCGACGCTCAAGAGAGGCTGGTCAACCAAGACCCGGATCTCAACGAAGATTTCGGCGGCAATGAGTGGCCATTCAGCGACAAGGGAGGACTCCATGAAATCCCAGTTCCCACTGGAGCTGCGTGCGTCCAGATCAGCAACGCCTTGGGACTGAACAAGAACTCCAACGATTTCTCCTTTGGAGGACAAGCTGATCAACTACCTGCTGTTCCAGGCATATTTGTCGATGGCGTGGGGCCCATACCTGTCCCTTTATGGGAAGAAAGAGCTCAGAGGCTCATTGAGAAGTGCACGAAATCTCCGTTTGGCCACAACATGGACACCGAGATGGACGAGAACGTCCGGAAGAGCTGGGAGCTACAGCCTGACCAGGTGCACTTTAAGAATCCAATGTGGCGAGTGGGCGTTGAGAAGATGGCGGTGACTATTGGTGAGCGACTGTGGTACAAGGGTATCCCGCTGCAGTGTGTGCTGTACAAGATACTGGTGTATGGAGAAGGGGGCCACTTTTTGAAGCACCAAGACACGGAGAAGGAGGATGGAATGATCGCAACGTTGGTCGTGCAGCCTCCGAGTTTGCACGAAGGAGGAGACTTGGTCGTGTATCGGAACGGAGAGGTGAAACACCGTCATGATTTTGGGAAAGCTGATGGAACTGCAACGTATTTATCCCATTATGCAGTTCATTACGCTGATGCCGAGCATGCCGTAGAGAGGTGACGAAGGGGTACCGCCTCGCACTGGTGTATTCGATCTGTTTGCCGGCAAACATGCGCGACTTTGTACGGACTCCATCGATGAGAGGAGAATTGACAGGAGCTATTGAAAATATGACGCCAGGAGACGACAACTTTGCGCTGCTGTTGGCTCACGAGTACACCGATAGAAGCATTGGCCTTTTCGGTTCGACAGCACTGAAGGGCGTTGATCGCGAAAGGTTCCTGGCTTTGGAGGAGGCGAATAATTCTGTTTCCGCGGAGAAGAATCTCCAGTTCCACATCGCACATGTTGAATCATCACGTCAATTTCTATTGGTTCGGAAAAATCTGTGGTCGTTGGGGTGTAGAATGCCACGAGGAGCAGATAGTTTGGTACACTCTAGATGGAACGAGCCTTGGTATTGGCGACGATTTGAAATTCAAGCTCAATTTCCTCAATCCGGCCATGGAGACGTATTCTCAGCTGTGGGAGTCGTATGGGAGCAGTGAGAGTAGTGGGTATCTTGGCAATGAAGGACCCCAGAAAGACAGCATATACTCCCGATTTGCGATCGTTGCGTGGCCCGCCGTGGATAACGTGGAACTTACGATGAAGTTTGCCAATCTGAGCACTGCTTTTGTGATACTACAAAACCGGGGCCCAATTGATAGTGCAACACTCCTGAAGTATATGGATGTTGCGTTCACGAAATTGGCGGCGATTGATGCATTCCTGCTTGAAAGAAGTCAAGGTACCTGGAACGGCATGTACGAATTCCCCCCTCCCGCTTCGACTACCACCTGCCAAGTGTTGTGTCTACTGCTGCTACAAGCGGGCAACTCGATCATGGCGAATATGTTCTTAAGCAACTTCTTTGCTCGACTCGAGGATAAATGCACCGTTGCCTTAGATATCGCCAAGCTTGTGAGCGAGTTCTCGTGGGTTGTGGTTGTTAAGGCGTTTTCGGAAGCTGTAGCCACAATCGACGGCATGCAAGCTGACGACTACTCCTTGAAAACGACGGTGTCGGTGGCCCGAAGCTTGGAGATCGGGAAAGATCTGCAAGGTTTGCTGTCTTTGGCAGTTGAACAAGCCCATAATCTGCCGGATAATTCGTTACTCGAGTCGAGGGCACTTGAAGAACTGTGGCACTTCATTCTCAAACATGGAGACGACCGTGTTCTATACAGTCTGTCACGCAAGCTTCAATACGCGAATCCGTGGATATTGGCTCCGGCTGCTAAAATATTTTTACGCCATCTCGGAGATACTCGCCTTCCGCCAGAAAGAAAAGCACTGCTCGTCGCCATTATATTTTGCCGCATCGAGTGGCTGAAGAATAAGGCTCGCGGGTTGGAGCAGCCGTTTTCGTGGGCGATGCCCGTAGCAGAGTTTCCTGATTGCGCTCCAATCGAGAAGTTTCTACGCGGACCGGAAGCGACGATGACTACCACGGGGATTGTCAGCTTTGAGGACTCGTGGGCGGCCCAAATTTACGCTTTGCGATACACCTGCGGTTGGGATCGTGTGGGCCAGATCGATGCTTCGTTCGGCATGAAACCTGGGGGTGATAAGAGCGACGCGTTTGTGACGATAACGAAGACACGGAAATGGTATGACAAGGACCGGGAAAGTTTGCCCCAATTGAAGAAGGAGCTACAGGAGTTGACGAAGACGATGGTGGGAACGCTAACTAAGATTATATTGAAGGCTCGTCAGAAATCTGGGGAGAAGTAGGTAGAGACAGATAGTGGTTGAGTAGCACCGATGCCTTTTGACTATGTGATTTTGAGTGAAGTTGAATTCATCAGCTCAAGAAACGAAGAGCTAAGCCTTTTTAGAACAGGCTAATCGTCCCCATTTATCGTTAAAAGGCTCGATATCCCTTCTAGCCAGCCCCAGACCTTATTCTGTATCCTACAGAATAAGCATTAGACTTGATTAAAGTATACTTCAAAACCTGTCAAAGATTTGCTGTTAGAAACCCTTTTGCATCTTGCGGTCAAGCGCTGGGTACATTGTGCACAGAACAGCTACGAAAGTGAACATAACATGCTCAATGTATCCACCATATGCCGAAATGTAGAGCTTCTATTGGTCGTGGCGAGCGTAGAGCACGCTCAAAACCTGCTACCTGGTAATACCTTGCAAGGCTGCTAAGGCAGCATACTTCGGCTCAAGCCACCCATCTTCGGCACGTCGCGATAAACGCGGAGGAAGAAATCGCCCTGTTCCTAACTGACGTAGTGAGGAGGAACTGGGCGAATTCTTCCTTGTGCTTGACATTAGCGCATCATTAGATTTCTTTAGCACACCTAACAAGCTTGTTACGATTGTCTCTCTAACAACACCAGGGAGCTTGCATGCTCAATAGCCCGTAATGACACGCACTACACACGGTTCCTCTTGTACGAAACAGAACAATATATGATATTCATGCCAACGTCTACTTCTTCCTTTACATGCGCACGCTCTTCAATGTTCGCGCCAGCCGTGGGTCATCTTCGCCATTTTGGCAGCCTCCGCTTTGCTCTGTAGCCTCCGGTACTGCCGCTCCATTCCTGTCGCTTTCATCGGTAGCCTCCGTCGTAGCCTCTGTCCCTTCTTCTGTAATCTCCGGTGTAACCTCATCACGCGGAGAGCTTCTTCTGTAGCATCCGTCGTAGCATCTACCGCTTCTTCTGTAGTCTCCGGTGTAGCCACACGATGAGGAGCGCTTCTTCTGTAGCCTCTTGAGTAGCCACTGCATCAGCTACAATATAGCGGTAGACCCGGCTGTAGTCGGCTTCGTAGGAACCGATGAGGTTGTGCGCTGACTCCGCAATCGATCTGCCAATCGGGCCACACGCGAGAGCTCATAGCGTCGTCTGGGTCGGACCACCAGGTCTGGTAATCAACATCGCAACGTAGAATCAATATACCACTAGTACAATGTTACAGAGCAAAGTACACGCTCTCGCTTACCTGTAGATCACAATGGCGCTCATCATGATCGTCTTCGGCCATGGTCCTTGGCCACTTGGGCGCGCTCGACGGGCCCCAACAAAGCTTGCATTGCGACGTCTTGAACAGCGCAGTTTCGGAATGAAGGAAAGTACGAGTGGCTGACACGCAGCGGGTTTAGGCTTCCACCCGAATATTCAAACCTGTTGGTGGTTTATACTCGTCTGTCTATTACCGCGGAATAAACCCCGTCTATCTTCCCATCGCTAATCTAACAGGAAGATGTGCACAATACCGGCTATACAAACATCCATATGCGAAGTTCGAAAGAGAGGACAAGTTTGCTGGATATTATGTTCTGTGACAATGCTTATTCTGTAGGATACAGAATACGGGGTTAGAGGGGATATACAGCAATACAACAACACAACCTCTGGAGTGGTGGTGTTCACTCCGTATTTCGATTATACCCCCATCGTCTATGATATTATTCGTACGATGAATCATAAACAAAAGCTGAAGTGACTACACAGTGTTTTGTATATTTCTAGTTTTTATTAATCTCTACAAGTAAACTTCTATTTTAGTAGTATGAAGAAGTAAGTATTTACTGGAGCAATTATTACAGGCCGGAGTACATCCCTGTCTTGCGTGAAACATGTGCATCTTTTCAGCCAAGGACATGCCTTCCTGGCCAAAATCCTCGAAGACGTCGTCTTCTTTTTTCAGGCTGCATCCATCTAAAGTCAATGGCCATGTTTCGAATTACAAGGGCTTGGAAATTCAAGCAGCGTTTGAACGGACGCGTTAGTGTTTACCCGAAGCAAAGCGCTTGCCCGTCCACATCGCCATACGTGGTCTTAATATTAAACTCCGTCCCCGGAACGACCCAGTCTGCTCCATTTTTTTTGCTCCAGCTCCGAGGCAACTTGTGGTCTCCAAACAAAATATGGTGCTCTTTGAAAACGCTCATTTTTATGACCTACCGCTCCTCCAGCATCGGCTTGCTAAACATTTTGAAGCGGAACGTGTCACTCGCCTCGTCGTAGATGAAGCTGGCTCCGCCGCGGAACGCCTGCGCCAGTGGCTTGAACAGCAGCAACCCGTTCCTCACGTCGTTGACGTCGTCGAAGCCCATCATCTTCTGGACGAGGTGTGCCTCGTTTCGGTTGACTGGAAACAAGTGGAATGCGACGACCAACTCCGACGGAAACTCCATGTCGAGCAACATGCAGCGCAGCTTTTCACCCCTCACATCACAGTGATACGTCCTGGCCAGGTTCAATTTGAGCTCAGTGCTTGGCGGTACCCGCAAATTTTCATAAGCCCGCTTCACGAGCACGTGGATTTGGCCGTTCCTGGGTATGTTTGTCGTGCCAGGCATCCCGAGCGAGCCAAGCCATCTATTTACTGAGATGTTCGACAACAAACCCGATCCTGGCGATTGATCATCTCGTTGATTTCTTCAGTGCGTTCGCCACGATTCCGTTGCAATGCGATGTCGCCGTCGTCTGCCGGCCAGCAGCCGTCCTTGACAGCAGCGTAGGACCGTACTGTCGTTGCCTTGGCATTCATGGCGGGCCTCACCTGCCTAATCGCGTCCAGGATCTCACACCCCATTGCCGACCCGATATTTTCACTTGGAAGGGTTCCTCCTTGACTCCGATGATCTTGCACGTGAGGGTCAGCAGGTTTTCCTCGATCGCGCAGTTGCCATTAGGTAAATTTAATAATGGAGTGAATAAATCTGTTCAATTCGTGGGCTATCCATAATTTTTCTTGATGAAAAATGACGATGTGGGTGGATAGATTCTTCGGGCAAACGCAAGATCAGTTCGAGCCCATGAACATGGCCAGGACATCGCGCTTAATGACGTGAACGGTATCGTAAAGACGCAGCACGTGCGCGCAACGAGCAGACTTTATGTTTGAAATCCCTGGTCACAATATTTAACTCGTTGGGATGCTCATACTGAATGACCTCATCCTGGAGGACCCGCTCAACTTGGGGATGCTAATGCCTGCCGCTAAGCTACTCATCGAAGTAAAGAGGGACGAAGTAGAACGCTCTCTGAGAGTTGATGAGTATCATTGTGGATTAAGTGCGGGATTATTCTGGCTACACCGTCCGATAGCCTTGTTGCAACCAGTAGCAGTTGCAAGGGTCGTCGGCCAACACGACGAGAAGCTACCAGGAAAACCATTTCCATGGCAGCAAGTACGAAACGTCAATACCGCAGCAGTGGCCTTGGCCGCGCTCGTTATCTGACGCAACATCATGTTAGCAAAAGGATGAAAACCTCTGCATATACAGACTTCGAGCGTACCCTCTTTTTGGCGGCGAACTTTCTCGAACCAACGTAAATCGTATGTACGACGTGGTCTGGGAGCTTCATGAGAACGTGGACTTCGTCTTGCTCGTCTTCTCCGATGCCTCGGAAGCCGAAATCCCCCACTTTTCCATCTTCTTGTCGTCAGTCAGGAGCTCCTTGATTGAACTGAGCATATTACCTCGTTCAAGCCACTCGATTTCGCTCCGACTGCACTTGAGCCACGTGTCTCGCTTCGCGAGAAATAGCTAGGGTGCACTCCCAAATCCGCATAGATCTCTTCTTTTAGGGATTGAATCGTCATTTCCTCCTCGCAATCACGTCGGTTGCCCAACGCCCAGGCTGCACACTTACTTGTACCCCTTTACTTTCCATTTTTCATGCAACAGCTTACGTGTCAAGTACAGGAACACAATAAAAAACATTCGCAAAAGTTGAAGAAAATCCAGAGCTTTTCCGTGTAAAGCACGGCATTAGTTTCTTATCGCTTCGTTTCAGCTTCATGTGTCCGACTAACGCATTGCCCAGACCAACGGAGAGTACAAATCCACCGACAGGGTTGCCGGGAAACCTACTGGGAGCATCATACCTGACGGAATACTGAGGGTTCGACGTCCGTCCAACTCGATCACGGTTCTTGGAGCGACAATTGGGAGTGGATCCAGCAGCATCAGTGGGTTTACTCGAACATCGTACAGCTTGTACTCAGCATTCGCAAAATCGTGGTCGAACTTCACGCACTGGACGCATTCAACGCCTGGCACCACGGTCCATATCGATATCGCCTTGTGGTCAAGTTGTCCTTGCTCCATGCCCCACGACTGCGAGACGCCGATCTCAATTTTGATCGTTCGAAACTCGTCAAATGTCGGAACGCCTGGGGGAAGCACGGACCCCGGTGTTGTTCGGTGTGGGCCATAAGTCGTGTCTTGGCAGCACCGTCGCCCCTGAGAGTTCGTGGCGGCCAGGTGGCCTTTGAGCCATCGACAACTAGCGTGGTTTGCTTTCTTCCTGTTACTGAAAGTGCGCTGATGCCCAGACAGAATCCTTTATTCCTTAAATTGCAGTGTTATGCTCGGGTGCCGATACAAAAAAGAAAAATCCGTGCATACGAATATTTGGGGTATCTGCTGAATTGAGTTGCAGGATAACCTGATGAATCCAGCAATTTGCTTCAAGTTTGATAGACCAAAACTGAGGTCTAGGAGATCTCGATCGCGTGTACGAGTAGGATACACCTTGGCGCTGTCCACCCGGGCTTCCTCTCGCACAGGAAATTGGCGTGTGTAGCAACGACGTAAGAGCTTTCAAGCTCTGTTTGTTAAAACATGGCGCAGTCGCACACATATTTCGTCTGGATCGCCTGAACATCTAACAACACAAAAAGCGTGTCAGCTTCGATTCGTCCAAGTGTGTTATTGCCATTCTTCGAATATTAAGCCGAATTTACCGTATTCGTGTAGCATTAGGGCGAGCTGGACTAATATCGGTAACGATGTACTTCGAAGATGTTTTGACAACAACAAAATCAAGTAGTGTAGTAGATAATTCTACACCACCAGGGGTAAATGGGCTCGGTGGATCTCTGCGGGTCTCAATGTAGTCTCACGCAAGGCAAGCATAATATCATCCATAGTCTTCGTAGATGAAATGTCTGAGCGAGTGCAGCTAGCTGCTTAATGGCCCCACACGAGCCATTCGTAGCTCGACTAATCGGAACTAAGCTTCTCCGATTTCATACAGGTCGTCATTCTTTTTGCACTACCTTTTAGCCTTTTCTCGGAAAAGACATACCATCAGGTGTAGCTCTTTTTGAGTTCTCGCTAGATGAATTCGTTCGCCACCGTATAGGACGGCACCGCGTTGTCGGCGAATAGAGTTTGCTTTGGATAAAAATTTGTTGAACAATAAAACATAAAGTTTTACCTCCCACCTTGGGCCGCCCAATCTTAAGAACTTGAAGTAGCTTTTTCAGTCGAAGTCGCTCACGATTCTGGGGGCGTGCCAAACGCGGCACAATGATGACGAAGTTGCATTGTAGCACCACCACTGCCGGGGTATCCGGGCGTGGGGGATGCCCCTAAACTTGATGCAATGCGGGCTTCTGCAGCATTTGCGACGCCATCCGCGATGTCAACTGCCCACTTATGCGCGTGTATCGTTCGACTGCGTCGGACTTCCATCTCCCAACAGCTTCACTGCCAGACTATCAAAACCAGCATTAAACAGCGCCGTAGCGCCGCCACTTCGAAGGGAGTGCGAGGCGTAGTCTTGCGGATTATGGCCAGCTCGACCAGCAGCAGCCTTTATCGCTCTTACCACGTCGGATACTTGCAAATTGTGAGATGCATCCACCTTGCACAGTAACTCGCCCGCATCAATACGAAGCGCCTCGTGGTGACGAACTAGGTAGTACAGGGCAACACCACCGATGCCCAGATCTCGCCAATTCTCGAGAAGTACCCTTGCCAAATTGGTCGGATTTACTCCCTCGAAATTGTAGAATCACCGAAGTCACATCATGAAGGTTTCGGGTCTCGTGGCCTCTAGCATCCACAAATTTGACGTCCGCTCTCCGAATTGCGTAGTCGTGCATCTCTGAACCTTGAGCCAAATATTCGGATCTTCTCAAAAGAAAGAAGAGGCCCAGCACCGAAGCCCCCCAAATGACCCGGTGCTGGGCAACTGCGAAATCGAGGAGCTCATGCAGGCACTTGAGGATTGCGCTTGTAACGGGAGATTTTGGCTTGCTTGATGGGTCTTTCCGCCGCATTCCGGTGATAGCGAGTTGGTGGCCCGGCAAAAGGCCGACGTTGTAACCAAGAGTTCGCCTATGATGCCACGCAATATGGCTGACTTTAGAGAGCACGGTCGAGGCAGAATTCCCCGATCCCGATTTTCTCCAGCCATATTTCCAGCAGTACGTGGCGAAAAGGGCGAGCTGGTACGAATGTTGCCGGCGGTCTTCTGGCAGCCATTTTGCGAATTGAAGCCGCTCACACCATCTACACCACTGTGTCCATGTGCTTGCATACTTGATCTTGGACGTCGTGGCCAGTGACTCGGACTGAAGAGATTCGAGAAGTCGATGTAAATTTTCCTGCATTCTTGTGGAACTTGTGTCTGCACCCAACACGAAGAAAAATTAGTCCATCGAGCAATGTAAGGTTCGGTCCAAGCTCGCGAAGCTGCATCAGCTATCCAATTGGCCGATCCTGGAACATGATCCGCCGATACTCGAAGGTTGAAATACACTTCAGCCAGACCAATCGCCCGATTTATTTCTTGGCTGAACGCGTTGTTGGAGTGCATCCGATTGCACCAACTGACAGCTGCGGCATTGTCACTCCAACACTTGACATGAATTGTGCGTCCGTTCGCTTGTGCGCTCCACTTTGAACCCCACGACCACAACGCGATGGCAATGCACAAGTGTTCCCTGACATTGATTGAAAACTCGTCATGGCCGCTACCAACTTTGTCGATGAGCAATTTCTCTTCGTCATCAAACTGGATCTGTATATATGGGATCAAGCACGGCTAGCCCGAGGTTGGACGCGTCCATATACAGCTCCACGTCCAGTACCGGCAGCTCGCCAAACATCGCAAGCGGTAATTCAGCAAAACAACCATGCATTAAAATGTGCCGAAACCACACGAGATCTGTTTTGGCCCCTGCTGTAAGTTTAATTCTGCCGAACCGTGGTGCTGATGTACACAGTGTCTGCAATCGTTGGTAAAAAGGCTTGGCTGTTGGCAGACAATTAGCCACGTGGCGAAGAGAACCCAGTAGCTTGTACAGTTCGGATTTTGACGCTGTGCCGCGTTGCTCCACCGCACTGGCGCGAGCACGAGCTTTAGCGATCTTCTCTTCTGGTATCGATACGGTGCGGCGCTCGGTATTCCATAGTAGACCCAGAACAACAATTTCCACACTCCATTCCGAAAATTTTGCCTCATTGATCGAACGGGGTCCTAAGACAGCCAACATAGCGTGTCGTAAAGTAGCTTCAGCGAGTTCTAACCTGTTCTGGACATCCGGTTCGACCAAGACATGGTCATCTACCCACTCGTAAGGAAAAAATGGGTTCGTGTCGCTCGAGTCGGACACCGCTGCAGGTGAACTTCTGCCCATTAGCCACGTGATGGCACGGCCAAAGAGTGCGTAGCAGGGGGGCGAACCTGACCAGCCAAATGGTGCCGCCATATCGACGACGAGAATGCCGAGTTCTTTCACATATGCCGCCATTCTGAAGACCTGGTTTGCGCGTGTTCTTAAGTGGTGAAAGGCACTCTTGACATCTCCCTTGAGGACGCGTATCCGGCCTGCATGCCCTGCTTTTGCTAAACTGTCGATGCGCCGTGCGATGACTACCACTGACTCGTATCTCACTTTGGGCACCGACTCGACAATAAATGCAGCGTTTACACAGTCGTCTTTTGGGTAGGATAAGTCATGAATTGTGCGTACTTCCTCCATCGGGTCCACATCCTTCTTCTTAACAGCACCGAGCGGACTGCAGATTAGTTCTGGCCACCGCTCAATGATATCAGCATCAACTATCAAATATTGACCGGAGTCTTGGCCATCCCGAATGCTTCGTGTGACAGCACGTAGGTAACGTCGGCAGGAACCATGGTTCTTCGGTGGTGGCCGCCGCGGTCTCGGCCCTTGTCTCCACCCCACGTCGATGCCCTTCTCAGCAATTTCAACGAGTAGATCGAGATGTTGATAGCCGTTAAGAACGGTCCGCAGCCGAACAGGATTGATGGCTTTGTTCGGTCTGCTGTCTACGCTATCTTCACCCCGCACAAATCGCGTAGCCTCTTCCAGGGACATATTGTGCGTGCGAATTACGGTGGATAGAGACTTGCAGGCTACTTCGTCAATTGCGTAGACAGGAGATGCTGGTCGCTTTGCACTAACGAACCCCCGTTTGCGGTGCAGGACGGAAATTCGAGCTTCGGCCCGAAGTAAATCCGCTTCCAAACATGATTGAATCTCTCGCGCCGAATCCAATGACAGACTAATGTGGGCGTGACTGCAACACCTCAACCGACAAACGCTTGCACCCTCCACCGGCAACTGCTGCGACCCAAGTGATTTTGAACGCAAGTCAGCTACCCGGGTGCAGGATACCTTGCCGGTCTCGCTCCTTGCGTCTGCCTCTGTGTCATAACAAGGCCTCGATTGACGACTATTTGTGCAATCAGCAGCCATTGGCGCTGTCGGATTTACCGCAGATCCCGCCGACTGCGCACAAATTACCTCGCCAATCTTGCTCGTTGTTGTGGGTACCCTAATTGAGTCGCGTGGGGGCCTCGATTGCACGCGTAATCTAGACTGGTCCAACACCGTCTGAGATCCATCACTTGAATTGATTGTGTTAACGCAGTTTGCTACTTGACCTCGCGCCACCCTATCGGCTTTGCATGGCACCGCCGACGGTCGGTCGTTTTGCGTTCGTGATGGATACATTGCCAGACCAGTCTGAACGAGTCATAACTCTTTGTACTCGTCCTTCAGCCCACCAAAGCGCCTGTCAATCTCTTTTTTCACGATCGCGGGAAGCTGCTTGGGAACGAAATGCCCATGCTCGCTGGGACAACCGCCATCACTGTCCACCGCACAACCCGCCGCTGAGAGAAAACGCATGCACAGTCGTCGCGACTTTCCTGATGCGAGGTCGTTCTGCACTGGTAATTTGCGAAGTACTTCCTTAGGGATTCGCCCAAATCGCTTCTTCCCGTCGTGGTTGCGGCCGTTGCGGAGCTGGGATCCTTGTTCAACGTGGCACTCAACACGTGCTGGTCCCGACATTATCTCGTGTCGTACATCCTGCACTTGCCGATGCACCTTTATAAACATCACATCCTTGAGCAACCGGTCCTCCGTCGTACAACGTTGCTGTACGGCTCGAAGCTCACCACCTTCCTCAGCCGCTGTACGAAAATCCTCGAGAACGTCATTTACCCAGAAAACTAAGCTAGAAATCTCTTTTGGCGTCCACGATACCTGCGATAGCGTGTGTTCGATGAACTTCACGATGGTCTCAACCAATTCGACCAGTTCAGCACAGCAAAACTCGCGAGCATAGGTGAGGAAAACCCTGGCAGAGTCCACAACATCTTCGATGCGCGATGCCGGCGATGCCGCCGAGAATTCTGCAGTTGCGGACAAATTGTCAAAGTTTGAACCACCGGCCTCCAACCAATCCACCCGCTCATCCCTCGATAGTCTTGCAAAGTGTCGAATCGAAAGACCACCAGAATCGAAACGAATATCATAGGCCCGCGTACAAATTCTAGGTACGGCTTTGAACTCCACGTGCTCGGACCGAACTAAACCTCTGCAAAACACATTGGCAGACTTACCTTTGTGCTTCTCCGTTGTTATGCGCTCGTGAACTAATTCCTGCTCCTCGGTCGGTGCAAATGCGTACTTAGACGCCTTCTTTCCCCTTGTCGTAGGGGATGGCTTCTGTACGTGAGTACGCATGGTACCACCACCCTCCGCCGGCTGCGCTTTGACGTTGGCCTCCTTCCTAATCATCAAGAAACGCTCGAGAAGGTCCGGTTCGTCGCTTATTTTTGCGATAACCAACGCGTCTTGATCAATACCGGTTTGAACTCGTTGTCGCTTGGAGGGGACGTGGCCATCGTCGCCGTTGGCAACCGTGACCTCTTGCTGTCGTATTGTCACGTGTTGTGTGGTAGTGTTTGCCCGACCAACTTCATCACCGCGTTCCGATTCGTCTTGGGGCGAGTCATCGTCGTCTGGAAACGGGTCAACGAGCTCTTCCACGTCCTGAACCGAGCCGCGAGACAAAGCGGACGTGCTCCGAAGCGGTTGGGGCGTTGGTAGTTTGCAAAATGAGTTGCCTACGCTGCGTGGCACTGGTGACACCCCTCCGTCGACGTAAAAAGCGAAATTTATAGCGTGCTGGAGTGGAAAATGAGCTTCCTCTCCTGTTCTTGGGTCGATCCACTGACACACCTTGTCACCACTAGGGTGATTTTCCTCACTCATCAGACCTTTCAGTATCTCGGACCCTTGATTTGAAGCAGAACTACCGCCGGTACCGAGCAGCCGACTCAGAATTGACTGCTCCATCGCCTCTAGGTCAGTAGGACTCCACTCGTCGCTTCTGAACTCGACGTCTTCAAGCAACAGAACAATCACTGGCGGCACCACTGACACTGCAGCTGCCGCTGCCACAAATTCATGACCACCGGATCGGATCGTGACACTGCTCTGGTCGACCGAGGTCACTTGTCCATACTGAACCTCTCCAGCTAAACTGACGGACACGGGTCGTCGGAGCAACGAGATCTGACCGGCCTGGGAAACTTCACTGGCCCGAACCACGTGATCTTCGGCGACGGCACGATCCAGTTTCCCTTCGCCTCCTTCCAAGCTGCGAAACGTCACCTCCTCCGAGTCTAGCTGTAAGACTTTAGCATAAAACGGATGCTCTGCTTCGAACTCCACCACTTCAGGTGTCAGGTGAAGGAAGGAGCGGCTTGTAAGTCTCACCATGACCGGAGTGCTGAAGGCTGCAAGCTAAAGCAGGAGGGCTTAAGCGGCAGACGGAGATTCTGAAACTAACGCTACGACCTCTACGACTGCTCCTAGCACTTGAGCGTTGGTTTCATCTCTGCTTTCTCCTCAAAAGCTATTTTCACCTTGAACTTGAAAATATCCATTGGCAAAGTTTTAGTGGAATGTCTAATCGTCCCTTAACTCTGAGATAAATTTCAGAGAACATATTTAGGGATTAACATGTAAACACTGCTTGTTGACTTCCTACACTGGTGTAGAATCCGTGCTAGCTTTGGTCTCCGATGACAACTGAAACAAGCACGTAGATATCATCATCATGAGTCATTACAAATACGATCAGAGGAGTGACCGATCTGACTCACCTTCGCTTGCAGACGCTTCTGACGCCGCTCTAACGCGCGTTGAAGACGTTGTGCGTGATCACCACGCAGAGCGTCTTGCTGGTTACTTCCCCGAAAGGCATCGACAGCAAGTTGCTGAAGACTCGTAGTAGCAGTCGCTGTAGTATCAGAGACGGACTCATCCATGAATGCGGCCTCGTTATCATCTCGGTAGGAGCAGAGCACCACAATCGGATTATTCCCCCCTAAAGCAAACCGATACAACTTTAGCCATCGCAGACAATGCTCAATACGTTAGAGACGCCTTACCATAAGAGCAGAGTGCAGCCATGTGAGCCGTAGGAGACCAGCTCACGTCCAGCACGGGGCAGTCGTGGAAGAAGTGGGTTCCCCAGACGCCTCGCTGCAGTTGCTGGCCGTGGAGGCTTGTGAACAAACGAGGAACGCCATCCTCAGAGCCACTGATAACCAGTTTCCCATCGGGACTGAATGTGCTCTTCACGAGCAAGGATTCACAGGCGACGCCAGCATAGCTCTTGTTCAGCAATAGATACGACCGCAGTTCGTACTGGAAAATCGCGTTTGGCTGCGTGTGAACCAGCAAATGAGCCTTACGCGGATGAAGCTCCATCGACGTGATGCTGGTCTGGCCCGTTTGAATCGTTTTCACGAGCTCATAACCAGCAAGCGTCGATGCATTTGGCGTACGTTTCCACACAGTGATATCACCCTTCGCATCACCACAAAATACTCGTCCAGTCTTTGCCTCCACACAAATTGTATGCAGTGCACTAGCACTCACTTGGAGCATTCCGAACTCAGGTTGGCCATTGGGCACGGACGATTCCTTCCGGAAGCGTAGACACCCATCAGACGCTCCCGTGAGAATAGTGCCACCGTTGCTACCCGGAAGAAAGCTCGCACAATACACGAAGCATGGGAAGTGGTGCCACTGCAACACTTGCGGCAACAAACGACTACGACGAGCGTTACCAGCTCGTGGAGAAGCTGGAGGGCTGGAGGTATTCATTGAAGGCAGCTCCCACAACCTCACCGTGCCATCTGAAGACGCTGAGAGAAGGCGAAGTTTCCCACTTGAGTGAACGCTCCATTCCAGTGAGTAGATAACGCCTCGATGGCCTCGGCCAACGGCGAGCAGCTCTGCAGACGTCATGTCATACACTCGCACCACGAATTCCCCCAGCTCCGGGCTCACACTTGCAGCCAAGTACCGCCCGCACGGGCTGAAACTTACAGCGGAGCATCCTTTCTTTCCAGTCGGAAGGGAGCAAAGTACCCGCTGAGGGATCAAACACAGCTCTGAAGGGTTCCTCTTGCAAGGTACCAGCAAGTCAAATTGGTCGCTGGAAGCTGCACCTGAAGGAGCCGCAGCCTTACTTCCAGCGTCTTCTGGTTGGGCAACACCAACTGGTGGAGTATCTGCCTCTGGGGGTTCTTGATTATCGCCACCTCTGTGTTCTGGGTTGACACTTGCTTCTTGATCAGCCTCAGCATCAGCGGTGGCTCCGCTTGCCTCTGGGATACTCGCCTGTCGTGGAGACTCAGCGAGAGTTACAGCCCGTAGTTGAACGTGTAGTGTCGTTGGCGCAGGCACGCGAGTGCGCTTCTGATACTGTAGAAATACTGCAGGCATGGTAGGATGGTTCTTCCTCCAGCCCCACTGCAATTTGGCCTGGTAGTTGTCCATCCACGTTAGGACTTGGTACTCGAACAACCGGACACGCAATCCGCACACATCAACAACTTCTTCGGACTTGGACTTCGTTTGATCATTGTCCTCAGGCACATTAGGAAGCACGAAGCAGTTCATCGTTGGGTTGCCTTTGCTCGTGATAGTGTGGAAGAACCCCCACGCGATACGGCGATACTCCGTTGTCGATGGTGCCTTGTGACTCGCGTCATCTTCGTCGTGAGTGCTGACTGACTCGAACCGCGTTCCACGACGAAACCGCGTTCCTTTAGTAGGAGGCTTGGACTCGAGGATTTCTAATAGCAGCACCATCCGAGTGTTCAGGAACGTAGGCATGTCAATCGCAATGCCGAGAGCTTGCTGCCATTCGAAAACGTCTACAAGGCACAGGTTAGCTAGCTAGCTGTTAGTCCAAGCGGTCAGTGCACAACTTACTCGTGTAGTCCTGGTTGCTGGGTTCTGTGAAGAACTTGGCCTCGCTTGTCATTTGCGGTGGACACAGAGCACGTCCAGTGCATCGGTCGATAGCATGAACGCGCACCTGGGGGTGGGAATACGCTCCAAACGGAAGCTCGTCTGACCGCTCAATAAAAACCTCCAGATTGCGTTGCTTTGGCTGGGCCTTCAATGCGTTCATACGCGCCTTCATATGCTTGCTGAGCAGTGGCAGATGCACCTCACTGATACTTCCGTTGAGAGACCCGATGAAGCACGCCGACCGCTGGCAAGATAATGGACACGACGCAGGGGGCGCATCTTCTACTATCGAAGCTGTAGAGTTCCGACTGCGCCACGACATGATACTGGATCGACGACCTGAAAGTATTGGGCTCTGCTGGTTCTGAAGTGCATCAGCGCTTTCATCGTTGTTAGCTTTGTCAGCACGCTTGGACCGCAATCTGCCCGAGCGTCGGCTTGATTTATCCCCCTTGGAGCTCGAAGTTGGCACGGCTGATTCCACAACAGTCTCATCGGCGGGCTTTAGCGACGGGGATTCTGCCTGTGGACTCAGCAGTTCCTCGGCCAGTTCCGCTCGAAGACTTGCTTTTCGGTGCTGCCTCATCACGGACTTTCGGGGTCTCTCCTTCGTCTTTGGACTACGTTTCGCCGAATCCATCTCGATACCCTCACCAGGGGTATTGAGCGTCAAGGCTTTCTTCCCCATCGTGGCTTGGGCGGTCTCTGATAAAAGCACGACTGACAAACCTCAGCGACAAAACCAACTTTAATGAAACGGTCTCATCATGGGACATAATGAGACCGCCATGAAGCGTCGGGGGTTGCAGCATGGGATTGTGCGATGCCAGCAACATTCCACCCAGCTCCAGGCACTGTCACGAATCATTCACTTCGCCACCTGCTTCTTGAGCTCATTCAGCATTTGCTATGGACACAGCACAGAACTCTAGCGGAAAGTCAGTTGGGGAAACCTTGTTTCATATCTAAATCCTTTGCTCTACCAAGGCCGATCCCATGCGTTAATTCTTGTGTGATGGACCAGCAATCACGGCGTGGCACAGAGACGAATGAAATCGTTGCGGAGACGTCACCACGAAGTCCACCTACGCACACAACATCGTGTCACAACAAAGCAGTCAGCATCCTCAAAATGTATTGCAACGGAATCGACACCCAACATACCAATTCATGCACCATCGGTATCCGCGCATTGTCCAGCCCTTCAGCAACCAGATACTCCTTCGCCTCAATAGCGCGCTCAACGACTGTTTCCCTGTACGCCAGACTGCTCCAAAACAAACACAAAATTAGGAAACAAACCGAGATTCAACAACAGAACATCTAAACGTACTCGAGTGCTGGTGCAAAGCCCGTCTTCTTGCACGCCGACGCTCCAAAAATGTAGCGGTACACTCGCAGCAGCAGCTTGATGTTGCTTCTCGACACTCCAGCGCGCCGCAGCCCCACAAGGTTCAGTCCAGCAAGCTTCGCGCGGTTGCCAACAACCAGTCCGTACGGGAGCACGTCGCCGTCCACAGCACTCTGTCCGCCGATCATGGCCAGTCGGCCCACGCTCACGTGCTGCTTGAGGCCAACCTGTCCTCCGATGATAGCTCCGTCTCCAATGGACACATGGCCAGCGATGCACACGTTGTTGGAGACCACGACCCGTCTACCGAGCTGCGCGTCATGCGCCACATGCGCACCACACAGCAGCCAGCAGTCGTCGCCGACGGACGTGGGCGCGTCCGAGTACGAGGTGCTGCCGTGCACCGTCACGTGCTCCCGGATGACACAGTCGCTGCCCACAGTCAGCGTCAGGTCGCTCGAGCCCTTGGCCTCGTACATCCGGTGCTTCTTGTCCTGCGGCTCGCCCCCCAAGCTCGCGAACGGGTGAATGACAGTGCCGCTGCCGACGCGCGTCTTGCCGTCGATCACCACGTGACTCTGCAGTCGGACGTCCGCCTCCAGCACCACGTCTAATACAACAAAAAAATATTATGGTTAGTAAATAATAATACTATAGCAAGATCCTAAAAAATGTTCAGATATACCGACCTGGTCCTATGACGGAGTACGGTCCCACCAGGACGTTAGGCCCGAGTTCTGCGTTCGGGTGGACCACAGCCGTCGCGTGGACCTCCGGGACCCTCTCCAGGCCTGCAGAAGGCCGGTAGTCCTGCAGCCTCCTCGAGATCTCAGGTCTGCGGCCTGCAGGACGAGCGTCCTGGCGTGTGGCGTGCGCCACCAGCTCCTCCAGCGCTTCCGCCGAGGCGGACGACTGGGACACGCAGCAATGAAATAGGACGTTAGAGAGCAGGATACAAGAGTTGAGGTTAAGCAGGACGGCAGACGCACCAGAGCGCGAGCTGCGGACGGTGTGCCGCACGGGGCGGCGACGACGAGCCGCCCCCGACCTAGGCGAGCACCAGCCAGCATATTGCGGGTTTGGGACTAAGTATACACTATTTTGGTCTCTATCAAAAAAATCCGTAGCAAAAAATATGTCGGAGCAAACTTTTAATCACCGATCGTTGAAGTTAGTGCGTACCTACAATTGCTTTCAAAACCTCTTCTGCATGTTGAATAGTTTCGTTGGCAAGCACAGGCACAACAGGGCGGCAAAGCCCTTATGCCCCCACTTGCTACCGATGTCATCGTGCAGGAGAAATATGACGCCCTGCCGATCAACCCTTAGCGAGCACGTAGCGCTTGGTACCGCCAACCGAGTCCATGGGTGTGAAAGGCTAGGATTTGTCCTTCATTTCGTTCAACAGGTTGACGTTGAGAGGGCCACGCACGCAAAAAAAAAATCGACGAATGGATCCGCCGGATGCTCCTTGCGGTGTCCTACCCACTGAAACGGCTGAAGTCCTCCAAACGGTGGACATCCATGCGTCGTGTGTGTATGTGATATGTGTATTTTTTAAACAAAGGAGAGACTTGTACATTTAGTTTTTTTTACCTGTATCTAATTTAACGCGTAGTGGTGAGGCGAAGATGGCCGTGGGGCACGCTGATGCAAACGAGTGCCATTGCATTTTTCTTCTAATAACGTATTGCTTTCTCGGAAGTCTTGATAACCTTTTCCTCTATCTAGATCAAGCGCTCCACAAGACAAAGAAACTCTTGAGAAACTCTACAGGCGGGAAGCCACCATCCGTGGTAAATGGATTCGCTGGAGTCCCTGGTGTCGCAGTGAAGTCTCACACAAGATGCAAACATAATATCATTCGATGTCTTCTTAGCTTAAATGTTTGGGTGAGTGTAGCTAGCTTTTTAATTAAAGGTTGGGCACCCCCATGGACGGGTGACCGCATCCGGCCGTACATTTCCCTTGTATTAACTGGATAACCTGGCTATCATATGGTTGCTCGTAAAAGTTGTTTGAGTAACCGTTGCTTTGTACTACCTGAGTCGTTAGAGCAGTCAACGAGGCAAATCACTTTTTCTGTCTCTACTTCTGCTTAGGGAACAACCAAAATAGATGCTTTCTTGTGAGGATTGGATCTATCTTGTCGTATTATGTAGAATCTCAAAATTATTGTTTGGGACAAGAAATTACGGCTGGGGGAAGTGGTTCCCCATGGCCAACCGCTCGGGTTGTCTCGTAAAGAGGTTACTTCAACAAGATGTAGCGTGTCAGACAAAATCGCCCAAACAATAATTTTGTGCTTCTACATAATACGACAAGATAGATCCAATCCTCACAAGAAAGCATCTATTTTGGTTGTTCCCTAAGCAGAAGTAGAGACAGAAAAAGTGATTTGCCTCGTTGACTGGGCTCACTACCGCCCGGCGGCTCGACGAGCCCCAACAGCAGCACTCGGTTATCGGACACAAGCGCCTCCCCGCCCCGATAGATGACCAAGTCTCCCCCTTCGTGCAGACTGGATAACTGAACCACCAAGGTGGCGATCATCCCGTCTTCTTTCTCAGTGTCTTGGTGCTTCACAAAGTGCCCTCCTTGTCCATAGATGAGCATTTTGTACAGCTGACAGCTTAGAGGAACGCCTTCGTACCCCAAACGTGCTGCAATGGTAGCGGTTATCTCCTCAATGCCGGTGTGCCACTGCGGGTTGTTGATTTCGACTTGATCAGGCTCCAGTTGCCAGCTATTGCGTACATTCTCGTCCAGTTTTGTCTCGAACTTGTGTCCAAACGGAGATTTCTTGCTCTTGCCGATCAGGTTTGTAGCTTCTTCCTCAGTCAGTGGGACCGAAACTGGCCCAACGTCTTTGACAACGAGACCGGGGACGATCGGCAATGTGTCGGCTCGACCTCCGAAAGAGTACTCGCCAGCCTGTCGATCCGCTCGAGGTAATAGTTTGCTGATTGTTTGGCACTTTCCTCCTTCCGGGACTGGCACGTCTTTGGACCTTCCTTCTCCACCGAACGGCCACTCCTGCTTCAGTGGACCAAGTTCACTGTTCTCGTCGTCACTGAACTCGTAGTCGTACTTCATGCTCCTCGGCGACACTGAACCCGTAATTGTGCTCATGATTTTAACTCGTGTCGCGAAGAGAAGAATCGGAAATGAGGACTCCAGCTTGAAGCTACTGCCAGTCTTCATCAGTCAGTCAATCCATCAATCAATCAATCCGTCCATCCATCAATAACTTGGTCGGATGAAAATCAAGTAACCGGGTACGGAAATCGAAAGGATGATGGCCCCACTGATATCGCATAACTTTTCGAGGTATCCGACCCCGTCGACAATTGGAAGCCCTTGGCTAATGTAACGAGGCGGTATTGACGGTGGCTGCATGAGCAAGTTGCTGCTGAATACACTTTTGAGCTGTATCGCCCCAGCACACGGAGCTCTCCTGTAGTTCCTTCTCGGGATCCTGGGAGATTTTCTTACTCTTGTGGTGGATCTTCAAACACGTCCAGCGCGTGATAACGACGTCCGGTGAATCACCAGTCACTCGTGGGATTGCTCGCGCGGTAACAAGCGTAGTGGTGTCTCTCCTCACACGCTCTGCAGTCCGATACGGGTGCAGCTCGTCAGAGTCCACAAAGTCCGAGGCCATAACCCCATAACTGCCTTCTCCACTTTCGCCACCTTCGACAAACCGCGAGAACACGACCGTATTCGACTCGACCTTCGTCCCTGGAGACGTCAACGTAACCAGTCGAAGCTGCGCGAAGTCGGACGTCTCGAAGTCGCTGTCCTCCCGGATGGCGACGCAGCCTAACATCTCCGAGAGGAAAATCTCCGCGTTCAGCACTGAGCGGAGGATCGCATCGAACACCTCCCTGGTGCTCACACCAAATACTGGCACCGTCTCAAACCGCACGATGCAATAGTCGCCACGAGCCGAGTCGAGCCTTTCTTCCTGGCAGTAGGCCGATAGTGGATTAAGTCCCCGACTTCTTGCTGCGAGATATCTCTCAGTTCTGTCCAGCATTGGATTCTTGAGTGTCATCAACGTGTTGTACCGCTCAGTATGATTTCTTCCTAACCGGACGACACACTGCGTTGGCTGGAGCAAAGTCAAACTCCGTTGCTGCGCAAACAGAATATAAGTAAGTTAGTCCATCTTCTCCGTGCCAGATATCGTCTTCTTCTTCTTCTGATACATACAGCGTGAACAGCTGGTGCCGCTTGTGTCTTGGCCAGCGCCAAGTGCTGCTCTTGAATGAACTGCAGCAGCACTTTGTTCTCCGCCTCGGTGCGTTTTACGGCCTGGTCGGCGTTGCCCTGATGCGTCAGCAACTGGAGCTTGAGCTGGTCCACGGTTCTCTGTATCGTGTCCACCTGCTCCACCAGCGCGCGCTTGCGTTCCTTCCGGACTTCATAGGCAGTTTGCTTCCTCTTCCCTAGCGCTTTGCCCACCGCAGCGCAGCGACTCGGAGCGGTCGCGAGGTCAACGCCTTGCAGCATTTTTTGCAGCTTGGCAAACAGTTATGTGGGATTCGATTACTAACTGAGTACTGATACAGTATATTACCCCGCGGAGGGTCATTTCCTTTTAAGAAACGTCTGCCATGAGTGTTCGCATCGAAGCACTTCTACCCAGAATGCAACAATGAATTGGCTAGTTATGTCAGCTTGATATGTCGATTTCTCAATGCACACTTTGTATAGCAGATCGCGTACTCGAATACACTCCTTGCAAGGTCAAATGTGGAAGTAAATCTCGCGTGAAATCGGTTCGTCACGAAGGCTGGCGACTGGAATTAAACAATGCTGGCATTACCATGTGAAGTCGCTACGGAAATTTTTCAGTTGTTGATACCAAGTGCGTTTGCCAACATATCTAAGACATCGCTGCCAGGATACTGTGACTCACGTGCATATCTCGCTGGTATCTCTTATCAATCACTTGTGTCGAGCATTCGTAAGACAGTTTGACGACAAATCAAATCTAGTGATTTGATTGGCGAATAGTACGACTTGCCAATTCTGTTGGCACTGCCAGGCGCAGAGTTCTCGCAGGCTCTGCTAGGAAGGCCCGCGTTCCTCTTCGCTACTCTTCTTGATGCATTTCGTTGCACTTCGTATCCTGACTAATATCGGGCGCAGCATAGTAGTGGTAGTAATGATTGGCGGTTCGATACAACTGTGCGGAGGAGCGCTGCGACACCAACAAACTCCCTCTACATATTTAAAACACCACGGCGAGCTTAGATCGTTTAGATTTCCTAGTACTACAGTAGCAGGCCGAGCAAACTGGTAAGCGCCTTCAGCCGGGCTGATCAATTACTTTAGCTTTGGCATTTTTCATGTATTCCCGAGAAGTTTCGCCGCTCATTTGACTCTTAGAGGCCCTCACGTCGTTTTGTAGTTATTTGTTTGCGACACCACCAACAGCTTACCTACACGTGGCCGCGGGTGAGGTCGGTGGTGTCCACTACCGACGTAGGTGGAGCTGCAGCAGTGTGCGCCTCCGGGAGTAAGGTAGCCAAGCAAACCGCAACAAATACAAATACAAATACAAATGCCAAGACTGGCTGACGCTGCCTTGTTGCTACTACAAAACAGTTCATTTCATGACTTTGGTAAGATCCCATAATGTATTGATTGTCTACTCCCTCGCGTCCTCCGACAACGCCTCGGTGCGGAGCATGTGTGCGCGCTCGTCGTGCACTGCTTCGCTCGGAGGCGTCCTCAGAGGACACGACAGGGTTCGTGGGCCGCACTACCGGAGGAAGAGGGGCTCTATTTGGTTATGCATTAACTAGAATTCACTATAAAGCCCTGAACGTTTTGTTTGTCAAGCTGGGCTAATGGTTCGGGTGCATTTATTTCTTATCCATTCTCAAACAAGCGTGTACATTGTAGTTGGCAGTAGGGCCGCACTACCGACTACATGTTCGTGCTTGTGAGCGCCTTATTTCGACGGCTCGACTGTAGGTGGCACGAGCAATTCAAAAACGGCAAAGCGGTTGTCCTCGGGTTCCTACATGCTCAACGGAGGAACGCACGCGACGACACTACCCTCTGAAAGTTTTGGCCAATCGCATGGTGCAAATTGTTGTCCGACAAACTGTCTTACGTTTTGACGGACAAAATACAATGTAACCACTGGTATACTAAAACCAAGATGTAGCCAAAATGCGTTGATTGCAAAACGTAAGACGCTTTGTCTTACGGTAGGCTCTCTGGGGCTAAGTATCGTCTTACGAAAGAGCAGGAATCAATAGTTGTGCATCCTTGGTGTCGGCACACTCGAACAACTGCCCGCCGATACTTAAGTAGGCGGGAACAGCACAAGGTAGACTCCCTTCACTGTGACTCCCCACCACATCCACGCTTAGCCACTAGCTAGTCGTTTGAAGAAGCCCCGACTTACGTCACGTAGTCTACGTGAGACTGGCGCACCCCAAGAAACCCAAGCCGAGACATTGGAGGTGGAACCTGAACCTGAAACCCCGGAGCCGCCAGTGGCTATCGTCCAGCACACCCAATCGCCCCAATACAAGAACCGCTCAACCCCAGCATAGCCTTCCGCACTGAAGCGTAGTTCAATGAATAGACGAGTTTTGATGCCGATTCACTTGGAGATCAGCCGGACGCTCCTTGCGCTGTCCGACCCACCCGTTCTGGTCGTAGTTGATCCAGGCGCCTCGAAACATGCTGTAGCAAGTGGGCATCATGATATCGAGCCCGGAATGAATCATCTTGGGGAGTAAATGTGAAGAGATGATCTCGACATCCGCATCCAGCCACACGACATGCTGGTGCCACGTCTCCAGACTGGACATGAGAACGTAGTTGCGGTATCGAGCGATCATACGCCGTCGGTCGGCTTGCCGAGCAACTTCGTGGCGGTTAACGCGCGTGAGTCCGTTTTGTGTGAAGTCGGCTCGGAAAAATACTGAGAGCCTTGAGTACTGCTGGATGTACTTCTTGAACAGCGTCCGCACCTTCGTAAGCTCGTCCATCGATGACGTGGCATAGAAATGGAGATGTTCTCCTTGGGGTAGTCGAAGGACCCGACGAGGTTGAAGAAATCCGTGACGGTGCGGTTGCCTCCCCATGAGATTTTGTCGTTGAAGACGCAGATGATGAGCACGGAGTCAGTCTCGCAGTTTCCTAGTCGGGTGAGCACTGGAGAGTTCTCGATGCGGTAGTGCCGTCCCGGCTCGATCTTGCCGTATTGACGGTGCATTATCGTTCAAGGTACTAACTAGGGTAGTGATAATGCCACCACTCAGGCACTTGGTGAGCTTGTAGTGCACTCGATTCGTGGTCAAAGCACTAGATACAAGTAATTGTTGCGCTGGACATTAATATCTACTACTATGGCACGAGGAGTTGCGCCTAGGCCAAAACGATAAATCCACGTCCCAGAATCACATCATGCAAAACTTTTAAGTTCATTAAAATAATATGTCCGCGAACTCGGAGAATCCAATCCATTCTGGCACGATGCGCAGGCGAGTGTCGGCTCTGAGGAGCAGCGTAGGTAGGCAGGAAGACAACGCAATGAACACTTGTTTCCCACTGAGCGACTTTGGGATTGAGGAGGAGAAAACCTCGAAGGTGACAACCCCTCTCTTAACAAGAACCATCCACCAACTGCCGTATACTATAGCGCACTGTCCCAGTATACACAGCCACTACAGCGACAAGAACACACGACCTTCGTCACACTCCCACTTCGTGGTTCTGGCGAATGTAGTTGCCGCTTTGACCTTCTCTCTTTCTGCTGCACTTCATCTCGTGTCAGCTTACTGATCAGCTCCGAGATCAGGTACCGGCATCACATTCAAAAGCTGCCGTAGCTTCTTGAACTGTGTTGGCCCGAGAGGTTTAGTCAGAATGTCTGCTACATTGTCTTCGGACGGGCAGTGCTCCACAGCAAACTCTCCACGCTCAAAGTAATCACGCACTTTGTGATACTTGAGATCGACTCCTTTCACTTTGTCGTCACCAGTGTTGGCCTTGATCACAGCAATGGCCGCTTGGTTATCGTCGTAAAGAACCGTCTCCTTACCGGAAATACCGAGCTCCTTGCAAATATTGTGTGTCCACATTATCATTGTAGAGCACTCCGCAGCTGCCACAAACTCTGAGCTGCAAGTATCATCCGTGATCAAGCGTTGCTCGCGACTATAGTAGGCGAACGTGCAGCCTTCCAATTGCAGCTCAAAACCAGTTACTGAACGTCGGTCGTCCTTCTCGTTTCCTAAATCTGCATCTGCATGTGCCACCAGTCGCATTTCCTTCTTCGGGTATCTCCAAGCATCCACGTATGCCGCGACCTGCAACTCCGGCTTGTCAGATCTTGTCCACACGAGTCCGTAGTCCGTGGTCCCTCTCAAGTAGCGCAACACTCTCTTTGCGGCACCTAATATTCTCGAGTAAAACAGTTCAAGAACTTTCCCAAAGTTCTCACGGCATTCGCAATATCTGGGCGAGAACACTGAGCCAGATACTGCAACGATCCTACAATTTGCCGATAGTCCAAATCAGGGTCTGCATTCACGCACACCGGTTCCACATCAGGATCACCAGGCCGAGGCAAGTTTCCTTTTACTTGCGGAGTAGGTGCAGGTTTGCATTTGTCCATCTTAAATCTCTTCAGCACCTTCTCGCAGTAGCCCTTCTGAGAGATCGTCAACATGCGTCCTGGAACGTAGGTAATCTCCATCCCTAGCAGGTGCTTGACATTGCCCAGATCCTTAATCTTGAACTCGCTCTTCAACTCCGCTACCACCATCTCGATGTCGGGCTCCGTCCCAACAATCAAGAGATCGTCAACGTACACTGCAACGAAAATCTTATTCTCTCCCACTGTTCGGACATACACACCCGCGTCCATCTTGGTCCGCGTGAACCCGCACTTCTGTAAGTACTTGTCCAGCATCTGGTACCAAATGCGCGGCGCCTGCCTCAATCCATAGAGGCTCTGTTGCAGTTTGCAGACGCGGCCGGATCCATCGTCAAAATACTCCGGTTGCTCCATATAAATGTCTGCATCACCAATAGGTCCGTTCAGGAATGCAGTGACAAAGTCCACTTGTCGACACATCAGTCCTAGGTACAGCGCTAGCTGCAAGATGAATCGAACCGACTCAATCTGTGCAACTGGAGCGTATTTCTCTCAGAAATGATTCCGAACTGTTGACAGCCTTTCACAGTGATCCGAGCTCGGTAGCGCACTACCTCTCCTTGCGCGTTCCGTTTCTTCACGAACACCCATTTATTCTTCAGAACCTTCACTCCAGGTGGGCGATCAACCAATTCCCACACGTGATTCCGAATCTGCTCTTTGTATTCATTGTCAAGAGCTTCAATCCATTTCTTAGCGTCAGGTGCAGACAGTGCTTCCTCCACCGACACTGGTTCCAGCAGTTCATTCACTGACTGAATGACCAAGCTCGCTGGAATGTCCACTTCGTAGTCGCTGAGGCGCGTGTTCGATCACCGAATACGTCTCGATCTCCGAAATGAAGCGCCGAGGCCTTCATCTTCTTCACTATCATCCTCTCTACCAGCTCCCACTGACTGAGAGATGTCCTCCATTGGATCGCCAGTCGCAATAACAGCATCAGTCACATCTTCTTCAGATTGATCCCAGTCTGGACCATGCGCACCATTGTGCCCATCATCTAGATCACTGAGAGCTCGCGGGCCTCGAGCACGCGCAGAGTCACTGCGGTTAGACAGGTCTCCACCACCTCTCAAAGGTGCAGAACAACTGCGGTTAGACAGGTTCACTCCACCTTCTGCACCGCCTCCTCCATCAGTATCCACACGTTGGTCCACTTCCCGTAGTTCGCGCGCACGCGACGACCGAGCTACTGCTTCAGCTGCACCCGTCAGACATACGCTCAACGCATCGCCTGCAGATGAGCTGGCCAACGCCGGTCCACCCAAAGCGATCGGAGCATCCACTACGGCACTGGGTGTGTGGACTCGCAAATCCTCACTGCAATGACGCTTATCACGATGTTCATCATCACGTTGTTCATTTCCGGTTCTCCAAGTCGGCTTCTTACAGGACTTGGTGACGTCAAATCCTCCAATCTGACGTACGGAATGCGCGACGGAAGTTTGTTCTTTCCACGCTTGTATCGATTGAGCAGGAGCTGCTCAACATAATCGTGCTCCACTGTCCAATCCTCAGCAAACTCCACCGTCCTTAACTCCTTCACCTTTCCGGTCTTTAAGTCCAGCACTCGATAGCTCATTGATTCCTTACCATATCCTAGAAAGAGGCAAGGTTGCCCGGGATTCTCAAGCTTATTCTTTCTCAGGACCTTCGGGTGTACGCATACACCAGACATCCCCATGTGCGTAGCTCCGAGAGATCAGGCTGCTCACCGAAGCGCCGAGTGTACGGCGTCTCCCCACCTAGCGCACAACTCGGGCTAATATTCAGGACTTCCACCGCAAAGGCAAAAGCTTCACCCCACAGTAGATTGGGTTGGTCCACCAGCGTCAATATGCTGCGAACACGAGACAGCACGACACCATGCATTCGTTCTACAAGCCCGTTCTCTTCGGGACTGTATGCATTGGTCTTACCCAGGGCAATTCCATGCGCTCGCAAAAATGCCTTGAAGCGATCGTTGAAGAGCTCACCTCCACCATCCCAACCGAACACTTCGACTCGGTGGCCTTGAGCGAGAATCCACGCCACATGCTTCGTCACCACGTCGTAAGCTTCCTCCTTTCTCTTCAGAAGAAAACCCCATACGTATCGTGTGGCTTCATCCAACACAAGCTGAAAGTGCATGTAGCCATTGTAGGTAGACTCGCCGAGGTAGCACTCGTCAGACACAAGCTTCTGGTAAGGCACTTACGACCTTTTCGTGCTCACTCGCTTGTACGACATCCGTTTTAATTTGGCTTGCACGCATGTCCAGCACCGATCTTCAGGTACATGAACGTTGCCCACCAACGCCAAGCCATCAACAGTTCCGTCCCTCACCATTTGATGCAAAGCACCAATGTTGAGGTGGCCGAGCCGGGCGTGCCATCGCACAAGCGCTCGCTCGTCATCGCGTCTTCCTTGCACCACAGCTTCCACTTGCTGGGCCGGAATAACAGTCGACTGCAAGCGATAACGTCCATGAGCCTTTACTAGCTTCAGTAATTCACTTCCCTTGCGAAGCCAAGCGCACTTCTGCTTCTTCAACTTGATAAAGTCCCAGCCGTCATTCTCCAACTTATCTAGACTTAGCAGATTGTTTGTGCCACTAGCCGAGTAAAGCACATTGCCGAGACAGAGAGAAGCAGACACAGCTGGCTGATTTTCATTCTTCACTTGTGTTTTCACTCTTCCAACCAGCCCTCTGCCTTTGGACGCCTTGCCTTCCCAATCAAACACCACAGGACCATCATCTTGGTGTAGATCAGTAAGGATATCCTTGTTCGTGCACACATGACAATCACTCGCCGAGTCCAGGACCCATTCCACAACTTTATCCATTGAACTCTGCGTTGCACTTGGCTCTGAGTCACCGTCACAACGAGACAGCATACTAATATTTCGCTGCTTCTCACTGGACTTGCCAGTCTTATTCTTATTCTGCCACCGTTTCCGTCCCGGAAGCTGCGACTCAGATTCGTCATCATCACGTCGAGGACATGGACAATTCGCTTGAATATGACCAGTCTGATGACACTTCCAGCACTCACGTGTGTCGCCATCATCATTTCGGTTTCCGCCGTATTTTCCTCCAGATGCACCTCGACTCTGACTGCCCTTGGCCTTGTATTTGCCTCGAGCACGCCTCTTTCCTTTGCCTGGCTGTTGGCCTTGCTGCTTGGTCGAACCCTTTTTGCCAGCTTGCGCGGAGGAGATATTCTGGTCATGGGGTCGCTCATCACTTCTCGCGTCGAGTTCCGACTCTGCGCGAAGCGTGTTCATCACTTGAGCGGAGGACGGTGCCGACCGCTGATACCCAGGGTCGTAATGTTTGGAGAATTGCCGAACAACTTCTCGGTGAGTCTGCGCGACATTACTTAACAGGATCTCTGCAAATTCTTCATCCGAGATCACCTTCTTGTAATACAGCAATTCGTTGCGTAGAAGTTGCATTTCACGCAGCCACTCATTCATATTTTGCTCCTGAGAATACTTGTTGGCATATAGCCGCTGTCGCGCGAAGATGTAGTTGGCATACTCCCTCTTCGTCTGCTTATTGACAAAGGAAGTCCACATCCCCTGAGCGCTCGACTCATGACAGATAAGCTCTGCATCTGCAGTTGGAACACCATGCAAAATGGCCCCACGAGCTATATTATCCATCATTGCAAACTGATCGGCACTCACACTTGCACGAACCGCAGCCTCGTTCTCCACAACACACCACAAATTCAATCTTGTCAGGAAGGTCTTCAACTGCACTGCGTACAGGTCGAAGCTGCCCTGCATGACCGGCGGTTTGTTGACCAGCTTCATACCAAACCCGCCACCAGAGTACTGAGGCACCATCATCGGAGCCGTCGAAAATGGCCCAGCACCTGGCATAGTCGATGCAAAAGCTGCAGACACTGTTGGCCACGTAGCCGACGCATTCAGAGATGTAGCCATCACTAGCGGAGTCATCGTCGCCGAACCAGCCCCAGGAACCATGCCAATACCACTCGTCAACAAGGCTCCACTTCCAGTCGAGCCAAAAAACGAGAAACCTCCACCGAGCATGCCACCCGTGCTCACCAGACCAGCAGAGGTCACACTCGTAGCCACAGAACTCCCACTCATCGTCATGGCAGTTGAACTGCTCGCAGAAGACGACGCCGCACTCGATCCAGACATTTCACAAAGCCTCACGAATGTAGTCCGTTGAGCTTGTTAGTCTTGGGCTCATAACCTGGCACGATGCGCAGGCGAGTGTCGGCTCTGAGGAGCAGCGTAGGTAGGCAGGAAGACAACGCAATGAACACTTGTTTCCCACTGAGCGACTATGGGATTGAGGAGGAGAAAACCTCGAAGGTGACAACCCCTCTCTTAACAAGAACCATCCACCAACTGCCGTATACTATAGCGCACTGTCCCAGTATACACAGCCACTACAGCGACAAGAACACACGACCTTCGTCACACATTCAAGGTCCATGTTGTGGTTGAACTTTACAATAAGCACTATCCGGGGTTGGAGGATGTTTTGACTTGAATTTGTATGTCGTCGGTCATCGGAGAGCCTCCTCCATTAGTGCTAACCAGAGGGTATCCCTATTCGGGATATCACTCCAGAGAGGATTGTCGAACATGACAAAAATGTCCTTTTTGGCTTCTAAAAGGCTATACTGCATAATTAGTTCAATTTTAACAGTACCCCCAAACTACACCTTTACAGAAATGGTCGCGTGGGGTGCGTGTTTGGTCGATAACATCGGAATCGTGCCCGGTATTTTTTTACCTGTACGATGATGAAGACCAATGTTGATTGATAGAGCTCGCCCACCAAGAGGGGACACAATGCGCGCACTCCGTGTGCACCTCGACGCCTACATTAATCGACATGCTCAACGGTTGGCTGAGAAGAGTCACAAGCCGCTGATGTGCTATGTGCATTTGGTGTGGCACAGTGGTCTTATACTGGCACCTGCCGGGATGTGTCGGATTAGTTATATTTCGGCACTCTTGCTTATTCATTTCGGTACAGTGCCAGTTTAACGAAATAAAATATGCATTTTACTACAATTTCTCTAGCATATCGAACTGTTTAGCCTGGAAGATGCCTTCAAGGGCTAGAGAAGTCAACGAAGTGTGCCGGTCGTTCAGTTCACACTTCGATACGGAAAAATCGGGTTCGACGGACGCCGTATTCGAGAATACGGTTGCCAATCCGCAGCAGAACTGGCGGAGATGTGAAAATGTCTTTGGAGCAGCAGCGTTTTGTACTGAATCCCAGGCTTCGTTGAAGCTGGTGTCATACGTTTCTTCCTCCAGGGCTGTGCGAACCAGTTCATTAAGCACATTTGCTTGACACAGCTCTCGATGCTTCCGTTCAATGGCTTAATTTTTTGCCTCACTCCAAAACAAAGCCCATTGATCGCGGCGAGGATTCAAAATATCTTCTGCAAACTGGCGAGGAGGGACTATGACAAGCTCAGCTGGCATTACTGGCGGAGCCGGAGCTGCGGCAGTGTCATTGTTGCTGTCTCGCTCAGCTTGTACATGCTCCATACCTTCATTTCGATGCAGTACAAACTTGCCAAGCTGCCTCAGAATCGAATTTTTGTCGGCATCTGCAACACTATTCATGTGATTCTTGACGAACGTCCCCTGGTCTTGAATAAACTCGAGTAAGTGTTGTTCTTTGAACCAGTACTTCGTAGAAATCGTGTCATTAATGGTTAAGGTCCCTTACGTGAATTTGGTGTGGTGCATGCCCGTTTTCCAGACGCGAAAACAGGAATAACGGGACGTTTGTATTGAAGTTCTCTGGCCGTCCTGCGGATGAAGAACAAACACCTGGACCTTGGCACTCTACAATTTCTGTTCCAAAGCTGCTACGAGTAGCAATTTGGTATCGATTTGAGTTTTTGTTGTTGTCGCCGTGTCCAACCCTCCACCCTTCAGTGTAAAATTATTATTCGGAGATTAAGTTTTCCCTGTTAGTGCAAGCTATCTGCTTGTATAAGGTAGTCGGGTGCGTGACCAAACACCTCCACCACAGCAGGAGTGGTAGCCACCAGCGTGACTAAACAGCCAGGGTTTTCTGTTGGTCGGAAGCCTCGTGTGGGAGGTCGTTGTTGCAGCCCTATTTTGGGGTCCAAAGAGCGCAGAGCAAGAGACCAACAACAATTACTTGTCAAGCAGTAGAAGAACGAGTTTTCATAAGGCGACTCGACCTACATTAAAAAACCGGTGTGGTCAGCCCTGGCCGGTCTCGTGTCTGCCGCAGTGCATGTTGTACGATCCGAAGCAAAGCTAGCTCTGGTGATTAGAGTTCTAGAAACCGGATTCGAGAAGCTGTACGAATTCGTAGACAAAAGCCAGGAGCAGGAACAAGCACTAGTTTAGAGTTGGAGCTAACATCAGAATTCATTTTACTTTCCTTTGCATACTGGTGACCACAAAGTATACTTTCTGGACGAACCAGAAGCCGCGGCAAGAGGAAGAAGCGGGGAGACCGCTACAGCATCAAGTCGACCTGCACGGCGTGAAGCCTAGACAAGCAAGATGGTCACGGACGCGGACGGAGACGTCGAGATGACCGTGCCGCAGCCAGTGTTCGAGGTGGGTCAGCCTCCGAGCCTGAGTGCCTGGGACCAGGCGTCCCTAATCTCCTGGGTGCGGCAGCGCCGCCAGTACGAAGCCAAGATTCGCAATCGCTGCGCGGTTACTGGCGAGCAGTACGAGCACGTTGTCACCTCGATCCGCAACTCGATCGAGCCGCGCATCCTGGACCACCTGGTTCGCTTCGTGCTGAAGAAGCGAGCGGCTGACGTGACCGATGAAAATCGCGGCCTGGAGATCACGCGGCGTTGCTCAGCGCTGCAAAACAGCCACACCCCGGACATGGACCAGCTTTTCAAGGACGAACTGAAGATGGACCTTAAAATTGAAGACACCGAAGCTCGTATGGTGAATTACTTCGTGCTGTTTGACAAGATTGTGGAGAACCATGGTTTGGGTGGAATCCTCGGTAGTGGACGCGAAAATGAACCGAATTACGACGAACGAATGAAGTTGCGTTGCAAGTACCTGCTAAAGAACATTGCGCCAGAGATGTTGAGGCTGGAGATGGAGCGCCTGGTCATCGCCAAGCCGGTGCTCAAGAAGGATGATGTTGCGCTCAACGAGGCCTTAGTGGAGCGCGCACGAGAGCAGCGGCACTACCACATGCTGGCCCAGGAGCTCAAGCAGGTGGATAAACCTCGTAGCAACCCCAAGACCAATCACTCCAACAAAAAGCCAGCACTTTCGCTGAAGCCTCGTGTTTCACAGCCCCAGCACTCGTCATCAAGCAAGCCCAAGCAGTCGAAGCAAGAAGCCGACAAGCCCCGCGCACCACCGCGCGATGGCTGTCTCGTGTGCATTGGAGAATATTAGTGAGGCAGACAAAGAAGCAGCCCTAAAACGAATGAATGACATGAAGAACCAGCGCTTGCGTGCGAAGACTCAATTGGGCAGCCCGGCGAGCGTGCAGCCATTTTGAATGGCATATTGGAGGTGCCTTTCCGAGCCGACACTGGCGCTGGCTACGACGTGATTACCCGCCACATTGCGCATGAACTGAGGAAACTGGATGATGACCTCGTGGTGGAAGAGCTGAAAGTGCCGATGGAGGTTGAAGTGGCAGATGGACGGCTCGTGCCTTGCACCGAGATGTGTGAAGTTGACGTGCAGCTATTAACGGCTGCCGGTGCGGTTAATCTGCGCAGACTACAGTGTGTAGTGATCGATGGAGATGCGGATGAGTTCTTACTTGGTGATCGAACTCTGAAGTCACTTGGGATCAACGTGAACCATCTCCTGGAGCGCCTCGCAGCCAAACGTGCCCCCGAGGATGATGAGGATGGTATAACGGAGGATGACATCGTGGGCGCGACCAACCTGGATGAAATAATGGACCGAACGTAATGTTGGACGACGCTGTCAAGGCCGGGTTTCCACACGAATCTAAGGATGCGCTGCGAGATGCGACCAAGGAAGAAGTTGATCTATGGCGGACGAAGCTAGGCGCGGACCCACCCGCCAAGCTCGAGCCACTGTGAGTCGTATTGGTCGACGGCTCCACACCGTATCGAACGAAGCCTTGCTAGTACTCTGAGCTGAAAACCAAGTTCCTTCGGGACTACGGCAGGCAGCTGGAAGAATTTGAGCTGGTTGTACGTTACAATCAAAGTAGGTTGGCTTGTGCGGCCATTCCCGTTCGCAAGAAGGGTCCCGTCGAAAACTTTCGGTGCGCCACCGACTACCGCCCGATCAACAAGCGCACCGTGCCTATCGCAGGTGCAATGCCAAACCTACTGGTGGTGATGGCCAAGGTTAAGGGTGCATGCTTCTTCGCAACTTTCGATCTCTTCAAGGGGTTCTGGCAGCTTTTCCTGCACCCGGACTGCCGTGAATATTTCAGTTTCATCACGAATGACTCTGTGTACACACCCACGCGGGTGCCACAAGGAGCAACCGACTCGCCGATCCATTTCCAAAACCAAATGCAGGAGGTGTTTCGCGCTATGCTGTATGGCAACGTGTTGATCTGGGTGGACGACATCGTCGTGTTCGCTACGACTGCGGAGGAGTTCATCGCGGTGCTCAAGAAATTCTTCGCTAGCCTCCGCGAGTATGGTCTGAAGCTCAATGCCAACAAGAGCTGTCTCTTCGCGCGTGAAATCGCCTGGTGCGGACGCCTCATTGACGGTGAGGGCGTTCGCCACGACCCCGAACGAGTTGCAGCTCTGTGTTCACTGCCGCTTCCAGCCACAGCGGCAGATCTGCAGAAGCTGCTTTGCGCAGCTAATTGGTTGCGTGAATCTATCGTGAACTTTGCCCAGCATGCGGCCCCACTTCAAGCCAAACTGGAGTGCATTTGAAGGACACAGTCGGAAGCAGCGTTATGCTGAAGGACTTGCGCTCATGTGGACGGCTGAGGAGGAGCACCACTATCGTGAGTTCCTTGACTCTGTGGCTCGATCAACGAAGCTGGCGTTCCCTAGCGAGGCGGCCACTGTGTGTGTGACTACGGATGCCTCGGTCCGAGGATGGTCACTCATTGTCTCGCAAGGGGAGTGCTGGGATGACCGTAAGAGCTTGACCGACCAGTCGCACGAGCTTTTAATCTGCAAGGGCGGTATGTTTAAGGGTGCTCAGCTACACTGGTTGATTGCGGAGAAAGAAAGATATCCAATTATCAAGGCTGCGAAGGACCTGGAGTATATGCTGCACCGTGAAGCAGGGTTCAAATTATTTTGCGGCCACGCGAATCTCATTCAGATCTTCTGCCCCCACACGGAGGTTCGCAAGCATGTGCGCGGAAAGTTGCAGCGGTGGGCCCTGATGCTGTCGGACTACCACTATGAAATCGAACATGTCAAGGGCTCTGACAACGTTTGGGCGGATTTAGTGTCGCGCTGGTTGGCTCCCACCGACACCTCTCAAGTGTCTGTCAAGGCTGTGCGGACTCGGTCGTCCCGTGAGCTCTCGCGCCTTCGCCCGCTTAGTGACGAAGCTATCGTGTGGCAGTCTGATCACGCGCATTCTCATCGTGGCTCAATGCGGTTTGAACGTTCACCGGGGAGCCGACGTCATGCTGCGCCAGATGCAGGCGCAGTACTGGATTAAGTCCATGGGAAAGTTGGTCAGGGAATTCGTCGCAGACTGCTTACTCTGTAAGCACATCAAGGGCAGCCAGCTTATCCAGCGTCCATGGAGTGATCACCCCGAGCCTGCAGGACGCAACGCGGTACTGCACTTCGATTTTCTGTTTATGGGAGACTCGTACGGAAGCACGCGATATGTGCTGGTACTGAAGGATGAACTGACGCACTACTGTGAGTTAGTGCCGAGTGATTCGCCTACAAGCACGGTGAATGTGGCGGCTATACTGGATTGGGCTAAACGATTCGGACTGCCGGCAATATGGGTTTCGGACAATGGCACCCATTTCAAGATCGAGTTGATGGAGAATCTACGGGAACGATTGAGGGCGCTGCACACATTTGTGCCCGTCTACACTCCGTGGGTGAACGGCACTGTCGAGCGCCTCAACCGAGACGTGCTCCAGGTGGTGAGAGCGCTGCTGTTGGAATACCAGCTCGACACCAAGACCTGGGAGCATTTGGTGCCTCTCGTGCAGGCCAATCTGAACCAAACGCCCGTGAACTCGCTTGGTGGCAAGGCACCCCTAGAGCTCTTCACAGGCCTCCAAGTGCCGACGCAGCCGGACACGGTGCTGCTCCCCCGCACGTTGCAGACCAAGGACAAGTTGATGAAGATTAACATGGACACAGTGGAGGAGGAGTTAGAGGTGCTGCGTGAGAGCCTACACTCGATGCATCAAGAGGTTGTGGATCGAAAGGAGAAGACCCGTATGCATCAGAAAATGACTAAGGAGGGGAAACTCAAGAACTTCAGCGTTGGAGACTATGCACTTTGGTCTCGTGTCGACGAGCGTCTACGCGCCAACAATTTGATAGTACGCTGGGTGGGCCCTTACCGCGTGGCAGAAGCTCGCGAATACTCGTTCATGGTGGAGCATCTCCTTACTCGTGACACATTTGAGGTCCATGGCTCCAGGCTCAAGTACTACGACGACGCAAGTATGAACGTCGATGAAGAGATCCTCGAGCACGTGGCCAAGCAAGGCATCGTGCTAGGAGTGGAGCGTTTCCGCGACCACCGCTTCAACTCGGCAACGCAACCATGGGAAGTACTAGTATCGTGGCGAGGCCTGCAAGACATCGAGGACTCCTGGGAGCCACTGCAGACCATGCTGCCAGACGTGCCAGTGCTGGTGGCCAACTACGCAGAACAGCAACAGGACGACGCGTTCAAGGCACAGCTGGATGAAGCTTAAACGCACTCGCAACACCATGGCCAAGTTGCATTGCATATTTCAAGAGCGGCAGAACCTGGGGAGGCAGTGTGACCAGCCCTGGCCGGTCTCGTGTCTGCCGCAGTGCATGTTGTACGATCCGAAGCAAAGCTCGCTCTGGTGATTAGAGTTCTAGAAACCGGATTCGAGAAGCTGTACGAATTCGTAGGCAAAAGCCAGGAGCAGGAACAAGCACTAGTTTAGAGTTGGAGCTAATATCAGAATTCATTTTACTTTCCTTTACATACTGGTGACCACAACCGGCTTCAAACTTGTAATTGCTGTGGTTGCTTATGGCTGGGAAGAAGGTCCAGGATTCCAGGGATGGAAGCCATCCATGTATAGAGTATGTGCAGGATATATGCTCCATCGTCAATTAGGTGCTAATAACCACGGCGGCATGCACTTACTTTTACGAGCAAAGTCCTCAAGATGCGTTAGAGATAAGTTTTTATATTTGTGATTCTTAGCTTGCTAAGTTTTACATTGTTTATTGTTTTACGTTTATTCGTGACGAAGTACCGAGGTAAGAACGTCCTGAATCATCATGAAAAAAGATTGATATACTACAGTCGGTAATCCATCGTTGTGGTCAGATACAGAACGGACCTGATCTGTGGTCGGGTTTCATGCATTCTAGGCATTCTGGGGGTTGCACCCCCAGACCCCCGCATAAAGAAAACTAACTCCGAGTTGCGGCAACGCGTCCGCTCGCTGGAACGCTCGGCGCTGGGCCCGCTTCCGCTAGAACATGTGTTTCTGACCAAAAGCATACAAAACCTCATATAAAATACCAGGTCCGTTCTGTATACGACCCATTTGATATTCTACCGTACAGTCGAATCGTTAGATACAGTGCACAGTAGGAAGGAGGTCTAAAGGTGGAGATCGCACCATCTTGTGCCACTTGAGTAGTCTACATCGATTTCGGGCATAACCATGCTCAGGTTGACATTGATTATGCCGCGTTATTCATAATGAAAGTAAACTGCCGCCCAAACCGTATCAAAGTGACTGGCTATCAATCGAGGTAGGGCAAAAAGCTGTGGTGACCAATGCTCACGTTGCTGGCGCGAATACCTACGGTATTCGCGCCTGCAACAGTCCTGATAGCTGAAGAGTGCCCAAGCTTGGAGTCCTATTTGAAACCACTTTGAGGCATTCTACTCACCTGAGGTGAGAGCGGTCCCCACCATCTGGAGCAAAGCTTTGCCGCAAAAGTACAGTACTTCGTCCTTTAGCATCGGTCAAGTGTTATTTCTTCGTAGTGAGATATTTTCGCGATCACAGTTGACAAGGAGCCAGATGATGCGCGGCTCAGGCTCCATATGAGCTGTCCACGCCAAGGCTTCAAGCTTGTCGAGTCGAGGGCCAACGCGCGCGACACCTCGGTCCTATCTTACGGGATTAAAGCAGCGTGCGCCCAGGCCCGTCGAGACGCGCCGCGCTCCACAAGTTCATTTCGATTCTGACCCGGCGAGACACAAGTGACAGCGTGGAGTATCGCGAATCTCGAGTGGTTGCTCTTATCGCCCAGACCGTGTAAAGGCTGGTACAACTAACCGCAGGGCCATTGTAACGGGCTAACGGCAGCCCGCTACGTGCTTACACAAGCAGAGGAAGTAGTAGGCAAATTGAACTCTAATTGATTGATTGACACGTCGTAACCGCCGTGTCCACTTGAACCTATGCTGAGTGTTGATTGGCCATCGTGTGAGCACGAAGGCGACTGTGTGACGAGAGCCCGTCACACCACCCCTCACTCAGAGTGAGACCTTACCTTCAAGCCCACCACGGTTGCGGGCTTGGTCATTTGGGTAGCAGAGAAGCAGGAGGGAAGCTGAAGACGATGGCGGACGACGGATACCGGAGCACAGGCGCGGGGAACGTGCCCGCGCCGACAGAGGCAGACGCCGGGACGACGTACGCGGAGGACCATGAACGATGGGCGCTTTACGACTACAGCGGCCTGCGAGCGCCGTTGGCCGACGAAGACATGCAGAGCTTGTTCCACCGATGTGGCTCGCAGCAAGCCGGTCACGGCGACACGCGTGACGATGCAGTCACTGGATGCTGCGTGGACGTCGTTCGTGCATCGATGGAATGTTGAGGGGCCCGCCGTGTTCATTCGAGGACTGGAGCCTCGTGAAGAGCAGCATCGAGCGCGCTCCGTGAGCGCGCTGGCGAAGCAAGTCCGTGACGCGTCGTATGACAACGACCACGATTGCTGCTTCGTCCACTACGTTCGCAAATGTGCAGAGTGTCATGGGTACAATCGCCCGCGACCTGACGAACCTGCGTGGGGGTGTCTTCTAGCTGCAAACCCGTTGACTGTACCCGAAGAAGGCTTGATCGCTCGATAACGTAAGGCTGTTGATAACGCTAGGCGCGGCGGACGGCTGCGCCACGTCGAAGACTTGCCACCCCTCCAAGGGTTGCCTCGTACGCCGCCACGTAGTCTGGCACGTCTTCCAACAGGACCTCGCGTGGCTCCCAACTATCCGACATTTGGCCCAGCCAACGCACAAGATATTGGCAGTGCATGGGGACGTGGGAATCGCGGCCGCGAGCGCCGCGATGCGAAAGAGCAACGCGTGGAGCAGCACGATGATCGTCGTGCTTCAAGATCGCCTCCACGATTTGCCGAATGTTACCCGCGCTATCCACAAGAGGCGCGGGGCCGTCACGCGGAAACCGTGTAGCGTGACCGTCGGCAGGACGCGGAGGAGGAGCTGCGACGTCGGCGCGCTGCTGCGCGGCAGCAGCAGCATCACGAACCGGATCGACAGCAACACGGGAGTTGGCAGCGAGGCCAGGCGGAGGAACAGCAGCAGCGTTGGGACCAGCTGCTGCGGCTGGAGCGCAAGATGGCTGCGCTGCGGGGCGAGCTGATTGGGGCGGCGCATGATCCGCCGAAGCACCGTGGTCGACGGGACCGTGCGGACGACTGGGGCGCTGGCTGGAACCAGCGTCGCTGGGGATGACTGCGGAGTGATAACGTCGGAGTCGACCGACGTAGAAGGTGGAATGTAGGCGGATAGCAGACGGTAGTTGAAGCGTATAAGCATCGCCCAATACCTTCGTAACCTTAAATGGTCCAATTAATCTTGGCGCGAACTTGTTTGCGCCCAGATTCGTAACCGCAGCCGTTTGAATACCAGTCGTAGAAGGCAATACACGGCCGCCCACGGTGAACGTCTCCAGATGTCGTCGCCCTCGTCGATCCGCATATTCCTTTTGCCGGCCCACCGCCGCTGCGATGGTGTCGCGGATATAGCGCACAACCGAATCACGTTTCTGAAGGAAGTCGCGGACAGCCGCAGTGTCTTGGGGCTGCGGAGCTGGGAGCGAATCGCAGTTGGCAAGGACCGACGCGGCAGGTGTCGCCGCGTCGTGCACGTGGTGATACTCGATGGCCTGACGCGGCATCGGGTCGATCAGCGTGCGCGAAGTCCAAGCAGCGATGTCGGAAGGTGCCGCCCTCCTAGTGGCACGTGTGCGCGAAGCTCGTTCGGGGTTGGCGCGTGGTCTCTCGTGTGTCACCCGCGTGGCGGCACATGTGCGCACTCCGACTGCTGGAGCGTTAGAGCCTCGGCGAGTGGTGACGCTATGTAACAACGCGGAGACAGCGTCAGGTACGGGGCCACGACGCTCAGCTTGGCCTGGTTCGGGGTCTACATCAACGTCTTCATCCGGAACGAGGGACGCGGGATCGCCCACCTCTTCAGCAGCGCAGCCGGAGTCTCAGAGCGCTCCACACCAAGGAGCGCTGGAGCGCGAGGATGGCGACCGAAGTTGACGAAGAACGGGGACAGCTTGGTCGATGCGTGGACAGCGTTGTTGAGGGCGAATTCGACCAGGGGCAGGAAGATGCTCCACGACTTGAACGACGTAGCGAAGCCGCGTAGTATGTCTTCAACAACACGGTTGGCGCGCTCAGTTCGGCCGTTTGGCTCCGGATGCGACGCGGTGGACATGCATAACCGCGTCCCCAGCAACTGGAAAAGCTCTCGCCAGAAAGCAGACGTAAAGCGAGGGTCGCGATCCGATACGATGGAGGACGGAAGCCCGTGGTGGCGGTACACCACGTCCACAAAGATCGCGGCGGTTTGCTTCGCCGTGATGCTGGCAGCAACAGGAGCAAGACGGAGCATCTTGCTAAACCGATCAACGAAGACAAGCACGCCAGTGCGCCCTTGAGTGTCTCGGGGCAGCCGGAAGGCGAAGTCCATGCTGACAGACGCCCATGCGTCTGTGGCGACGGGGAGAGGTCAAAGCGGAGCCTGCTTGGACGGATTCGGCTTCACGCGTTGGCACGCTTCGCAGGAGCGTACCCATTTCCGGACCCACTTGTACATATGCTGCCAGTAGAAGTCTCTGGACAGCGACGCGAACGTCTTCTCGCGTCCGAGGTGGCCGTCGCTCGGTGTGTCATGGAACGCGTGGATCAGCCAAGCTCGGAGATCGTCGTCCAGAGGAACGACGATGCGCGGGGTGTCTTCACGGTCGACGCGGTACGTGAGCAACTCGCCGTCCAGCCAGAAGCGGTCGACGCGGGAGCGGCTGCGTGGAGACAGCTTGCGCTTCGCCACGGCACCAGGGTCTCGCAGGAACTGGGTCAGCTCCAAGCAGGACGCGTCCTCCTTGTACGCGTCCACGATCAAGTCACGGAGCGGACTGGTCGTTGCAACCTCAACAGCAGCGACGTCTTCGGCAGTGCATATGGCGCATTCGTCGTCGTCCTCGTCGCCAACTGCGTGACGACCTGTCTGCACGTAGTCAGGCCGACGTGTTATCGCGTCGGCAAGGATGTTGGTCTTGCCCGGCTTGTAGTACACGACGAAGTTGTACTCGGAGAACAGGGACAACCAGCGCGCCATGCGCTGGGACAAGTGGGGGCTCTTCGTCGCTGTCCTCAACGACGCGTGATCGGTGTAGATTGCGAAGGTCTGCTCGCCGAGGAGATACACGCGGGACTTGATGAGGGCGTAGCGCATGGCCAGCAGCTCCCTATCATGGACCGGATAATTCCGTTCCACCGGCTTCAGCTGACGCGACTGGTAGCTGATGACCCGCTCGCGTCCTTCGTCATCGAACTGTATCAAGGCGCATCCGATCGCGAAGGCGCTCGCGTCGCACACGACATCGAAGGGCTTCGAGTGGTCTGGAAGCATGAGCACGGGCGCGGTGGACAAGCTCGACTTCACCGCGTCGAAGGCAGCTTGGTGCTCGGGACGCCACGACCACGTGGAGTCAGCCGTGAGTAGTTGAGGTAGCGGGCGGATCGTCGAAGCGAAGTTCTTCGAGTAATGGTGAAGATACGTGGCGAACCCCAGCCACTGCCGGAGCTGCTTCTGGTCCTGCGGCGTCGGCCACGCGCAGATGGCCTCGATCTTCTCGGGGTCGGCGCGGACACCGTCCTTGCTGACCTAGCTCCCGAGCACAGGGAAATCTCGGGAGCGCAGAAGATGCACTTCTTCAGGTTGGCGTACAGCTTGTTCTCCTTCATCATCTCGAACACCTTGCGCAGGTGTTGTAGGTGGACCTCAACGTCCGTCATGCCGTCCTTGGCACGACTGTGAATGAAGATGTCGAAGTAGCTGGGCGCGAAGTCTCGGTACGGCCGAAGCAAGTTGGACACCATCCGGTTGAAGGTGGCGGGGGCGTTCTTGAGCCCCTGCGGCATCACGAGCCATTCCCACAACATCCCGTTGGGTGTGCTGACCGCTGTCAGCGGCACATCGTCTTCGCGCATCAGGATCTGATAGAAGCCATCAATCAGATCAATGACACTGTACTTCGTGCTGCCAGACATGGTGTCCAGCACCATGTCCTTCCTCGGGATCGACGTTTGCGCCGGTATGGTGACCTCGTTGAGCTTGTTGAAGGCGTGGACGATTCTCCAGCCGCCGGTTGCTTTCTTCACGCAGAACGTCGGACTGGAGTGCGGCGGGAGACTCTCACGAACGTGGCCAGCTTGCCGGCGACTCTCGAAGAAGGTATCAATGGCTTCGACTTGGTCGCGAGGAAGCGGCCACTGCCGCGTCACGCAGTACATCGCACCGGGCACGATATCAATCTCGTGCCGAACCCCGCGGTCGGGTGGAAGAACGGCTGGAACCTTGTCCACGAAAATCTCCATGAACTCGCGCACGAGCGGAGCGACCGGGTTGCCGGCCATTCTTCGGCTCGGCTCCTTTTGGGTGCGTCCTGGCATCGGAAGCTGGGTCCGACGCACTGGTTGTGACGGCTGCAATTGACTCGGCGTCCTCGGCGACGATTATGCACACCTGCTGGATCTCGCCCTTCTTCAGGTCACGGAGGAAGTGTTTCCACGAGAGTCCAGGCAGCCGAGTGATCTCGGCGGCGTCGCACGGTGGACGTGCGCCTTCGACGTCGCGTACACGCGGAGCCGCCTCCGCGTCGTCACCCACCAGGACTGAGATCACTTCAGCCTGAGCCTCAACCGAATCCGCCGAGGGCGTACGAGGACGGCGCGGATTGCGACGTCCGCGACGTCGAACCGGACGAGGAGTGTTGTCCGAAGCTGCCGATGAGTGCCCATGCTCGATCACGGCCGCTGAACTGGGGCGCCGGAACACAACGTCGGCGCCTGGACGCGGGTCATTGGGCACGAGCGCATCGACTTCATCAGAGAGCTCCCGATCGACCACACGCGGGAACCCATGCTCGACCGCGTGTGGGAGGCCACGCTCAACCACATCTTCTCGCTCTTCAACGTTGGAGAGCCGCTGCTCGTCCTGACGTGGCTCGACCACGTCATTGTCTGCTTCCGAGAACTGCTGCTCATCGGGACGTGGGAACCCATGCTCGAACACGTCAGACACGTCCTGAGGCTCCTGCTCAGGACCGGCGCAGGTTGCGAGTTTGCACACCGCACACGAAGGGCCATCGCTCGCTTCGTGCGCAGCATGGGTCATGGAGTCGGGGTCCATGACGGCAACATGCGGCCACTGGTTATCGTTCCGCACAGGAGCGCCAATACTGCATTCACATCAATGTCTCGGGGGCAGACTGTCCAGGCCCGTCGCGAATGTTCATGTCCGCCGGTAACACCGACAAGCTCTCGGCGCGAATGAAGTTGTTCGTCGCGCCCGAGTCCAGCAGCGCGCGAAGAGGGCGCGTCGCGCCGTCAACATGGAGGCTGAGCACAATCGGCCTCGTGTCACTGCCGGAGGTGGTGGCAAGAGTTGTGCATGAAGCACGGGAGGGCTAGGAGGAGGTTCTGCCACCAGAGAACCATCGCTCCTTCCACGACTAGTAGGGCGCCCCGCACCTACTGGTTGTCGCCGTTTTTTAGGAGCGGCGACGTCGTTCGCGACCGTGCCGTTCGCCTGCATCGGCTCGGGCACCGGAGCCCGAGAGACATCGAAAGCCTGCGACGCCGTCACGCTGTAGTCTTCACGGAGCGCAACAGCGAAGGCCTCTTCGAGTGTCGGTGGGGTCTTCCGGGTCAGGTAGAAGCGCTGGTAGCCAGCGCTCATGCCGGAGATGAAGACGTGGATTTGGGTCGCCATGTCTACGGGATGCGTCGTGATGCACGACACAAGGTGGTGTGCGCGCTGGATGTACTTGAGCATAGACATGCGTCCTTGCTTCAACGCCAGGAAGGCGGAGGGCTGAACGCTTTCATCTTGGGGCGACTCGAACGCGAGCCGCAAGTCCGCCTTCATCGATGCCATGGTCGGGAAGCAGGAACCGTCGGCCACGAGCTTGTCGAGCGCCCACTCCTCTTCGACTTCCCCGCCAGTTTGGACAGGAGAAAGCGCGTGCGCGCAAGCTCGGTAGGTAGCTGCCGAGCTTCGATCGCGATGTCCACCTCGCAGAACCAGCGGTTCAGGTGAAGGCGGCCCTCGCCTTCACCGTTGTACGTGGAGACATCGAGCTTCACGATGTCGGACTTGTTCTTGGTCTGCGTCGGAGTCGACACTCGCTGACCTCCGTCAGCGAGTTCACGCGCCATGAACGCCTGGGCAACCAGGCGTTGTTGCTCCTCGGTTCCCGCCGTCATCAGTGTCTTGATCACAGCGTCACCCCACACAGCTGCGAGGTGGTGTAGCGCCTCCCACTAGATCGCCGACAGGTGAGGAAAGCTGGCGTGCTCCAGTGAAGTGGCAGTCGGACGCGTCAGGCATCGACGTGTCGTTCATGTTCATCACGATCTTGGGCGTTGGACGGATTAGCGAAGTACTACCAGGTGTAACGGGCTAACTGCAGCCCATTACGTGCTTACAGAAGCAGAGGAAGTAGTAGGCAAATTGAACTCTAATTGATTGATATTCACGGCGTAACCACCGTGGCCACTTCAACCTATGCTGAGTGTTGATTGATCATCGTGTGAGCACGAATGCGACCGTGGGTCGAGAGCCCGTCACAGCCATTCTCCTGGCGCTTGCTGGTCTCACGGTCTGCGCGCTTTGGATCCAAAGTCGTAGCGCACCCGCCACCACGCTCGTAAGAACACGACAGGAGTCTCAAACTCTTCCAGACGCCCATACCAATGCTGACACCCAACAACACCTGCTGGCCACGCCGCAACAACTACCGACCACCAATGAACCCTTTGTCGAGGCGTTTGAAGAACCACCGACTGAAGCTCCTGTAGAACTCCTGACGGAAGCTCCAGAAAAACCCTTGGCGGAAGTTCCAGTAGACCCCCCGACCGAAGACCCTGTAGAAACTGAGACCGAAGCCCCACAAGAAACTCAACCCGAGACGTTTGAGGAGGAAGCTCAAGAAGACGCACCCGAACCGCCAGTGACCAGCGTCCTGCATCCGATCACCCCTGAGCAAGAACCACTTAATCCCAATGTGGCCTTCCGCATCCAGTCGACCGAAGCGCACTTCACTGAATACGAAGAGTCTTTCCCGCAGTACGGCAAGATCGAGCCTGGACGGCACTACCGCATCGAGAACAAACCAGTACTCACCCGACGAGGCAACCGCGAGACTGACTCCGTGCTCATCGTCTGCGTCTTCAACGACAAAAACTCATGGGGAGGCAACCGCACCGTCACGGATTTTTTCGACCTCGTCGGGTCCTTCAACTACCCGAAGGAGAAAATCTCCATCTCGATGCTCACGTCGTCGTTGGACGAGTTCGCAAAGGTCCGGACGCTGTTGAAGAAGTACATCCAGTACCCGCGACTGTCGCTGATGTTCCGCGATGACTTCGCCCAGAATGGGCTCACGCGCGGCAACCGCCACGAAGGTCCTCGTCAGGGCGACCGACGGCGTATGATCGCACGATACCGCAACTACGTTCTCATGTCCAGTCTGGAGACGTGGCACCAGCACGTGCTGTGGCTGGATGCAGATATCGAAATCATTCCGTCACATTTGCTCCCCAAGATGGTTCATTCCGGGCTTGATATCTTGACGCCCACGTGCTTCAACAGGCACAAAGGTGTTTGGATCAGCTACGACCAGAACGGGTGGGTAGGACAACGCAAGGAGCGTCCGGTTGATCTGGCCGACGATGAGATTTTTATGCCGGGCCCACTAAGGGTCAAACTCCTCAACACAGTCGACGATAAATCGAAGCCTTTCACGCCCATGGACTCAGTTGGCGGGAGGTACATCAGCAGGGCGTGTTGTTCCCCATGCACTATGTTATCGGCAGCAAGCGAGGGCACGAGGGCTACGACGGCATCGAAACGGAAGAATTGTGCTATACGGCGCATTTCTTGGGCTTCAAGTGTTGGGGAATGGTCTATGAGTCCATTCAACAGACATAAGAGTTCTGAAGTGAATCAATGCTGGCAACAGGTTGCGGTTGTGAGGTGATGCAACATATTGTTATACACTACTTTTGGTCCGTGTCAAAAATATAGGGAAAACGTCAAAAGGTGTATGCGTTGGGAAAACGTTTGTCAATAGGTGTAGTGGTCGTGGGCGTCACGTCGCGTCATGTCTCATCATCCACGTACTGACACACGTTTTGGTTGCCGCGGTATTTCGACCGAGGTCGGGTCCTACAGACCCAGGATCGAACTTCCCAACACAGTAGTTTATTAACGACACGCTCTTAGCGAACACGGTTAACTAATTAGGGCTCCGCGAAGGCTGGGATAGGAGGTTTTTGATCGCTTTCTATTATTATGAGTTTTTTTTACGAACCACGGGCATCTCCTGCGCCTGCTTCGCAGCCGCAGCGTCTGCCCGCTAATTCACCTCAAAACTGTAGATATGCCTTGGCGGTGCTTATACACAGTGATAAAACGAACCTTGCTCGGAATCTGTTTGTAGCGTGTTGAAAATGAAAATGTATACCTTTGTATGACTGTATGCTTCTGCAGCAGTTCGTCCGCTTCAATCATTCACTTTACTTCACTCCTACTATTCGATATATGTTACTGACTCATACCGGTTCAATCTGCCCACGCCTATAAACCTTTCGGAGGGCCCAGTGCGGCACCGCGGCCGTACCGGTGTAATGGGTTTTCTACCAGTTCAGCTTGCCCACGCATATAAACGGGCCCAGAGCGGCACCGGGATCACGCCGGTTTCAGGGCAATGTACCAGTTAGGTGTCATGAGGACGGACACTAGGGCTTCGCGGGGGCTGAGATAGCGAAAAAAAACAGAACAGATATACGCACAGCGCACACGACTTAGGCGAGCCACACTCTCGGCGCACCAGTCGTCCGCGCTGTGCGTATTATATTATGAACATCCACAACTACCAGATAAGCAGTTTCTTAGTGCAATAACCCACTTGCGATAATATCAATTTACTTTCTTACCTCCGCGCTGTTAATAATCAAATACAAGCAAGGTATTAGCTGCAACAGCGCCCTGCCAAGCACTTACCTTCGTGCTGTAACTTCGTCCTGGTGTTGCGTCTTCGGGTCGGGCGTGAGAATGGGAAATGGTTCGAATGAAACTTGATGATGCTTCCTCACCGATAGAGACCGACTAGATAATTATTTAGATGACCTATTAAGTTTACTTTCATAAAATTTCAATATATGATGGATACTTAAACAGGTGCGATACACGCACGGCTTCATGCGACACCGATTTAATCCTGTGCCGGCTGCGTAGCAGCACCTTACGGTACACATGTTATCTCAGTATAATCCTGTTTGGTCTGCGATAGCAGCACTAACATTGCTTCCTATCCTAGTAAAATGGCCGCCTTGGCCATCAAGTGACGCCAAGTTGGCGTCGCTGCCATTCCTGGACCAGGACCTGGTATCCAGGGTCTTCTTCCAGCCATAAGCTGCCGCAACAAGGCCAGTACACGTACGAGTTCGATGCCGATGTGGAAGTGCAGGCCGTGTCGCCTTGAAGGGTTTCTGCTAGCTGATAAAGCTAGCCGCTGAAACATTTTACTGCTGCTTGTTGGGCTCACACTCCTCGCGCTTTGGACCCAGAAACTGGATGCAGCAAGGGCCCTCATTAGACTGCGAGACGAAACTACAGAGCTTTCCAGAGGTACCCCCAAGAAACCCAAGCCGAGACATTGGAGGTGGAACCTGAACCTTAAACCCCGGAGCCGCCAGTGGCTATCGTCCAGCACACAATCGCCCCAATACAAGAACCGCTCAACCCCAGCGTAGCCTTCCGCACTGAAGCGTAGTTCAATGAATAGACGAGTTTTGATGCCGATTCACATGGAGTATGCGCAGTAGCTTTATCGGGTCATGTGGTATATTTTTGGGGAAACGTCAAAAGGTGTATGAATTTGAAACGTTTTGTCAAAAGCGGTTAGCTCGTGTCATTAGGTGTATGCTAGTTTGTCGGTATGACAGTATGTGTATGTGGTTCCAAGCGCACTAAGGTGCATGATAAAGCTGCATCAGCAACGAATGCGGTGACTGGTGTGTGGGCTTAGATCCAAATCCATAAAACCCGGGGTTAGGAAGGCTTCTACCGATGCAACTAGCCCGGTTCGTGGTGTCCATGACTTTGATAGCGAATTGTACGGCTGAGGGACTACAATGAACGTCGTTATCCATTGTAGCCAGGCCTCAGCGTTGCCACAGGTCTACAATACCTACACTCTCCCCCGGTTGGGGGCTCTAGCTAGAGCTCCTTCACCTCCCAAATTCAGATGCAAAACCTACCTAGTATAGCCATGCTATTTTTATTTTTATTTTTAGCGGTTAACGCCGGTTGCACTCAGGGCGAGCACTGCATCAGTCCCGCTTACCGGGCCCACTTGATACCCGGCGGGTACGGCTGCATAGTATAGCCATGCTATATACGCTTGCGGTTTGCGTTGGTAGTTCCTTGTAGCTACAATAGCGAAGTTGTCGAGTACAGTTGCTCTATATGCTACTATACTGGGATAGACAGCAACGTTAGTGCTGCTATCGCAGACCAAATAGGGTTATATCCGTGGTACGTCAAGTCAAAAGATGACCCCTCTTGACACCTAACTGGTATATTGTCCTGAAACCGGTGTGATCCCGGTGCCGCTCTGGGCCCGTTTATATGCGTGGGCAAGCTGAACTGGTAGAAAACCCATTACACCGGTACGGCCGCGGCGCCGCACTGGGCCCTCCGAAAGGTTTATAGGCGTGGGCAGATTGAACCGGTATGAGTCAGTAACATATATCGAATAGTAGGAGTGAAGTAAAGTGAATGATTGAAGCGGACGAACTGCTGCAGAAACCTACAGTCATACAAAGGTATACATTTTCATTTTCAACACGCTACAAACAGATTCCGAGCAAGGTTCGTTTTATCACTGTGTATAAGCACCGCCAAGGCATATCTACAGTTTTGAGGTGAATTAGCGGGCAGACGCTGCGGCTGCGAAGCAGGCACAGGAGATGCCCGTGGTTCGTAAAAAAAAACTCATAATAATAGAATGCGATCAAGAACCTCCTATCCCAGCCTTCGCGGAGCCCTAGTATCCGTGGTACGTCAAGTCAAAATATGACCTCTCTTGACACCCAACTGGTACATTTCCAGAAACCGGTATGACCCCGGTGCCAGGTTTAAATGCGTGGGCAGGTTGAACTGGTAGGATACCCATCACACCAGTACGACCCCGGTGCCGCACTGGGCCTCCCGAAGGTTGCAGTTTGAACCGGTATGGTTCAGTAGCATATACCGAATCGGATGGAGTGATGTAAAGTGAATGATTGAATCGAACGGACTACTTCAGGACTGTAGTAGCATACAACTGCAAGCATTTTCATTTCTCCACGAGCTATCTCGAGCAAGGTTCGTTTCATTACTGTGTATAATTACCTAGTCGTATCTTGCATCTTCGCCGTTGATGTGAATGGCCGGGCAGATGCTGCGGCTGCGAAGCAGGCGCAGGAGATGACTGTGGATCGTAAAAAGAGTAATAAAGGAGTTTACCCCAAAAACCTCCTATCCCAGCCTTCGCGGAGCCCTAGTATTGAGCACATGCGCACAAATTACCACTGACGCATGCTCCATCATCGATTATGGTTGAATGTCTGTAAGAACGTAACGCTGCCAGCCCTGCACGTGTAGGAATCGCTTCTAACCTTTAACTTAATCTGCCTTCCCCAGGCTTTACGCGTTTTTAAACGCTTTTAAAAAAGCACCACGGCACCAACTTCTACAGACGTGGACGTGTAGATGTGCGTACAGTACATGCACTGTAGGAACGTCGGAACGTCATTGCACGAAGTGTACACATCAGGTTGCAGGTTCACAACATGATTCCGACATTGGTTATTCTGCGTTATCCAGAATTACAGTAAACTGCCAGGCTAAACCCGTGAGGTGGGCCAAAAAGCTGTGTGACTGGGGTGTACTTATCTAGCAACAGCATTCGTGTCAACAACAGGCATGTAAGGCGAGTGAGGAGTTTCCCGGAACTTGGATTCCCACTTGAACCCACCCTACTCACCTGGCAAACGCTAATATCCCCTCGAATCCCATCTGGGACAAGAGTTTGCCGCGAAAGTACCGGTACAATACTGTATCCATTTGTCAATCTTGCATCAGTGACTGAGGCGAACTCTGATGAGAGCACACATTCCACTTGGTTTCGGCCAAGTGATCTACCGTAGGGTAACCTCGCCATCACTGTTTGCATGGAGCCAGATGATGGGGGACTTGGACAGCAAGAAAAATCGCAACATATGAGCTGTTCACGCCAAGCATTGTGAGTCAAGAGCCAACGCGCACGATAGTGGCTGCTTGCACCGGGCCAGCCTGTATTCTTTTTTATGAGTAAGAGATCTTGAGATGTGCTTAGAGCTACAGCTGGTGATTTGACGTTCAACACTCCAAAATCGGTGAAGGAACTCCTTCATTTGCGAAAAGGACGAGAAGGAGGCAAGCGGACGTCGGCAGGTGCGAGGCCGTCGAAATGCAAGCCCCTGCTAGCTAGGAGAGGGTGCTAAGATCATGGTATCATTTGCGGGTTAGGTGGGGGGAGTTGTGCGCACAGGGCCAACACAAGCACGCGGTATTTGCGGAGGGGGGCCCTGCACCGAGCTTTCCAGCGCCTCGGGCAGTACTCGGCTCGCTAGACTGCTTGGCGTCGGGGCGTCCAGCCAAGCGCAGCCCGGCAGGCAACATGTTGTGGTAACAAGTAGTTGGCACTAAACATTAAAGTAGATCCAGCGTGTGTTGCTTAGCGCCTCGAAGCACTTTTGTCAGTACTGTAGCTACTTCAGACTACACGCAATGGTACATTAATCGACCAGGTCCCAAACGCCGCTCCCAATGAGGAGAGCCAATCATAATTGAGATTCCAAATGACTTCAACAAAGTATGGACTGGTTTATCGGCTCCAAAGCCAAGAAAAAACCTTAAGGTTTTATTTTTGGTCGGCTGCGCAGCCTTCTCCGCCTTCACACTTTCCGCCCCGCATCTCCAACACGACAGCGCGCTCCGAGCGTGCCGCACGCCTCCCCCGCCGACCACCCCAGACCCGAGCGCCCCCAGGCGCGCCCCACGCGCCCCACGCAAGGACCCGTCGAAAGCAGCTACAAAACCTGGCATGGCGGGTGTTATGCTGCCGGTTTTGGTAGTTGTCGGTCAAGCACGAGGTCGTGCGCGCTCGCTGACAGTATGTGAGCGTTTTTCTATTGTGTATGACTTTGTATCGGGACTGACGGGAATCCATGCGCTGTGCTTAAGTTGTGGGATGGCGATGACGTGTGCATTTGCGCCTTGAATTCGATTATCCATGTTGTATGAATAGGAATGTATTAAGAGTTAATACAAGCTGCGTGATCCTACGACTCCAAGTCTTTTTGCTTCCATTGGTGACTAGCTGGTGTGCAGCGGTCGACGATGCCACCTTTCGCTTTGCGGGTGATAACTGCTGAGCAGAGCGCGTCGTACGCAGAGCGGTGGTCAGCGCGCAGCTTTCTCCAGCGCTTCCGTAGCGACCCCGCGGTTTTGGATCGGCCTTTACCGTCGATACTCCCAAGCGCAGCGTTGACCTTCTTGTCCAAGTCTTCCGCTAGCGTCCAGACACGCTGCTTCCACAGCCGATACGCGACGCCGTCCCGGTCCAGTGGCGCCGTTGGTACGTCTACCTCTCGCCCTGCTGCTATGATCATGATGTTGACGCCTGCCTTGAGGTCAGCGCGAACAAACTGTTGTTTCTTTTGGGTTGCCGTGTGCCACAGCTCCTGTGTGTACCAGTTGTAGAAGCAGCCAGCAAGAGAGTGCGCTTCAACGACGGTGTCAGTGCTCGCCTGCGGGGCCTGGCCAGCACAGCGACAAGGAGCAGGACCGTCAGCGCTGGTGGCCTTGCTCTCGTGGGCCGCGACGAGCTTCTGAAGTGTGCGCTGCATTGCTGCGATGGACGATAGCATCTGGGTGACGGCTGCGGCAAGTATGGTGGTGTTTCCATTGCTGCGTTCACCCAGCTGTCCGAAGTTCTCCGTTTGCCAAGCCGTGCGAAGCTGCCGACCCCAACCAATGCACGTGTCCAGCGAGAGCCGAGCTCCCAGCGCTACGTTGGTTGCGTCCAGAGCTTCGTGGAAGCGGTACAGGTAATGCGATGTGAAGCCTGTGGCAGCCTGCTCCTGCTGGACTGCCGTCGCGACGTCGTCAAGATGGATGAGCAGGGACGCGAGCGCCGCATCCAGAACTAAGGCGTCAACGTTGAGCGTGGTATCCGTGAAGCCGCTGACGTTCTTGAAGAGCTGGCCGCGCAGGGTTAGCAGCTGGGCGTACTCGAGCGCAGGAAGAAGCTCGCTCAAGGTGGCAATCGTGGGCGTGACGCATGGCAGGTGCGGGTCTCGGTATCCAGCGAGGACTTTGCCGACACTCTGGTCCTCGCGTGTCGTGGTACCCACGTACGCGAACGCCTTCGTGAGCGAGTCTAGCAGCCAAGCTCCCCGGGTCGAGATCCACTGGATCGCAAGCTGCGGTGAGGCGTTTGCATACGCTGCGGAGCCGCGGCGCAAGGAGTGGCTGCTCAGCCCTGCGGTGAGCGTCGGGGGCAGCGGGGCAGAGGCCTGGGCTTGGCGCTCGCAGACCATGGTGATGACGTCGTTAATATACTTGGACACGTTGGGCCTTCCTCTCACGCGCTTTGTTGGTGGCTCGTTCCTTGGTTCAGCTTTCTCTTCAAGGTTCTCCCAGTAGAGTATAGCTTCGTCTTGGCTGTAGGTCTTCTCCCCTGGCAAATCCGATGCCGCCGCGTGCGGCACTAGCGGGAACACATAGCTGGAAGGCTCCGACGCTCCGACGAACAGCATTCCGAGGCCGTGCAGCATACACTGCTCCCAGTGAGTCGCGGCCTTGTAAATTGAGATGCCTTGAACCACCGAAGTCTTGATTCGAGCTAGATGCAGAAAGAGCTCCCCCGATGCCGCCATAGATAGCTGGCTCTTCCTAGCAAAACAGGTATCGATCGCTCGACCAAACGTGTGCCACATTAACGTTAGTACAGCAGCGTCATGTAAGCTCTTATAACCTGAGCCAATCCCCTTAATCGCAGTTTCCTGCACCAGAACACGCAAGTCGCCGAGCGTGCAGCCTGGAGCTTCACCAGTCTGCACGCCAGCTAGCAAATTTCGCTCCTCAATAGTTGAACCCATTTTGTCGCGTATTTTCGCAATTCGCTTGCTGTCTGACAAGTACAGAGGGTACCGCTCTCGGAGCAGGTTCACAACTTGGGACATATAGCCCACAGCAGTAGCCTTAGCAAGACGGCCTCCTCGAGCACTTGGCTTAGTTTGCAAGAAAATGGAGAAGGCGGTTAGCAAAGAGTAAAAGTTTTGACTTGGTAGAGCATCAGGAATAGACAGCGACTTCGCAATACTAGCAATTGACTCCTCATTCATGTTAGCAAGAGCTAAGAATTCGCTGAAGCACTTCATCGCCGCTGCCTCCTGCCCTGCTGTCCCTTGCGGGATGTCAAGCCCTCTCGGCGCTCGCTGCATCTTTTCAAATGGGAGAGGAGAGAAAGCAGACGAGTCACAGCCACCAACGATACAATCATGATTTGTATTGGGAATTTGCGGTCAAATATGAGTAATGCAACAATTACACTAAACTTTTGTATTGGATATTATTCTAGCAAGACTGTAAATTCCCACAATAATTGGGAAAATGATGGGATACACACGAATCGATCGTGATTGGCTAAATTCATTGAAGAACTTGTCCTGATTGGATAGATGCAATGACTGAGAAGCGCAAGGAATGCCAAGTTGGGAAAAAGCTTCCTTATCCTACAGTAACATACAGAATACAGCATTTAGTGCAGCTCAGCCGCTTGCTCTCGAACCGAAGTGATATGTAGTGTTACTGTGAGGACACTTAGACCCAAGGACTTGGCGATCAAGACCTCCAACTCGGTGGCCAAATTGACCAGACTTGGCCACTTGGCCCATGCTCGTGCTGGTGCTCGCTCAACTTGGTTGGAACGTCCAACCAACATACGGAAATGTTCTCGACAAAAAACAGAGTGTCAGCCTATTCTTTTACCGTGCACCGGGCCAGTCGGTGCACCACGCTGCACCGACTGGAGCTGACCCGGTGCAAGTATCCTCTGTCAACGCGCACGACACCTCGGTCCTACCAATCTTGCGGGATAAAAGCAGCTTGCGACCTGGGCTCGTCCAGACGCGCCACGCAGCACGAGCTCATTTCCAATCTGCCGCGGCGAGACTCAAGCGTGGAGTATCAGGTTGGCGTTAATGTCGAGCGAGCGCTCCTATTGTCCGGGCCGCGCGAAGGCTGGTGCAACTAACCGCAGGGCCATTCTCCTGGCGCTTGCTGGGCTCACAGTCTGCGCGCTTTGGACCCAAAGTCGCCACGTACCAACCACCACGCTCGTAAGAACACGACAGGAGTCTCAAACTCTTCCAGACGCCCATACCAATGCTGACACCCAACAACACCTGCTGGTCACGCCGCAACAGCTACCGACCACCAATGAAAACTTTGCCAAGGCGCTTGGAGAATCCCCGACTGAAGCTCCTGTAGAACTCCTGACGGAAGCTCCAGAAAAACCCTTGGCGGAAGTTCCAGTAGACCCCCCGACCGAAGACCCTGTAGAAACTGAGACCGAAGCCCCACAAGAAACTCAACCCGAGACGTTTGAGGAGGAAGCTCAAGAAGACGCACCCGAACCGCCAGTGACCAGCGTCCTGCATCCGATCACCCCTGAGCAAGAACCACTTAATCCCAATGTGGCCTTCCGCATCCAGTCGACCGAAGCGCACTTCACTGAATACGAAGAGTCTTTCCCGCAGTACGGCAAGATCGAGCCTGGACGGCACTACCGCATCGAGAACAAACCAGTACTCACCCGACTAGGCAACCGCGAGACTGACTCCGTGCTCATCATCTGCGTCTTCAACGACAAAAACTCATGGGGAGGCAACCGCACCGTCACGGATTTTTTCGACCTCGTCGGGTCCTTCAACTACCCGAAGGAGAAAATCTCCATCTCGATGCTCACGTCGTCGTTGGACGAGTTCGCAAAGGTCCGGACGCTGTTGAAGAAGTACATCCAGTACCCGCGACTGTCGCTGATGTTCCGCGATGACTTCGCCCAGAATGGGCTCACGCGCGGCAACCGCCACGAAGGTCCTCGTCAGGGCGACCGACGGCGTATGATCGCACGATACCGCAACTACGTTCTCATGTCCAGTCTGGAGACGTGGCACCAGCACGTGCTGTGGCTGGATGCAGATATCGAAATCATTCCGTCACATTTGCTCCCCAAGATGGTTCATTCCGGGCTTGATATCTTGACGCCCACGTGCTTCAACAGGCACAAAGGTGTTTGGATCAACTACGACCAGAACGGGTGGGTAGGACAACGCAAGGAGCGTCCGGCTGATCTGGCCGACGATGAGTTTTTTATGCCGGGCCCACTAAGGGTCAAACTCCTCAACACAGTCGACGATAAATCGAAGCCTTTCACGCCTATGGACTCGGTTGGCGGAACAATGCTCTACGTACGCGCTGAGGTCCATCGACAGGGTGTGATCTTCCCCATGCACTATGTTATCGGCAGCAAGTGGGGGCATGAGGGCTACGACGGCATCGAAACCGAAGGATTGTGCTATACGGCACACTTTTTGGGCTTCAAGTGTTGGGGAATGGTCAATGAATCCATTCAACATACAGAAGAGTTTTAAAGTAGTTTAGCAGTAGGGTCTATGATGCTAATCAAATTCTTCATCAGTAAGTACAAGCACAATCGTCCTCTCCGTTAATAATTGAAGCGACAGCATACTTAGTAAAATATTTAACATACCTACTCAAAGTGCATGCTGAATTACATCCTTGGGCATGCCCCAGCACTTGTAGCTCAGGAAATGCGCCGTGTAGCACAAACCCTCCGTTTCAATGCCGTCGTACCCCTCTCGACCCCACTCGCTTCCAATGACGTAGTGAACTGGGAAGACCACACCCTGTCGGTGAACCTCAGCCCGCACGTAGAGCATTGTGCCTCCCACGGAATCCAGCGGGGCAAACGGCTTGGACCTTTCCGGCATGTTGTGCATGTGCTTGGCATTCAGAGGCCCAGGGACAAAGTCGCTTTCGCTTTGATCAGCTGAGCGCACTTTTCGCTGACCCACCCACGCGTTCGCGTCGTAGTTGTACCATTTGCTGTTGACCTTCCGGAGGCAGATAGGCTCCACGATATCTCGGCCAGAGTTAACCATGTTCTGCACCAACCCACCGGGAACGACATTGACGTCTGCATCCATTCACACCACGTGCTGGTGCCAGGACTCCATGGTTGATAGCAGCGCGTAGTTTCGGTATCGAGCGAGCATGCGTCGTCGACCGCCTTGAAGAGCTCGATCATGGCGGTTTGAGCGGGTTAAGCCACTCACCGCGAAGTCGTTGCGGAATATCACTGACAGCTGCAGATAGTGCTGGATGTGGAAGCCAAAAAGCTGCTTCGCCTTGTCAAATTCACTGGCGGAGGAAGTCAACAGCGCAATCGAGACCTTCTTTTTCGGGTAGTCGAAAGACTTGACGAGTTGGAGAAAATCTGTGAGGTTGCGGTTCTTCCCCCAGGACTTGGCGTCGTTGAACACACAAATGATCAGCACGGTGTCGTTGTCGCGGTTTTCCGGTTGGGATAACAGGTAGGTGTTCTCCACGCGGTAGTGCTTTCCTGGGTCGCTCTTGCCATGCTGAGGGAACGATTCCTCGTACTCGTGGAATGGTTCGCCGGACAACTTGACCGAGAACACGATGTCGGAGTTTAATTCAGGCTGCTCAGGTGTCAGCGGGTGCAGAACGCTCGTCACTGGTACGGATAGTATCGCCTCCTCCTGCACTTGAAACAAGCTCATTGCTGGCGCCATATTCCACTGGACCCAGCAGGCGAAGCCCACTAGCGCGCAAAGCACCAGGAAAATGCAGCGGCGATTGGTCTTCCCAGGTCGAGCAAGTCGAGGAAGGCACTGTGGACGCAACATCCCTCGTGTTGATTGAGATACGGCCACTTGAGTGCTACCGCGACGAATTCGAACTGTGATCACCGCGAGCTATTGTCAACTGGATCAACCGCAGGGGATGGCTGTGCTCACGAGAGCAAATTGATTCTCCTTTCCCACCGTTGAAGCTCCAAACGTATGGGATGCGGCTCAAAAGGATCAACCAACGTGTTTATCATTCCCAGCAAAGGCATCAATGAAGACAAGCACCAGGATGTGTTACATAACGACACCAACAACGACAGCGTGTTCAAGTTCCAGGTTTGAAGTGGCTAGGAGCTTCCGATGACTCGCGGCATTTCCAACGCCCCATAATAATAAAACGAAATAAAGTAAAATGACTGGTCCAGCAAAAACGGCGAGTATCAGAGTGTTGCTGTCGCGATGTTCCACGCGAAACTTGCCAGCATGATCCCCATACATGTAAGCGCAATCACCACGATCGCGAGAGCTTCAGTAGGACTGCGCTTCTTCAACGAGTCGACCACCAGCGCCAACAGCGCTGCACTTGCCAGGCTCACACTGCTGGCGTGGACAACGCTGCCCAGTCCCCCGTTCCCGGATAGCGCTTCCGTTTCATCCGCTTCGTCGTCCTCAACGTCAACGTCCAACACGCATTGCGATTCGGTTGTGGACTCGTCCTCTTTATCAGCTTCAGTGCCATCTTCTCCATTCTGGCGCTGAAGACGCGCGATCTGCTGCTCCAGCTCCTCAATACGTAGATACGACTCCATCTCACGAGTCTTGGCGATCTCCAGAGCGTCGTCAAGAGTCTCACAAGTCGGACATGCCGCGTCCGCCACCAGCAGAGGCGATCCAGTCGGCGAGTCGAATTGGCTGTCAACCTCCGTGCCTTCATCGTCAGAGAGTTCCAGCTCGAGAGCTTGGTTATCCGAGTCCGTAGGCGAGTTGGCTCCTTCCAGTCCAGTGACTTCAGGCTGTCGGTTCTCTCTGCTCTTGAGTGCGGTATCCACAGCTGGAGCAATCACCACCGACGACGTCCATGCTGGAGCAGCGGCAGCAGCTTCCAGCGATACAATTCGCATACGCAGCCGAGCTGCGTGCTCCTCCATCGCGTCCATTTCATCGCGACTGGCGGAAGCCAAAGCATCCAGCTGCTGACGCAGAAGCTGGTTCTCACGGGCCAGCTCCATCAGCGCGCGAGCGCGCTGGTCCACCACCTCATTAACTGATGCATTCACCTTGATACGCTTGGCGCGGCTGGCAAATTTGAGCGTGCTGCGCGTGTCCTCGATGTAAGCAGGCGCAGGCGACGCGCAGCATACGAACAGCACGCGCGCAGCCCCACTGAGAGACGGCTGCAGGATGCGCGTGAGTTTACTGTCGCGGAAGTTGATGTGGTCCTGCTGGTTCGACGACTTGCTGCTACCTAGCGCCACCACGACCCTCGAGAGGGCCAGTAGACTTCTGTTGATGTTGGCGCTCTCGGCCGTGAGCCGCTTGCCGCCCGAACTGACAGCACGCGCGCTCTCCGACCCCGCCAGGTCCACAAAGTTCAAACAACCGACGTGCACACGCTCCACATCAGCGTCATCTTCCGTCGGCACGGGCGACTCCAGGCGCGTCTTGGACTCAATTACGACACGGAAAATCGAGTGCGAGCGACTGCTGCGCTCGTTCATGCGGGTGACGCCCACCGCGCGCTGCTTCTCTCCGTCGCGCAGAGCTTGCAGCACTCCGCGCGCATCCGTGACGACCCTCTCCGAGTTGTCCGTGAACACGCCCGTGACCGGGTGCTCTCTGATGTGAACAGTCGAGTCTCTCCTCTTCCCGGTGGCGGTGGACGTCGGCGCCAGCAAGTCTTTGACCGTTTCGTTGTACACTTCCAGGTACGACACGCGCACCAGGTACTCGACATCGGACCTCCTGGCCATCTCGTCGAACAAGTCCTTGACCGCCAGCTGCACGAGTCCGTCGCTGTCCTCGGGTCGTCGGTCCTCCTCCGTCTCGACCGTCTTCTCCTTGTCAGGTAGCGTCATCCTCCTGCTGGACCGCAGCGCCGTGCCCTGCATCGTGTGCGTCTTGCCGCTGCTGGTCTGTCCGTAGGCGAAGATGGACCCGTGAATACCGTCGAGCGCCGAGCGGGCGATGGACCTGGCGAGGCCGTCGTAGATGGCTCTGGTCGAGTGCTGGGCGTCGTACACCTCGTCGAAGGCGTAGACGCCTCGGCGTCGCGCGTTCTGGCCCGGAACCGCCGGAGCTGCCTCCACCGTCCCGGTCTCTGCGTGCACCGTCCAGGCGGACTTGGTGGCGCTCTTCTCCCTGGGCAGCAGCGGTCGGAAGCGGACGGTGACGCGCACGGTCTCATGTCCTTCGGCCTGCTGCTGCTTGTGCTGCTGCTGCAGGAGCTGCAGGTCGTCCACGTCCAGCAGTTCCGAGCCAAAGTCCAGGTCGCTCCCGGCCACGCTCGAGGCGCGCTCGGACCAGCGCACGTCGCTCTCGAAGCTGCCGCTGCGGCTGCGACTGCTGCACTGGCTGTAGCTGTGGCTGTGGCTGTGGCTGAAGCTCAGGCGCGAGTGGCTCCGCGGAGGCCGCACCAGCGACAGCAGGTCGCTGTCCCGACGCCGCATCACTCTACCGATGCAGGGGGCTTAGTATCTAGCAGTACAGGCACTGGGGGGAGCGTATGTATATCGCTGGGGGACACTCGGGGCGGAAGTAATTCTAGTCCGACGTAGCGAACAGCGGTAGAGTGACGATGAACTGCTCCACAAGCCAGAGGGAGCGATACTACGAACAGATGTACAGTCCATTTGTTCGTGGTAGGTAGCGGGGTTTTTGAAGAAGTATCCGTTTATAAGGAGCTGACTATGTGAGTTCTATTTTCTCTAGTTCTGATTAGGTATACACAAACTATGCTGCAATCATAACTGTACAACTTCAACTGGTGCAACGTTGCGGCGATATCTCGATCATACGGATATGGCGGTCGTGGCGTTGCGTGTAGACGAATCCTCGCTCCGGAAGTGCGTGAGGAAGCGCAACCGCTCGTTGATGCGCTCCAAGCGCGCGTTGAAGCGGTCTCCGATGCGTGTGGACACCACCTCGTGCATCTTGACGGAGATCCCCCACTCGGGCTGCTCGAAAGCTCGGAATGGCTTGACCCTGAACTTGTCCTCGCTCCCAGCACTCCTCGGCGGGAACTGCAGCACTTCTTCCTTGTAGACCGCGAGCGCCGACGCGCTCATGACAATCTGGCCACCGCGTCCCATCTCGCTCATCTCGCGCGCCATCATCTCGCTAGGCCCGAGGTACGTCATCTTGCCTGTGGTCGGGTGTCGAGAGCACACGAGCCGCTCGTCGCCGTCGTGGATGGCCATGCGCACCCGCAGCCCGTTGAACACCAAGCGCGTCCAAATGTCGTACATGCGCGCAGCGTTGTCGTACTTGAGCAGAGCGGCGGGCCACGGCGCCTTCAAGAGCTTCTCCTGCACGCTGACACACCACCCGATCGCGTCGCGGACGCAATGGAACGCGAGCTGGAAGGAGTCGCCCGCGGTTGTGATCTCGTAGCCTCGGAAGCGCGGCAGCTGCTGCCGCAGCAGGTCGTCGTGGATCGACTGCGCTTCGGCCATGGCCTGCGCGTTCCCCGCCCACAGTCGACTCGAGCCTTCAATGTCGGTCACCACGAAGATCGGTCGACGGGTAGGGGCTTCTACGATCACGTCCTGTAGTCCGAGCTCGTCAGGGAAGTAGCCACCTTCGAGGAGCTGCTCGTACACCGATGACGACATGAGCGGACGCAGTGCGCGGAAGCAGCACGTGACGCTGATGCCGATCGCGAAGGCCGTACCTGCGCCTGAGAGGTAGTATAGGATCTGCGTGAGCCCCACCCACTCCATCCGGACGCTGTCTACGAGGCGAACCAGCACCTCCACGATACACGACGGGAACACGAGCACGCAGTACACGATCACGAACGTCTTGATGCGCTGGTGCAGCAGCAGCGACGCCGGGTCCACTGCACTCCGTGTGCGCTTCTGTCTAGAAATCCACACCGTAGCGTACAGCGGATACAGCACAGACACCCAGATACACACCAGCTCGAACCAAAACGCAATGGTTTGCAGCGTCTCCGACTTGGCGGACGGCAGGAAGGCCGATACGATCATTAGAATGGCGAACACAACGGCCACGATGTACGCGCGCAAGCAGTACTGCCGGATGATGGCGCGCTCGCGCTTGGGGCCTCTGTCCATGGACTTGATGATGAGGCGCTTCATCTCGTACGCCAGCGTGGTGATGAAGAAGGTCGTGCACAGCAACGCGCAGTCTCCGATCAGCGTCACCGTCACTGCGATGGCTTTGAACTGCTTCCCGTCCGAGTACACGGCGCGTGCGCTCATGAGTTCTCCATCGTCCAGCGCGTCCAGCAGTCCGTCGAAGTTGATGAGCACGCCCACGTAGAGCAGCAGTCGCGCCAGCGAGTAGACGAAGTACAGGCGGCAGACCGAGTACGTGATGTACTGCACGGCCGAGTCCCCCACCTTGATGTGCTTGAACGAGAGCAGCAGCGTCGTGCCCGTCGTGGCCGTGGCCACCGCCAGCACGATCACATAGGTCAGAGTCCAGTCGTAGTGGGTCGAATCATCCATCCACGCACGACCCGAGAGACGAAGGAAGGCGCCACGCAGGACAAGTCAAGTCAAGTCAGCCGAGTGCCTGCGAACGACACCAAGCCAAGATGGACGGCGTGTGTTGTTCAGCTCTGGACCAGAGCCTCTGGTTGCCAGTCACGGAATAACGGCGACTTGACCGATCGTCAATTCCTCGCTGAGTTTGCGCGAGCAGCTGGAGGGGTCTATCCAGCGTTGCCTGCTCGAGCACTCACCCACCCTTTCACAATGTGCAGTGAGTGCAGCGCTAGCCAACACCTGGCGCCTCCGTATCGTTACAGACTCCGACACCGGATTGATGGCAAATCCTCGTTGCATTGCAAATGTCCGGCCGGGTCTCTGCGCCCGGAGTGAACCGAAGGAGCTTCCTTCAGGAAGAGTGCTGACAAACTTCGACAGCTCGCTGAAGTTACGGCACAGCGACAGTCGGATCGATTAAGGCGGACTTGGCGCCTTGATGGCAGCTTGCGCCGAGTCGAGTTGGAGGCACCGCTTCAATATGGCCGCGTTGTGACGGTCTTGCATCAGCCACTCGAGATCAGCGGCAGGACCTGTACATGTACCTTGAATTTTCGCTGCTCGCTGCTTGAAATTTTCCTGCTCGGTTCGAAGTGCGTCCAGAAGAGTTTGCCACTGACACGAACGTCGTCCAGAGGAGCCTTTGGCCGCCTTGGTTCGGTCTCTCTTGGCTTGAAGCGTCAGTTGGAAGGCATGAAGACCAATCGTCCACACCTGCGTGAAAAAATGAGCGTGTCAGTTGGAAATATCCCAAGTATTTTGACGTAGGTATCATCCGTACCTGGTGCTTCTGTGCCTGGTACGACAACTTGGGTGATTCCTTGCGACGACCACCCACACTTTTTCCAGCTTGGGACATTTGACCGGACTCCGAGGCAGCCTCGAGGCTGCGGTGAATGCCCTTGGTCATTTTCTTGAGAATTCGGCGGACGCTGTTCGAGAAGAAGAGCATGTCGCGATTCACGAAGGGCAGCATCTCGACGAGAATCGTGAATCGGTGTGCGGCCACGACGAGCATCTGGAACAGGTTGACGTGGATCGTGTCGGACGACAGCAGCTCCGGGTCGAAGTACAGCGCGTGCCAACGCTGCCGAATCGCAGACACCACTTTGGTCACGAAAAAACCCTGCGCCGCCTTCGTCTCGTTAAATGGGATCGACCCTTGAAGCAGCGAGCTGCTCAGCCTGCAAAATAACACATTAGATAGTCAACCTTTAAGCAGCTTTGCCTCAATCTCACTTACTTTTCGTAGTTGACGTAGAGCTGAAGGTTGTTGGGATCGATCAGCATGCCGCACCACGAGATGCACCGCTCTGACTCTGACACGCCCGAGCCCAAAGCGTGTTGCTCTCCATCGACAGCTTTGAAATTCGCTTGACTCTTGGCTAGGTTCACGAAGCACCCGTACTCCTCGTTTCCCTCGTGCATGACGTCGAAGAACCTTTGCGCTCTCTTGAGTTCCGTCGTAATGTACATGAAGTCGTCGGTGTATCGGAAAAGCTCCTCGTGCTGGCAGCAATCGACTGGTACGATGGCTGGGTCGCATACCTCTGGGAGTCGCTTGCGGAGTACGCGACGCTCGAAGTGGGCGTAGTACAAGTTGCACAATGTCGTGGAGAGCACAGAACCTTGGGGGATTCCGCACTGCTGGACGTAATCGTGGCCGTCGATCTGGACGACGTTCGCAGACAAATGTTCCTTCAGCAACTGGAGCGCTTTCGTTTTGGTGAGGTAGTCGTAGATGACCCCGTCCACGAACATCGAGTTCTTCTTCGTTGACTGAGCGGCCAGGTCGTCAAAGCCAAGCAGTTCTCCAGACGGATACGCCGGACGCTCCAGCTTGAAGAAGAACGGTAGTGACTCGTCACTATCTGCAGACGTCGGAGCTATTTGGTGGCCAACCCAATGCTTCCGGATCAAATACTCGTCCTCTTGTATCGCCTTCTTGAGCATCTGATAGAGCTTCCGCGGCCGAATTGTATCGAAGCAGCGCTCGACGTCGACACTCACGCAGTAAGCCATCGGGGTATCTCCACCGGATGCACGTCGCCGTTCTGCACAACGCGAACAAGTTGAAATTTCGCGAAAGAGAGGCTTGAGGCGCTTGTAGATCTCGTCAATGTTTCGGACCGAGGCTCCAAGAAGTCGCTTTGGGTGGCGCTCCATTTCAAAAGTCAGCACTCGGTGAACTGCCTCCATAGATCGATTTACTGATACCTTGCCTTGCTCTACAGGCGTCGATAAATTCATCAATGGTCGAATTCCACTAGATTTCGGAAGCAGCCGCAGTCGAGATGTAGATAACTGGCGGTATTGTTCGCTCGAAGGTTGAAGGATTCCTCCCTCCAAATCATCCAACACAAGAGTGCTACACAAAAAATTGAATAAGTAAATGAGAACTGAGTAGCACGTTGTTATGTAAGCGTACGTACCTGATCACATTCCAGACCGGACGCTGATAATATGCGATCTCGTTTGCCATCCCTTCTGCCTCTGTAATGTAAAACAAGTTTCGCAGCAGTGTGAAAACCAGCGATGAGATTACCCACCACAACAAGTCCTCGAATAGCTGTTGACGCTTGACTCGTTCGTTGGGAGGACTAGACACACATTGAATGATAGATTAGGCATTTGGACCCTACTTGTGCTAGGGAGACTGAGAGCAGCATACCAGAATTTTGTGCCGGGCTGCAGATTCATCCACTCCACGGTCACAACTTGAAACTCTTCCGCACACTTGACAGAATATAGCGTTAGTAAAGGTGAAATTGTAAAACTACAAAGTCCGCAGCTTACCTTTTTCAGCGAGAAAACGTCGAACTTCCGCGAGAATATGAGTTTGCGCAGCATCGACTTGACGCAGCTCCAGTTCTTCTTGTTGTCGCTGCTACCCCAGAGTTCTTTTGGGACAACTACAGCAACGAGCTTACGCACCAACCGGTAAACTTTCTTCTTCGAAACCGAAAAGGCCAGCAACTTTTTGATATCCTCTTTGTGTTGCTGCAGCTTGGTCAGGTCCGAGGTCCCGTGGGAACTGCGCTGGGCGTTCGTCTCATCAGCGGCCTTATGCCTCTTACCAGCGTGCCCAGCTTTATTCTGATCGTTTTTCAATGATCCAACCGAGACGTGAGATAGCATCTCGATAGCTTCTTCTCTCCGTTTGCGCTTCCGATCACCGGTGGGCCCGATAACGTCTTCACTTTGGCTCAAATACCCGTCATCCAGCGCTTTGCGCACGATCGGAGGTAGAATGGGCTGAGAAGAATCCTTCGCCTCAGCAGCCTTCTCTGCAACTTTTACCTTGATCTTCGGGTTCTCCGCCATGAACTTTCGGAACTCCTTGTGCACCGGGATTACCTTTTCAGAAAGCTCTTCAACTTTACACGCCTTGAACCTCGACACCATCGCCTGTACCATCGGAATGAGGTTGATCAGTCGCTTCGGCAGTCGCTTTTGCCCTGCCGCTTCGGGAAAAATCGACTGCAGCACTCGAGACGCTTCCGTTCGACTGATCGGGTCGCCCGTCTTGGACGCTTTTACCAGCACGTGGGAGCTCGCAAACACGCGATCCTTTTGGAAATAACGCGCATACATCACAACGTTGATAGACACTTTACGCTTGGATTTATCGGCGCCAGCCTTGGACGTCACTTGATTCTGCTGACGCAGACTTTTTCCAGTGAGCTGACGAGCAACAGCAACACATACATGGTCAGCATCGTACAGAAGTCCCGCCTTCTGCCCCAGTAAGCAAATACCTGCATGTAGGACCCTGGAGCCCCTTGAATTTGAACAATGATCGTGTAATTCAGCAGCAGATGCGTCATGAGGTCGTCGCCCATGAGTTGGTGCAGTGATCCCCACAGCGGCTTCTTGAGAGCAGCTACGAGTGTGTTCGGGTAGTAGCACATGATCGCGTTGGACTGCGTGACGCGGTGGCCTGCAGCCCCTGGCGTCACCTCTCGGTACCCAAGCGTCAGAACGTTCGCGCCCTCCCAGTTCATCGCTCGCTTCCGAGCCAGAAGCCGCTCGATGACATGGAGGATCAACTCCGTCTGAATGCCACAACACCAAATGATACAGTCAGTACCCCAAACCAAAGCATTCTGCTCTCCCTTATGCGTGTTTTGCCCTACGAGGGATATATTCGTCTCACAACTCCATGGCGCTCGGGGGAACCGTTCTACCCCTGACTGGATGAGGAACGTGTGGTCAAGTGCGAAGGAGATGTCATGGCCGGTCTCCAGCGAGAGGTTCTGCTGTAGTGTTGTGTCCCCATTGGCGCTGCGCTCCTGCGCCGCACTACCATACAATACTCAATTAGTCAGCATTGCCGGTAGAGTATCGAGCTACTGTAGAACCTACTACGCTCACCTCTGCAGGAACGAGCGCAAGGTGGACGACTTCCCCAGCAGCGCTTCCATGTCCGAAAAAAAAACAAATTATGCAAAATGACAGGTAAATGTATGCGTGTTGGCAGGTAATGCTGGGTGTTACAGCAATTTATGCAGTTTTATCCTTCGCTAGGTACTGCACAATGCACTTCTTGATCGTGTCGCCCCAGGTCATGGAAATTTCTTTCAGCTCATTCATCCCTTCTTGGGAGATATCGAGGTCTGAGCTCATGAGTTTTGATAAAGTCCACCGCGTGCCGACAACAAGGTTTTGTGAAGACTGGACCGGCACTATCGTGGTCGTGTCTCGACGAACACGCTCCGCTGGGAGGTAGGGATACAGCTCGTCGGAGTCCACGAAGTCCGCAGCCACGATTCCATGGCATCCGTCAGCATTGTCGACAAACTCGGAGAAAACGACCGAGTTGGACTCGACTGTTGCTCCATGTGAGGTCGACGACACGAGACGAATCTGGGAGATGTCTGACGCGGATCGTGATGCTGCCGAACAGCTCGGAGATGATGATGTCGACGTTTTGCATCGCGTAGATGATAGCGTCAAACGCAGCCTTCACGGAAGTGCCAGGGAGTGGTGCGTTGTCGAACCGCACCACCGAAAACCCACCGTCAGCGGATTCGAACCGGTCTTCTTGCGAAAAGGCTGATCTCGTGTCAAACTCGCGACTCCACGCGGTAATGAATCGCCTAGCGTTCCTTAGTTTGTGATTCTTCATTGCCTCCAAGGTAGTGCGACGTTCTGAACGGTTGGCTCCCAGCTGGATGAAATCGTGCGTGGGGTGCAATGTCGACAAGTTTTGCTGCTGCAAGTGACAACAAACAAAAAGTATGTTGAAACTTGGCGTACGAAGAAGTGAAGAGACGTGCGGTATATGTACAACATACCATTTGAGAGACGAGCATGCCCTGGATCCCAGCGATCGACACGTGCTGCTCTTGAACACATTCACGTAACACCGCATTGGCTGGTTCTGTACGTTTAATGGTCGTATTTGCTGCCCCCTGCTCCTCGAGTATCCGGTGTTTGAGCAGCTCGAGCTGATTCTCCAGCCTGGTTACCTCCGCGACCAGGTCACCCCTCTGCTGCTTGCGGATATCGTACGTCGTTCGGCGTTTCTTGATCTTCTTGAGTAGTCGCTTTTTCTGCTTCGAGCACTGCGGTACTGTAGCCTCACCAACTCGATCTGTAGCGCAGGTTTTCGAGCCGCCATATCCCATCGTCACAGTGTTTTGATTCAGCAGCTCCATCCACGACGATGCGGTTCCAAGCAAAGTGTCGGTCGAGTTTGGTGACGTCTTCGTCATCGTAAATGACCCAGTGACACTAAAAATCGCTCTCGGGCCTCACCTCGATGACAACTTCACTCACGCAAGCACTGGTTTCGTAGTGGTAATCAAGAAGTCTGATTGTTGCCAAAAGATACCAACGCTTCAACTGGAACCTCGTAATCATCACACACACTCGAGGTAGGAGCAGTGAAAACTTCACTAAACCGAAAGATTAACGCCAATACGTGACATTCGCTTGGCGTTGAGAGCCTACAGTCGCGAGGCGTTCGCTACATCCCCTTGATTCTGTTTAGAGAACGGTTCCATCTCCTGCAGGTTGCCCAAAATGTTCATCGCGGACTCTGCCGGTTTTTCCAACACCATCGCGTGGGACGAGTTGGCGATCGGTTCCTCCAGCGAGTAGATGTGCGGCCACTTGCTGCTGAGCTCCTCGAAGGTCTCGGGCAGGAACATCTTCGTGCGGCTGCCGTAGTGGAAGAAAATCTTGCACTTGGGCCGCGCGAGCTGCTCATTCGTCATATTCAGCAGCTTGTGACAGTAGAGCGAGGCCTCAATGCCCGTACTACACGCCAGTACGTTCCTCCCCGATGCTTCGTCCTCCACCAGCGCTCCCTTCATATACGCGTCCAATGACTCGCGGTCCCACGCCGCAAAGTTCTTGAAATTACGCAGATGCTCCGCCGCCGCCGCACGCGAAGGCCTGTAATAAAGATGTTAGCTCTACCAAAACTACACAACACTCACTCTACTGTAGTGCATCCTACCACGACGACTCGCGCTGTAGAGTGATCGACACCAAGAAGTTGGTGACGACGTCAGAGTTGAGCTTGCCCCACACGGGCTCGAACAGGATGAGTCCGTCGAAGGTCCCCGGGTGCTGCACCTCCGTGTTCCACATCGCCGACGCCCCCATCGAGTGGCCGATCCCAATCAACGGCGTGCCGACACTCTCGTTCTTAATAGCGCGCGCGTGCTGCAGCACCTCGGCCGACGTCCACGCAGTCAGGTCGGCAGCTGGGTGGTGCACCCTCGGTCCTCTTGGGTTCTTGAGGTCGAGCTGCGGCGCCACCGACTCGTCGCGGTTGCTGCCGTGATACTTGAAGTCGAAGCTCACGAAGCGCGTACTCACGCTCTGCAGCAACGACGAGTCTCGAAGGCGACGTACAATGGGCTCCCACGTGTCCTTGCAGAAGCCGCCGCCATGTGCAAATAACAGCGTGGCCGATCTGGACATGACGAGGTGGTGGTCAATTGAGTTGTGAAGGCTGCTTGGGGGTGTATCCGCGAGGATTTGGAAGTGTCGAGTCAACACGACACACGAACGAGAGGAGGAGAAGGTGGTAAACGCCAGCTCGGATTGTTATTGAAGATAGAGAGGCTGCTGCTACGTGGGACGCAGACGGCGAGTGGTGCTTCGGCTACAGTCGTGACTGGGGGCCAAGTGCACGGAATGGCTTGAGGTCCGCTAAGCTTTGGACGATCTTCTGCGCGACCTCAGCGGGTTTCTCCACGACCATGACGTGCGACGTGTGTGGAATCGGTTCTGCTACGGGATTTATTGGGTTTGTTGAAGATAGAGGGGAAACTCCCGGGACCACTTTGACCATCCGGACCACCTGGACCAGGTTGACCACGTTCCCGATTTCCCGATTAACTCCCTAGTATGCTATTAGCCAATCAGGATGCTTTATACGACGCAAGCTGAATTTGACAACGCAGTTCAAAACGAGGGCAGTGACCAGCAATGGCATGGAGCAGCGGAAATGCCGCAGGCCCGAGTACGTATCCATGAGTATGCTGCAAGCTAGTGTATTAACCTTAAGATGGAGTGGAGAAATAGCTGTCTAACGTGTTTGCTGACTTGCTAACCAGCTTCAAGCACTGAGGGGTTTTGCTGTCGTCGCACTTCACGTGCTTTTGCCTGCAGTCGGGGCAGGAGATTGCCTTCCGTTTCTGGTTTTGTGTGGCACCTCCCGGACGGATGGCACTTCCGGATCAGGCGTGGTCTGTGCTTCGCCTGGAGCGCCTGCGTGGGTTGACTCTCGTGTGCTGTTTCGGATCCTCATTCGCAGTTGATTGGGGGTCAACACAGACTTCGGGTAGTACTGGTTGAACACGTTCATGAGGTGAGCAGCTTTTCCACATGTACCCTTAAATTTTTCCGCTTCTTGACGAAGTATGTCCATGTGCTCACTAGATATTACTACGGGAGGGGGAGGACGCACAACTTCTCCAGAAACAACAAGTCCATTGTCACTGGAAAGGAGGCGAGACGCATCGCCAGTCAACGCCGGGGGTGCAGAAACCACAAGTTCAGCTGAAACGCTGCAAGAATATCTGTCCAACTGGACATCGTTGGCAGTGTTGCGAGCGGAGGTGTCATCTTCGCTGGCTGTATTGTGCGTGGAGATGTCACCTTCGCTGGTACTGTTTCGTGGTAATGAGGTGTCAGCTTCACGGGCATCGTTGCGTGACGATGAAGTGTCTGCTTCGCTCTGTCGTAACGCGCTTCGAACATTTTTAAACTTAATCGTGAAGGATGAGCTTGACTTTTTGAGTGCGCCCATCTCCTCTCTAGTGATACTTTATCAAATGCTCGAACTCCACCGCAGACACAGCTCGCGAAGTCATAGAGTCTACAAAACGCCAGTCGTTTCTGCGAGACAATATTGGTCCGTCGAAGAGTGTCAAATAGTTGTTGCTGCAGCGCTCGCTCGTGGTCGGTTGCTCTACCAGTGCATTCTGCTTCATTCCGAAAATGAAATAAGATTTTCCGCGTGTTTTGAAGCTTGCTTAGACTCAGCCCGCACTGCCTTGACTTTTGTTTCGAGAGTACGATAACTGTGCCGATACAGTCTAATGCGTGCATTCCTGTTCGAAGCGACAACAAGGTTGAACATGATGGTGGTCACCAGCACGCAGTCCGCCCAAGTTCTACCACATTCCTTTTGCTCTCGTAGAACTTGGCGCAGGAGCTCGTGCTCTTCTGGCGAGAACCCGGCAGCTCCCTCTGCACTATCTTGCTCCATGCGAAGCGAATGCATGAATTCTACACGATCAACGGTTCCACACTGTAGTGTAGTTGCATTCTTGAACAGCAACTCTTTTATCGTGTGGAGATGTTGTCTTGGCCGCGACAGGTTCGTCTCTAGGCCCGACGCATCGAGGTCAGCGCAAGCAGATATCTGCTGCCACGACGTGAACGCAAAGTCGCGTTCTGTACTCGAGCGATATTGCGGACGAGGTAGAGAAGCTGAAACGAGGTTCGACACAAACTCTTGCTCAGCTGTATCTGCAACTAAGCGCTCACCATACAACTTGCACACTGTGGCAGCACGACACGCCGCTATCAAATCAATATTCTCCATGCGCGGATTCCTACCAAAGCGAGCCCCAACGTTGAAGTTGTGCTGCACGATAAACACATCTAAAATGCGCAAACCAAGTTCAACGCGCACCTCACGAGCCAATAATTTTTTCAGAGCGGAATGAAATCCTTCTAATTGACTTGTTGATACTACTCGAACCGGAGGACCACCACCTTCATTGTACACGATCTCAGCAACATGCAGCTCACCCAAGCTGATCTGAGCAATGTTGTGCTCGATGCAATTCCTCCATTTCTCTGGAGTACACCCCAACTCGCTATCACTTATCTTGCTAAGCACTGCTCGCAAGTTAGCTTCCATTTCCACCGGGGGTCTTAACTCACGATCTACGTCATACATCGCACTTGACAACTCCTGGCACAGCAACTTCCGCTTGGGTTTTGACTTCAGCTTTTGGCTGAAGCGTTGAATCACATGGAAAGGATCCTGTTTGACAACGACAGAATCGCCCAGCGCTTCCACAACGAATTTCCGCACGGCTGCCGCATTATCAGAGATGAAATAGCAGTCGCCGTCTGCATCGAGCTGCAGTCGAACGTCAGAGAGTAGTTGCATGGTCTCATCTTTGTTTTCGGAGCTCGTCAGACGCCGACCAACTATCTGCCCGATTTCATTTTGCAACAGAAGCAACATTTTTGCGTCTGCTAGATTATCACGTTGTCCATGACCGCTCCACAGTTTCAATCGTTTGCAGAACTTCACCGAGTGATCAGCACGCAGGACCTTCTTCACTTTGGTCTGCTTCATTACTACTTCACACAGAGAGCCGTATAATTCAGTGTACGCCAACCAGGCGTCGGTCATTGAGCTTTGTGACACCACCTTGTTTTTTTTCAGGTATGCATCGACGGTGGGCGGGATCGGCGGCAAATAAGCGGCATTTTCGCGGTACTTCTGGCCGACTGCATAATCAAACTTTGAGAGCAACTCGTAGTACCTGTTGCGTCAACGTCTCTCCAAGTGACTCAAAGCACGCGATAATCCATTGGGAGAGAGAATTTTGTTCATGAACGTGCTCCATTAACCGCTTAGAAAACTGCATTTTCTTGGTAATGACGAACGGGAGATGTACTGCCACGTCTGGGTTAGCCTCGAGAAAGCTAGAGCTCAACGTTGAAAACGTCCTGGCCTTTCCGCTTGCAACTTTGCGGGTGCACTGGTACTTCACATAGAGAACATTATACTTGTATCCGACGTCCTCAATGACACGCTGCTTCCTCTCTTTCACGTTAGGCTCACATTGACATCTTGGCACCACACAGAACGGACGCTTCCATCGTCTTCTTGCTTCTGGAACCCACACCAACACCGGCCGAGAAAAAAAAGAAGCCAAGCTTGCTCCACACGATACAGATTCAGGAAAGACAATCTGAGGTGGGAACGAACACGTGTCTAGAGCCTGTTGTACCAATCTTCTTCTCTCATTGAGCGGGATAACGTCGGGATCTCGTACTAAATCACCGCTAGCTTGCTCGCACATCGGACCCAATTGTTGATCCGCCGAATTTATCTAGAGTGGAGCGACTCTTCGAGCCGCTCCGCCGGAGATAGCCGAATCTAGACACGTGTTCGTTCCCACCTCAGATTGTCTTTCCTGAATCTGTATCGTGTGGAGCAAGCTTGGCTTCTTTTTTTTCTCGGCCGGTGTTGGTGTGGGTTCCAGAAGCAAGAAGACGATGGAAGCGTCCGTTCTGTGTGGTGCCAAGATGTCAATGTGAGCCTAACGTGAAAGAGAGGAAGCAGCGTGTCATTGAGGACGTCGGATACAAGTATAATGTTCTCTATGTGAAGTACCAGTGCACCCGCAAAGTTGCAAGCGGAAAGGCCAGGACGTTTTCAACGTTGAGCTCTAGCTTTCTCGAGGCTAACCCAGACGTGGCAGTACATCTCCCGTTCGTCATTACCAAGAAAATGCAGTTTTCTAAGCGGTTAATGGAGCACGTTCATGAACAAAATTCTCTCTCCCAATGGATTATCGCGTGCTTTGAGTCACTTGGAGAGACGTTGACGCAACAGGTACTACGAGTTGCTCTCAAAGTTTGATTATGCAGTCGGCCAGAAGTACCGCGAAAATGCCGCTTATTTGCCGCCGATCCCGCCCACCGTCGATGCATACCTGAAAAAAAACAAGGTGGTGTCACAAAGCTCAATGACCGACGCCTGGTTGGCGTACACTGAATTATACGGCTCTCTGTGTGAAGTAGTAATGAAGCAGACCAAAGTGAAGAAGGTCCTGCGTGCTGATCACTCGGTGAAGTTCTGCAAACGATTGAAACTGTGGAGCGGTCATGGACAACGTGATAATCTAGCAGACGCAAAAATGTTGCTTCTGTTGCAAAATGAAATCGGGCAGATAGTTGGTCGGCGTCTGACGAGCTCCGAAAACAAAGATGAGACCATGCAACTACTCTCTGACGTTCGACTGCAGCTCGATGCAGACGGCGACTGCTATTTCATCTCTGATAATGCGGCAGCCGTGCGGAAATTCGTTGTGGAAGCGCTGGGCGATTCTGTCGTTGTCAAACAGGATCCTTTCCATGTGATTCAACGCTTCAGCCAAAAGCTGAAGTCAAAACCCAAGCGGAAGTTGCTGTGCCAGGAGTTGTCAAGTGCGATGTATGACGTAGATCGTGAGTTAAGACCCCCGGTGGAAATGGAAGCTAACTTGCGAGCAGTGCTTAGCAAGATAAGTGATAGCGAGTTGGGGTGTACTCCAGAGAAATGGAGGAATTGCATCGAGCACAACATTGCTCAGATCAGCTTGGGTGAGCTGCATGTTGCTGAGAACGTGTACAATGAAGGTGGTGGTCCTCCGGTTCGAGTAGTATCAACAAGTCAATTAGAAGGATTTCATTCCGCTCTGAAAAAATTATTGGCTCGTGAGGTGCGCGTTGAACTTGGTTTGCGCATTTTAGATGTGTTTATCGTGCAGCACAACTTCAACGTTGGGGCTCGCTTTGGTAGGAATCCGCGCATGGAGAATATTGATTTGATAGCGGCGTGTCGTGCTGCCACAGTGTGCAAGTTGTATGGTGAGCGCTTAGTTGCAGATACAGCTGAGCAAGAGTTTGTGTCGAACCTCGTTTCAGCTTCTCTACCTCGTCCGCAATATCGCTCGAGTACAGAACGCGACTTTGCGTTCACGTCGTGGCAGCAGATATCTGCTTGCGCTGACCTCGATGCGTCGGGCCTAGAGACGAACCTGTCGCGGCCAAGACAACATCTCCACACGATAAAAGAGTTGCTGTTCAAGAATGCAACTACACTACAGTGTGGAACCGTTGATCGTGTAGAATTCATGCATTCGCTTCGCATGGAGCAAGATAGTGCAGAGGGAGCTGCCGGGTTCTCGCCAGAAGAGCACGAGCTCCTGCGCCAAGTTCTACGAGAGCAAAAGGAATGTGGTAGAACTTGGGCGGACTGCGTGCTGGTGACCACCATCATGTTCAACCTTGTTGTCGCTTCGAACAGGAATGCACGCATTAGACTGTATCGGCACAGTTATCGTACTCTCGAAACAAAAGTCAAGGCAGTGCGGGCTGAGTCTAAGCAAGCTTCAAAACACGCGGAAAATCTTATTTCATTTTCGGAATGAAGCAGAATGCACTGGTAGAGCAACCGACCACGAGCGAGCGCTGCAGCAACAACTATTTGACACTCTTCGACGGACCAATATTGTCTCGCAGAAACGACTGGCGTTTTGTAGACTCTATGACTTCGCGAGCTGTGTCTGCGGTGGAGTTCGAGCATTTGATAAAGTATCACTAGAGAGGAGATGGGCGCACTCAAAAAGTCAAGCTCATCCTTCACGATTAAGTTTAAAAATGTTCGAAGCGCGTTACGACAGAGCGAAGCAGACACTTCATCGTCACGCAACGATGCCCGTGAAGCTGACACCTCATTACCACGAAACAGTACCAGCGAAGGTGACATCTCCACGCACAATACAGCCAGCGAAGATGACACCTCCGCTCGCAACACTGCCAACGATGTCCAGTTGGACAGATATTCTTGCAGCGTTTCAGCTGAACTTGTGGTTTCTGCACCCCCGGCGTTGACTGGCGATGCGTCTCGCCTCCTTTCCAGTGACAATGGACTTGTTGTTTCTGGAGAAGTTGTGCGTCCTCCCCCTCCCGTAGTAATATCTACTACGGTGTCGCGAAGAATAGAAACTACGGATGCCAGTCTCCATCCATCAATCTATCCATTCACAAACAACCAATTCATCAACCAATTATTGATTCAGGTTTCCTCATGAATCACAAGCATCAAACACAAAGGCGGTAGCCATGTTCATGAGCAATTTAGCTTGTCAAGACAGCTCACACAACTGCAGACAGATCCGTGGCTGCACATCCTCTTCTCCTGATGTTCATGCAGGAAGATCCAGCTAAAGTTTAGAATTAACTTGTGTCCCTTTTGCTGGCTCCATCACGCTTCTGTGCTGGCCTTCCTGTTTGCTTTCTCACATTCGTCGAACAGGACGTCACAAAACGAAGCGGCATCCGAGACACCCTGCAACTTCCGAAAAACTTTGGTCCGTTTGATGTTTTCCAGCCTGTTCCAGCGTTCAAATAGCGACCGCTTGACGAACTCGGACGCCAACGAAAGCGTATATATCGCCGGGTCTTCTGAGCTCGGAACGTAGTGACCGATACCGTGCTGCACCACCTTGGCCTCTGCTATGTTGAAAAGGCTTCCCATATTATCCTCATTTGGGAACTGGTCGATGAACCTCTCCATCTCTTTCTGCCGAGCTTTGGCAACATTCTCGTCCGTGGACAGACATTCACGAGCTACGCCACCAAAAATTCGGTAGCGCTGCTCGATCAGGTCCCCAATGCTTTCAGGGCCCTGAGTATCCGTCGTATCCGAATGAAAGTTGAGCACTTCAGCGGCAGTTTGGAGCTCGTCGAGATCCCACAATGGCATGAACAGCTTCGGACATGCTGGCCATTTCCGGAGAGTGTCAAAGCACCTCTCACTTGGACTCGTGAAGCAGACCATTTGCGCAGCCCGTGGGATCTGATCGGGTGGGCCATCGCACAGGTACAGGAGCTTATCCCCTGCTTCATCCACGGTTTCCAGGATGAGAGCATCCATTGCTGACTGGACATCCTTCACGACGGCCACTGCTTTGCCCTTTTTAAATACGACGACTTGGTCCTTGGTTGACGATCGTTCGGTTTTCGCAAACGAGGCAGTGATGATCGTGATGTCCTCGTTCTCGTAGCTGTAGCGCTCCAAGAAGTACGCGTAGAAGACAGACTTGCCGATCCCTGTGCCAAACACAAGCGGGTTTTAGCACAATCCATTGAGAACAATCGCTTGATTAAGACCCATAGGCCGCCTCACCTGGTGTCCCCGTGACCGTCACCACCTTAGCGTTCTCCACTTTGAGCAGGTAGACAACCAGAGCGTAATACTGAGCGTAGCACTTGCGTCTTGCGGACGTAGTAGCTTGTCTGCTTGCTGTCAAACTGCATGGGCAGCTTCTTGGGAAACTCCCTAGTCGTGGTCTCCACCCACCTGGGCGCAGCTCCGGCTTCCATTCTCTCAAGGTCTGGCGTTTCCACCCGCAGAAAATCGCAAATGGGAGAATTCTCACCCATAGATACCGGTAGATGCAGACCGCAAGTGGGATAAAATGACTAGGGTGGCAAAATAAGAGGTGGTGAAAGATAAAAACACCCTTTGCTCCGTTTTTGAATAGGTTTTAAAACCATGAAAAACCCAAAAGGGTAAGAAGACCGCATTTCCTCCCTCCCTCCTTGACCGCGAGCATTTCCCAGCGGCGCTAGCGCCGAGGCAAGTGAGATAATGGAAGCCGGAGCTGCGCCCAGGTGGGTTGAGACCACGACTAGGGAGTTTCCCAAGAAGCTGCCCATGCAGTTTGACAGCAAGCAGACAAGCTACTACGTCCGCAAGACGCAAGTGCTACGCTCAGGGTTGTAAAAGTTGGTTTTTTGCTTAACCCCAGTGAGCCTGGCCGTAGGATAAAAGAAAGGATCAAAAGTTTAGCGCTTTTTACAGAAACGACTGCTGAAATACGAGTATCTGAAGCCACACACACAAAGCCTTTTCCTTCCTCTACTAGATACTAGTGTCCACTTGGTGTCTCTCATTGTCCATCATTGCGAAATTGCCGCATGAAAAGTGTCTCTAACAGCTTATCAAAAATCCAGATTTATCCGATCTGCTAGGATAAAAATCGCATTTAGACTTGAGCTGAGTATTAGTCTGAATACCTCTACAATTTTATGCTTCCATCGGTGGCTTTGTCAAATGCGACACGACCGATAAGATGGGAGACGCCTCCGATACAAACGCCAAGTCATTTTTATCCTACGGCGGCCTCGCTAGGATAAAACGGCCTGCGTGTGTGCCACATCAACAAAGGATTTGATCCTTTTTCGTAGGATAAATTTCACTGGGGTTAATGGAACAATTCAATATTGGGGCAACCCACCCACCCTACGCCAGCATATTTGGGTTTATCAGGTTTTATTTTTGCCTATAATGTAGAGTTACAGTGCAAATATTAGGACAAACAGTCCAATAGTTGGCCAAGGATAAATTATTTTATGATTTTGAGACCAAACGAGCCAATCAGAAGCCTATATTGTTGAATTTTATGAAAAATAGAAAACCCACCTACTTTCACCCAATCCCCCAGATAGATTCAATCACCCGCCCAACTTTGTCGAAAAAGGTGGGTTTTAACCCCCCCGCACTCGCGGGGTTTTTCGGGTCCTGGTTGCGACCAATATACTACTTGTTAAAGCTGTATACAACTTGTTAAGGAGATGCGTATTTGGTTTAAGTATTGCCTGCTACTAGTAATGGAGCATCTCAGTCGCGTTGCTCCGTTGAGTTGCTTCGGGGGTCGACACCCTGCAGTGGAGTCTCCACTTCATGCCGACGTCCCCACCCTCTAATTGATCTTATCAATCACCATTACTATTTTTTGTAGTGTAGTGAAGCAAACTGAGGGCTAAGGGCGTGTTCGCGACCGTTGCAATTTAGACTCTCAGTTTAACCCGTGCAGGTCATCAAACCAATAAGCAATTAGCAACACTGGTGGAGCTGCACGATGAAGGCTTCATTATCAGCAAATAACGTTACTATCTATCGCGAGGTCAAGATAATCAACGGCAATTACACACCAGCAGCAAGAGAGCACTATTAATGATGCTGGACTATATCTCGCGAAACCCTAGATCACGGTTAACCGCAAGGGTGAGCTGCAGCACCAGCGGTTCAAGATCAATTAGTGGTAGCCGACAGCCCAAAGCAAAATACATGTAGCAAGGGATAATTGTTGTTAAAGCTATAATATTCAGTTTCGATTTTCCAGCGTACTCAATACAGCATATCGGCTCCCGATGACCGCCGTACTTCCTCTCTAGTGCTACATACCATATCACTTATACCATATCACTTACCGGTATTAATAACACAATTTAAAAATTGTTACACTATCGCAAGATTCTCTATTCTATCGGCAGCAAGTGGTTGCGAGGAGCACAGCCAAAGCAAACCCGCGCGGGGTGCCCGTGAACATGTCCGCGTAGGAGGGCCCAGCAACCAGCAGGGCAGCGAGCGAACCCGTCGTTGCGGCTTGGAGCTAGTTCCGTAGTGTGGGGTGCGGGCCCCCAAGGTATAAGGAGACTACCTGCGTCACTACCAGGAGCTATCTGTAGGCTACAGGCTGTAGCTTCACAGAGTATTGGACATGGTGAGCTTTGCGTAGCACGTATCCATGCAGGCAAGTTGAAGTGCACTCTCTTTTAGCAATTCTACCCTTCCCAGCACTAACTCACTCGTAGTAATGGATGCAAGCGCTGACTTGGCGCTCTAAATCAGAGTGAAGCCGAGGACTTGGTGGCGTTTTTTTTGCGCTCGGTGCGATCTAAAGTGTAGCAATTTATCTAAACCCGCGATTCGCTTCCCGATGCCTGTTTGATTAGCGTTTATCGTCGAGGCTAAATCGTGTCCCCCCACTTTAATGGCATCGACCCCTTCTCAGAAGAAGTCACTCCAGTTTTTACGCAGTTAAGCGTGTCTATGGATCAAGAGAGGGTTGTCCAACCGAGGTTTTTTGCGCAATTTTTGGCCCCGGGGAAGTGATTCTAGATGTAAACCCTAACCGTTCATGTCTCAGATTAAGAGAGGTAAGTAAAGAGAGATAAGAAATAGAGTAAAGAGGAGTGATAGATGATTATAAGTGGGGACTTCGTCCCCAATAAGTACGATGTACTTTATTGTAGTTGCACTGCCGTGCACATACATGTTGTCAAATCCACCTAAGGTGGCCCTTGCCCAGTCGACAGGGGGTATATCCTACGTCATGACTAGGCCTTTTTATTGGGACCGCGCAAAACACAGACAAAATCTCCAGAATATGTAAAATGCAATCATTGTTTGCAAACCTAAACGTGTAAAAACTTAGCTGCTCTTCCTACAGCAAACGAAAATGCCCTTTCCTACTCCTCAGCCTCTTCCTCCTGATCGGCCTCCTCGTTCTCCTGCTCCGCCTGCTTGGCCTCATCCTCATGCTCTGGCGCCTCCTCACTGCCTGTCTTGAACGCGACTGCCGCGGCGTTTCTTTCCAAGTGCGCGCATTTGAATGTCCCGACCGACGCGAGGGCGTGGCCGCTCCTCTCCGTTCTTCCACATATCGTGCCAAATTTGGTGGCATGTCAGCCGATTGCCGGGGTAGTGTTCGGGGCAGATGCGGTCACAAAGGTATACACTAACCATACGCACAAATAACCACAGTCAGTAACAATTCACTAGCAATGTGCCCACAAGACTTACCGTCTATTGCCCTCACTGCATGTTTCGCAACAGAAGCGTGTTGCTGGGCGCTCACCCACTTTTTTCTTGCGAATTGAGCAGACCTTGCATTGGTGCTGCGGCCGCTTGCGCACACCCTCGCGAGTCTGCACCCACTCTGGAAACTCAACAAGCTTGTGACGGCTTGGGCCTTGTCCCCTGGGGTTTGATGGCGGAGGCTGAGGACTCTATACATCAGCATTCGTAAGTGTTAGACATATATACATCATGTACAACATGTCTGATATAGCACATGTAGTATATACCTCATCGACCAAATCAGCATTCATGACTTGTTGGAGCTGCGCCTGAAGTTCCTGGAAGAATTCAGCATGGTCTTGAGCTGGCTCGCCTCGCTGCTTCTTGTACTCTCGATAGACGATAAATGCATTGACCATCGCCATGTCCACAAGTCCCAGAAAGACAGTCTTGTAGAACTTTCGACAGCGCACCGATTGCTGCAGCGCTACTCGCTGCAGCCGCAATTGATCGTGAATGTCGACCCCACCTATTCAACGATGGTAGTCACGCATCGCAGACGGACAGGGAATGATGAATCGTTCGCCACCAGGAATATGTCCCCCTACAGAATACCAGTGTTAGCATAAAGACTGAGTACAATTGAATAGCAACCAAAACTTACCACAGCTCTCAGTCGTAGTGCTGCTTCCTGTCGACAACAAATACACTGGGAGGCGGTCCCACTAGAGTATGGCCTGGAGTTGTGGGCAGCACTTTGCGACCGCGACAACGGCAGATCCACGCGCCACGTCTGCCGGTCGTGAGGCGTCCTTCGTAATCAGCGCTGGCGGAAAGCCCTTCTTGTTCGTCTGAATAGTGCCGATTGAGTACACATTGTGAGTCAGCAACTGCAGCGCGAGCTGCACGGACGTGTAAACGCGATCCGTCACTACGGCATAGTAGACACCAGTTTTTGGAGGAGGTAACACTTTGTGTAAATTCCGCAAGACCGCTGCAGGACCGGAGTTGGGGTCCGCCGAAAACTCTGTTGGAGATGCTCCGCCAAGTTCGTCTGCGTGTTGATCGGTCCCGCAATACACTTGAAGTCTAACATGTTGTATATACAACGCAATGACAGTTAGCACGACGTATAATACAACATGTGAGACTTAGTGGGGAAAAAATGCGCTCCCCGTATTGGAGAGCGCTCACAACGTACCGAAGGCAATAGGCGGTGTCCGCGCAACACGTCATGAAAACCTTGGTGCCCCTCTTGTGGGGTTTGTCCTTCATAAACTGCCGGGTGACGTTGTAGCGGCTACGAGATGGAATCATGGCCTCGTCGAAAGCCAACACGGGCGGTACGTTGTAGCCGCGCGCAAACGTTTCTTGTAAAGCGTCCACGACTGAGCACACCTTCCCCGCCCGGTCCGTTTCCGCTTTTGCGTCCGTGTTGTCTGTGAAGTGGAGATTTTGCATAATCCGCCCAAAACGCGCCTTGGACATGTAGCGACCGAAGGTGCCTTTTGGTACAGCACCAACACCTTCTTTGGCCCAGTGATCAGCAAAACGGTGCTTGTGAGGGCATAGCATCCTCGCTATAAGCAGTCCAATACAGTGGTGCACGTCCTTGGCTTTGATTTTCTTGTGTTGCTTCGTTTCAGCTAGTAGCACCGAGTCTCTTGTCACATCGGCGTCCTGCGCTACCTTCTTTTCGTACATCCGGTCGACACGCTCGTTCAAATGCTGATCGTAGTAGCGGTTGCTCTCAGATGCAATTTTGAGCCAGAGCCTTCGAGGCATGAAGAAGAAGAATAACTCCAACGGGGATTCGGCCTTGTCCAGCACCTCATCGGCCGGGCCATAGTCACCAGAATACAACATGGGATACGTGTGGCGCGGCGCCTTTCCCAAATCCTGCGAGTGGAAACTTTCCCGGACTTCAATGTCTCATCTTCGGCCCAGAGTATTTTTTACGATCGCTGATTGGTTCGGACGGGTGTGCCAAAATGTTGATACAATCTCAAGGTCTGCAGAATCCCGGAGTCTCGAGGTCTGGTCTACAAAACAAGAGCATGTTTTCGGATACCCGGCACCCCTGAAAAGGGCATTGCTGCGGTTAAGTTGTTCCCGTTCCCAGAAGCACATGGGATTGCGTGCGATCCTACCCTGAATCCTGGAATAAGGTGGAGTTCGGCACGAGTTATCGACCGGTATTCGGGGTGCTTTCCGGATTGCCCAAGATATTATCAAGATTGCCACTCTATGGAGCCTGCTATCCCGGACTTGCTTCCCACAAAACTCGAGAAGGCCTTCAACTAAGGTTCCTCCCAGACCCAGACTCAAGAATCACGGGAATCCCAAGACTCTCGCGATGATCTCATATCATCTCAAGATCTGAGGTTTACCCACGACGGCGACCCTTCAAGCTTCGATAAAAATCGGGACCAACACTCTGGAGAAAGATCCAGTAGTCAACCCAGCGACCAGGCGTCGCTGGAAAGATCGTCTTTGCATGTAGCCTTTAATCAAAACAGAGTTCGTTTTTCCCTCAAGTGCCGAAGTCGTGTTGGGCCGAAGCCCTGAGAGCGTTCTCCACCAAAAATTCAAAGTTCTTTAGGTAAGGGATCCATTGCGAAAGCCTGGGCGTGAACTTATCTATTCCATATTTCTGCACATACACCGTGTTGGCTTGGTGTGTTATATATTGCGGGAGTAAGCGTATAGTGAGGCTCCTGAGAGCGATTTGTATCGGTATTAGGCTGTATAAGTCGATATTTGATTGAATTGCTGTTCTCCTCTTGGAGGAGTGGTGCGCGTCCACAAGACTGTCCAAGTGTCTTGGGTTTGGACCCGAAGACTTGGAGATTTGGCCTTAGTCCTGGGCCTAGAGAAAGAAGAGAGGACAAGAGGTATCTGTGTGATTGTATAATGTGTTTAACTCTGTATATTAGGATTGAAGTGTTTGTTGGCGTTGACTGGTGTAGATTCTTGAGTCGCGGGGTTGATACTAATCGCCGATCAAAAGAACCAACCGCAAGGGGATACACAAGCGTGCGCATGACCAGCGGTGTGCTGATATTTCTCAAGCAGCTCACTGCGTGGACGATCCTAGCTCTCTAGCTCGTGGTCGTCTGCCTATCGAGCCACATTCTTGAGACTTGCTTGTGCTCTACCGATCGCAAAAGGCACTCGCGCCTCGTCACAGCTGGTGCGCGTGCCCGGATTGGGGATTGGAAGTCAAGCGTGTATTCAAGGAGTTCAAGATGTCTACGCCTGAAAACAAGATTGTACCTGCTGCGAGTCCTGGACGTCGCGCTGGGGTTCGAGGTCGCGGTCGAGGCGCGCGCCAAGTGTCAAGACCGCTCCAGCTGCCGGCGCCGCTGCCAGAGCCCGCGCAGGATCCTGGAATGTCGGCGAGAGTCGAGCAACAACTTGCGCTGGCGGAGTCGCCGCGTCCGACGTCGACGCAGTCCACACCACGGCGGTCTCCACGAGAGCTGGTCCCAAGATCGACGCAGTCAAGTCCTGGTCGACCTACCTTTCGTGACGTTCCGGCGTTGCCTCAACCACCTCTGGAGTTAGCTCTCAGCCCCGCGGCTGAGAGTGCACTGGGAAAACGCGATCACCTCGTGCTGCGAGGGCATCACGAGACCACCACGGTCCCGGGTAACGGTGCACATGTGCGTCTTGGGTTGGCCCCGGGAGCCCAAGTTCTTGGACCTGAGCTTCCTCCACCGCGTGGCCACGCGCTTCCGCGAGGAAGTCTCCCGGTGATTCCCCGAGGAGTGAGTGGCGAAGTTGGAGGCGGAAGTGGACAACTGGTGTCGGTCGCCGATGACGAAGCTCGTGCCTACGGCGTGGAACAGCTGAGGCGCTGGGTCGCCCTGCCTGGTGAAGTGATCTCTCCGGTCGACATAGTCTATGACGAGGCCGAGGACGAGTACGACATGTAGGCATGGGTGAAGGCTGCGCTTGAGACCAGTCGCTATCTGGGGCTTTTGAACGCTGGCCGCCTCTCGGAGTCTTGGATCAAGATGCTGTCGGTTCGACGCCGGCGTCAACCCTTGGTCACTGACCTGAGAGCGACCTCGGTGTCGCCGAAGCTGCCCCCGCAGCTGTCGTGTGTTGCGCTTCTCCAGACGATGCTCATGGAAGCTGGCTTCGAGTTCTGCAATGTCGTTCCGATATGGAGCTCGATTCCTGAATTGGCCGCTGTCTCGGAGAACCAGATTCGCCACGGAGTCGAAGAAGTTCAAGCGCGGGTTGCCGTGGAGTGCCTCGAGTGGAACAAGTTGATGCGTGGTGTGGGGTTTCACATTCGCCAGTCACTCGACCAACTGCCTGAAGTCCGCCCTGTGTCTCCGGCTGACAACCAAGCGCGTGACGAGGAAGGTGACATCCTGATGACCGACGACACAGTGGAGCTCTTGGGGCTTCAGTTGGTCCGCAGACTGCGGATCACGAGAACTCACCGCAGGAGTCCTGCATCAAGCGCGTCAGGACAACCGCAGACCAAGCGTCCCGCGCTGGAGTCGCAGCGAGCAGCTCCCAGACTTTTTTGGCACCGCAGCCACCGCCTCAATCTCCGGCCCTTTCGGTCACGGGACCTCTGGTTCCGGTCATGGGTATGGAGACGATGGCGCGTGAAGACTCAGTTCCCAGTGTGGTGGGCCCCAGTGGTGATTCGGACCAGTCGATGCATGCGGGTGAGGCGACGGACCTGTCTGGGCATAGTTCCTCGGGGTCGTCATTCTTGTCTGCAGCCGACATGGCAGGGAGTGCTCTGAGCCATATGCCAGGTCCCAGTGCTGTGGCCATGGTGATGATCGCGCAGACCAGCAGTGCTGCAGCCGCCGACCCGCAAGGATTCGGTGTCTCGGTTCCTGTAGCCGCATACCGCGTTCACCCGAAGTGCCTCAGCGACAAAACTCGTCAGTGATGTTTTCTCTGAAAATTTTTGAACAGCGTTGCTGCAGCCCATTCGGTAATTTCCTTCACTTGCACAAAGAAGCTCCAGCGAGGACCAGTTAATTCAGCAAATGGCTTTCAAGCAGGACTTCAAGGATGTCAGATGGCCTTTCGGTGGAGAGGGTGAGCCTGACGAAGTTCCAGTCCCCATAGGAGCTGCCTGTGTCAAGATGAGTGAAACTCTAGCAATTGCCGACGAGAACGCAGGCGAGTACTCTTTCGGTGGTCGAGCTGAGACTCTCCCACCTGCACCCGGCATTCTCGTCAACGAAATTGGCAATACACCACTACCGCTGGACGAACCACAAGCCCAGAAGCTGATCGCGAAATGTAAGAAGTCCCCGTTTGGTCACGGCATGGACACGAAGATGGACGAGAACATCCGCAAGAGCTGGCAACTGGCACCAGACCAAGTGGAGATCAAGAACCCACTTTGGCAGACTGGGATTGACGATTTGACTGAGATCATTGCCAGTCGACTGGGGTACAAGGGCGTGCCGCTCCAGTGTGTGCTCTACAAGCTTTTGGTGTATGAAGAGGGAGGACATTTCCTTAAGCACCAAGATACGGAGAAGGAGGACGGCATGATCGCGACGCTTGTGGTTCAGCCCCCAGCACGCACGAGGGAGGTGACTTGGTGGTGTATCGAGACGGAAAGATCGAGCACCGCCATGATTTTGGGAGGAGCACCGGCTCCGCCCCGTTCTTCTGTCACTATGTTGTGCACTATGCTGACGCGGAGCATGCGTTGGAGAAAGTGACGAAGGGGTTTCGCCTCGCTCTGGTCTACTCCATTTGCTTGCCGGTGTCAATGCGCCACCTCCATCGAGATCCGAACCGGACGCTTGGCGAGGATTTAGTCGATGTGATCAGTTCAATGGAGAAAGAAGACGAGTCGTTTGCGTTGCTGTTATCGCACGAGTACACCAAGAAGAACATTGGAGAGCTAGGCGCCGGAGCTCTGAAAGGAGTCGACAGCGCAAGATTCCGAGCGCTTGAAGAAGCCAACCAAGTTGTGGCTGACGACAAGAAACTCCGTTTCTTCATTGCCAAGCTGATATTGAAGGAAAACAACATGCTGGACGAAGAAGGTTGGCGACACTGTGGTCGTAACCAAGCTCTGCACTGGTACTCTATCAATGGAAAAGACGTCGGACACTGGGACGACTATACGCTAAAAGTATATCTGAAATTTCTCAACCCTGGAAAAGAAAGCTTTATCCAGCTCTGGAAAGCCTATGGAACCGCCGAAGATGTGTACACGGGCAATGATGGGCCGATTAAAAGCACCAGGTACTACAGATTCGCAATTGTTGCGTGGCCAGCCAGTTTTCACCTCGAAAATCTCTTGAACCTCGTCTCTGAAGAGATTGCCGTGGAGGAATTACTCTCTCGTCGACCAGTTGATGCTACGGTGCTACGAAACTTTTATGCATGGGACTGGAGAGTTCCCAAGGTTTCAATCAGATTTTCACGATCTTTTTGTGAGCTTTTGCTGGATGTTGGTGATGTGGACCTGGCCAAGTTGTTCCTTTCGACCTATTGCCCCCATTTGGGAGGTCTCCACGCAAACGAAACTATACTTCCACTGATTGTTAAGATCGCCGATGCATTTGCATGGAGTGAAGTTGGTGGAGCGCTGCTCGACTTGTTGGGGAACACGGCTTTCTTGCTCCAAGATGACGAAACACCAGGAGAGTCGGAGATGGAGCTGCTGATTCAAGTTGCGGATATGGTGGAAGATGCAAGAGCTCAGCAAGATCTCATCAAACTGGCCACTGAAAAGAACTTAAGAGTTGCGGAATTCCAAGGTGATCGACATGTTCATGAAGCACATTCTCCTTCCTGCAGACGCTCAAACGTTTGAGCAGATTACCGGCAAGATTATGAAAAAGAAGCCGAAGAAGCTGGGCCTGTTCATTGAAGTGTACTCAAAGTACGTCGACAGCAGTGACACAACGGGCAAGTTTGATGTGCTGGAGACGATTGCATCGGAGCGAATGGACTGGCTGAAGGAAGAAATCAGCCGACTTGACCAAGTCGACAAGACGTTCTCGTGGAAAATGCCATACGCAAAGGACTCGATACATCCACGAATTGCGGCGTTTCTGCAAGGGCCGAAGCGGTCGATGACTACGGAAGGCGTGGCGAAGTTTGCTGACCTCCACAAAGCGAAGGAATTTGTCTCTTATTGCAGTTATAGGTATCGATGCAAGGCGTCCTTTAAAATGGTAGCTGCCCAAGGCAACGAGCCTTTTGTGACGATTACGAAGACGCGCGAATGGTTCGACCATGCCCAAAAGAAGTTGGTTCAATACAGATAGGAGCTGGCGCAGCTGGGAGAGCAGTTCAAAGGAACGCCGAAGAAAGCGCGTCACGAATATCAAAGCGGTAACGAAAGGGAGGTCCGCTTTGGGGCGCAGTGAGGTTCAGCTGTGATCGTGGATAAGAACCTTTGGTGGCGCGCTCGAGTCCTGACTCTGGATTTTGCGTTAATCTCACAGGTCGTTAGAGCTGTGCCTGGCCATAGTTTTCTGCACCTCAATCTTGCTATTCATGCCCAGGCAATGATAAATTCGTTTTACCTTAAAGAGGTTGTAAACGAGGCGATTGCCTTTGTGATGGTAATGGTTAATACCGTACTTCAATTCGAGTAGGAGCTATTCAGAATGCTCCAATGCACTGTATCGTTATCCTAGTGTTTCCCCGACGAACAGCATCGAATGCTTCGCTTTCAGCACATCGAGGGGCTGGATATTTGTCAACTTGTTTACATACGATGTCTTGAGGATACGTCGGCCACCCTGAGGCTGCTTCCGAAGAACCAGCCGAAGACGCTGCCGTACCGAGAAGAAAATCCCCATCCGTAAAGTGACTGCGACGAACTTGAACGAAGTCTCCGGAATCGTGTGTACGTGCATTTCAATGATTAAAATTACCGCGCGGTAAGCTCTTGCCAACAACTTGCGACGTGTTTGTCATGTGGTCGCTCGCTAAAGGCGCTCAGTCAAGTTAACAAATCTTCCGTAAGAGCAGCACAGCATTTGGCAATCCCATCTGGACAAATGTCCAGCCAAACGATGCATTGTAAACACGCTGTCTCGCTGCTCCCCATTCCGAGTGCTTGGTTTTTCGGTGCAACTCCGCGATAGATCGATCGATCTTTGACCCGCTTAATCGATCATTCCTCAACTTGCCTTTCAACGCAACAACTCTCCGATTCAACTGAGTTCCAACCCAATGAAGTCCATCGCCTCGATCCCCGCTATCCTCGCTGCCTCCGTCCTGACCGCCTCCGCCGAAGTGGCGACGGACACCGTTTGGGGCTACCGCGCCAACGACCCCAGCATGGTGCACTCGTCCAAGTGGGCTGAGCACTGGGAGGCGTGCGGCGGAGTGCGCCAGTCGCCCATCGACATCAAGACGGTGGCCAAGTCGCCCGCGTGCCAGCCGAGCCCGATCAGCTTCAGCGGCTCATGCTCCCAGTACAACCTGACCGAGCCGCACGAGCCGCTCGAGGTGGACATCATCGGAGGCGACTGCGTTGCGACTGTGAATGACGCGGCGTACAACATGGCCCAGTTCCACCTGCACGCTCCGTCGGAGCACACTGTGGACGGCAAGGCCCACGACGCCGAGATCCACTTCGTGCACATGAGAAACAACAGTTCTGCGTTGATGGTCGTTGGCATCTTCCTCGACATCGCCCCCACGTCGGACGTCTGGCTGGGACCTCTTCTTGACGCGCTTGAGAACGTCAACTCGACGGAGCACCAGAACGAGGCTATCACGGTGGAGCTGTAAGTTGAGCTCTTTATGTCAGGGTGTATTGATGTCAAGCAACTCGACTAACATTTGTTTCTTTGCAGTGAGTCCTACTCAGAGCTCATCCAGAAGGCCAGCAAGACCGGCGGCATCTACAACTACCCGGGCAGCCTCACGACTCCGGGTTGCGATGAGACTGCGGACTGGTGGGTCGTGATGAACCCGATCCAGATCTCGTCGGCTGACTTCGACCGCCTTCACAAGGACCTGTTGGTGTACCACATCACGGACGACGGCAACAACGCGCGCCCTGTGCAGCCTCTCAACGGCCGCACTGTGACGCGCTACGACTAGAAGAGCAGTCGTACAATCTGCAAGGAGTCAAGCCCGCGAGTTTTGAATCTATATCATCACCCACGCACTCTTTCTTAGAGTAGTTTAAGAACATTCATTCAATGTTAGCAAGTCAGCAGACAAACGACACCATCAGCATGCGCTGCTATTGTAGTCTATCTGGTTTGATGCCATAACGGCACGAAGCTTCGACCCTGGCTTGTTTCCTCGGCCCTCCCTGGGTGACCTCATCGTAGCATTCTTCCAAAAGCTTTAACTCCGTGTTGTACTTCGCCAGTTTCTTTTCGTGCTCCATAAACCAGTCGGGTGTCTTGGTGATTGTCACGAAAGCGGTGCCGTCCTCCTCTGCAGCCTCCATCTCAGACGATGCCTCGACTTGCTCCTCCCGCATCCACTGAGCGGCGTAGTTTCTCGCATCTTGCAGGGTCTCAAATGTCTCGATACCTTTCGTCGTCATGGATTCCTCGGTGCCTTGGAGGAACGCTTCAACCTGAGCGTTATGTGGGAACTTTGCATTCGGCATCGCCCACGAGAACGGCTTCTTCAGCTCTTCAATCTGGCTCTTGAGCCACTCAACTCGAACTGCGATGACTGGCGCCACAACTTCGCACTTGTCGTCGCCTCTTTCAATGTAGCCAGCATTCTCCACGAAAGCTTCCATCACGGGACCAAGCTGACTCGGATCCATCGTCTTGAACTTAGTAGCCACCTTCTCAATCATTTGCTTGTCACCAGCTTGAATGAGCCACTTCCAGAGTAACGACACTATATTCGACTTCATGAGATCGTCCCAGGAAAGCTTCAGTGCTCTCTCGCTTGCGAGCTTCACGAGGGCCGTCGGAGCTGCCTCCTTTTCAAGTCCCAGCCCATCCACAATGTTCAAGAGCACCGCCATCGCTTTCCCATCATCTACGCCATCCAACCAGCGCGAAAGGATGGGGCCGATGTCGTCCCAAGCGAATTTGCGTACGATCGGGATCAGCGGAGCTGCGAGATCGAACCGATCCTTGTAAACGTTGATGAGGAAGAAATCAATCAGAGATAAGTCGCTCGCATCTACCACCAGCTCACTCAGCGTTCGGAAAAAGGTAGCGGACACTTCCTCCTGCTCCTTGTCCAACTCAACTTTGGCCAGCTCCCCGCAGTTTAGCAGCATCCACGGGCTTTTGAGATTGCAGACACTTGGCTGCAACCGTCAAGTTGCTTAACCGAAGAGCAGTCTTCACGCCTTGAGCTGCAGGCCAGGCTTTGATCGCATATCGAGAGTACTTGGTGTCCATGGTGCCCCCCTCATTACCGAGGTAGCCAACCACAGAGCTGCTGCCCACAAACTTGCAAATGGTTCATGGCCGGGATTGAGGAAGTTCATACCAGAACTGGTGCTTCCACTGCCAATACTCTCACCCGTTGTAGAGTACCAACGAACGTTGTGCTCCCGACAACTTTCCTCCCAACCGCCAAGTTCGTAGCCATCTGGGCTATCGTACGCAATCTCGCAGGTTAGCAACAAAATGAAAAACTGAAGCTGCTTGTGGCCTGGAACCGCGTCATTCGCTCCCTTCAGAGCGCTGAACCTCGCCCGATCGATGCCTTTCAATGATCCAACGCCAAGATCGCCAAGAATTTTCTCAGTGTACTCGTGCTCTAGCAGCGGTAATGCCTATTACAGGTCATGAAGCGATTTGGTCACGCGATTTGGTCACGTGACTTACACTAGTGTTGAATATGAGAAACCACTCAAGCACACTTTCAATCGATGAAGGATCACTTCTGGGACAGCCACACCCTCCACGATATCTAATTAGCTGTCCTGAAGCTGCTAACGCCGGGTTGAGCCAAAATTGGGGCTTCTACACCGGCTATCGGCGAAGATAGCAGCTTCGAAGCGTCTGAACATGAACCAGCATGCAGTACGACACGTCTAAAGCAGCCTAAAGCAGTTTTGAGGCCTCACAAGGCGGGGCAGGCAGAGAACCAGATCCCAAGATGGCGTGACCAAAGGGCGTGACCAAATCGCTTCATGACCTATAATAGATTGTCCCCTAGCAGCAGCGCGAAAGATTCGTCCTCAGTGCCCATACCGGCAACAGCCTCAGCCAGCTCATCACTCATCAGCTTGTTAGAGCTCTTTTTCAGGTGAACCATCTTTGCTGGCAGGCAGAGCGAATAGACCAGCACGAGTCGATATCCCTTGATCACTGTCTCCAATGAGTGCTCCGCGTCCGCGTAGTGCACACCATAATGGGGAAAGTAGCCAGCGCTACCATCAGCCTTGCCAAAGTCGTGGCGGTGCAGTGGCCTCCCGCCGCGATAGATGACCAGGTCTCCTCCTTCGTGCAGACTGGGTAACTGAACCACCAACGTGGCGATCATCCCGTCTTCTTTCTCAGTGTCTTGGTGCTTCACAAAGTGCCCTCCTTGTCCATAGATGAGCATTTTGTACAGCTGACAGCTTAGAGGAACGCCTTCGTACCCCAAACGTGCTGCAATGGTAGCGGTTATCTCCTCAATGCCGGTGTGCCACTGCGGGTTGTTGATTTCGACTTGGTCAGGCTCCAGTTGCCAGCTATTGCGTACATTCTCGTCCAGTTTTGTCTCAAACTTGTGTCCAAACGGAGATTTCTTGCTCTTGCCGATCAGGTTTGTAGCTTCTTCCTCAGTCAGTGGGACCGAGCCTGGCCCAACGTCTTTGACAACAAGACTGGCGACGATCGGCAACGTGTCGGCTCGACCTCCGAAAGAGTACTCGTCAGCCTGTCGATCCGCTCGAGCCAATAGTTTGCTGATTGTTTGACATTTTGCTCTATCCGGGGACTGGCACGTCTTTGGACCTTCCTTCTCCACCGAACGGCCACTCCTGCTTCAGTGGACCAAGTTCACTGTTCTCGTCGTCACTGAACGGGTAGTCGTACGCCATAGTCGTCGGCGACACTGAGCCCGTAATTGCACTCATGGTTTTTTAAAACGATTTAAAAATCGTTCACAGACCACGCCTGATCCGGAAGTGCCATCCGTCCGGGAGGTGCCACACAAAACCAGAAACGGAAGGCAATCTCCTGCCCCGACTGCAGGCAAAAGCACGTGAAGTGCGACGACAGCAAAACCCCTCAGTGCTTGAAGCTGGTTAGCAAGTCAGCAAACACGTTAGACAGCTATTTCTCCACTCCATCTTAAGGTTAATACACTAGCTTGCAGCATACTCATGGATACGTACTCGGGCCTGCGGCATTTCCGCTGCTCCATGCCATTGCTGGTCACTGCCCTCGTTTTGAACTGCGTTGTCAAATTCAGCTTGCGTCGTATAAAGCATCCTGATTGGCTAATAGCATACTAGGGAGTTAATCGGGAAATCGGGAACGTGGTCAACCTGGTCCAGGTGGTCCGGATGGTCAAAGTGGTCCCGGGAGTTTCCCCTCTATCTTCAACAAACCGAGTAAATGTGCGGCCACTTGTCGTGCATCTCCTCGAAGATGGAGGACAGGAACATCTTGGAGTGACCCCCGCTGTGGATCACGACGCGGCACTTGACGCGGGCGAGCTGCTCGTCGGAGCAGAACATGAGAGGGCTGCAGTACAGCGACGCTTCCATCAGGGGGCTGCACGCCAGCGTCGTCTGGCCGGAGGAGGCGTCTTCGACGAGGCCGCCTTTGATGTACGCGTCCAACGACTCTCGCTCCCACGCGGAGAAGTTGCTGAAGGTGCGGAGATGCTGCTCCGCTGCCTCACGTGTCGGCCTACAACCCAAGAAGGTCAGTACGAGTCTACGCAGTCCGAACAGTTATTAAGGCGCCAACTTACCAGGAAGACTGGCGCGGCAGCGTGATCGAGACGAGGAAGTCCGTGACGTGGTCGACGTTCATGTCGCCTCGAACAGCACGAGGCCGTCAAAGGTGCCAGGCTGCTGCACTTCGGAGTCCCAAAGAGCGCAAGCGCCCATCGAGTGGCCAATCCCTATCAGCAGCCGACCGGGGCTTTTGCTCTTGAGCGCTTGCACGTTTTTGAGCACCTCGGCTGAAGTCCACGTGGTTAAATCACCCGAGGGGTTGATGACCCTGGGAGCCGTGGGGTTGCTGAGATCCAGGAGCCTCCGACTCATCTCGGTTGCTGCCGTGGTATTTGACCTCGAAACCCACGAACTCCGTGTCTACGGCGGCGTTCTGCAATAGCGGAGACTCTTGTAGTCGATGGATAATCGGCCCCCAGATCTCCCTGCAGAACCCTGCGCCGTGGGCGAACAACAGCGTGACAGACTGTGTCATTATCTAGTGGAGCTGACGGTTGGAGTTGTACTTCCTGATTAAATTGTGACGATTTCAGAGACTTTGGCGTTCCGCGGCACGGAAAACCAGCATGTTTACGAAAAAGGTAAACAGGGTTTCGGATTATTCGCAACGTCCGCACCTTTGAGAGTTCCGCAACATCATTCTATTGTTCCAACCAACCCACCATGGCTGGCACCATGGCTGCAAGTGGCAGCTGCAGACGCTGTAAGCATGGTGGCGCCAGTTCCTGATAGGAATGGAACGTCGTTCCTGCTATTCTCGTTCTTCACTCACAACAAGCAAGTCTCGAAGAATGCCATCGAAGAAGAAGAGAGCTCGGCCCCCTGGTTCCGAGGTCCCAAACAGGTCCAAGGCACGAAGAAAGGCTTCTAAGAAGAGAGCTCCTCCTCCGGACGCCCACGACACGGGTGGGCCTGGACCCCCGAAGCGACGCAGGCCCGACGTAGCGAAACGCAAGGCGGACGCGAAAACCGTTGACATTGTGGCGCGGAAGGTGACGCTCAAGAGTTTCTGCACCCCGGAGGCGCGAGCTCTCCACTGGAACGACGTGATCATGACGATGAACCACGCTGCTGCCGAAGGCTGGCTCCTTGCCAACTTCGTCGTGATGCACACGATTGAGAACCCCACGGGTGGTGGAGTGCTCCCTCCTATGGACAATAAGTTTTTTCGTAGGTGCATGGCTACCGTGTCGAAAAAGTCCAGGCCTAAGAAGTCGTTCAAGGCCGTGTTTCAGAAGTCAAAAGAAAGGAAGGTCCAGCCGGACCTTGCGTTGGAGGAGTGGAAATGGGTCGACTTTGAGCGTGCAGCAGATGAGTACCTGAAGCATCGCGGAGGAGCTCGACCGCTTGATTGCAAGTACATTTGCCTGGGGTGGTTCGAGCAGGCGGCTACGCAGATGGCGAAGAACACCGAGACCTCTACGTGGAAGAACCTAGCGCGGCGCCTCCGGCAGTATGTGAGGGTGAAATACCCAGAGCATCGTGCTGACGCATTCCTGATAACGTCTTGGGTGCTGGACGAGGCGTGCAACCGTCGGCATTGCAAAAGCTGCCGAACCAAGAAGCGCCAGAAGAAACCGTTCCCAGCCGAGTGCCAATCGTGTGACGCCGTCAATGGCATCGTGGGCGCTCTGCGAGAAGATATACCAAGAAATCAGAACCAGAAAGTAGACTGGAAATCCACGGACGTGTTGCGATTATTTCACAAGTACCTGAAGGCTGTGGAGGAGTTCAACGAGACCAACAAGGATAACCCGAAGATCCGACAGGAACGTGTGTACAACATCATCCCGACCAAGCAGGGTTTCCGGAGCTCTTACTTCAGCATGACATCTACGGGGCTGTGGGACTTGCTGCGGAGAAGTAGCGACGATCTGGATCTCAACATGATTGCCCGCACGGAGGATGGCGGCAGCATCTCGCTCGGAGACAGTATTAAGAAGGAGAACTGGTCTGGGGTAGCAGACATTTGGTGGCGCAAGCTATTTCGAGTAGCTGACCTCGAAAAAGGGACTCGACTGGTGTTCCATGGTCAAATCTGCACGGATGGCATAGGTGCCAGTGTCCTGCTTCACAAACCCAAACGAGAACCGAAAGCCGAGCCTCCGCTGCGCAAGATTGAGAACTACGACAAGATCAAGGGGGCGGATCCGGGGTTCACCGACATGTTCGTAGCATGCACGTACAGCGTCCGCTCGCAAACCTTCAGCGACGACTTTCTTAGCTACCCAGCCAAGAAGTTCTACAGCGACTCTGGTTGCTCGAGTAGTAATCGTAAAATTCGACGAAAACTCGGTCACAACTCGGAAATCAGGAAGGTGTTCAAGGACATGCCGACAAAGAAGACAGCTTCCCTTACGATGTTGATGGAGTATCTCGACTACACTGTGCCCAAGATGGTGAGACTCTTTTCGTTCTTCATGACAAAAACCTTTCGTGACATGCGCTTCCGCCGGCAAATGTTGGCTGAGAAGAACCTGCGAGCTATTCGTCGGGAACTGGCAGGAGAGCCTGGCACGCGTACTTTGATCGCGTTTGGCAACTGGGAGTTGAACAACAGCAGCGGCATCATCAAAAAGAAGACCCCGGGTCCAGTCATGAAGCTCCGGCGCATGCTCACGGATTATCGCGGCGTCGACGTCATGATTGTGGACGAGTATCTCACTAGCAAAATGCACCACGGCTGCTACTCGCTCGCTCCGATGGAGAACCAACAGGTTAAGCACCGATGTCGCGACAAGGTTGTACGAACTGTTGGAGTGCACAAGGTCTACCACTGTCTTAAGCGGAATGGCGGTTGTGGAGCGACCGTCGAACGCGACGTGAATGCCTCCAAGAACATGTTGGAGGTGGCGCTGACACAGATGCGTGAAGGCGAGGGTGTTCGGCCGGAGCGTCTTCAACGGCCAAGTTGATATGAGAATCACTGATCATAACAGCGTTTATCCCAAGGCTTCCTCCGCGGGTTGGTGGGTGGAGGGGGTTGTGGCGGTCACCAAGGCGGCCACCACTTATTGGACGCCAAATCGCATCGACCATTGCGACTTGGTAACTAGGTTGCATGTTTTGTATCTTTAGTAGTTCTGTAGTGCATAGTAGTATTTTTGCTGTGTAGTTACGGTAATTCCCACGGAGCTTCCGCGGGAATTCCCAGGTAATCTAGTTCGCAACGTCGATGTGGTAATATGGCGCTCGGATTGTTTATTCCACTTCAAAGTCAAGCGCGAACAATCTTCCAGAGGTTTATTCACCGACACCCATGCAGCTCCTTTCGACACCCGGCATACGCTGCCAGTGGTTGCGTAACACCATCGCCTCTAACAAAGAAAACCCTGCGCCAAGCCAAGCCAACTTGATGTCATTCTGCAATTTGCTTCGCGAGCTTAACATCCCGACTTAGAGCAAGTGCAGTCCACGACTTTCACCGTCATGCCGGTGATCGACAATAAACCTGGCCTTGATTCGGGTGCTGCACTGATGGATCATGGCCCTCAAGCTCTGCACGACCACGTCTCAACGGCCTTCGAGGCTGCAATGGGTCGGTCGCTGCCGCAGATGGAGGTGCGCTTCAGCAACTTCTCCATATCGGCGGATATCGTCGTGGCGGACGAGAACGACACGACACACGAACTGCCGACGCTGTGGAACACGCTCAAGAAGAGGGCCACGAAGATCTCGACGAAGAACGTCGTGCGCAAGGAGATCCTCAAGAGCACGAGTGGCGTGTTCAAGCCGGGCACCATCACGCTCATACTGGGGCAGCCTGGCTCCGGCAAGTCGTCGCTTATGAAGGTGCTCAGCAGCCGCTTCCCCGTCAACAAGAACGTCACAGTCGAAGGCGTCGTCTCGTTCAACGGCGAACAACAGGAGACTGTAGCCAAGCGCCTGCCGCAGTTCGTGTCGTATGTGCCTCAGCGTGACAAGCACTTCCCGCTGCTGACCGTCAAGGAGACGCTCGAGTTTGCGCACGAGTTTTCGGGTCGACAAGTGGTGGCTAACAACGCCGACCAACGATTCACCAATGGGACAACCGAGCAAAACCTTGCTGCGCTGGACTTGTCCAAAGCCTTGTCGGACCACTACCCGGACGTCGTGATCTGCCAACTTGGTCTCGAGAACTGCCAAGATACGGTCGTCGGTGACGCGATGCTGCGCGGAGTTTCGGGTGGAGAGCGGAAGCGCGTCACGACGGGAGAAATGGAGCTTGGCACAAACCCTGTAACCTTCATGGACGAGATCAGCACCGGCTTGGACAGCGCGGCCACGTTCGACATCATCAGCACCCAACGCAGCGTGGCCAAGAAGCTGAACAAGACCGTCGTGATTGCACTGCTGCAGCCAGCGCCGGAAGTTTTTAACCTCTTCGACGACGTGATGATCCTGAACGACGGTGAAGTGATGTACCATGGACCTCGTGACGAAGTTGAGGGGTATTTCTCGTCGATGGGGTTCGTCCGCCCTCCTGGACGTGATGTAGCCGACTTCCTGCTGGATCTTGGTACCAAACAGCAGCGTCAGTACGAGCGCGCGCTTCCGGTTGGCATGACCAACTTCCCTCGAGCGCCGAGTGAATTCGGTACAATTTTCCGGCAGTCGAGCATCCACCAGGAGATGCTTCGTGCACTTGAACAGCCTCTAGGCAATGGCCACAACCTCGACGATATGGATTCGATGCCCGAGTTCCAGCAGTCGTTCTTGAGCAACACGATGACGCTGATGCGGAGGCAGGCGATGCTTACGATGAGGAACACGGCCTTCCTACGAGGTCGAGCGATCATGATCGTCGTCATGGGGCTCATCAACGCCTCGACCTTCTGGAACATCAACCCGACGAACGTCCAAGTGGTGCTGGGGGTTCTGTTCCAGTGCATCCTCTTCTTGGCGCTCGGTCAGGCCTCTCAGATCCCGACGTTCATGGCGGCACGGGACATTTTCTACTAGCAACGCGGCGCGAACTTCTACCGGACTTCGGCCTACGTGTTGTCGTGCTCCGTGGCTCAGCTCCCACTCGCTGTTGGGGAGAGCTTGGTGTTCGGAACTCTGATCTACTGGATGTGCGGCTTCGTGAGCTCGGCTGAAAACTTCATCATCTTCATGGTGCTGATCATTATGACCAACATGGCGTTCGCTGCGTGGTTCTTCTTCGTCACAGCAATCGCGCCGGACATCCACATCTCCAAGCCCATTGCAATGATCTCGGTGGTCTTCTTCATTCTCTTCGCTGGCTTCGTCGTCTCCAAGGACCAGCTACCGGACTTCCTGGTGTTTCTCTACTGGCTGGACCCCATTTCGTGGTGCATGCGGGCGATGGCAGTGAATCAGTACCGGTCCTCGTCGTTCGATGTGTGCGTGTACGAAGGCGTTGACTACTGCGCGCAGTTCGGCATGAGCATGGGCGAGTACTACATGTCGTTGTTCGACGTCCCGTCCGAGACGTTCTGGATCGTATGCGGCGCGATCTTCATGGGTATCGGCTACATCGTCCTCGAGCACAAGAGGTACGAGAGCCCAGAGCACGTCAAACTCTCCAAGAAGAACGCAGCTGCGGATGAGGACAGCTACACATTGCTGGCTACACCCAAGCAAGAGTCTTCACAGACGACACCTTTTGCCAGAAACTCGACGGTTCTCGACGTCAAAGAGCGAGAAAAGAACTTCATCCCCGTGACGCTCGCCTTCCAGGACTTGTGGTATTCTGTACGCTCCCCGACCAACCCGAACGAATCGCTCGACTTGCTCAAAGGCATCAGCGGATTTGCTATGCCAGGCTCCATCACTGCGCTCATGGGCTCTTCTGGCGCTGGGAAGACGACGTTGATGGACGTCATTGCCGGCAGGAAGACGGAGGGCACGATCAAGGGCAAAATCCTGCTGAACGGCTACGAAGCGACCGACTTGGCCATCCGACGATCGACGGGGTACTGCAAACAAATGGACATTCACTCCGAAGCTGCTACGTTCCGAGAAGCGCTGACGTTCAGCTCGTTCCTTCGCCAAGACAGCAGTATCCCGGACAGCAAGAAGTACGACTCGGTCAATGAATGACTGGATCTGCTGGACATGCACGACATTGCGGGCCAGATCATTCGTGGCAGCTCCGTGGAGCAGATGAAGCGCTTGACGATCGGCGTGGAGTTGGCAGCACAGCCCTCTGTGCTCTTCCTGGACGAACCGACGAGCGGCTGGGATGCACGCTCGGCCAAGATGATCATGGACGGTGTTCGCAAGGTGGCCGACAGCGGACGCACCATTGTGTGTACGATTCACCAGCCATCGACAGAGGTCTTCATGTTGTTCGACAGTCTGCTGCTACTGAAGCGCGGCGGCGAGACCGTGTTCTTCGGCGACTTGGGGGCTGATTGCCAGCACTTGGTCGACTACTTCGGACGAATTCCACGCTGCTAGAAGGCTACAATCCAGCCACGTGGATGCTTGAGTGTATCGGAGCTGGAGTCGGTCACACGTCGACCAACGACGTTGACTTTGTGCAGTATTTCAACGAGAGCGAGCAGAAGCGCGTGCTGGACTCGAACTTGACGAAAGAAGGCGTTGCATTCCCGTCGCCTGACGTTCCTGAGATGATTTTCGGTCGGAAGCGAGCGGCGTCGTCCTGGACCCAAGCTCAGTTCCTTGTGCTGTGCTTCATGCGCATGTACTGGCGCACGCCGTCGTACAACATCACTCGGTTCATCATCGCGCTGATATTGAGCGTGCAGTTCGGCTTGGTGTTTGTGGACTCCGAGTACAAGACGTACCAAGGACTCAACGGCGGTGTTGGGATGATCTTCTGCGTTGCGCTCTTCAACGGCCTCGTCTCCTTCAACAGCGTACTCCCCATTGCGTCCGAGGAGCGCGCTTCATTTTATCGAGAACGCTCAGCGCAATGTTACAATGCGCTCTGGTACTTCGTGGGCTCGACCGTGGCGGAGATTCCGTACGGCTTCGCGAGTGGCCTGCTCTTCACGGTGATCTGGTACCCGATGGTGGGCTTCTCGGGCTTGGGCACAGCTATGCTCTACTGGATCAACATGTCGCTCTTCATCTTGGTGCAGACGTACATGGGCCAGCTCTTCGTGTACGCGCTCCCGAGCATGGAGGTGGCGGCGATCATCGGCGTGCTGGTCAACTCGATTTTCATCCTATTCATGGGCTTCAACCCGCCAGCGATCGAGATCCCGAGCGGCTACAAGTGGCTGTACGACATCACTCCGCATCGATACGCTATCGCCGTCATGGGAGCGCTGGTCTTTGCCGACTGCGACGAGTTGCCCACGTGGGATGCCAACACACAGCAGTACAATGGAGTCGGCTCGCAACTCGGCTGTCAACCTGTGACGAATACCCCCGTGAACATCGACCACATCACCGTTAAAGAGTACGTCGAGACGGTGTTCAACCTCAAGCACGACGACATCTGGCGCAACTTCGGCATCGTGTTCGTCTTCATCGCCGTCTTCCGCGTACTCGCGCTGCTGTCACTGCGATTTATCAATCACCAGAAGAGATAAACCCCAGAATTTACTTTGCTCCATTTTCGACTTCGCATTTAGCTAAATGCTGCATAATGCACTTCTTCATCGTGTCTCCCCATGCCATGGAGCTCTCCTGCAATTCCGCCAAGCCTTCCTTCGGGACGTCTAGCTCGGAGTGCGCTAGCTTCAGGCACGTCCACCGCGTACTGACCACGACTTTCTCTCGAGGGTACAGCTCGGATTAAGACCAAGGTGATCGCGTCTCGACGCACGCGCTCCGCTGGGAGATAAGGGTACAACTCGTCAGAATCGACGAAGTCTACCGCTATCATTCCGTAACATTCATCAGGCCCATCGACAAACTCGGAGAAGACGATCGAGTTGGACTCGACGGTTGCCCCGTGTGAAGTGGACGACACGAGACGCAACTGCGAGATGTCGGCAGCTTCGAACTCCGTGTCTTCGCGAACTGTGATGCAGCCAAACAGCTCCGAGACGATGATCTCTGCGTACTGGATCAACTGCATGAACGCGTCGTACACGGCTTTGACGGACGTGGCAGGGAGTGGCGCGTTGTCGAACCGAACGACGGAGAATCCTCCTTCGGGCGACTCGAACCGGTTCTCCTGCGATACGGTCGACTCGGTGTCGAGATCTTGACTCCACGCCGAGACAAGCCGCTTAGCTTCTCGCAATTTTCGCTCCTTCATCGCCATTTGAGTAGCACGACGCTCCAGGCTATCGACTCCCAGTCGAATGAAGTTGCAACGACGACAGGTTTTGCTGCTAAGGTACACAAAGATAGTATTTTTGTTAGATATCTTCGGATTGAACCGACGAAAACTTGCAGTCCTTACCGTGTGCGCTACCAGAATTCCCTGAGCTCCAGCGATCGCCACGCGCTGGCCCTGAATACTTTCATGCAATACCGAATTGGCGGCTTCAGCGTGTCTGATTGTCGTGTTAGCTTCGCCCTGCTCCAGAAGGACCCGGTGCTTGAGTAGTTCGAGATGCTTCTCCAGCATGGCTACCTCCGCCACTAGATCGCTCTTCTGCTGTTTGCGGATGTCGTACGTCGTCCGGCGCTTCTTGGCGAGCGGTACCTTGGCCTGTTTCCTCTTGGAGCGCTTGGGATGGATGGCCTCTCTGGTATCTGAGACTTCGCTGCTGCTGTCCAAACCGCTCGACCCCACGTTTTGACTCTGGCTCAGCAGTTCCACCCACGACGACGCTGCTCCGAGTAGAGGCTCATTTGAAGGTCGTTTTGCCTTGGGAGACATTTTTGAGTGCGTTAAAGCTCGGAAGTGATACTGAGCCGTCCGTAGGAAGCCTTCACTTCACGCCATCGCAAGGTGACCTGCATTCAGGAGACAGCGCTGCCCTTGCTTTGGCCACCCCCTGGTCAACACCACCCGTGATTGTTCGCACGCACACATGGCTACCACAGGGCTCACATGAGGTGAGTGAGGCGAGTTGCACTGAGTATTTTTCACTCTGAGTAGGAGGCATCTCAACTCCCGGACATCGCGTAGTAAGTGAGAGAGGATGTTGCTCTAAGCTTAAGACTCACCATGACCGCGCGTACACTAAAAAATGACAAAGCACGGTTGCTCACTAGCACCACGAAACCCAGAGACTCTCCGAGACCCTCAGACAGTCTCAAGAGAGCTTGTCCAATTCCAAATCTCGGCATCCCCCTAAATTTCAGCTTTCTCACGAAGCTTCTGTTTTAGTCATCGCCCCAGTCCTCTCCCCCGTCTTGCAAAGCGACTAACGTCACAACTGAATAGCCACCGATGGCGCCTCGACCGTCCTTCTCCTTCACCGAAGCGCTGAACGCGACGTCGTCTTCTTCTTCGTCGTCGTGGGAGAACACGCTGCTCCTTCCCGAGTCGTCCGAAGATAGCAGTGGCGCCGACCAGGACCAGGGCCACGATTGGCTGCAGAACAAGCCCCAAACTCAAGACGCTGCTGCTCCTAGCCGCAAACGCAGCAAACCGGAGCTCTGCACCAATGATAAGAAGCGAAAAATGACGTACGACGTCCGTCGCGAGCAGAAGGTGGAGCTGACAGCTCAAGTGGAGAAGCTGCAGAAGCAGCTCGACGAGCTCAAGTACCAGGTGCTCGTGGAGCAGGGGGAAGCGGCCAAGTCCAATGAGCGCGCGGCCGCGGGGAACGTCGTACTGCAGGAAGTTATCCAGGAGCAGCATCTGGAGCTGGCCAGTCTGCAGGCCATGATCGCGGGGCATCAGCAGCAGAATAGTGGCTTGGTCCAGCCAGCTCACACTCTGATTCGGTTGGGGACTGACCGGACGGAGCGCCACAACACGTTGGCAGCTCTCAAGAAGTGCAAGTTGCGCGAGGCCAAGCGGTTCATCACTGCCAGAAGTCAAGGACTGGACCCCAGATCGACGTATAATCAGGAAAACCGCAACAACTCTCCTGGGCAGGACTTTTGCCTCACTATCTTCGAGAACAGAGCGATCCACGGCGCCACCGCGAGGAAGGTCTTCGACGCGTTCATTGACGTCGCTCAGAACGCGGAGATTGTCATCTCGGAGATGTTCGGCAGCATTACCATCCGAGAAGACAACGAAGCGGATACGCGAGACATCTCCCAGATGCGCTTGGTGACGTCGACGTCGAAGGGGACAATGGTGGAGTCCAACACGGTCATGTTCGCCGAGTTCGTGGAAGCCAAAGACGACAGCGAAGAGAGCTGCGGAGTCATCGTAGCCGACTTTGTCGACTCGGACGAGCTTTATCCGTTTAAACCCAAGGAGCGCGCACGACGAGACACAACGACCGTGTTCATGATCCGCTCCTTCATGTTGCCTGTTGCTGATAGTGAGAGCGCTTGCGAGATCAAAGGAAAATCCAAAACTTCGCAGAAGAAGGAGCTTGTGGTTGTCGGTTCCCGGTGGTCGTGCTCCAAAATTCGGCGCAGCGAAATGAATCTGTCCGCGGACGCGATGCGAGAGCTGCAGGAGAGCACCGTCTCGTTCGGGGACACGATGAAGAAGTGTATTCAGCAGCGGCTGGGGAAAAAGCGAGTATTCGAGCCAGCAGGAAACCCACGCACTGCAGCAATGACTCGTAACATTTCTCGGCGTGATAACCATCTTCGTTGATTACCATGTTCTAGATGGAAGCTTGAAAGGGTAAGCACGAAGAAAACTTAAAACCGTGTGTTCGGTTGGTTATGCATTCGTGGCTGCTAAATAAATTTGGATTTTTAGAGCGCTTCGTGAGCACTCGCACGGGTGGGGACGTCCGTCTGTAGGCTCCATGCAAGGTGTCGGTTCGCAAAGCAACTCAACGCTATTGAGGTGCTCAAATACAACTCATTGGGCGAAGCCCCATTATGGCGAGCTTGCTTGCAGTGTTTTCGGCATCCCTGGCGCTACTTTTCTAATCGAAAAAAGCCTAGGGCCTTCAATGCAAAGATTGCACCGAAGGAACCACTGTAGTATGGATAGGCTTTTCGTTTTAGTTTTGTGCTCTCTGCAATCGGAGAAGCCTCCATCGGTAAACCCGAACCGATTTTCCTTCAATTCGGTCGGTCGACCCGGTGTCAAGGTCATGACTCCATGCCGAGACCAACCGCTTGGCTTCTAGAATTTTTTGCTCCTTCATCGCATGAGAGGAGCACGACGCTCCAGCCTATCGACCCCCAGTCGAATGAAGTTGTGCGTGGGGGGCAACAACGACAGGCTTTGCTGGTAAGATAGAGTAAATAATATTAAAAAATAAAAAGGCTTAGATATCTTCAAACACTAAGTCGACTAATTAAATAATAAAAAGGTTCGTTGTTCAGCACCCCCTTCAGCTCAATGGTCTGAGAACGAAAGTTTCGAGACGTTCTCGAACGGCACCACAAAGATTCAAGCGACTCGACCGCCTCCAACCAGTGCCGACAGACCCAGTTGCTTTATGACGTACCAAAGTCGTTCTCCGTTTACAGGATGAGACAGGCTCACTGTGGCCTGAAATAGCCATAATTGATTCGTAAAACTGCCAATACCGAAGGCGTGCGGTAGCGGGTAATAAAAAGAGTCGATGGCCGCGAAGTTCTTCGCAACCGGAACGCATACGGACCGTTGTCCAGCACCGATGCTGAGAAGCCCTGATCGAAGTAATCGATACTTTTCGATGGGTCCAACTCGAATCTGTGCTGGGATCCCACGCCGTCACTATCAAGCGTCCACACGTTAATTATCCACCCGGATCTCAGTCTGATGTGTACACCCGTCTCAAACAGCGAGCCACGATACGGAGCAGCAGGAGAACTGCCTTCCAAGTACGCAAGAGTCTCATCCCTCTTGTCGTCAAATCAACTTTGTCAAGCACTGCACCAGCAACCGCTTAACGAATGCCGTCGGCTCCGCAATTTGGTATTTAGACGGATCGATAGCGTTGGGGACATAGTAGCAAATGCAGTGGTGGACCAAACTGGACTCCATATTTCGAAGGCGGCGCCGCACATCGTCCACCTGATCAAAATTCGCGATGGTTTTCTCAATGAAAGCTTGTCGACCATTGACATACGCTTCGTCGGTGGACAGACATTCACGAGCTACTCCGCCAAAAATATGGTAGCGCTGTTCAATTCGGTCTGCAACCATCACCCTGTCCATTTCAACATCCTCGCGGTTAAAACAGGTATTCATCGTATTCATCTCAAGCTCGAGCTCGTCCGCAGCAGTTTGGAGCTCGTCGAGATCCCACAATGGCATGAACAGCTTCGGACATGCTGGCCACTTCCGGAGAGTGTCAAAGCACCTCTCACTTGGACTCGTGAAGCAGACCATTTGCGCAGCCCGTGGGATCTGATCGGGTGGGCCATCGCACAGGTACAGGAGCTTATCCCCTGCTTCATCCACGGTTTCCAGGATGAGAGCATCCATTGCTGACTGGACATCCTTCACGACGGCCACTGCTTTGCCCTTTTTAAATACGACGACTTGGTCCTTGGTTGACGATCGTTCGGTTTTCGCGAACGAGGCAGTGATGATCGTGATGTCCTCGTTCTCGTAGCTGTAGCGCTCCAAGAAGTACGCGTAGAAGACAGACTTGCCGATCCCTGTGCCAAACACAAGCGGGTTTTAGCACAATCCATTGAGAACAATCGCTTGATTAAGACCCATAGGCCGCCTCACCTGGTGTCCCCGTGACCGTCACCACCTTAGGCCCGTTCTCAACCGGAATTCCTCGCCGCATGCGGCCGCATGAGCCGAAATAAGGACTTGTGATTGGTTAGTGGGGTAGGTGGTCGCATGCGGCCGCATGCAAAAATAGGCGCTCATGTGGCCGCATGCGGCAACTCGCCGCACGAGAGTGAGTAGGGGTTGCACGCCGCAGCACCAATCAGAGCGCTCTTGTTGACTCACCTGCTGGTACAGTACCCTATCAGACAACAGCCGACAAGGCGTCAATTTGACTCCTTGACTGCCAAAGAAGTCAACCTTGTATTTTAGCTTCTACTCGAGGTGTTCGGGCCGCTGGTGCTAGCGGACGCCAACACAAAGGGGGTCCGCTACTCTATCCGGCCTTCATGTACACGATTTCGTGTTATTATTGAGTGCATCGTACAGAACGTGTAATGTTACATCTATTTCGAAGTAGATACATGTTCCAGGTAGTGGAAACTACCTTGAGATGTAGAACCCCCACCGCCGGGAAGCGTGTACTACGTCTACCTGCTCTTTAGCAGGCGTAGACCAACATGCACTAGCGTATCATGCCCTACGAGTTGAAGTAATGTATCAGCCAATATACATGTAGTCATAACATGCATCGGTTGACGGAGTCGTGTGCGTGAGAGTTAAATGTTATCGTGTACCGTGAGATAAAAATTAATAACTGCGACTGCTGCCGACAGTGACCAGCACGTGCATACCATATATATGGGCCAAACAATTCGGCTGCAGTGCCTATGGAGATGATTATTGTTATGCATTCGAGACCTTGCTAACTTTACTTGATTTATGATGACAAACAGCCCATATCCACAGCCAAGTTGGCTGTGGATATGGGCAACCATGACGTTTGGGCTTTCAAGCAAGCTAACGTATACCTCCATGCCCGCACGATATCGGCGAAGGCGTGCTGAGGCGAAAGGCACGGTTAGGTGGCATCAGTAGAGCTTTTTATTTGAGTCAACAGGGGTTTAGCACTAAAATAAAATGTGAGTATGTCGCAAAACTTGTTGTGTTTCTGCATATTGCAAACATCTTCAGCAAAAACCTGGCGCAGACTACAATAAGGAAAGCGATACAAAAAGATCGACTACGCTGGTCAACCAGCAGTGTGAAGAAAAACCGTCCACCAACAGCGATATGGTGGAGCTACTCAATGAGTGGATCGTCAACTTATGCTACAGAAGCTACTTGTAAGTTAACCCCACCAGTATAATGAAGAAATATAAGTGCTTAATCTTTTGCTGCACAAAGCAACATAGATTCCTTTAGCGTAGAGCGCGTGTAGCTTCAAAATCGATGGCCGATTTAGAAATTTTTAACGAGTTTCCGTTTTCATTACAGTTTTTGTGAGTTGCCTTGCATTCTTGCTGTTTGGTTTTAATCTACTGGTACGTCGGATACATATTTAGCATTAATTCACTACAGGCGTACAAGTACTTGTTCATATTTGTTTTCAGTTGGTGTATGAGCTAGCATCGAGAAATACGAGTCTTCGGCAAAACTCATCATACTTCGCGTTGCTGCTTTTGGTATGTTTTGAGTTCGAATTGGCCGATGTCATCTGGAAGCTCATGCGGGAGGGCGCACAATGCGGCCGGTTGAGAACACACACTGGTAAGAGGGCTGTCGTGTAGGAACACGCACTAAATTATATATTGGCACACTTTCCCCACCAACAACACCCACCAAGTCCCGATGACTCAATGGGCTACAAAACGTGGAGGTGTATGCTGAAGATGTGGAGTGAATTGAGCTGTCGATGATATACCCTTTCTCCAGCGCAACAATCGTCTTTGCCAACAACTTGCGCTTTGAGCCTTCTACCACAAATCATATCACAAGTAAGCTTGTATACATGACGGACGCGTGGATTGTTGCCTTCACAAGTGAGATTTGCCCACGGCACAGTCCCACGTGCACAAACAGCTTCTCGCTGGAAGCTGCAAACATCAGTCGAAGTGTTGGTGAGCTGGTCATCAAAACCAGCAACAGTTTATCTCTATACAGAAAAGACCGAGCTGTACGTGTTCTCAGCCTGAAAATATAAGCATTCATCTTGATTTCATTATACATTTACAGACTGTTCATCTTGCGTTGATCTTGTTGGACCTGTTTCGGCTCGACGACGCTGAATGAACAAATTGGACGTCTTCCTTAGGTTTCCTTTGGCTGAGAATAGGTTTTCGCGCAAGTAAAATTTGTGGTACTACTCTCAACAAGTCCAAGTGTGCTGTTGGCAGAAGTACGGCTTCGCAGCAGTTGTATGGACAATTTGACAGAGGCTCACGCCGTGGAGCGTACAGTGGTCGGTGACAACTGTTGGAAACCGATCTTCCCATCGACATACCACACAATGCCTTCTCCGCTTCTTGTCTCCAAAAATCTGCTTCGAGTTGAGAGCAACGCACGATTTTTGAGGGCTGGACATGGTTGAAGGTTCCACGCCCCCACAATGCCACATAGCAGAAGCCTCCACTGCGGCCGCAACCCCAGACTCTCCTCGGGCGGAGTAGAACATTCTTCTGTCACTAGGTGCCTCCATCCATTTCCCTGAAATTAGCTCCTCCGCGAGCTCTGCAACAAATGAACGGTGCGGATCACGATCTCTCGTCACGTTAATAGTTAACTTTCTGGTCATGTAGGCATTGACTCTGGCAATATCCACAAAAGCCATCCCCAGCTTCTTATATCATTTCTTGAAAGTGTGACCGTCGGCCAAAGAGAACCGTTCACGTAGTTGGTCCAGCCTATCAACACCTTGCATATTGGTGTTGTACTCTGACACACACAGTGGAGCAGGGAATGGCTGCAGTTGACTGCCGACTCTCCTTGTTAAGGCCGTTTCCGAAGACTTGTCTGCGTTCGACACCATCTTCACCACCGCACTATCATACCTCGCCACAGCAACCATCTCATGCGCCACTGAAACAGCTTGGCGATACTGCCCGCGACGACACTCCTCCTTCTTCAAAACGACATGATGCGGAAAATGCAGGCTATTCCCACGTATAGTCCCTCTGCCATAAAGGCCCTTCACTCGCAGAGCTGCCAAAAGTTGCACGGACATGTAGTAGTTGTCGGCATTTATCACGCGATTGGTAAGATAAAGTGGCCTCACCACTTCCATAACCTGGCTTCGGACAGTTGATAACTCGTCCAGTTGTTGTCTTAGTGCTTCGATTGTCTCCTTAGATACAACGCCTTGCAGCCGATCGGATAAGTCGCTCGCACAGTGCACTCGAAAGTTGATGGCTATCCACGAGTGGCACAACAAAGGTATAAACTCGAAAGTGGTATTTACCACCAGGCTTCATGGGGTTGAACATTATCAATCTCCGCCCGTACTTGGTTTTGGAGGCGACGCTCGCCTCATCCAGCGAGACATCTCTTCCGACCTCTACGTACTTCCCTTCTGTGATTTTCAGCATATTAAGAAGCGGGCGAATTCTCCTGACAGGGTCCACTGGCTGCGGTGGGGCCGGCGCAGTAGCAGTATTCTGAGATCGTCGCGAAGCTTTTGAGAATTCGATGCCGAGGTAGGAACGGAAGAATTTTCAGTAGGTTGGGTTGAGTTACTCGTCGTCGTAGCATCTTCCGACAACAGCTCATCAATATCAATAGCATCAGGATCGGCGCGAGTCTCAGCTGTATCCCCACTACTTGCCACCGCGGTACTTGAGCCGCTATCAGCACTCGCTGCACGAGCAGCTTTTGGCACGTGCCTGAAACAGAAATGCTGGTGCAACAGCTTGAAGCGGCTCAGTGCCATCACCTTGTCCAGACCTGTGTGGTTGCCCCCCACGATGCAATCTTCTATTTGCCTTCCCCAATAATTGGCGTATTCGCCCTTGACCACCAGTTTCATAAAGAAAAGAATTCCAAGGAAAGTCATCAATTCTTGTAGGGTGAACGGTGTGTTGGTGCTGAGCTTCTTCTCCAACTCATGCGCACGCATCGCCTTGTTCGTCTGGTGCAGAACTTCAACCCAGTAGTAGACAGGAATATAGGCAAAGAAACTCGACGATGCCGAATGTTCAAACAAATGGCGGAAATGAGGGCGAACTCTCGTCTTGACATTGCCATCCGGATGCTGGTATAAGTCTGAAGGACCATTGATCTGTGCAGTAGGATCGAACTTCATGTTGGTGATACTTTCGACTTTGGGCAATGAAGATGGAAGAATTACCTCTGGATCATATCGCTCGAAACGCTCCTCCACTTCTTCCAAATCGCTGTCGTCCTCAACAATACCAGATTCGGTGCTGTCTGGTTAACAAAGGGACTTCCAGGCCGGCTTAGACGGCGATGCCATCACATTTTTATAGTTCTCCATGCCACGCTGAACGACACTCATGCTTATCCACTTATCGGCCTTCTGGAACTGCGTGTCAACCCAATGAATCTGAAACAGCGCTTTCTTCTTATCAAACCTAGAGACTCGGCCAACAATGTAAGCACTTCCTGCATCTTCGAATATTCGGCCTGATAGCCAGGACTCTTTGGCAGGCGAGTACGCCACAAGCTTCTCGACAAACAGCTGAGGCATTGCTGCGGCACTGGGCGAAGCTGAATCGCGCGTACTACTAGTCTCCGTCACGACAGCAGGGGCAAAAGTAGCGTCCGATGTAGTATGGCCGATCATTGCACTACTGCCAACCGCACCGCCAGCTCCACTGGGCGTCGTACTCTCCATCGCTGATGCTAAGCTCCGCTGTCGCTTGCGAGGCTGCTTCTTTCGCGCTGGAGATGAAACCTTGCGTTTAGAAGGTGCCTTCTGCTGTTTATGCTGTAGTTGACCCACGTCCTCGCCGAGGCTCCGTCAGCGCTTGCGCTTCACTCGAACGATAATTCGACGGTTGAATCCTTGCCAAAGCTTCATGCTGAGTCTGACCACGGCTATCACTCAGGACCTGCTGGAAGCGCGGTTCTTGTCTTGTGTCCGTTGCTTGAGTTCCTGCTCCAGCAACGGGTGGAGGCTGTTCATCACCCGCTTGAACACGCTGCTGAATAAAACCCTCCATGCTTTACGATCCCTGCTGCCAGAAGAATCGTTATGGTGCGCAGCCTCTTCTTGTCACTGCGGCACGAAAGCCAACGCCGATCCATTCAGGCCATAATTTGAATACTCAGTTGAAGATAGTTTCCCATGTTTTGTTTCGATACTGAAATCAAGATGTGTGCACCGGTATCTAGCGGATGCATCTAAAATGAAGGATGTCTGAACAAGGCCACCACGACGTCTGCGTCTACTCCAACGACTTTCAACTGCGCGAACAAATCGACTTCAGCTGACAGACCACGCGCCAGAAGCCCGCGCCCAGCTGATCAAGGGTATCGAGAACACCCGCAGTCCAAAGGTAAACAACTCAGCTACGTGGATGCTGGAGTATACCAGCCCTCTTGCTACCAGTAGAGCGGCAGACAGCATGGGCTTCATGAGTTTTGCTGCGAGGCTGCAGGTGGGTTTGGGAATGAAGACGTGACGTTGCCGTCGGCTGTACACCCAGGACTGGTTTTCAGCACGAAGCTCGATGCAGCTCAGCGACGCAGACGGAGTTCCCGGTCCACATGCACGGCATGTACTGGTGCGCGCCAACATACAACCGACTCGATTGGGTTTTGGTACGCAGGCCTGAACTTGGTAGTTGACATGATCTTCATGGCGTCGCTGTGTCCAACCCAATGGTGCTCCCCGAGCGTGCCGCCGCTGACCTCGTTCCAGACTAATCAGTCGATCTCCGGCGTGGGGAAGTGGGCGCGGTGGCGAGCTCCGGTTATGCAAACGCTTTGACGGCGCACAGATGCGGCTTCCTGAAGAAAATCTGCTTCTTTGGGCAAGCGGGTGCCTTCTTTTCATGAGTATCGATCTCGAATAGACTATCATCCGAATCACTCGCACAACCACTGCTAGCAGCACTCTCATCACTGCTAACATTTCCAGTGCCACCAAACAAAAAATCATCATGACCGGAAAGCTCGTTCACGTTGTGTGCCGCACCTGCACCTTTCCTACGAGCGATTGGCACTTCACCAGGGACGCTTTCATCAACGCTGTGATCCCCGTTCTCGTCACTGTCATCTACTCGGGCATTTTGCGCGGCATTACCACCACTTCTTGCTGCACGAACTCGGTCTTTTCTCCCATGACCGCCCTTGTTAGCGCCGCTGTCCGATTTATCTCGATCGCCGTCCGTGTTAGCGCCTCTTATGTCCAATTTAGGGGCTCCTTTGTCTGATTTTGATCCATCACAGCCCGAATTAGCTCCGTCGCTGTACGAGTTAGCTCCGTCGCCGTCACCACCACTCGAATTAACTCCACCACTTTCCGCATTACCTCCACCGCCGTCCGCATTAGCTCCACTATCGTCTGAATTACCTCCACCGCCGCCCGAATTAGCTCCACCACCGTCCGAATTAGCTCCGTCGCCGTCACCACCGCTCGAATTAACTCCACCACCGTCCAGATTAGCTCTATCGCCGTCAACTCCGTCCAAATTAGCTCCACCATCGCCCGAATTAGCTCCATCGCCGCCAGAATGGGTTTTAACTCCGCCAGGTACTTCGCCATCTTGGGAATCCAACTGTTTGGAGTAGTACTTAATAAAGCGATCAACCCATGATTTCTGGCCACTGAGTTCCGGAAAATCTCTCATGAAATTATCAATGTTCTGGCAGTAAAACAGCATATCCCCAAAACGGCACTTGCCTTCCTCGCGCAAGCTAACGAAGTAATCAACAACTCGGTCTTCGTACGGTTTTAGCTTGCGACGCGGACCCGGGCCATTTCCTTTCTTCCGCTTCCGCTTAGAGCCCTCAATGCTGTCCAAACGGTGCCAATAAAGCTTTTTCCATCCGCGGAGCGTCGGCTCCTTCACTTTAAGCCGTCGTGATGCCTCGTGGATGTCCCATGACGGGTTGTCTCTCCACTCCTTCAGTAGCTCAATCTTCTCTTGCTCCGTCCGATTGACGCACTTGCGTTTGCTCATCTTGAGCCCGCTTTTCAAGCCAGACGCAAAGTGAGCTCGTAAAGGAGATCGCTAGGGGGTGGTCTCTGTGCCACACATTTTGAGAATCAGGTTGGCTCAGAATCTGACTCAGATGCAAATCCCATATTAACTCGCACAGATAATGTAAAACTGGCCTTGTTTCATATTATCTCGCGCGAGATAATGCGAATCTACTCGAATTTCATTTTAACTCGTGTTTCATATTAACTCGCGCGAGATAATGTAAAACAGGCCGTGTTTTATATTAACTCGCGCGAGATAATGTAAAACTGGCCGTGTTTCATTTTAACTCGCGCGAGATAATGTGAAACTGGCCGTGTTTTATATTAACTCGCGCGAGATAATGTGAAACTGGCCGTGTTTCTTATTAACTAGCGCGAGATAATGTGAAACTGCCTGGGTTTCGTATGAACTCGCGAAACTGCGCGTAACTTAAGGCTTTAGGGTGCACTATTGACAACCAAACACAAGTCAAGCAATATGGAGATGAATCCTGTAGTTTGCCCGTAGTATTCACACCTATTCAAGTCGACATCGGCGTCTTCGGATGCGTTCTGATTAGCCCCGGATGGCAAGGATCTGATTTAGATGACTCGGAGCGGGGTCGCGAATATTTCCGGCGTTGACACGAGCATAGTACACTTTGATCTTCGAGTCCAGTTTGCCAGCACGATGAAGCTCACGGAGGACCTTCAAAACGGACGAACCCTGCTTCCGAGTCACTCCATGATCTTCAAAGAACTGATACAAGTTCGTCTGCGCTTCTTGGCCGATACGCTTCACGGCGTCCGAGTAGGTCTCAGAGGTTGGGTCCAACGCGAACCCAGTTGGAAGAAACAGCTTCATGTAGTTCGTGATTTGCTTGTATATGGACTTCTTTTGTCGTGATTCGCACACTTCCCAGAGCTTGGGGGTCTTAGCATACCACTCGAACCAGATTGCTTGTGGAGATTTTGGAGAGGCCTTTGAGCCGCATGAATTTGCTTTCGCTGTGCTTTGTTCCGGGTATACATCTTTCGGGACCGCGCTTGTGTCAGTTGAGGGATCCTTGCCGCGCTGGTCACCACATTCGACAGTCGGAAGCCGCACCTCCATTTCGCTGAGCCGCTTCGTCAGCTCTTGGTTCATCGAAACCAACTCGCCAATAATACAGCTTTGGTGGTTGATTAGCCGTTCCTCCTTCGAGTACTCAGGAGCATTATCCGCCACTGTACTCTGGGGTTTAAGGGTAACCGCCCGCTGAAGTTCCGAGCTCCACGCCAAAACTTGAGCCTTAGAAATACCAAGTGCCAACAGACACTGACGCATTCTAGTGACGTAGGGGCACATTGGATATCGATCCAAAATTTCTGGAAACCGCTGGATTAGGGCGGCGACAAGGACATCAGCCACTCTGTCATTCAGGCGCTTTTCAGGGTCTTGAGTATTCAGGCTCGTTTGGAAGAGTAGAGCAGCGAGGGACAGAGCTTGACTCTTTGTAGCCAAATCAAACCACGACAGCATCGGGACAGGTGGTTTCTGGCATGAGTCCCACCCACTCAACACCCTGGAAACCTTTTGGTCTTCGCTCGTCGTGTTAAAAACATAGGCAAATGCCTTATTCGTGGCCGTCATGTTCCACGATCCCCGATCAAAAATCCACTGCGCACAAAGTGACGGATCACTGTTGACATGCTGAGCGCCGCCTCGCCTAAAGGAGTGTGAGGAAAGGTTGGGCGTTGGCTTAGCTCTTGCCTGTGCTTTCGATGCAGCCTTGACGACGCGGTTCACGTATCCGTGAATCTTCAAGCTGTTTTTTGTTTCCGGTTCTCATCACCGCGAGAGTCATCACATGCATCGCTAAGCGAGCAGCAAGCCAGAGCCTCTACTAGCGGTACGTCGTCTGGAGCAGCCAAATTCTCGGCGCTACCATCAAACAACTGAGGATGCTCCAAGACTTGAGACGATGGGAAATCTTGCATCACGAGTGTCATCGCTACAGCGTGCATAGGGCAGGTAATAAAGCTGTCCTTCTCGGGGAATATGGAGAGAATTGCTCTTCAGAGGTCTTCACACGTATCAGCCGGACGAAAATGACACCGTTGGCGATGACGGACAGGCTACTCTTAGCCACAAAACCGAGGTCTGAAGCCCTCCCAAACGTGTACCACATCAGCGCAAGCAGTGCAGCGTCCTGGTAGTCCTTAGAACTTGCAGCGTCATAGTAGATTCCGTCCATATGGGAGGTACGCTGCTGTGTCGGTACATCTTTCGCAGCGCCGACAGGGAAAGAAAAGGGCCGGAACAAACAAGCGTGGAGGTGTGATTTGGTAGAGTGGTGGGCTGTATCGTGTGAGTACGTAAATTGGTATGGATAAATATCGTGAAGCTACCGACAGATTGATTTTATGTTGAATAAACTATGGTTACCATGCCCAGAAAAAACCCAGAACCGTGATTATTCGCCAATCAACCTTTGGTTACATGTCTAGTAGCCAATCATCGTTAATAGGGGTAGGGTTGTACGCTGCCGACGCTCGTGCCGACGTATAATGTCGGCAGCCCCCACGAGATATGTGAACGAGGCATACGAACCACTAGTTCGCCACGTATCACTTTCATATCTGCGACTCTGCCGACAAAAGACAGCAAGAAACAATGGGCCTGCAAGACCTCGCTTCAGCAAACACACAGAGGGCGCAGAAGACAGCGATCAATGCGTTTGAGCGTTTCCTTGCGTCGGAGGACGTTAACATGGACTTCATCGCTGCGTGCCTTCTCAACGACAAGGACGGGTCTGCGTGTGTGAAGCTCATGGATCGCTTTGCCGTGTACCTGGCTTTTGTGGACGGCAGAGCTGGGAAACCGCTCGCGCGAAACTCGGTCATGAGCTACTACCGCCATGTCAAAAATCGGTTGCTTGACAGCTACCCCAAGCACCGCTCTGCCATCGAGAAGAAGCAACTGAAAATGGCGCAAACGCTGGAGCGCTATTGCCTGAAACAAAGCGAGGGAGGGACGGTCAAGAAGGCACCGGCCTGCACCAAGGAGGACCTGCGAATCCTTATGGACGGAATCTACTATGACGCTGCAAGTTCTAAGGACTACCAGGACGCTGCACTGCTTGCGCTGATGTGGTACACGTTTGGGAGGGCTTCAGACCTCGGTTTTGTGGCTAAGAGTAGCCTGTCCGTCATCGCCGACGGTGTCATTTTCGTCCGGCTGATACGTGTGAAGACCTCTGAAGAGCAATTCTCTCCATATTCCCCGAGAAGGACAGCTTTATTACCTGCCCTATGCACGCTGTAGCGATGACACTCGTGATGCAAGATTTCCCATCGTCTCAAGTCTTGGAGCATCCTCAGTTGTTTGATGGTAGCGCCGAGAATTTGGCTGCTCCAGACGACGTACCGCTAGTAGAGGCTCTGGCTTGCTGCTCGCTTAGCGATGCATGTGATGACTCTCGCGGTGATGAGAACCGGAAACAAAAAACAGCTTGAAGATTCACGGATACGTGAACCGCGTCGTCAAGGCTGCATCGAAAGCACAGGCAAGAGCTAAGCCAACGCCCAACCTTTCCTCACACTCCTTTAGGCGAGGCGGCGCTCAGCATGTCAACAGTGATCCGTCACTTTGTGCGCAGTGGATTTTTGATCGGGGATCGTGGAACATGACGGCCACGAATAAGGCATTTGTCTATGTTTTTAACACGACGAGCGAAGACCAAAAGGTTTCCAGGGTGTTGAGTGGGTGGGACTCATGCCAGAAACCACCTGTCCCGATGCTGTCGTAGTTTGACTCGGCTACAAAGAGTCAAGCTCTGTCCCTCGCTGTGACAGCATCAACGTTGTAAGCGATAGCATCAACGTTGTAAGTGATTGCAGTGCGAGTAAACGTAGCGGAAGGCGTGCACGAGATTATTACTAACATAAGCAGCATACTTTTACTGTAATACTTTAACATTATGGCTACAGCGGTGCTCTGCATTCATCTTGGGGGGGGGATATTTAGCTACGCTTGCTTAAACGCGTTTCGTATATCTTTAAGGTACAATGTGTAGCGTTAGAAGAATGCGTTAGTGGGGTAGTAGATAATATTCACTGAGTGGAAGCCTTTTATTATAGTTTACGCTGGGATTCCTTTTCTAACCGTGTTATGGGGCGGATATACACGCAGGAAACCGAATTAACAAAGGGCAAACGTGACTTTATAACTAGATAGTTACGAGTGCGAACTCTCTATACCTTACCTACTGTAATGCAGGTGTACACTAAAATGGTAATGCTCGCCGCGTAGTAGAATAATAAACCATAGCCACGTCTAAAACAATGAGTTTTGAAGTAGACCACGCAGTAGTTAGCGCAGCTCGCAGCTACGTTTTGGCGGAACATACGAAATACCAAAACGATGATGTATACTCGGTATGTATATAAGATCTCAAGCACTTAATGTAATGCTAAGTACAGAAAGAGCGAAGCCCATACTTTGATTGTTGCTGGGGCTTATAGTCCAATGTAGAATGAAGGTATTGTAGCCTACGAACTAAAAACAGAGAGCTACGGTGGGATGATAAACTGAATAAACAACACGTAAGACATAGACTTATGTGAGCACACATAAGATACCAACACCAGATCGATCTACCCTACCATGGCATATTGCTCAGGTTTATTTCTACTAAACTCACAGTAAACGCAGATTGTGAGATATATACTGTGCGGATACTTTGTAATTCGGGTTAAATAGTTGCGACGGGAGCACAGGACCGTACAATAGAGAATGCTTTACCCTACAACATGCATCTACTCATAGTCCACTGACGTTGGAATAGCTATTACCAGCCACGTCACTACTGATAGTACTTCAAACCTATAAACAATTTTACATGTACACAATCGAAATGAATACCATTTGAACTGGATAAAAGCCCACCGGAGCGAAGCGGAGGTGGGCGGCCCTATCTACTGCAACTAACCATAAAACTACCGCCGCGTAGCGGCGGCGCTCGGCTAGTTCTCCGTCCTCTAACCGAGAATCCTGTCTGTCGGTCATCGCGTCACGCTTTCCGCCCCTACAGTCTAGACCTGTCAATTAGACTACGCTACCGCGGCCTTATTGCATACATTATTCACTCATCAAGTCGACTGAAACTGGCTTTTTAACTATCTACGAAATTACAAAAATAGCCACAATCAGCTAAAATTCGGACTTACACGGAGCCGGTCGGACTTTAGCGGGCGTGATTATCACATACCCCATTTGAAAGTTGGCGCGCGGCGGACGGACGGACCGAGGAAGCGAGCGGGAGGGCGCGTGGCGTACGGGAGTGAGCAGCGGAGTGCAGCGGCAGCGGACACTACTACAGTGAGTACATGCATACATCTACATAAATAAACTACTTTACGGTTTCGGGAGTTCCGCCTGTTGGGATAACTGGTACCTTCAGGGCAGTCGAGGGTTTACAGTACGTAATTAGGGGTAGACTGGTGCTTATTAGGCGTTCATCTTCTAATACACCAAGAATGTGTGCGAACGACGCCTGCCGGGTCTACCAGAGAGCAGACACGTCGTGAAGAAGAGAATTCCGATGCCCCTGACGCCGAAAATATCGGGCGCAAGATTATTATACCTCCCACGTTTACGGGAGGGCCCCGCTACATGTACCAACGTTTCCTCGACGCTATGGTAATCGTAAGAGAGACCGGCGCGCCAAATTTGTTCATCACCATGACGTGCAACCCTAACTGGCCAGAAACCAAGGAGAATCTGCGACCGAACGAGAAGGCGACTGACAGGCCTGATGTCGTTGCGCGAGTATTCATGCAGAAGCTGAAAGCGTTGAACAAGGACCTCGACCAAGGCATCCTGGGTATCCAAGCCGCTCGGGTCCATGTGGTAGAATACCAAAAGAGAGGGCTTCCCCACGCACACATTCTTCTGATTCTGCGACCTGAAGATAGGACCCGTGTCCGCAGTAGACGTGGACCGATTAGTGTCAGCAGAGGTCCCTGATGAGGAGAAGCACCCCGAACTTTACGAAACGGTGATCTCAAGTATGATGCACGGTCCATGTGGAAGACAGAATCCGAACTGCCCCTGCATGAAGAACGGTAGGTGCTCTAAGAAGTTCCCCAAGCCTCTTACCGAGGTAACGACTATGGTCCAGGATAAGAGTCCTGGATACCGTCGGAAACGGCGTTCCGATGGGTTTGTGGTCCACAAAGGTAAAGTGTGGGACAGTGCGACGATCAACCAATGGATTGTGCCATACAACCCATTTCTTTCGCAGAAATATAATTGCCACATCAACGTCGAAGTCTGTTCGACAAACAGGGCTGTCAAGTACATCTACGAGTACGTGTACAAGGGCTCGGATATGACCACGATCACTATTGAAGGAGAAGAGATACAAGCCAACGAGATTCTTCAGTATTTGCTCGGACGCTACATTTCGCCTGTTGAAGCCTGTATGCGGTTGTTCAAATATCCAACTCAAGGGTCTACGCACTCAGTTGTGAACTTACCCGTTCACTTGGAGGGTATGAGCTTGGTTGCATATCGACAGCACGCGACGAATCGACAACTGCGAAACTTGGTGCGGGCTGGCGTCAATACGATGCTCACTGCATTTTTCAAGTTGTGTGCAAACGACCCCATTGGAACGGCGGGTCTTCTGTACAAAGACGTTCCTACAAAATACCGCTGGGTTACCGAGGGTAGAAAGCACTGGGAACCGTATAAACAATACGCGGCTTCGCTGGGACGTATGGTACATGTGTCTCCTCAAGATCCGGATAGGTTTTACCTGCGACTTTTGCTGTGTCATCGGCGGTCTCCTAAGTCTTTCGAGGACCTTCGAACGATTAATGGTCATTTGTACTCCTCTTATCAAGAGGCGGCTGCAGCTGCAGGGTACTTGGAAAACGACCAAGAGTGGCAAGACTATCTGGCGGAGTCGGCATTGTTCAAGATGGCTAAGGGACTGAGGCAGCTATTTAAAATTATCCTGGTGTATTCGCTGCCGCGCAACGCCAGAGAACTTTGGGACAACTTCAAGGTGCAAATGTCCGAGGATATTGTCCGGCAGATCGAGCATTATGATGCGAAAAAAACATTGAACGCGAGGTGGACTTTCGCCTACGGATGGCTGAGTACAAAGCCTTGCTGGATGTGGCCAAATACCTAGATTCATACGGGAAGACACTCGAAAACTACGGTCTTCCAGATTTGTCGTTCTACAGCGATGTCGCGGCGGAGGTTGATGAACAAGATGCTCGGCCGGTTGATATCATCCACCAAGAACTCGACGCGTATAGCACAACTGATCTCGAAGAGACCGCTATGCTAGCTGATCGAATGAACGAGAACCAGAAGGAAGTCTTCGACCAAGTGATTGAAGCGGTGAATCATCCGGTACAAGGGCAGAAACTACTTTTTGTGGATGGGCCGGGTGGTACTGGCAAGTCGTTTCTGTTGGAGCAGATACTTGCCCATGTTCGCATGCAACGCAAGGTTGCGATTGCTGTAGCTTCCAGTGGCATCACCGCTACTCTTTTGACAGGGGGTCACACAGCCCACTCGACGTTTCGAATTCCGCTCAAGTTGTCCGAGTTTGCAACGTGCAGTCTATCCTGGCAGAGTGCTAAAGCGAAGATGGTTAGGGAGTCAAGCCTGATCATTTGGGACGAGGCGCCGATGATGAACCGCGCGTGCTTTGAGGCTGTGGATAGAACATTTCGCGATCTCATGCACAACGAGTCCGAGCCGTTTGGAGGAAAGGTGATGGTGTTCTGTGGAGATCATCGCCAGATTTTGCCAGTCTTGAAGGACGCTACGAGGGCCGAGACAGTGAAGGCCTGTTTTAAATCTTCGCCACTCTGGGGGCATTTACGTCAAGTGCGGCTAACGGAGAACATGCGTGTGAGGACAGCCCCTGACCAGGTCAGTGCAGCCGAGTTAGCCGAGTTCTCTGATTTCTTACTCCAGATAGGCGAGGGTCGCTATCCAGTCAACTCGGAGATCGGCGAAAACGACATTTGCCTTCCACGCGATATGTGCATCATACCAGGAAGTACCGAATCATCGTCAGTGTTTGATGAAGAAACAAAAGAGAGCGACGAGATGGAGGCGCCGCCCAACTTTAATCTTCAACTGCCAGAGGATCATGAAGACACAGAGGAGTCGCCGAGCGTAATGTCAACGCTCTTATTGACGCTATCTACCCAGACGTGGAAAGCAATGATTTACCAGATGAGTACTTCGTTGAACGAGCCATTCTAGCACCTACGAACGCAAGTGTCAGGCGTATCAATGGCATGGTGTCTGCGCGTCTTTCGGGAGACACAAGGGAGTATCTCTC